TGATATTATATAAAGCTGACGGGTAACCGTGAATCCATAATTAATTAAACTTAATATTACAGGTGAGTCACGTATACATAGAGGCTTAATATAGTATTTAACAAGTTTGATAAAGGAGAGAGAAGAATCTTTATCTGGATCCGAAGAAAGTAAGCGCCCCCCGGTCAAGGCTTAGTAAGCACAGGCACAGCCCGTGCTTTACCTCTAGGGCTCGCCCCTTACAGAGAGCAATAGTTACCTACAAATCTCCTTTTATAAAATTAGAGATTAACTACCTTGACTTTAGTACTCCGCTGAAGGTCTTATTCAGAGGACCTACTAGTTGCAATACTAAATTATTAATTAGATCTCCTATCACGTTTACAACCCGAATTTATTTGTAGCTAGGTGTCTGTTGGAATGTCACATGTGACACGTGACCTTATTCTTACTCAGTAATGACTAAGCAGCGATGAGGCCTTTCACTTCATCGCCGCAACCGTAGCTAGAACCTCTTCTACACCTAGAAATGCAACCATGAAATAACAAGATTCCTAGGCCAGACCAGTGCACTATGTGTAACCAACAGTGTCTGCCTAACTTTAAATTTTGAAACTCTAGGAAAACATATATATCCTATTACGCAGATAGAATTATAAGTGTAGCAGCAATTCCTTTATTAAAACTTTATTGAATAAAGGTTTCCTTCCGAATTTCAAATATCAATGTATTATAAGCACCCGGGATAGGAAATACATTTAGCAATATCGATATAAAGCTAATAAAGCTTTGCGTGGAAGACCTCCGTGTATTAAATGTCATCGACTGCAGAAAAAATAGATTGAAAAACTTATTTCCCCTGCTACATATTTCATTTATAACTTATATTGCTTCTTATGAATTGCAGAGATAATCCGTGACACAAGTGGCTTTAATTGCGCATGGGTATATGTATATATCTTGTTCAGTCACACCTGCCTGCGGTATACTCGAGTAGGATGAATGCCACGACATCGCTGCTGTATTTTCACTGCTTGAGAGATGTGGGCAGGTTGCATGATGTGCGCTGGGGTTGCGGAAGGAAAACACACACGAGGGAAATCTTTCGCTGGCTCTGATTGGAACTTGCGGAGGAAAAGAGGAGGCTGGACGGAAAAGGAAACTTGGCACGAGTTGAGTGCTGCGAGGTTGAGATTGGTACCAGGGAGGTAACTTGTAGAACATGCAAGGCCCCTTTCCAGAATTTGGGTGAAATGAGTGTTTGGCAAAGTTGGTCTCGGTTCTTAGGTCCGAGAGTTCGGTTAGAGATGCTCTAAAAGTCGGGTTAGAGACCTAGAGTCAGTTATGTCTAAAAGGTTGCATGGTCACAGGCAGTCACGGTGATTTGGAATAGATCGGTTGTTTGATTCATTATTGCTAGATACAGGAAGACGACCGAGAGAAGACACAGAGCAAAGTCCTCCAGGACTAATCCCGCCAAATTCGAAGAGCCATGATCGTAGTGTTTTAATTGGAAGTGTTGCTTGTTTGCGTTGCATGCTCGAGATCACTGAAAGTTATTTCAGCCGTACGGGCATGCCCCATAAGGGATGCAATGTAAGATTACGCCAAAACACCGTCGCCATGCAGTGAATGGGAAGAACAAATTATTTCCAGGTCTAGATCTTCAAAGATGAGAAGAGCTATTTTGCCGAGTATCAAGAGAAGCATGGAGGAATATCCATCTCCTAGTTACCGTGACCCGAGTTCAATAACGCCGTCGCAATGCGGAAGTGACCAAAAGGAGATGAGTGATCAGTCATCAAAAGGACCAAGTTGTCATTTGAAGAACAAAACTAGTCGCCGTTCTCAAGTGCGGTGGCCTGGGGGTGGTGGTTGTTGTGGCTGCGCAGCTGCTTGGCCTGGAAATACGAAACCAGGAGGGAACATTGGCATGCCGTTGGGCTGAGTTGGGAATGGAAACGGGAGTCCGGCCATCGAGAATGGTGGGACCGCAGGCATACTTGGTGGGGCGCTGACAGCTTGGTCTCGATCCCTACGGTTCCCTCGGTGGTCATCATCTCGTCGATGGTCTCTGTTATCCCGGCGGAAGCGTGGAGCGTTTTCTTCCTCTTCACGATCCCGACTTGACTTCGGGCCATTGTTGCCACCCTTATCGGTTTGCATTCGACGACTAATAGCCTTGGAAGAGACACCTTGACCAATTTCGATATCAGGTTCTTCGACAACCATTCCGGACTCGATGGGCATTCCACCACTGCCACCATATTCTGCACTCAGCATCCACTTCCGATCAGCGTCCGTGAGCTTGCTGATAGGAATGACGCTGACTCCGGTTTGGTAGTCGCTGCAGTCGCGAGGTCCAAATCCAACACCCCATCTTGTCTGCTGGAAGTTAGCAAGTGCAACAGGTCATGACAAGATTCAAGTTACCGAACTTACTCTCAATTGAGAATCCGGGGTCCTATTCTTCTCCATGGCCTCCTTTGCACGGACGGCGTCTGCCCGGCTGATCATCTTCACGAAAGCATGGCGCTTCTCCTTGTTGACAATGCATGTTTGGACTCGGCCATAATTTTCAAAGACGTTCCTCAATTCTTGGTCAGAGGTTCTGTCAAAGTTAGCTATGCTCAAATGGCAACATATCGATCCCAACTTACGTGACACCACCGACAAATAGGGTTCGGCTGAGGACTATAACTTGTTAGTAATAAACCTAACCCGCGAGCAAGTATATTGAGATTCTACCTTTGATGCTTCCTTTAGGGATGGAAGAATCGTGATCTATCCACTTCTGTCCAGCGCCTCTAGATCTTGGTGGACTTGGGCTGCGTCCACGACGGGCAGGACTACGTTGGCGATAGTCATTACCCCGAGCACCTCCTCCACGACCTCCTCGTCCACGTTCATCACCACGATTTCGTGCTGGGGAATTTCTATCAAAGTCATAGGAATTTGACTCGTCGCGACGACGGGATGCTGGGGAATCCCAAGCAGCACGCGGTGGGGATCGGGACCGAGAACGTTGACGGTAGCGATTTGGGGGCGATCTTACAGCCTCGCGGTCATGATAGCCATTATAGTCACGTGAATCATCTGGTCTGGAAGCAGCAGCACCATTGGGAGCCCAACCGTTCTGTACATTTTGATTCTGATTTTGAGACTGCTGCTGGGCGGTAAAGGGCTGGGGTAAACCTCCTGCACCAACGGCCAAGATGGCCTGGATTTGCTCTGTTGTGAGGCCCTGCTCTGCAAGTGCTTTCACTAATAGGATCTGCTGCTGCAGAGCTGGGTCGAGGGCACCTGGCTGGACTACTGGTGGGACAGCCGCAAATGGATTTGGGTTTGTTTGATTACTGGCAAAGTTCTGAGCATAAGCACCATTACCCGCTCCTTGATATGGCGGCTGCGATGCAAAGGTGGCTGTGGCTGCTGGCACATTTACAGGCTGAGGAACGTGTGGGAAAGGTACTGCCTGGTTCAAGGCCGGAGCCCCATTATGGTGTGCATTGGATGCACTGTACGAATTATCTGCAGAGGTAGAGGCGTTTTGACGGGCAAGGCTGGCAAGTGCCTGTAGGATTGAGGGGGCCGAAGTAGCTGTGGCTGCAGCCGGAGCTGCGGGTGCACCCGGATGCATTGTACTGCCGAAGGCTTGCTGGAGATCTGCAGGCGGGCTTCCTGGTGGTGTAGTTGATTCGTCTGAGTGTGGTTTAGAAGGATTAGAAGCAGAACAATAAGAAGAACAATAATAATAATAAAATTAATCGTGTCGAGGAAGAGTGCTGTCTTACTTTGCATGGATGCAGTCAATTTCTCCTTGAAGTCGTTGAGCATTGCGAGAGGGAATGTCTGCGCTTTCTCCCAGATATCAAGCAACTTTCTAATTCTGTCCTACACGTAAAATCAACGCGTAAGTGGGGATCCATAGCATAGGATAGGATAGGCAAAGGAAAATAGTGGTTGTAGTGGTGGAAAAATGGGAGATATAAAGTAGGATATCTTGAAAGGGGATAATCTCGTGCTACAGCGGCAGAATATGCGTAGCCTCAACATGCAAATCCTGCCCTTCTGAGGCTACTGAGCTCAAGTTTTGGGCGTACCTTTTGATCTTTGTCTGGAGAAGATGCAATAATGTTATTCATCAAGTTCGGCAATAATTCCTTTACTCTATTAACGCCAGCAGCAAAGGTGCCATCTTCAGCAGAAACGTTTATGGTCTGTCCAGCATTTTTGGCTTGTTCTGTCCATTTTCGAGTCACACTGTCTACGACGTAGAGAACACCAAGCTTGTGGGATGCCGGGGCTCTCATGAAATGGGTGTATAGTTTTTGGACGAGGACCGATTCGGACTGCGAGAGGGCGGCGTCAGTTTCGATGTTTCTCAGAGGATGAAGGTGCCGAGCTATGTGCTTACCTGGACATTTGCTGTGCAGAGGGTGGTGAGAGCTTGAATTCTGGATCCGGAAACTCCTGGTGGCTTCAATAATAGCATGGCCTGGAGGCCAGCTTCTAGTTCTGCTACTGGGGACGACATGGCTGGAGAAACACGATCAAAATAGTCTTCCGTCGAAAGTGGCAGATGCGAGGTTTAATCTCTCTATGTCCCTTTCTCCACGCCAGTTCCTGAATACGATGCTACGATACGATGGAGGTGGAGATGAAGGCGAAAGAATCTATCGCGACTACGTGTGCGACCGGCACTGCGAAGCTAAAATTGCCTGGAGCTCAGCTCACAAGTTCGAAGGGCGAAGGGCGAATGCTGGCCTTCTGCAACAGTCTGCTACTGTACACAGGAGATGATCTTGATGATTTTGATGGTTAGTTGCGTAAATACGATATGAGTGCAACTTTAGATGGGCGCGTGGTAGGAGAGGAAGAGGTTGCGTTGCGTTGCCAGTTGATGGCTTGCAAAGGTCGGTTAAAATAATTGCACGTCGGGCAGCTCGGGTCACGTGATTGTTCCAGTGCCTTCTAGGTACATGGAGGGTAGAAGGAATTCCTGGACAGTAAATATCACGTATATATTTTCCTATAAAAGTAACAGAGAAAAGGACAGGAGACGAGTATTTACATAAGGTTTATTACCCTTTTATTACTCCCGAGACGTAATATGGGACCTTCCATTTTAAGCCGGTTTCTTCCTACGTCACGGAGGCGATCGGTGTTGTTGAGCGTGCCGACACCCATCCATTTTCTTCTCCCTTCAATAATCTTTTCCACCTCCACCACTTCTCCGCCCCTTCATCTACACCTTATCACAACATGGCCTCCGTCCTGCGTTTCAGCTCTTCAGCTCTGAGAACATCTCTCTCATCTCCTGCTTTCACTGCCAGGAAAGTTGCCTTCAATGGCTTGCGCTGCTATTCATCGTCGAAAACACAGGTAATTCTGCTTATCTCCGATCCAACCAAAGCTCCTACTTACAAGAATGCTCTCAGACTTTGAAGGAACGTTTCGCCGAGCAACTGCCAGAGAAGATCGAGCAGATCAAGAAGCTTCGCAAGTACGCAATTACACCAAGAAGCTGTTGGGAATTTTGCATGCGATCGGCATACTAATTATTTTACAGGGACTACGGATCAAAGGTCGTCGGCGAGGTCACTCTCGATCAGGTATATGGTGGCGCTCGTGGTATTAAGTCTCTAGTCTGGGAAGGTTCTGTTCTCGATTCCGAGGAGGGTATCCGTTTCAGAGGCAAGACTATTCCGGAATGCCAGGAGCTTCTTCCGAAAGCCCCCGGAGGAAAGGAACCTCTACCCGAAGGTACAAAAATACACTGGATCCACATCGCAGTGCCTTATTGACTTTAAATAGGTCTCTTCTGGCTTCTCCTCACTGGTGAGGTTCCCAGCGAACAGCAAGTCCGCGACCTCTCTGCAGAATGGGCTGCCCGCTCCGACATCCCAAAGTTCGTCGAGGAACTCATCGACCGATGCCCAAGCGATCTTCACCCAATGGCACAGCTCTCAATTGCTGTCAACGCTCTTGAACACGAGTCTGCTTTTGCGAAGGCCTACGCCAAGGGAATGAAGAAGACTGAGTACTGGGGACACACTTTCGAGGACTCAATGGACTTGATTGCCAAGCTTCCAACCATTGCCGCAAGAATCTACCAAAATGTCTTCAAGGGAGGCAAGGTCGCGCCTGTCCAGAAGGACAAGGACTACAGTTTCAACTTTGCCAACCAGCTCGGCTTCGGCGAAAACAAGGACTTCGTTGAGCTGATGAGACTATACCTAACCATCCACACTGATCATGAGGGTGGTAACGTCAGTGCCCATACCGCTCACTTGGTTGGAAGTGCTCTCAGCTCTCCTATGTTGTCCGTCGCTGCCGCTCTCAACGGTCTTGCCGGACCACTTCACGGTCTGGCCAATCAAGAGGTCTTGAACTGGCTTACCAAGATGAAGGCAGCTATTGGCAATGATCTTAGTGACAAGGCCATCACTGATTACCTCTGGTCTACCCTGAAATCTGGTCAAGTTGTGCCAGGTTATGGTCACGCTGTTCTCCGAAAGACTGATCCTCGCTACATGGCGCAACGTACATTCGCTGAGGTAGGTTTTACCGCCCGAGTTTAGACACTTCTTGGCTAACTCAAAATTCTTCTAGGCACACCTTCCAGATGACCCAATGTTTCAATTGGTGAGCCAAGTTTACAAGATCGCCCCTGGCGTTCTCACAGAACACGGAAAGACCAAGAACCCATACCCCAACGTTGATGCTGTAAGTAGCCCCCAGTACTCGAACGAATAGGTCATTAACTAGAGACTAGCACTCGGGTGTCCTTCTCCAATACTACGGATTGACTGAGGCCAGCTACTACACTGTTCTCTTCGGTGTCTCCCGTGCCATTGGTGTCCTACCCCAACTTATCATTGACCGTGCAGTTGGTGCTCCTATCGAGCGACCAAAGTCCTTCTCTACCGAGAAGTGGGCCGAAATTGTTGGAGCCACATTATAAGCATGTGATGTGTAATATGAAATAGGTTTGTGGTCAGGGTGAGAAATGAGTATCAATGAGGCTTGTACGAAAAAGGAGGGATATAGACGGGGTTTGGCAGCGATTAGCACTGTTCACTGTATATTATTTCCCAGCGATCTCGTGCTTTATTTGCAAACATACCTACCTTGACGCAATCTTTTCGACATGCACAACTCCTACAGTGTTGCATGGCCTTCCTTTTCCCCTACACTCTTTATTCTGCCTCCTCGTGCTAGATGTTGACCTTTACCGTCTCACACCGCCTGGCTCATAAATGAGTGCTTATTTTCTATCCCCCGGAAGGCTTCTTCCCTAAACCCAGCAGACATCACGGAGTATTAAATCTACATTATTTACTCCATATCTGTCAAATAATTTGGAAAGCCTCGGCGGAGGCCGTATGGGGACACTAACTTAATAAAGGCTCTCAATGTGCCAATCCACACCCACATGCTAACTCCAATAAGCTATCCCGAGGCGTGCGTTGAGAGCAAGCGAGGTTCAACAACATCTGAGGACCCTCAACAAGCACAGACAGTACAGCTCTTTCTTCAACTCAACTGGAATGCTGGCTGAATAAGGAAATCAAATTGAATTGAATTGATTAGGCTAAAAGCTCCATGTAGTAACAGCTTACTGACTGTATTGCGCGTCGTAATTTTAATACGTATCTCAGGCTCAGCAAGTTCTTATCCTTCCACAACAACAACAACATCCTTGTCTTCGTCCGTCCCCGTCCCCGTCCCCCTGTAATAATACCCGAAAACAGCAGGAACCCCTACTCACCTTACCCTACTGTACCAAACCAAACCAAACCAAACCTTATCGTCAGTCACCCACCCTTCAACTTCAACTACAAACCATCACCCCTAGCTGAACTTCACTTCTTGTACAACAACAAACAGCCTCAATCTTTGCGACGAAGCAGCCTCATTCCCTTGGTCAGGGCCCCTCAACACACAACCCCACGCCTATCATGTCAGTTGCAGCATCCAAGCCGGCGGTGCCAGAGAAGAAACCTGTCAAGTTCAGTAATCTTCTACTGGGTGCAGGCCTTAACATGTTCGAAGTTACGACTCTGGGACAGCCACTGGAAGTCACGAAGACGACCATGGCTGCCAACAGAGGTGACAGCTTTGCGAGTGCTCTGACACGTATTTGGGGTCGAGGTGGTGTGCTTGGCTGTAAGATTCTTGAGCTCCTATTCTCACCTGCAGAGTAGACACGTTTGCTGACAATTGTAATCTAGTCTACCAAGGTCTCATCCCATGGGCCTGGATTGAAGCCTCCACCAAAGGCGCCGTCCTCCTCTTCGTCGCTTCGGAAGCCGAATACTACGCTCGCACCTTTGGCGCCGGCGACTTCACCGCTGGTATTAGTGGAGGTGTCATGGGAGGAGTCGCGCAAGCATATGCCACCATGGGCTTCTGCACCTGCATGAAGACAGTCGAGATTACTAAATCGAAGCTCGCAGCTCAAGGCGTCAAGCCCCCAGGCACCTTTGCAACATTCATGGATATCTACCGCAAGGAAGGAGTCAAGGGTATCAACAAGGGCGTGAACGCTGTGGCCATCCGCCAGATGACAAACTGGGGATCCCGGTTCGGTCTCTCGCGTTTGGCAGAGCAGGGGATTAGACAGGCGACAGGGAAAGATGAGGGAGGCAAGCTGAATGCGTGGGAGAAGATCTTGGCTTCTGCTCTGGGTGGTGGGCTTAGTGCTTGGAACCAGCCCATTGAGGTTATTCGTGTGGAGATGCAGAGTAAGACGGTGGATCCTAACCGACCAGCTAAGATGACGGTCAAGAATACGCTGCAGTATATCTACGCGCAAAATGGTGTTAAGGGCTTGTATCGGGGCGTTGTTCCTCGTATTGGTTTGGGCGTTTGGCAGACTATTTGCATGGTTGCTATGGGTGATATGTAAGTTCTCTTTCCCTCATGGCGTTTGCAGAGATCACACTGACATTTCTATAGGGCCAAGGCTTACGTCGAGAAGCTTACTGGCGATGCTGTCACAGCTAAGCATTAGTGGCGTTCATAGGATACATTGCTGTTTGTAGCTTTTGGAGTGGAAGAAGGCATAGCAGTTGCGTGCTAATAGACTTGTTATTTGTTTCTTATAGACTTTCTAGTACATTGGATCTCGCTGGTTGTGGTACGCCATAACTCACAAATATGAGACTTTTCGTTGCACATTCACGCTTGATTTTGAATTCTTTGAAGCCCTACGTCCAGTCCTGCTCACATGGGGAACATGTATTTATTTCCCCCCGACTTTTCCGTCTTACTCCTCGTCGTCGTTGTCCCGTATCATCAAAAGTGCAATTGCTTAGGGGCATGTAAAGGGACGTTCCTTTTGCCAATCAATACCACATATATGTTTCCCAACCGCAATTCTACTAGCTCCAAACTCCAAACTTCCAAATCCACTCTCTATAGATACATATAATTCATTCTACATACTTACTCACGCTAGGTGAGTATCAAACCTAACATGATATAGTACTATCAACAACCACATACTGCTCTGAGCGCTAGCTGGCTGTATTTCCCTTCTTTCGTGTCATGTTATGCCTAGTCCTCTGGCCGCTTGAAATACACTGTGCTGAGTGGACGAACTTTGATAGCAAGTCTGCTTCTATGTAGAATCAATAGCACGGATTTGGATGAGAAAATATGATTGGAATATGAGGGGGAAGGAAATGGATGGATGGGAAGCTGGGTTTTTGGTAGGAAATGTCGTGTTATCTTGCTCTTGCTTTGACGGGTGTGTATATGCGGGCGGTACGTGGAGTACGTCCTGCTTGATTAATGGTAATTTTGCGCAGGGGGTTGTTCTTGTTGGTTTGAGTGGGGTTCATTGGATTTCTTTTATATGTGAAGGACCGCTTGGATTGGTTTATTGGAGTATTGGGTTTGAAAGCCTTGAAACGAAGGAGGGGGGCGATGATGATGATGGGTTTGGATTAGGTTTTCATAAGGGCAATGTTCATTTGTTCAATACACTAGGATCGTAGACTGAGGAAAGGGAGGGATTGGATTGGAGATATACTTGTGTTTGTGTTTGTGTTTATACCTTGCTGCTTACTGGTATTTTGGGATGGTTTTGTGGTATGTGATATGCATTCATGTCTTTTTTCTCTGGGTTATGTATTTGAGGATTCGGGTTTCGGATTCCTGGCGCGTTCATTTTCTGTCGTACGTATGTACCACGGCAAGCAAATGCAGAGAACTCTTTTCCATACTTGTGATTTGATAGAATCGGCAAGCAGAACTCTATGGTTGGGAAAGAGCCCATTTACCAGGTGATTATGTACTTACTTACTCCATACCTACCTATAGCTCAGAAATGAGAGCCACAGTCCTACATGCATTCAACTAGACTTGATTTTATATCCAAACCAATACAACTGGTCTAAAGCAAATTTTGGCCTGGAAATACCGAGGAAATATACGTGAGGTTTTGTCTATCATAGGTAGGGGAGTGGGAGAGGTGACGAGTGTGTGAAATGTATACCTAGGTACCTTACCAAGTGTTGGCAGTCACGTCTTACCTGCGCCAACCCCGGGCCTAATTTAGATTTTGTGCCGTACCTGCAACCGGTCCCATGTGCAGAGATGGGGGCATGTTAGTGATTAATATGCAATTTCGGACGTCTGTTACTCATGAGACTACCTACTGGGAGGAAAATACCTCACCCAAATTGTAGGTATAAACGGGGTGAGAGGAATAAGGAGATAAAAAGACCCTATTCTGTGAAGCTCAGGAAGCAAGGTCATGGGCGATGGAAACGCCAAAAACTTATCGTAGTTTTCCATCCCATAGAAAGAAGCCAAGGATATAATCCATAGCTGTGAAGTAAATATATTGTTTGCGCGTTTTCTTCGCCTTCTTCGTACTGCCGTGCTGCCGACTTGGCTGTGTTCAATACCAAGCCCTCGAAGCTTTGATACGGGATGAGGGATCTTCAGTGGGAGAGATGATGTGCCAATGTCTATCCACGAGTATTGAGTTCTTGGCCGTTACGAATGCGAATCATCAATGTCTGCCTTGAGGTGCGATACTTTTCTGCAGCTTGCAGCTGTCGGTCTGGTGATTTTGTATCATTGTTTGGACGAAAAGTGTAAAAGGCGAATGGGATATTTGATATATCTTCTTCAAAACAGGACGATGTCGGGATGAGGATGAGGCTCGCGATTAGATGTTTCATGTCTCGATCTGTTTAAAGATCCTGTCAGCCTTAATTCCCCACTTCAAACATGGCGAGATACCTACCTACGTCAGTCAGATCATGTTGTAAATACAGGGAATGGGGACAGATTTGGAGTTCTGGTATTTGATAGCCTTACGCTGCTCGTAGAGAATGACGATATTATGTGACGATATTTTCTGTATCGTCGCAAAGATGATGTACCCAGGTACCTTAGTCTGGACGAGTGGGGCATCAAAGCACACTAACCCCGGTTTTTGATGTCCCACCCCGCACCGAGCTCCTTACCAATACGGGTTAGATCAAAGAGAGCATAGGAGATCGACCAATGACGAGAACCAATTTGGGAATCTTAATTTTAGTGTTATACATGTCATACTTCGTACCAAGTACACACGACATACTTTGTAAATGCACATGAACTTGCTCTACCTAGGTAGTATAGCGGCGACTGGTACAAGTGTCATGAAAACTTTTCCTTGGCTGGATGCGGGTCCTGAATGCGGGATTATTTGAGATATTTCTTGAATACCCTGCCGACTCGGTGCTTGAAAACAGTGCGCACCCGCACCCGCAGCCTAAAAACCAACGGATAGTGGTACTGGCAAATAAGACAGGAGTAAGGGGAAGAACATTCAACTAAATAACAATACAATACAGTATTTAATACCGTCAGAAGTGCAGAATCTAGAGAAGACTATATGTAGAGATCACCAAGTACCTAAGTACCTGTACCTGTCACTATGTACCTTAGATAGCTTATAAGGTGGGGCGAACTGCTGAGTGCCTATCTATGTACCTATGGTTTTGCAAATCAGGATATACTACAAGACTAGTACATTCATTTTGTCCAAATTGAGATACCTCTGCCCTTTTTCGAGACTAGCTTTACGCACAGAACCGTAAGTGAAATAATATAATCCAAAAAGTGAAGATGGCATTCCCATCTCAGGGAAAGTAACTCCCTCATGAACGTCTCGCTTATCACCCCCATCGCGTCGGTCACTGCGGGCAGGTGCACCTAGCCAGCATTAGCGGCTCGGGAGGGCAAGGGCTAGAGAGGAGAGGCGAGGCTAAGGTACTACTTTACGAGCGCAGGCCATTTATTTTTACCTTTTACCTACTCTTTCTTCCCCAGAGAGCTTCTTCCCTTCCCACCCTGCTCTTCTCTCCCTCCTCTTTCCTGCTTCGACCACTCCCTCCCCTCACTCCTTCCCTTCGTTCGCAGTACTCTGCCCTCCTCTCCGTTTTTTCGACCTCGCCCTTTACCTCGCCATCTCTCGAAATCAATTAATTATCCCCCTCCGATAATCCTTTCCCTAATTAATCTCAACACATCAATTTCAAAGGTCTCGATCCGCTTTACCTACCTGCACTTTTAATCCACACCCCTCCTCCTCACCCCGCAGAGGAGTCGCAGCCAACTCACTTGGCCGCACTACCATGGCGAACACACACGGTGCGACCGGGACGCACACCAGTAATAACTATTCCGAAAACCCCCATCACCTCAACACCAACATCGAGTCGGGCACGTTTGACGAGAAGACTGGTCGCCATGACCCTATACCTACCATCATCAAGAAGCCTGTCGAGGATGAGGAAGAGGATGAGGATATGGATGCGCTGATTGACGAGCTCGAGTCCCAGGATGGCCACGCAGAGGAGGAGGAAGGTGAAGACGAAGCTTCTCCTGTCACTGGGCGTGTCGTGCCCGAAGACCAGCTCAATACCGATACTCGCATTGGTCTCACTGAATCTGAAGTTACTGCGCGTCGCAAGAAATACGGTATGAATCAGATGAAGGAAGAAAAGGAGAATTTGATCCTCAAGTTCCTTGGGTACTTTATTGGTCCTATTCAATTTGTTATGGAGGTATGTCAACTTTCTATTCCCACTGCCCATCCCATCACATCCCCAGGCCAAGCTAGCATCATGAGCGTTTTCACTCCATGCGGTGCTACCGTTACGCTAGATAGCTACACTGGCTTTCCTTGTTTTGACCCGGAAGGTCCCGTCGTGTGGCCTGGAATACAAGGCGCCACAACGCGAGAACGCCACTCCACCCCATCCCACCCCATCCCACCCCGCTCCACTCCACCGCATCGCTTCCTGATCCGTGCTGACACCAGTCTCTGTGATAGGCTGCCGCTGTGCTCGCTGCTGGTCTTCAAGATTGGGTAGATTTTGGTGTCATCTGCGCCCTGCTTCTGCTGAACGCCGCTGTCGGTTTTATCCAGGAATTCCAAGCTGGCTCTATCGTCGACGAATTAAAGAAGACCCTCGCACTCAAGGCTGTCGTTCTTCGTGATGGCCGTCTCTTCGAGGTCGAAGCTCCAATGGTTGTTCCTGGTGACATTCTGCAAATCGAGGAGGTAAGAAACGACCCTGCTTGCTCTTATTGATTGGGCAAAGTTTTATATTAACATGTGCATGTTCCGCAGGGCACTATCATCCCGGCAGATGGCCGCATTGTCACGGACGATGCTTTCCTCCAAGTTGACCAGTCTGCCATCACCGGAGAGTCTCTCGCAGTGGACAAGCACAAGGGCGACCAATGCTATGCTTCTTCCGGTGTCAAGCGTGGTGAGGCCTTCATGGTCATCACTGCCACCGGTGACAACACCTTCGTCGGCCGTGCTGCTGCTCTTGTCAACCAAGCTTCCGGCGGAACTGGACATTTTACTGAAGTCTTAAACGGTATCGGTACGGTTCTCTTAATCTTGGTTGTCTTCACCAACTTAATCGTCTGGATCTCGTCCTTCTATCGTTCCAACAAAATTGTCGAGATTCTCAGGTATACCCTAGCCATTACCATTATTGGTGTTCCTGTCGGTCTCCCAGCTGTTGTTACCACAACTATGGCTGTCGGTGCTGCCTATCTCGCTAAAAAGAAGGCCATTGTCCAGAAATTGTCTGCCATTGAGTCTTTGGCTGGTGTCGAAATTCTCTGCTCTGACAAGACCGGTACCTTGACCAAGAATAAGCTCTCTCTCGCCGAGCCTTTCACCGTCCCAGGTGTTGAGCCAGATGACCTTATGCTGACTGCCTGTCTCGCTGCTTCCCGCAAGAAGAAGGGTATCGATGCCATTGACAAGGCTTTCTTAAAAGCCCTCCGATACTACCCGCGTGCCAAGTCCGTGCTGTCCAAGTACAAGGTTATCGAGTTCCACCCCTTTGATCCCGTTTCCAAGAAGGTTCAGGCCGTTGTCGAGTCACCACAGGGTGAGCGAATCATTTGTGTCAAGGGTGCACCACTTTTCGTCCTGAAGACTGTCGAGGAAGATCACCCCATCCCAGAAGAGATTGACCAAGCCTACAAGAACAAGGTCGCTGAGTTCGCTACTCGTGGTTTCCGTTCCCTCGGTGTTGCACGCAAGCGTGGTGAAGGCCAGTGGGAGATCCTCGGCATCATGCCCTGCTCTGACCCTCCTCGTCACGACACTGCCCGTACTATCAACGAAGCCAAGACTCTCGGTCTATCAATCAAGATGTTGACTGGTGACGCTGTTGGTATTGCTCGTGAAACATCTCGCCAACTCGGTCTCGGTACCAATGTCTACAACGCTGAGCGTCTCGGTCTCGGTGGTGGTGGTGATATGCCAGGTTCGGAGGTGTATGACTTCGTCGAGGCTGCTGATGGCTTTGCTGAGGTTTTTCCCCAACACAAGTACAATGTCGTCGAGATTCTCCAACAGCGTGGTTACCTTGTTGCCATGACTGGTGACGGTGTCAATGATGCGCCTTCTTTGAAGAAGGCTGATACTGGTATTGCCGTCGAGGGTGCTTCCGATGCTGCTCGTTCTGCCGCTGATATCGTCTTCTTGGCTCCTGGTCTTGGTGCTATCATTGATGCTCTCAAGACTTCCAGACAGATTTTTCACCGCATGTACGCTTACGTTGTCTATCGTATCGCCTTGTCCATCCATTTGGAAATCTTCCTTGGTCTCTGGATCGCCATTCTGAACAGATCCCTCAATATTGAGCTGGTCGTCTTCATCGCCATTTTCGCTGACGTTGCAACTCTTGCCATTGCTTACGATAACGCTCCCTTCTCCAAGTCGCCAGTCAAGTGGAACTTGCCTAAACTCTGGGGTATGTCGGTTCTCCTTGGTATTGTCCTTGCTGTTGGTACTTGGATTACTCTCACTACCATGATTGCTCGTGGTGATCATGGCGGTATTGTTGAGAACTTCGGTGTCCTGGATGAGGTCATTTTCCTGGAAATCTCCCTGACTGAGAACTGGCTGATCTTCATCACTCGTGCCAATGGCCCCTTCTGGTCTTCGCTCCCTTCGTGGCAATTGGCCGGTGCCATCTTATTGGTCGATATCCTTGCAACATTCTTCACCCTCTTCGGCTGGTTCGTTGGTGGTCAAACCTCTATTGTCGCTGTCGTCCGTATCTGGATCTTCTCATTCGGTGTCTTTTGCATCATGGGAGGTGTCTACTATCTTCTCCAAGATAGCATTGGCTTCGACAACCTGATGCATGGGAAGTCACCTAAGCAAAAACAAAAGCAAAGATCTCTGGAAGATTTCGGTAAGTCCTATGAACGCATAGCCCCCACTAGAGCTGAAGTCGCTAACTTGTTTCAAAGTCGTTTCGCTTCAACGTGTCTCGACACAACACGAGAAGTCAGCATGAATATACCCATCACAAAACATGCGCCCATCAAGCTTTCTTGGTGGAAATTTTGTGAAGCAATTCCTTTGTGTTTAATACCATTTGCACGTATATGCATCCCGTACACTGTACAATGATGCAGACGGGCTTGTGGGCGGTGTTACGGACGTTATTATTTTGGCAGGGCTATCCAATTCCATTGCTGCAAAGGGAGCATTAAAAAGGGTCATTCGTGGGTTTTTGGGGAAATTTGATTTAGAGGAGCAACGCAGTCATACCCCACTATGCGAAAATGTTAATTTGTTTGTTTGTTGTCTTAGATCCTAAATCAAAGAAAGCATGATTACTTGCTGTCTCTTTATTGAGGCTTTTTCTTTTTGGTGATGACTTAATGGTGAGGATGTTCCGGCTTGTGTTGTGTGATTGTAGAAGCCGTTCTCCTAGAATATGTAAGAGATACATACTCGTTACAAGCCTCATGCTACCTACCTATAGCTCGAGAATGGTAGCTCGCTCGTATAATACAGCCCCCCTCAAAACAAGGGTAAGAAACAATACTTTGTGGTAAGGAAGTGCAATTGAAGTTTAAGGGAAGAAGACATGACTTCCAGGGCATATCAATAAATGGTACTTTACACAGACAGACGGACACAGCAAACATGTAATGAATCGTCGCAGTTATGTTGTTCTATTTACAGCTACATACATACATACAAATAAACAAATCTACATGTATTTCTAGCTCTAAGGTGAAAGAACCAACTCCGCGACGGAGAAATGTGCTATGCAGTGCAGTGCTGTGCTGTATATTTGTTTACAACTTAGCTCTAGGTTTCTTCTCTTCCGCCAGGGCTTCTTCGTATAGCCTGTCTAGTACTTCTCGGTATTTCTTGGCTGTTTGCGGGCGTTTGAGTTTCAATCTGTTTGTTTACATGTCTGTCAGCATACCGTTTATTCTATTCTATTCGTGTACTTGTATTTCCTTTTTTGTGTAATGGCGCGAGCGAGGGGCAAATTGATGGATGCAAAGCGAACAAAACTTACGTAGGTGTCAAAAGCTCATTCTCAATCGTAAACGGCTCGATTTCCAAATGCACACCCCGCACGCGCTCCCAGTTGTTGAACTTATTTTGCTTGCCGATCTTGTCCAGCTCCTTCTGCACTGCTTTCCGCACACGGACATCTTGGGTAGCTGCTTTGATGGCATCGGGGTCTGTGGGGCTGATGGTCTTGTTCAGAATTTGGCTGGCGAAGGGTGCGAACATGACGGGATCCACACCCCATATCGACACCGGGTATGCTTGGTGGGAATCTCCGTGTACGAAGCCTTGAGTAAGCATACTGTAGTTGGCGAGATAGACGTTCTCGATTCGCTCGGGCGAGATGTACTCTCCTTGCGCAAGCTTGAGGACGTTCTTAACACGATCAACGATCTTGAAGCGGCCCATGCTATCTACCTCTGCAATATCACCAGTTTTGAACCAGCCATCTTCAGTCCAAGCCTTCTTAGTCTCCGCTTCATTTTTATAATATTCTTTGAACATGGCTTTCCCTCGCAACAAGAGCTCGCCGCGGGGATTAGGGGAATCGGTAACAAGATAGTCCATGTCTGGTACCGATTGCAAGCAGCCTTCAAAAGCAGCACCTATGCCGCCACAGTTTCCGGCAGAGTAATCGTTCATGTTCTGTCCAAGGCCAGTGGCGTAGGATTCTGTCAAGCCGTAGCCTTGGATGAAGTCAGCGCCCAGAGCGGCGCGGAGGAGCTGGAGGAGCGAGGGGTCGATAGGTGCACTTCCAGTGACCATACCGCGAGCTCGATCCAATCCAATCGCAGCTCTTACTTTGGGAGTGAAGAATCGATCATAGAAAAAGTGCTTGTTTGTTGCTTGTCCCGGCGGTAGTTTCATGGAAGCTAATTTCGCGTTGATGACATGCCTGCCAATAGCGCCTTTCAAGCCTGGCGCATCAATGGTTGCAGTACGGATCGCAGAACCAAAACGGTTGTACAACCTGGGCACAGAGTTGAATCCTGAAGGGCGAAGAAGCTTCATGTCGTCTACAAGACCCAGGATATCACCACGGAAATATCCGACGGCGGCCCCAGATGATAGAGCGCCATGCTCTGCGACTCTTTGATAAATATGTGCCAGGGGAAGATAGGATATCAGAGTATCGCTTGCAATCGTATCTGTGGTAATTCGAGCTGTCAGGTCTGCAGCTGCAGTAGCCTTTTGCAACAACACAACACCCTTGGGGTTGCCAGTCGTCCCAGAAGTATAGTTGATTGTAGTGATATCATCTGGCCCAGGCGGCTTCATAGGAAGGCCAGATGCAGCTCCGAGAGCTTCAACATCCTTGATATAGTGGATTGAGATGCCTGACTCGGATGCCAGGGAATTCAGGATGTCTGATTTTGAAAGTCCAGGCCGTTCTCCAGCATCTATAGGATCGAGACAGATGATAAGCTTTAGTGTAGGTATCAACTTAGCGACCTTAAGCAGGGTCGGGATATGTTGTAATGATGTAGCTACACATGTAAGTGCGGCATGGTTGATTATATATTCGGTGGTGTCTGGACCCAGAGTGTCATAGATGGAAACCGTATAAAGAGACTGGGACATGCATCCCAGATCTGAATATCGTTAATGAGATCCTCTCTTGTTAGAGAATTTAAACATACCAACGATCTGCCATTCCGGCCTATTTTGGCACCACAAACCAACACCGTACTTTTCTTCTGTAACCCCAGCTTTCTTGTGCAGTTCTACGAGTCCAGCTCCAAAGTTCTTCCTTCGCACGGCCACCTCCCCATATGTCATCCACTCGTAATTTCCAAAGGTCTTCGTCGCAGGGTCGTATGGGCGAAGTCCCAAACACTTTGCATGCGGTTGCCTCTTTACACTCTGCTCGAAGGCATGATGAGCCGTAGGAGCGTTTGGATCAGCTGCACCGGGCAACTCCTTATCAACCCACCGCCAATGTCGATATGCTGGGGTACGTCCCTCGCGCTCGCTGCCAGGAACAGGAAGTGAATAGGGGGCGCCAGGTGGAGGAGGGGCTTTCATAGCCGCGACCCAGGCAGCAGGGTTTTGCGATTGTGAGGCCATTATTTTGATGGTAAAGGGAGTCAAAGGAAAGCTCTGCGAAGATGGAATTAGTATCGTAGGATTCCTTGACGAGGCTCGGAATGTCCGAATGCGGAGCCTACGGTTGGTCACCTACCTAATGATGCCAACGCAACGCCAATGTGTTGTAAGTTCAAGTCTAAAAGTTCTTTCTTTCAGAAGAGAGAGAAGATGTGCAACGGGAAACCAGACAAAGATCTTTAAGGAGGAAAAGGCGGAGGGACTGGGGAAAGGTTTGCATGTGCATGGTTGGATGAACAGGAAGGGGAAGAGGGTCACTCGACATGCCTCGGCCTCGGCACCTCCTTGGGAATGAATGTCCTCGGTGGCGGAGACATCTACATACCGTTACTGCGAAATTGACTTGGCTTGGCTTCAAAGAATACAATACCACAACTACTTCGAAGTACTTTCAAATGCGCAAACCATAACATTGCGTCAAAACAAGAGCCATCATGTATTCCCATGTAAGAATTTGATTAATAACTCTTCCTCTTTGACGGAGCGGGGCGGGTACCAAGTATAGCATGTGCTGTGCTGTGCGGCGCTGCGCTGTCTGCTGTTCTCCGGATTAATGATTCTACTGGCCGAGCTCGAGCACCATCACATGTCTCTTTCTGACTTGGAACGAGCTTGAAATTATCGTATAGCTTGCTGTATATTAACAATCGCGTCGTAGTTCGAGATTTTATTTGTGGTGTTGGTGAGATTTATTTACTGCCTTTTTTGTAATATCATAGAAGGGACTCTTCTTAATTAACCACTTCTAAAGCACGGATATATAGTAACTAAATTTCACTCCGAAGGTGATCGTTCTTTGTCATCGCTGCTCGCTGCATCTTCGGCATGATTTTTGTTCTTCCTAGACCCGCGGTGCTCATATAAACCAAAGAACATCGCCAGTACGACTCCTAGCCCAGCCAGCCCGATACCCAAATATAATGCCCCACGATATCCTCTTAAAACATCTTTGCCCCCATAATTGACGTGTGTCTCGATTGTTCCTGCAAATCCCAAAGCTAGGGAGATTGAGTAGTTGATGATAGTGTTTACTAGTGACGCTGCCACCCCTTGGTGTTTCCTGGGCATGGCATTTGAGAGAAGCAGTGTTGCGGCTGGGAACGACATATCCCTATCTCTGTTAGTAATGAGTAAAGGAAGAGGGCAGAGCAAGAAACATACATTCCCCACGGCATGACTACTTGGCTTACAAACAACTGTGCCCAATATGTTTGGCTAACTGGCATCGTGCCTACTAGGATACTGCCAATGCAGAATGCACCTAAAGCAATCATCATAACGACACTGCCTGGTACTCGGTGCAGGATCGAGCCAGTTGTAAATGCAGCAATGCAGCCGCTGATTACCGTGGGCGAGAACTGCGCAGCACCGAGGAGTGGGGATACTCCTCGTAGCTCTTCTATAAACTGCCAGGAATAGAAAACCCAAATTCCAAAAGCAGCCCAACCACAGGCCACACAGCCCAAGATGAACCCAAGATCTGGAGTCATTGAAGAGAACGGGACCAGCGGAAACGTTGCACGCTTTTCGATCTGCCCGAAGATACCAAGCAGAATAATTCCAATGATCAAGAGTACCCCTACATACGGATTGCTCCATCCAACCACAGGTGCCTGGTTCCACGCAAAGTTGATGAGCACAAGTCCGCTCACACCAGTGATACACCCAGCAATATCTGCCCGTACCCAGAAACTATGTGTATTATCGAATTGGGGCGCTGGCGTATGCGGAATCAAGAAAATCGAAGCCACACCTAGAAGAAGGCACAGCATCGCCATAACCCAAAACCCCCAAGGCCACCAAACAAACTCAGCAAACAGCGAAGAAATAGCTGCGCCGAAAGCAAATCCAGACGGCGCCATAGCCCCAAAGGCGCTGAATGCCATCTGCTTCCTCAATCCTGGCTCATACGCCCGCCCCAGAATCGCAACCCCATTCGGCAGCAAGAAAGCCGGGCCGATGCCCTGGAACGCCCTGCAGCAGTCGAAGAAGACCGGGTTACTGTAGACCGCGAATCCAGCCAGCATGGTCCAGAGCGCGAACCAGAGGAAACCTGCAACGAATAACTTCTTATGGCCGTAGAGATCTCCCAATCGGCCAGCGATGAGGATGAATGTTCCGACGGTGAGGGAGTATGCGGCTGGGAACCAAGAGAGTTGCGCAGGGCTATCCTCGACGCCGAAGGAGCGCCCGATGATGTGGAGGGGTGCTATGACTTGACCCAGACCTGCCTGGGTCATGAGTTGCGCCATGCATATTATCAGGATGAAGGCTATCTCGCGGGGAAGGGATTTAGGACGCTCGACTTTGGATTGGGTGAGTTCGACTGGTTCGAGGTCATGATCCTCTTCTTGCTTGGTGCCCACGGTATGGAGCCCAGAAGAATCATCTCCAGAGTGGGATGAAGGCATCCTGAAGAGACGGAATTAGGGGCATTGATTGTCTCTTAGATGGGATGGATGAAGAGAGTGAGTGATACGTCAGGAAGAACGACCAACACCGTTGTCGTCAACTGCAGAATGCATTCGGAAACATGATCGATCTACTTGTAGTACATCCTTGATTACGGAACGAAATTGGAAATGTCAGAAATGGATACCTCTACAAGGCAAGACGTGGCAAAGCTTAGTACTTGATTATTGATGGCTTACAACTCCTTACAAAAGGAAAATGAGGGCCAAGACTCTCCACTTCTGACTAGTGAAACCCACATATTCTGGTGGTGTTGGGACAAATCCGGCTGTTTCTCGGCATATGGGCCGGCTCTCGCACGTGACGTTCTCAGATCTGGAGGCTCTTTCCAGTCCCAGTATCTTATTTATGGTATCATATCATATCATATCCTCTCTGTATTTGGGATTTCTAGTCTATGAGTACTGACTCAAAAACATATATATTTTATATATATCCAGGAACCACTGAGCAACACATGATTTGCGTCCAGGGGAGGGGTTGTTGCGGATGTGTCCCCTTCACATTGCAAATCGCAAAAAGAAAGAAGAAGGGGGAAAAGACAGCCTAGGAATACCCTTGAACATGTTCGACGATAATGTTCTCGTAGAAACCTAGACCAGTACACCATTACACTTGGATGTATGTTGCAACCCTTTGGTCTAAATTTATATACCCCCCTACCGTATACTCGGCCCGGCGATACATGTGAATGTAGAAGTACATATATCTATCGAGGGTGACGCTCAGCTGGCCCTCCGAGGGGCACTGCCGTGGAGGCTGAGAAAGGACAGACGCAACCTCTCAATACACCAACCATGCAGGCATGTCTTTGAAGATACTATTTATTATATTGATGGTATCAAAACGCTGATGTATATTCATCGATAAACCGAAATGCAAAATGCAAAAACAGACAACAGAACTAAAAGTTAGAGCCGCTAATCATCCCTGGCATCTTATCCATGAACAGGTTCTTGCCCTTGACCAAATTGACCATGAAACTGGGCAGCTTCATGCCTCCCATATGTCCAGTACCCGCCTTTCTCCCCACAGGAACCGCAAGCATATCTACAGTATCACAGTATCAGCTCAGCCTCCAATTTGTGATATAGACATAGCATAGGGGCCGCAACTTACCTTTCTCTTCCTTCTTATACTTCACCGCCTGTGCACCCTTCAAAACAGCTACAATATTCTTCGCCAAATGCACAGATTGCTTCTCGGTGTTCATGTACTGCGGCCGCTGTATATCTGCCACATCACCCACAGCCCAGATGTTAGTCGTGTCTTTTACCCTCAGGAACTCATCGACTTTGACGAAACCCGCGGCGTTGACGAGGCTATGGGGAAGGTAGGAGGAATTCGGCACGAGGCCGAGCGCGGGGAGGTACAGATCGGTGGTGATTTTCTCGCCGCCGGACAGCGTGAGTTCTGTGCGGCCATCTGGCATCTTTGCATCGCCTATTACTTTGCTCGATGTCTTGATGGTAACTTTTAGGTCGCGGAGTTGCTTGGTGGCTGTTTTAGTGACGCTGGCTGGGGTTCCTTCGAGGATGTGCGGGCCGCTTGCGATCTGGGGTGCTTTGGTCAGTTCTACGTTCATATGGGAGGGGGGCACATACTAGTGTAAGTTTCTTCTGCCCTTTATACTCGAACGCGATTTCTCCGGCAAGTTCAACGCCGGTTGAACCGGCACCGGCAATGTGGATATCTTTCGCTTGCTTGACTTTCTGCTGGAAGACATGGATTGCATCTTTCGTCGCTTCTGTCGACCCGCGGCCCTTAAGAGGCACATCTCCTCTCGTGCTCGATCCAGTGGCCAGGATGAGGATATCATAGTCTAGCATTTTCTGACCTGTAGGACCGGCAACAGTGACTTTCTTGGTTACCAAATCTAAGCTTTCGGCTGAGCCAAGGACGAACTCAAATCTGCCTGCGGGGTACTGCTTGAAGCCGGGGGCTATGGATTGGAAGATCTTGTCATCTGGAATTTGGCCGGGTACGAGAGCTCTTGGGCCTGCGATGTTCCAGTAGTGGTGGGTGTTTGGGGACACAAGGATGATCTTGACTGGGGTAGTCTTGGCTTGCTTGAGAATCCTATGTGCTGTGCTGATACCTCCATAGGAACCTCCAAGGATGACAACGGTCTTCATTGTAGATGGTGAAATAATCGACGGCACGGAATAGTGGGTGTTTCAAGTGGAAAGTCTGATAAGGTGAAGAGGGCGAAGAATATGACGGGAAATATAATCTATAAAAAATTGGGAAAATAGAAAATATAAAGCATACAGGAAGGGATTTGGAAGGAACGCCGATAGTAAAATTACAAATCTAAGCCAAGGTTTACAAAAGCAACATTGTCGCATTTCTAATATCGAGGAAAGGCTGAAACTTTCAGCCTGAAAGTCCCGATTTGGTCCAAGATTGACAGGCGAAGTGCATCACAAAGCAACTTGCGAAGAAATTCCCGACTTTGTCATGGTTTTACTGCGTGTAAGTATACCCCTATTTTGTAGTTGGGGTTGGTGGATATCCTCCATGGTGTTGCCGCAGTGCTCTAACCACTCAGAGGCCTGAGCGCAGTGCCAATAACCGCAGATCTGACCAATGATATTGCAGACCGCACCGCTGAGCTAGTGCCATGGAAATACGTGAGTATGCAACGTCAATCGGAGCTTTCGGAATCCGGTTCAGATAATTGGACTGATAAGGATTTCAGATTCGAAGTAAGACCAGAAATAACAGCGCTGTGCAAGGTTCATGTTTTGTAACAAAGGCAAGTGCAAAGGCTTCCTTGAAGCAATTGTCCTATTTAACACAAGCCTCAGCGCCTTACACCAAAATAACGATCTTACCTCCAGCCTCGTTGTTCTCCATACATTTGTGAGCTTCCACGATTTCATCAATCTTGAATGTCTTCCCAATCTGAATATGCAGCTTCCCAGCCGCAACTTGCTGGCATAGCTCCTCTAGAGGCGTTGCCATGAAGTCTCCTGCATCACCAGCATATGTTGCAAAGTAGACCGACTTGGGAATCGCTCGCATGGGATGGAAGTTGGGCAACGTCCATGAGTTCCCGACTATCCCAGCCATGCACACAATGCCGTTCTCTCTAGCACACTTCAGCGAGTCCTCGAGCGTGGTTGTGCCAACTAACTCGAGAATCTTGTCGAACTTTTCTCCTTTCTTGACATCTTCGGCAATATGTCCATCTTCAATGAACACCTCATCAGCACCATTCGCCATCAACATATCCTTCCTATCAGCTCGCCTAGTTGTAGAGGCAACAAAAGCACCATGCTTTTTGGCGATAGCTGCAGCAGCGAGCCCGACAGAACTGGTACCTCCACGAATTAAAAGGCGGTCTCCTTTCTTCAACTGCAACGAACGGAAAAGAGCTCCCCAGGCTGTTTGTAGCATCTCCGGAATGGCTCCTATTGTCTCCCAGTAGAGTTTTGTTTTGATGACTTGAACTTGAGTGGCCGGTACACGAGTATATTCGGCATATGAGCCGTCAAATGCTATGCCCATGCCACCCAGCGAAGTCGCTACGATATCGCCTTTGTTGAACTCCCCACCAGGTGCATCTTCCACAATGCCGGTCCCTTCAATGCCAAGAATGCGAGGGAAAGTGGCATGGTTCATGGAATTTCCAGATCGAGTGAAGAATTCAGAGCGGTTCAGACCGAATGCCTTGATGCGGATGAGGACTTGGCCTCGTTGCGGTACTGGAACTGGTCGACTTTCCAGCTTTAGAACCTCTGCGTTCCCCGGTTCGTACATGACTACTGCTTTCATAGTCTTCAACATTTCGCAAAATAATGGAGATTAAGATTTGCAATAATCTTCGCATGGGTAGAAAGAACGCCCTCAAGTGTTGTATTATATGGACTCGAAACGACGAGGCCCGGTCTTTAGGGCACTAGGACTTCTAATGAAAATGTGATATCTTAGAACAATTTCAAAGCAATTGGTAAAGCTTGGAGTTTAAGCTCCGAAGAGCCAATGAGCTCTCATAGAATTGTCGGTTAGGACCTCTAAGTGGCACGATTCCGCCAATTCCGCTCTGTATACAGGGGTATTGTTGTACAGTTTGCGCTTTTCCATTTAAGATCCAGGATATGACAAAGGCAAGACCTGGCACCTATTAGTTGAATAATTCCACAGATACGATCTGTATGCTAGAAAAGCCTTTACATACTAATAATAGGAACTTTCCGCGCTGCTAGAGTTCACAGAACCCTGCAAAAGCACATATTGTGGCAATTTGCAGTTTTGGTGACAATTGTATCGCATGGTTTGGAAATCACTCAAACGAGGCGCAACTCAGATAAGTAGCAAACTCGAACCAGACAACTGAATGTTGGTCTCCCATTCCCATCCAGTTTCTCTCATACGCCAAATTTCTTCCAGGATGGGCAAAAACTTCGCACGATGTTCCAAAGACGGATCTAGCAGTGGGGGAGAAGAGAAGACGTGTCTGAAAAGCGCCTCATCTTCACTTCTTGCAGCGCTGCCAATGATGTACAATGGACACACTAAAGCGTGCGTCAGTTCTGCAGGAATATGTCTTCGAATGAGCGTAACAGCCTCAGAGACCATTGACTTGAGAGTTTCCGAACCCGACTGGTAGCCAAAAATGACCAGATGCAGGTATATGGTTGCCGAGAGAGCAAATAGATGGGTAGTGAACTGATGTGGGGTAATAAAGGCGTTGCATGCACTCGCAAATTCAGCATCGGAGACGCTCAGGAACGATAGACTGCTGCTTGCAAGTCCAATTTGGAGTTCCCTGCTGATGTCTTCGGATCTCCTCTCAAACTCTTCGCAAACACTTTGGCCCTGTCGAATTGCTTCTGTTTTGAACTCATGAAGTCCGGAAATTCGCCCGATTTGAAGCATTACCCAGTTCTTGCATCCCATTACGTTCTCCAGTCTAATCCCAGAGCTGCAAGAAATCTCTTCAGGCATAAAGTGGATGACGCGAGGCACTTTCCCTGTAGTGATAGTAGATACGATATCTAGCCACGCGAGCACGGCGGATAAAAATCTAAAAATCACCACGTCTTCTGATCTTGGCTTTTCGTGTCCATCTCTCCCGTTGTCGGATGGTGAATGAAGGGATTTTCTACGAAGAACGGGAAGTCAGCTTCATGTGTTCCTTGGACTTCTTAGAGGCCTTCTCAGCGATATCTCAGAAGCCGCGAGACATTCTTGGAGCATGTGGTTTAAGCGGATGAATGCAAACGTGATAGACATGCTAGAATAGGAAAAACATGGAATCCCTGTTGTTCTTACAAACCAAGCGTGGCCATATGAGACTTATAAGGGCCGCTAAATAGAGTAGTGGCTGCACGAAGATGGAACCGCCAAGCGTCGCCATGGCCAGCAAAAAGCTTTGATCATATTAACATTTATATCAAGAAATGCAAAAAGAATTACTTACTTCGAAGAAAATAAGTTGGACTGACGAAGCCATTGTGCCCAAACCGGTTCTGGGGCACATCGTTATGTCTGTGAGTAATTTGCCAATATTCTTCATGGCTAACTGAAGTTCTTTCAAGCAGATTGCAAGGTGCTCTTGCTGCTCACTAACACCATATGGACAACGATTCTCAGCTAAAGATATCGCACTCCTATGGTAGGCACTAAGCGCAAGAGAGGCATGATAAAGTGGCTTTGTTTTCAATAGAAGAGACAGTAGCCAGCCTCTCCCTCCTTCCTGGACTCCCGGTTTATAGAAGGGATACTGGAGACAGAAAACGTTGTCCAAAAAGTGCATCAATAAAACGGACTCATTGCTTGAGACTGCAAGCACTGGCGAGGGATGATGCGGGGTGCTCTGAACCTCAGACAATGTATCCTATGTTGAATCAATATTTATAACTATTGTAAAATGTCTTCATCTTACAACTGAAGGATCTAATGAGGTATCGGCAGGCCCTGGATTTGCTGGAGATTTACTATGTCCAGTGGGAGGATCGGAATCGAGGATCGAGTCAGGACTAGACGAAGAGGAACCATCTAGTGATTTAGGGGCTATATTGACGACCTGTGATCCGGACTTCTTGCCATAGCGGTTTTGAAGTTGGTTTATGGATGCTCCGAGACGACCTTTTCGCCTTGAGGTATGCTTGACAACCTGTTTGATACTGTGCACCATTGCTTTCTCTTTCTCCCCATTGTCCATCCAGTCGGGTTTGGATCCATAGCCATAGCATGTAATGGTCAAAGCTTCACAAGTCGAGCAGAATGGGTGCTTTTCGTCGCATTTCTTTTTTCTTAGACGGCACGTCCAGCAGCCTGCTTTGCTTCGGAGTGGGCCGGACATGGCGACTGATGGCTGACAATTAGTATAAGAAATAGAACAACTTGAAAATATTCTGTCAGAGATTTGTTAAGAGATCCTCTCGAGATGGTGGCAGATATGAAGGAGATGGAGACGAAGGTTAGGTTAAGCTAACCACCGAAGTCAAGCCGACATGGATTAGTAAACATACCTCCCTTACCTAGGTAGCACAAACTCAACTTGACGTATTCCTTTCAACTATTCGGAGAGTAGGTACTCGGTGTACTCCACACAAATCTCGAAAGAAATCTGTCCCGGTATGTACTGAAAACCCATGTCACGTGATACCACACAAATCCTGGAAGGCATACCACAGCACCTGTCGTCATAGAACCCCGAGCTCCGTTAGCGAACCCCGTTGGATTATTCTATTCTCCTTCCATGAAGTCGGAGTGCGAACTAAAAAAGTACCCTTTCACCTCTGTATATGATCTTTTTTCGCTTTTCATGTCCCCTTCCAAGTTCCCACTCCCTGAAGAACGTGTGAAATTATTTCCCAACACCTAGGAAATCAATACAATGGTGGAGCTCAAGACAGCAAACCTCATCCCAGAGAATTCCTCTCCGGGGCCAGATAGCAAGGGCCATTTCAACCTCCTTGCTGTCGCTCCTACCGACGTCTGGCGCAAACCTCCCAGCATCGACAATTTCAACGCGCCCATCATCTACCACTCGATCCCCATCTCCTCGTTCAAATCCGCCCACGTGACGGCAAAAGGCGAATGGATGACGCTCTATGACCAAGGCGGCCTCTTCCTCGTGCTGCCGCCGAAGAAAGGGAGTGAGCAGAAGCGCTGGATCAAGTCTGGCGTCGAGTTTTACCAGGGCAAGCCGATGATGAGCGTCGTGGCTGCGGACGAGTGGGCCGATTGGAGCTTGTTGTCGCTGGCTACGAGGGGGGAGGAGAGGAATGGGAGCGTGACGGTGGAGTTTGAGAGGGAGCAGGAAGAGGATGGGAGTTGGGGGAGTGTGTTGAGGGTTTTGCTTGTGGGCAGGTTTGGGGTCAAGACGCCGATAAGGGAGATCAGTTGGGCCTTTTGGGACGTTGATGAGAGTGAGGAGTTATGGGTTGGAATGTATGCTGCTAAGCCCATTAGTGATGCGAGGGACAATTTGGCTGTCCAGTTTGAGGATTTCGTCGTTGAGGCGAGGACGGATTGAAGATTGGCATTGATATGACTTTATGAGAGACGAGTATATGACATATCCAGACCGGGTGAAATATCTGGACCAAGTGAAATGAAGATGCTATCACTACTAAGACATCCATTTAACTTCTCAATAGCCTACTTACATGTAGTGAGAAGCATATCAAAGCCTCAAGAACCTTTCGGTTTCGGACTAGATTGCCTATTCGAGCCAGGCTCAGCCCGCCCCAATCGGATTGTCAGATCACTCAGCCTCCATACTACTGCTCCCTAAACTCAAATACCAACTCAAATACTAAATAAATGTGCCTTAAATAATTTTAAATAATAGCAGGATGTGTTTAGGTAACAGTGTCACCAATCGATATATAATTCTTCATTTGTCTCTTCTCAGTTATCCTTTCATCCATTCCTATATTCATATCCAATTCCATCTATCAATTTGCCACCTCACCTTAAACACATCTTACCCAGCCCAAAGCTCAAACGCGTCTCCACGCCACGTCCAATTCCATAGACTTCTCCTCACTATTTCTCATAATTCTAAAGACCTTCTTTTCTATCCCAAAGCAAATCCCGCCTCATCAAAGAAAGAAACAATGGTTCTCTTCCTCCTCGTCGGCGCCGCAGCAGTCGCAGGTGAACGCGCCTACTCGCGCCACAAGAAAACCAAAAAAGCCAAGAAGCTCGCCACCCAAGGTAGATCCCAACAATCCCAGCAACAGCAACAGCCACAGCAATCCCAGCCTACTACTACTGGGCCTGTTTTCACCACCTCTCGCTCAGCTGAAGTGGTAGAGGAGGAGGGTTTATATGAGGATTTGCCACCGTATCAGAAGGATCAGGGACAGGTGCTTTTGAGAGGAGAGGTGGAGCTGGGAGTGCAGCCGCCGGTGTACGAGAGGACGGTGTTGAGTGATACGATTCCAGTTCCGGAGCGATCGCCGTTGAGGGAGAAGGTGGCAATGTGAAGGGCTTGGGGAGTTTGTTTTGGAGGAGTAAATAGACAGCTAGAGCGCGGTCATGAATGAACTATTATCTTGAAATTCACCACGAGTACCTGGAATTGCATAATATATGTTGCTTTCTGTCAGTCTCACTTATTAAGATCCAGATCTCTTCGGGAACCCAGCCCCTGGAACGGAACAAGAAGGATATTGCGGGGTATATACCTACTCGCAGTAACTCGACGAAACTTCAGAAGCATGTGACTTCGCCGCTTCAACCTGTCCGGAACTTTTGTACTACTTCGTACCTCCGTACAACTTCCAACACACCAGATCTTCAGAACGCGGCCCGACCCTCAGATCAAGAAACACCTACTACGAGTGCCGAGCCTCTTCCATTGCACAACGGCCCACGGGACTCCAAAAGTACTGATGGGCACACCGCTCTTATGTTGGAACCTGATCTGCAGATGACTGCGTTGCTTGGCTGCGGCAGCATAAAACGATAAGGTTCCTGGGTATTGGCACATATACAGTAGTTATCATTGATTCATTGTGTACGTGCGAAGCCAGGATACGAGACAAGTAAAACGTAGCCAAACAGCTTGGTATTGGCATAGCTCTTGGCCATAGCCAGAACTAAATCCAATATAGCTTAACCTTGACGTTGTGAGATCTTTCCCGAGACCGAGTAACAAGCCAAGCCAAGTGCCCAGCCTCGTGCTGCAAGGCTAGGTATTTTGTGGCTGGCTTACGTTGAGCAAGGCGAAGACTTCAGTGCCCTAAGCAAGGACTATACTTCCACATCAGTCATGCGAATAAAGCTGCTGTTCTGCAGATGCTGTCATGAAGTGAAGCTGGCTGAATTAGGAAGTAGGACTGAGCACAGAATGGTTCAAGTGCTTATCTCGAACCCCGGAGTGCGCGAAAAATCCGCAGATTGTATTATTCTGGGGTAATTATTCTGGAGAATAAAGGATGAGAACGGCTCGAACGGGCAGCCTATGAAAGTGCCCACGATACACAGGCCTTGTGTCTAGTGGACGCCCAACAAATGGGCGAGGGGCGAGGCTGCATATGCATTCAGCCTGACTGGACGGTACGCGTACCTAGCCAAGTTGAATTTGGTGGATGAGACTGACCTGGACTTCTGTCGCAATGCGGAAGGAAGCTCTGCTCTTCAGGCTGGGTGACAGCACTTCATTCAGAAGATAAAGGGGGCTTCGGTGCTCGCACTGGACTCGCACTGAACTCGCACTCTTGGCAACCTACCTACTTACCCTACTCTCTCATCAGATGTGGACACTGCGCTTCACAACAGAAAATCTCATCCCTTGCCAAGTCACCGAAGGAGAACGTCATCGTCGCGGACAAGACAGGATCATCGGTACTCTGCATATGGAATACCTACCTACCGTACTCGAGTAACAGCGATAAAGCAGAGGGCGACGCAATAATACATAAAGAAGTGGAGGTACCTTAGCTTAGGGACTCCGAGGACCGTCGAGAGGAAACACTTGGCTCCGCTAGAACCCGCTTTTCCGCCAATTCCGTCAGTCACCACTCCGTAGAGCGAGCGAGCGACCAACCAAGCCCAGCCCCAAGCAAGCATCAAAAAAATATCCATCCAAGCCCGCCCGCCACACCAAGAAATCTTTTCAAGCCCTTTTCATCAATTTTGAAAGTTGCGTCCCACCCATTACTCGCACTTCTCTTCAAATCCCTCGTCTCGCCATCTCGCCCTGACCTGACCGAACCTGACCTGATTCGTCGAACCAAGACAGCGCAAGATCACCTGGTGCATTATTACACTGCAGACGGTGGAGTGGCGCGGCGCCTCCTTCCCTGCCCTGCCAAGCTGCGCTGCCAAGCACCTGCATCAAAACCCCAACTTTAAAATCATACCCAGCATTCATCCGCCCAACGCCATTTCAGCTCTATGCCTTCACTTTCTGCTGTGGGCATTGATAGAAGCCGTGACTGCGACGAGCTCCTACCGTGTAAGTTACAGATTCCCGCAGAGTTCCACGGAAAAATAAAGAAAAAGGTAGAAAAATCCACCAGCAGTTGCTAATTGCATCCCAGCACCGAGACGTAAGAGTCAGACCCAAAAAAATAGTGGAAAATATTCAGTCCTCGCTCGCGCCATGATGAACTCAAATTCAACGACTCCGCACTCTACAACTACTGCTGTACCCGATATAAATGATATCCCAACCTCATCCCCAAACGCTATCGACGAGACCCATCTTGCTCCTCCACCTCCAACTCCCGCTTCAGGCCTTATTTCGCATACAATGGGCAGCAGCGGCCCCCATAATGGCAACCTTCACTGCCTGAGTGACAGCCCATTTACGAGCGCTCCCACAACAGCTCCAGGTTCCCCAAGACTGTACGTATCATTTCACGTCCTGTCTTGTTCATGAACCAATCCAAATTGTTGCTCTAAGTTAAAGATATGTCATTAACATCTGGAACAGATACCCAATTAGGCAAAATTCCGGATCTGCTACTCCTCGAGTTCGACCTCCAGCCACGACCCTCAATATCCCAGGCATGACCAGATCCCGCGTCTCGCCTGATGGGAAAATATCCAAACGAGATGTAGGGGCAAAGCTGGTGGTGATCATGGTTGGGTTGCCGGCTCGAGGAAAGTCTTATATCACGAAGAAAATCCAAAGGTACCTTTCCTGGCAACAACACGAGACTCGCATATTTAATGTAGGCAATCGGAGACGTATTGCAGCTGGCACATCAAATGGATCTGTGGAGACGCCCCCCACTTCTGCCCCAGGTTCTCCGGCAAGGAATGGGAGACATGCATCTATAGCCGGTACAATGGACGCGCCGACTCAGGCCGCTCATATCCTGTTGAATGGTTATGACCCAGTTGAACAAGAGAACAACGAATTGGCAAGGCTTCCAAGCGCCGAGGTTATGGACCAGTCCGCAAAGTTCTTTGACCCCAAGAACCAGAAAGCGTCTCAGATACGAGAGCAGGTAGCTCTATCAACTTTAGACGAGCTTCTCGATTTTCTCTTGACTGGGGAAGGCTCTGTGGGCATTCTTGACGCTACGAACAGTACAATTGAGCGTCGTCAAACTCTCTTCAACCATGTCAAGGAGCGGGAACCCAAGCTAGGCGTAATTTTTATTGAAAGTGTATGTCAAGATGAGAAGGTAAGCTTTGCCACACCTGTATCGCAGATTTTTGCTAATATCTCGTAGCTGCTAGAAGCTAATATGCGTTTGAAGCTCCGGGGTCCAGACTATAAGGACAAGGACCCCGAGTCTGCTTTGTCCGACTTTAAGAAGCGTGTCGAAGCCTATGAGAGCGCCTACGTTCCGCTCGGAGCATACGAGGAAGAACATAATATGCAGTACATCAAGATGATTGATGTCGGAAGAAAAGCCATCCACTTCCAGTTGCAGGGCTTTCTCACTAGTGGAATTGCCTCTTATCTATCAACCTTTAATCTCTCACCGAGACAAATCTGGATTACGCGACATGGGACTTCAGAGGATAATGTCCTGGGAAGAATAGGGGGCGATTCAAATCTCACGGAGGAAGGTCGTAACCAAGGGACCGTGCTTTACAACTTCATTACCCATAAGCGAGCTGAATGGGAGGCAGACCAGGAGAGTCGAGCTCGGGCCGCTACCCTATTTCCCCCTAAAGCAGGCGATCGCACTCCACCATATCCTGAACTACTGGGAGATCTGGACTCAAAAAACTTCTGTGTTTGGACCTCGATGTTACAGCGAAGTATACAGACCGCTGAAGCCTTCCAGGATGATGAGAATTACGACGTAAAGAATTGGGAGATGCTTAATGAAATTCACGCGGGCAACTTCGAGGGGTTGACCTATCAGGAAATACTCAAGTACCATCACGAAGAATATGTCCACCGAGATCGGGACAAGCTACAATACGTTTACCCCGGTGTTGGTGGAGAAGGCTATCTTCAGGTCATTAGTCGTGTCAGAGACATCGTGCGCGAACTTGAGAGAATCAAGGACCACGTTCTGATCATTGGACATCGCTCCGTCTGCCGCGTTTTGATGGCCTACTTCATGGATCTGACTCGGGATGATATTGCGGACCTAGACGTACCTATTGGACAGCTTGTCTCAATCGAGCCCAAGCCATATGGTATTGAGGTCCACGCCTACCAGTATAACGAGAAAGATTTCTGGTTTGACGAGATTCCCAACTTCAAGCCCCAAAAAGAGACGGTCAAGGGGAATTAGCCTTGGAACACTCCAATTCTAATTCTTGAAATTTTTTCCTCAACGGCGACGCTGCGGTCATCGAAATACCTAGGGTGCCCCTCCAAGCCCTAACTCTCCACTTACCACGATAATGTCACGAATAACCTTTCCTCTCACATCTAGCTTTTTCTTCCGTTTCTATCCGGAATCATGACACAGCGCGAATTGCATGTCATGAGAGCCATACTTTTACTTAATAACGGTATACCTAATGCACCGACTCCGATCATATCTTCGAATCAGTCATCTCTCGGCGGTCTAGGCCTTGCCTATCGATCACTGGACTTTTCAGATGTCCTTTGAAGGTGTTGTTGGATATTTCATCCTTCGATCACGGCGGTGGCAATGTAGTTTTACGGGGACGGACAAGACTCTAGTAGGCTGGCACCCACTTTCTTCGCATTGTATGATATTTCAAGGCCGACTTTTCTTTTGGGATTCTGCATAGCGAGCAAGGGCTGGCGTTCGAGTGTATATTTTACTTATTTTAGAATGGGCTGGCATGGAAAGGCGCATTATAGGGACATGCTGGGTTTGCTTAGATTTTATACCCGGCAATCGCTCCCATTATACAATGCGTCTGATAGATAGACATCGACAACTGGGATACTCAGATTGTACAGTACATTAGACGGCACCGTGCCAGGTTGGAATAAATAATTCAGAGAACATGGATGAACTAGTCTTGTGAGACATTTATTTGACGCACTGCATTTCGAAGTTTTTGCTATTGACCGAGTACATAATATCGTAGCTTAAAAACTCCGACTCTGGCCATTGTCTCCTAGCAGATGTAAGATCGAGCTAATTGATGATTGAATAATTCTTCATAAATTAATCGTTTGATAAATAAGGTCAAGCAAACCCAGCTTTCGAAAGAAAGTTTGATATTGCTCTTGTTCCTGCAGTGTCAACGGGTTTTCAGGGGTCACCTTCAAGACAGCTTCTGCTCGCTTTTAGCTGTCCCTGCCTCCTTCCTTCCTTTCCCCACGTCAACCCACCGATAAACTGTACTCAGCGCAGTCCAGATCTGCACTCCACTCCATGGGCAGGTACCTTGGAAGCTGGAGATCACTCCGCAGCATCTGCTGACTGCCGCAATTGCCAGATCGATGTCTAGCAAGCCAATCTAGCCTCGTAAGGACCCCTCATTCTAGTGATCCATAAAGACAGTATGCATGCATGAGTGGCCGGCTGCACCAATTCCTTTCTTTATCCCCCTCCTTCCTTCTTTATCAAACATTGACCTTTGACCTCGACTCAGATTAACTCCACACAACATCACGCTCATTCGACATTCCACGCAACGCAAACAGCTATCCAGCACCACCGCACAAGCAGACACAAACACATCACTATGTTCACGGCATCTAAGAAACGCAAGTTGACAGACGACACAAAATATTATGGCGTCCGCGCCGGCAAGACTCCAGGCGTGTATACTAGTTGGGCTGATTGCCAGGAAAACACTACCGGGTTCCGCGGTGCTCAATGTACACCCACTCTCTCTATCTACCCCTAAACGTCTGCTAATCAGCTTCATTCAAAGACAAATCCTTCCTCTCACACAAAGACGCTGCCGACTTCGTCGCCGGCAAATCCCCCGCAGGTGCGAAACCCACAGGCGATAAATTCTACGGTGTAGCTGTGGGCCGAGTCCCGGGTGTATATGAAGATTGGGGCGAAGCTGCGGCGGAGATCAAGGATGTGAAGGGGCCTAAATATAAGAAATTTGCTACGAGGAAGGAGGCGGAGGAGTTTGTTAGGAGTGGTGGGAAGAATAGTGGTACTGCTGTGGCGAAGAAGGACGGGGAAAATCCGCCAGCGAAGAAAGCAAAGACGGCTGCTAGTACGGAGGGTGGAAAGAAGTTGAAGGATGATGGACCGCTGAAGGTTTGGACTGATGGCGCGGCGAGAGGAAATGGAAAGAGGGGTGCTCAGGCTGGTGTAGGGGTTTTCTTTGGAGTTGGCGATGCTCGGTATGTGCTCTTGTCTTCACCAATGGTGTTTTCCTCATTCACTAACAAGTTTGTAATAGCAATGTCTCGGAACCTCTCGTAGGTAACCAGACAAATCAAAGAGCAGAGTTGACCGGCATTCAACGAGCTCTCGAAATGGCCCCCAAGAACCGCCCGCTGGAAATCATCACTGATAGCAATTATAGTATTAATTGCTCTACAACCTGGTATAAGACCTGGATGAAGAACGGATGGAGGACATCCACGGGCGCGGAAGTTACAAATAAAGATCTCGTGGTTGAGATTAGGAAACTGATTGATCGGCGAGAGGCTGCTGGTGTCAAAACGGACTTTACGTGGATTAAGGGTCATAATGATGACCCGGGAAATGTTGCTGCTGATGAATTGGCAGTTGCTGGATCCAGGAAGGCTCGCTCGTAATTGAGGGCGACATCGGGAATCGATTCTGAAATAACGATACGCAAAACTGGAGTGGTTAAATAGTTGTGGACAATGAGGGTGCTCTGGGAGATCACGGCATCTACTTGTTGGTTTTGGACCTTGATATGATATGGAGAGCACCAGTTAATTGTATGTACTATAAGGAGTATCATTTTCTTTTGCTAGGAAGGTTTAATACGCGGCTGTTGATAGGACAGTCATTTTGCAGCCTTGGGTGGATAATTACCTCGTTGCTTCAACAGCAATTGAAGCTACTCGAGTAATCAAGGACCTATTTCTCCTCTTGAAACGTTGATATATGCAAACCCCGCCTAGAAAATGCCCCCACGTGCACGTGTCAGTCTCGGGAACAAGTGGGGTATGCGGGATGATGAGACTGGACGGGACTAAACTGGGATGGACGATAAGATAAGTTACTGTACAGTACAGTACCAAGATACACTAGTAAACAAACCTTCACTCAGCAGATGCCCAGCTTTGTTTTCCAGCTTCTTTCTCAACAGCATCTATATCTCTAGTCGCAAAACTGAAGATACCAAATAACACATAACACATACCGCATTCCAACGTGGCAGGCACTACTGCTCGTCCAAGGAGCCATCAGGACGATAGTGGTGTTAGTTGATAGAATGCCTACGCTTGCTATCACAAACTTCAACATTGTGGTTTGTTTGCCTTTCCAATTCCATCCTTGTTGCCAGAGGTTTGATTGGGAGTAGAATGTTAACAAATAGACAGTGTTCCGTGCTAGGCGGCTTTATCACTTTATATGGACTTGTATCTTATCTTTTTAAAGAGAAGTTCTACTTGTCTGAATCTTGTATGTATTTCCCTGTCCCACCTTTTCCAAACCGTGAAATGCAATTGCTGATACGGGTGTGAAGTAATCTCCCTCCTCGCAGGCGTAATATTTTCCCCTCACGCCACAAACTTCGTCAGGCCCCTTGACTACACCAACAACTCACAGGCATCCCTCAATGCCGTAACTCTATACTTTACCCGTCTCGTGCTCGGCGTCCAACTCGTTCTTGCGGGCGTCCAACTACCCTCTCGCTATTTGCAGAAAGAATGGAAATCGCTTGCTTTACTCGTGGGGCCTGTCATGACGCTCATGTGGCTGGCGAGTAGTTTGCTTGTGTGGGGACTCGTGCCAGGCATTAGCTTTCTGCAAGCTCTGGCTATTGGGGCGTGTGTCACGCCTACTGATCCGGTGTTGAGTAATAGTATTGTTAAAGGGAAGTTTGCGGATAAGAATGTGCCTCCGGGGTTGCAGAAGATTGTTGTGGCTGAGAGCGGGGCTAATGATGGATTGGGGTATGTTTGAATTTCTCTTCTTATTTGGAGTGGGAGTTCTGTCTGGGTGCTTTTTCCAGTGCTGTCTGCTTGCTTGGAGGGCCAAGGTTCTGTGTCCAACCACTTACTCTTGAGCTGTCACTCTAAAGCCCCACTATTTTGGACGATACATACCTTACTGACTCTTGATCTATCAGCTATCCGTTTCTATTCTTCGCCCTTTACCTGATCAAATACACCAGTGAAGGAGGTGCTGGCCAACATGGAGGGGCGCGCACAGCCATGGGCCTTTGGTTCGGCGAAACCTGGGGCTACACCATCATCCTCAGCGTCATCTACGGTGCAACAGTTGGTTGGATCGCGAAAGAGCTCCTGCACTGGGCCGAAGAGAAACGATTCATCGATCGAGAAAGCTTTCTCGTCTTTGCCATCACCCTCGCTCTCTTCATCGTCGGAACTTGTGGCATGATCGGCAGTGATGATGTGTTGGCTTGCTTCATTGCCGGAAATGCGTTCACGTGGGACGATTGGTTTCGTCTCGAGACTGAAGATGATGCGCTGCAGCCGACTATTGATATGCTGCTGAATTTGTCTATATTTATGTGGTTTGGTGCTATTTGTCCTTGGTCCATGTTTCTTCATAACTCAGTTATTCCTATCTACAGATTGATATTTTTGGGCATCTTGATTCTGCTTTTCAGGTTGGAGTCTCTTACCATCCATTGAAAGGTATAGCTAACATCAAAAGGCGCTTACCTGTGGTCTTTGCATTCCACAAGCTCATACATCAAATCGAGGATACGAGGCAAGCGATCTTCGTTGGTTTCTTTGGTCCCATCGGAGTATCCGCCGTTTTCTATCTATATATCAGCCTCGAGTTTCTCGAGACAATCACAGTAGATGGCGTGCAACGAGAAGATGCCAAGCAGCTAAGTGAAATAATGATGGTCGTCATCTGGTTTCTAGCAATCTGTAGTATCGTAAGTCCCTCGCATTATCCTATTCAAATACGGAAACCAACATCTCATATCTCTCAGGTGGTCCATGGCCTCTCAATTCCCCTCGGCAAACTTGGATTCTTCCTCCCCAGAACTCTCTCCCGCGCCTTTACATCCCGCAGCCAAGAAAGAGACGAAGTATCCCGCGTCAGCGACCGCGCCAGGCCATCCGCAACAGGTGTCTTGAGGGAGCGAAGACCAAGACGTGGTCATGATCGCTCGCCTTCATCTGCTGCCACTTCGACGAGACCGATCTATAGGATTGGCGGGTCGGTTATCCATGATGCTAGTGATGTTAATACGGGTGCGACCACGCCGGTTGAGCTGAGGCTGAGTCGACCGTCTACTCCACCGAATATCGCGGTGAATAGGACGATTAAGTTTCCGGATGACGAACCTGCGGCTGTTGTTGGGACTGACAGGATTACATAGCGGGTGTGCGGCGTTGGGGGCGTGGATTGATCTAAGTGATAGTTTCGGGGATTTAGGAGAGGCCATGGCGTGGAGGCTTTTCATCTATAGACAGCTCATGCAAAGGAAAACGGTAGTCATAACTTACCCTGGTCCCTGAAGCACCCGAGTGTTCCAGCTCTGGGGGATGATGTTTGTATTTTGGATTATAGAATGAGATTTAGATGAGAGAAAGGGAAAGATTTCAATGTATCGAGGTAGCCATTCGGAACTTTCAGGGTTATATCGCCACCAATCGAATAGGAAGACCAAGTTCCAAAACACCCTGATTAATTGCGCTATCTATCAGTACTTGATTTACTTACTGGTGCGATTGCGGAGCCCCCCGTAGTATTCCCGTCGCCGCCAGCTATGAATGTGGAGGGACGGGGACGGGACCCTGGAAAGTGTGCTGTGCTGTGCATTCCTTTCCGGACTATGTACTCGTATGGCTTGCATGAATGGGCATGAAGCTATCTTATGGGTCGAGAAAAGAAACAATAGGGTTCAGTCATGACGAGGTCTGGATTCTCACCAACTCTAAGTTAAGTTACGGACCGAATGAGGGAGGATAAGCCGTGTTTACGGGAAGATAAGGAGGGGAGGGGAGCGGGAGGGATCATAGGAGGAAAGAACCGTCGAGGCGGGGCGGGGATATATAAATCCGTGACGTTTAGGCCGGGAGATGGACAGAAAGAAGGTTTTTAATGGATTCTTGGGGTGGGAGTCGGTGGGAGTCGTAATCCGTTCTTCTCCGCGTATATGGGGCTTGATTCTCGAGCGAGCCAGTGGCTTTAAAAGCCGTCGAAGATAGGTAGGTAATGCCCTGCCGTACCTTACTACTGCACAAGGTACCAAGGAAGACGAATGTCAGAAAGGTAAAATGGAATGGAATGGGCGAGTATTTCCGCGTGGTTGATGGCGGGAAAGGGAGGATTGTATTGGGAAGAGAAGCCTGCAGCGTGTATACCTAGGTCGATTTAATTTATTCATATTTTCAAGGCTTTGGAGGAGGGAGGGTTATCGGGTAGTGTAGATAGATAGATAGATAGATAGATAGATGTCCAGGTTAAATCTGTGGTTGGTTGGTGATGTTGGTACATGAATAGAAGGTCGTACGAATAAGGTAATAGGTTGCATTGCATCGTCCCTGACTGTACTGCCTCTTGATCTTGATATGGTGCCATCTATATACGGTATGTTATGTGCCTGCTATTGATAGACTCTGCTCCGGGTTATACGTAAGGTAGTATCGGCGAGAGTGCGTACGTACCTAGTTGGACGTTAATTGAGACACATCTAGAAGGCTGTAAAAAGGTAAAGCCAAAACTACCTAGGTACACTATGGTGTTATAGCTATTCTAATAACAGGAAACAATTGATTAAATCAAATATTAAATAATACCAAATACCAAAATGTTACGCCTCCCTCCCCCTCCTCTCTTTTGATCCTTCGGCTTCGCCTAAAGGAAAACTCGACCCGCTTTTACTAGGACCCTAAGTCCCTTCTTGCAGCCAATCATCTCAGTCGCCATTCCCTGACGGTCCCTACATTTGTCTCTACTCCACTTCTCACTTCAGACTCAAAACTGGACCGACATTGTGTCGACCGACTGAGTACAACCTGTACTCTCAGATTATTGCCTGCCTGGAGAACCTCATTGCTAATATCCTTAAAGCACACGACGCATAGCTGAGGACAGATCATCGTTGTCAGCCACCGAAACCATTTTGTGAGATCGCCGAGACGGTGAAGCGGCCTCGAGCTTCAGCGAAGTCAAATCCCGCCTCCTTCGAAACCTCGGCCAGCAACCAGCATGTCGAACTGACGAATGTGCAAAAGTGATTGGTTGCATACCGCGACACTGGACACAGTCTGGAAGGAAATTACTACGGGTCGTGGAGAATTGAAGAATTGGATTTTCGCGGGGATTTTGGAGGAAGAAATCATTGTCCGAGGAGCGTTCCTCAATACTCGATCCATTGTGTCACAACACTCCGCATATTCGTAAAGGGTCATGCAGACTTCTGCAGAGCCTGTATACTCCGCGAGCTCGCCGCCGTTTATTATCGATTCGGATATGTCAGGTAATTTGGACTTGGACCCTGACTTTGAGTTCTTCGACTCCAGCTTCGAAGCTGCCAATAGCCCGGGCATATTCCTAGCTGAAGATTTCGCAACAGATACATCACAGTATCTCAATTTTGGGTCTCCAGCTCCGACAGCTAAGAGCCCACTGCCAGACAAGGCGCTGCTGGACACGTGTGTGCAACAATCACTCTCTACGCCTTCCACAACCTCCTCTGCCGGTTCATACAAAGATTCATCCTCGGAATCCTCTGGATACAAGCGCAAGTCGAGTTCTGAGTCGACGCGGTCAGCGCTGACTCCAGGCGACTTGATGATGACCGATGATGCGGATATGGGGGACTGGAAAATGGAGGACCTTACGGGAGGAACCGACATGTCAGCCTTTGGAGCATACGATGGAACTATCAATCCTGCTTCGATGAGCAACAACAATTTCGACTTCAACGATAAGACTATGGAGAACGATTTCGATTTCGAGAGCGCGGCGAGCAGTCCAAGTCCCTTTGGGATGGGTCCAGCAGACTCACCGGAGATGCCAACCATCAAATACGCTACGTCACGGAAGAAGTCACCGATGTTGAAGAATAAATTAAATAAGAGTCACAACAAGGCGAATTCGGTAAGTCTTTCTGAATGGGAGGTGTTAATTTATGCATACTGATTACTTGTAGCAACATTCCGTAACCCAATCTATGAACGGACTTACTACCTCAGGTTCCCGAGAAGCTTCGCCCCTTTCTGCTATGGTTACAAGCCAAGAATCATCACCTGCGGCTTTCTTGAATACCTCCCCTTCTCCAGCTGCTGGCGTGGACTTCCATAGGACAATGTTAAGTGCTGGTCCTCCCAACTCAGCATGGCCCATTGGATTCGAGAATTACCCCCAGCATGGACTCCCTAATTTCCCTCATGGGCTCAATCCACACCCTATGCCAAGAATGGCACCCCCCCAAGGATTTGCGACTATTGGTGCTCCCTTTAAACCAGTCCTGACCATCCACCCGACTCCCCTAAAGTCTCGCGTGGAAACTCAAATCCCCATAAAACTGACACTTTTTCCAATGCCCTTGGGTGTCAGCAAACTTCATCTCCCAACCCACACAATATCTAAGCCAAAGCTACTAGCAAAGCCCACGGCAGAGCGGTCATCGGATACCCTGGAATTATACACAACATTAGTATGCACTAGTGCTATGCAGAACCCAGAAAACCGGCGGCGTGCCTTTGAACGGGCTGCGGCGGCGGCGGGGTCGACTCCGAAAGAAAAGCAGGAAGATGATGAAGAGGATGAGGAGGACAAACCCCTGAACGGTGGCGATGTAAATATCTGCTCTGGTTGTATAATTCGCGAGAGGAAACGAGCAGCCCGAAAGAAGGTGAAGAAGGTTGAAGAGGAAGAATCTTGGCATCAATATGAGGCTAAGCGTGTCATCGTCTTCAACACTCATGAGATTAAGGACTGGCAAGCCCCTACAAGCCAACCATCGACGGAAGTAACCGGAGACAGAGCAGAGCCATTTGTACCCGAGGGTGCTTTGCAAGTGGATGCACCGATGAGAATTGCATGCTACTGCAGACATCAAAACGAAAAGCATGGATTCCAGGTTCTGTTCACGATCAAGGATCACCAAGACCGCTTAATAGCTCAGGAGATGACTTCTTCTATCATGATCACCGATGACCACAAGACGCACAATATGCCACCCTTGACAACACAAACGTCAAATGGTTCGGACGGACAGATGTACTCTGGATCAGGGTCATTTCAAAGCGACGGGACGTTTGATATGAATCCTAGCCCGGCAGGAACCATGGCTCCTTTCCGCCTATCTCATTCCAGCTCAGATTTGCAGGCCATGGGACGAAACTTTAATCCACAGCAGTTCACTCCTTCGATGAGCCTTGCAGCTTCTCCGCAACCGTCACACTCCACCTCTACCACTATGACACCTCGCAACCAATCTCGCCAGACATCACCATCCACAACATCAGGTCCCATATCAAAGAAAAGAAAGGCTAGTATGGGGAAAGTCCCTACGACTCTAGCCATGACAAGATTGGAAACGGCACAACCTGGACCAGTAGCCCCTCCGGTATCTCTGAGTGCAACAGCTTCCACTGCTCCATCCCCATTTACCCCTAGTTTTACCAATTTCCCTCCGTCAAACGAGCAACAATTTGGCCAGCCTTCGACAGCTATACCCCAGCAATATAATACAGGCCCTCCAACGCCGAACAGTAATGACCATATCTTCTTTTCCAATCATAACAGATCTCAATCCGTGGAAAACTTAGCCTTAGCCCAGCAATTGTACTCTGCGCCAACTTCAGCTCATCCAAGTCGAGCCCCAAGCCCGAACGGAATGAGGACCAGCGTACAGGCATATCAGCAACAGCAAGCTCAAATAGCCCAAGCTGTTGCTAACGGGATCTATGGGATACCCTTGAGCCTCAACCCACATCGACCACCGACGATACATAAGTTGATTCCGAATGAAGGGCCCAAAGCAGGAGGCATTGAGGTTACTTGCTTGGGAAGTGGGTTCTGCCAGGGATTAGAAGTGATGTTCGGCGACTCCAAAGCTACAACAACAACCTTCTGGGGTGAGACATCTCTGGTCTGTCTCTTGCCGCCTGCCGCCTTTCCTGGCATGGTACCTGTGACGTTCAAACATCAACACCAGCAGCAACCAATGCAACCCTATCCCAATCCACCTATCCCCAAACAACAAGCATTTTTTAAGTATGTGGATGACGATGAACAACAAATAATTCGAACCGCGCTATCGGTCTTGGGTCATAAAATGACAGGCAAGATGGAAGATGTTCGTGATCTAGCTAGGCGGATTGTTGGAGATGGGCCTTCATCATGGGGTGCATCAGCGGCCCATTCCCCCAGCGGCGGCCCTTCAAGTCAGCAGGGTCCTGGCTTCAATGCTGCAACGTTTGGTATTGATGTTGAGGCGACACTTCTGAAATGTCTGGATCTAATCGATCTTGATGACAGCGCGAACATGCCTCGTCTCAACCTCAGAAGAGCTTCTGGTCAGACCATGCTTCACTTGGCTTGTTCTCTCGGTCTGCACCGTTTTGTTGCTGGGCTACTCGCTCGTGGTGCGAATCCAGAACCTCGAGACAAAGGTGGCTTCACACCAATGCATTTCGCGGCACTACACGGCCATCCCCAGATCGTAAGACGTCTCATGTTGAGTGGAGCTGATCCAACTCTTCGAAGTCTGCAAGGCTATACTCCTTCTGATATGGCAACGTCGGAAGAGGTACTCCGTGTTGCTCGCCGCATCGAATACCGTACGAGAACTCGCAGTGGTTCCTCCTTGAGAAGCAGAACTACCAGTGCTACATCTTTGAGATCACTCTGGGAGCCATCATCAACACTTGCACCGGCTGACAATGCCCTCAGCGACGATAGCGATGATGGCGACAATGAGTACGAGGACGAGGATGCGGACGCGGCTCTTGATGGTGCTTTCTGGATGAGATCCAGAAGGCCCAGCGCCCAGAAGCCCACGAAAGAGGAAGTCGCCGATGAGAATGATCCAGTCTTGGAGCTGCCAGATCTTCCAACAGGAGGCCTCGCATATCCTACTGCAGCTATGACTGCTATCAGAGACCAGCTGAGCGCTAATATGCAGTACATTCAACAAACAATGCACCTCAACTTACCCCACCTCCCACAAATGCCGAATCTTCCAGATTACCAGGCGTACCTACCAAACGCTCCTATGGTTCGCCGTATCAGTAACTTGGTAGGTAATAATCGACCAGAAGGCTCCAAAGAGCACGACTACAGATGGTGGGAATTCTTCTCCGGCACTGTTCCCGCCGCACCTCCAGCATACGAAGAAATCTTCCCCGAAGGAGATGCAGATACGAAGCGAGCATCCGCATCACAAGCAGCTGCTGACGCTGTAGCGGATAACAAATGTGCGGAACTTTTCGACCAAACCGATAGCTCACAAGCCGAGAGCTCGACTACGGTACAAAAGAAGCCGGTACTGTTGAGCACGGTCAGGATTGGGCAAAAGCATACGATTACTCGGGAACAGCAGGATCAGTTGAGGTTGGCACATGCGGAGAAGGTGAAGCGGCTTAGTCGCGATAGGAATCTGTTCTTTATCTGGGTATGTTCCTTTTCCTTCATCGAGTGTTTGGTATACCTTGTTCTAATAACTTCTAGATTCCTCTCCTCACAATTATCATTCTCGCCATGCTCTACAACCGCGTTCCCCAGGTCTACACGCGCGCCTCCAAATTCCTAGATGCGATACGAAATCGCAGGAACGACCAAGCTCGTATCGTCGAAGTCTAATAATCCTTTCATTTGTACATTTGCACTTAGCGAGCTGTCGTTATTAGTAGTCAGCACGGAAATAGAGGCATGTTGTTTGTCGGGCAAGCAAGCACGCACGCACGGCAAGCAAGAATTGCATTATGGGAACCACGAAACTTCTTTTCCTATTCATTCAACTCATCTGTTTTTTTTTAGCACGTTTGGTCCTCATTTGCGCATCGCGTGGGTATGGAGGCATTGATTGTTCACAGGGAAAGGTTGGGAGGAGGGACGGATTGGGCCATTTCATTTGATTTGGCTACTTAGTGTACACAGAAACCAGAGACCAGAACCTATTTAAATAGACTTATCTACGAATGAATGATTAGAAAGCAATCTTCCTTTCAATGAATGAACCAGAATAAAGTACGCCATATGCTGCATAACCTAACACCTGAAATGATTCGCTGAAAAGGAGGCAACCATCGTATCATCTGTATATAAACTCACGCTTCATTCGTGGAATCATGTCATGGTACCGTAATCGATAGCGTAAAGGGCGTCGAAAGGTCGTGCGTGTCATGTACTGTGTGTCTGCCGTGTGCTTGCTGGAAAAGGAAATTCGTTACTCGTGACAGAAATCCAACATCCCATCCCATCCCATCCCTCACTCCTCTCTCGTTCCCATCCAGTAAAGTAAACCAACAAATCTCATCTGCTCAAAAAACATCCTCATCCCAAACAAAAGAAGGATCAGGCCGAGTAAGCTCGCTCTTCTTCTCAGCACCAGTATTGACCAGCTCGCCGCTAGCCAAACGTATAGATTTAGGCATCTTCGGCATAGGGGGGACGCCGAGGCCGCTCGCTGGATCAGCGATGTATGCTACGTCTTGGCCATCGATCTTGATAGCAGTCGACGAGGGCTTTTTGTAATCGAGGCCTGTGAAGGAAGATGATGGAGGCGGGGAGACGGGTTGGCGTGAATTGCGGGAAATGTTGTTCTTAAGAAGCTTGCCAGATGCTGATGTGATGCGTCGAGGTGGAATAGCATTGGCTCGGGTGCTGGCGGAAGATGCTGGCTTTGTTGGGCTGGTTAATTTGGTAGTTTCCTGCGTAACTTTTTGCAGCTTGCGTAGAGGCTTGCTGGTGTTGAGCTTCTTCTTTTTGATGGTCAGATCAGAATCAGACTCCTCTTCTGAGCCAGATTCTTCGCAGGGTTTGTAACGACCACCATCATCAGCTAACCGCTCGTTGCTCTTTCTCTTCCTACGTGGTGCAGGTGCAGCTGCCTTTGCTTTATGGGGTGTTCGCTTGGCTGGCTTGGGTCGGGGGGTGATTTCTCGGTCAGAATTCTCGATGCCACCCTCGCTCTCCTCATAGGTGCTGTATCTGGCTTCAGATACTTCGGTGGACTCGTTAGCTACGTTTGACTCGTCCTCTTCCGGCCCAGCCTTGACCTTCTGCACGTGCTTTTTAACAGCCAAGTCTTCCGCCTCCCGGCTCTGCATAGCTTTATCCTCCTGATCGGTTGGTGGACGGGGCAAAGGCTTTTCAGTCCCATAATCTAAGACTACCTTGTTCTTTGTAACAGCCTCTTTCACATCTTCATCAACTCTAGCACCTAACATAAGCGAAGCGTTTCCATTTGATTGATTCCCCGACACAGCTCTGCCAATGCCATTGGGCGAGTCGATGTCAGCTAAATCACCCTCAGAGCTTACATAGCCACTTAAGAGTCTCTCAGAAGGAAGTGTAGACAAAGAGCCCGGCACGAACTTGTTTCGACCAACCCTTGGAGGTGGTTGGGAAGGGAGTGGTTCATGTTGAACATCAGCTAGCTGACGGCGTGCTGCCTCGAGCTTCCCCTCCAAGTCGCTTACACGCTTGACCAACTTCTGTTGCTTTTGAAGGTCTTTACGCGACGGAATCCTTCTTGCGTGGTTATGACTCTCTTGACACGAACCTGCGTCACTCTCGTAATTAAAAGCCTTCCTGATATTTGACAGCGAAGCTCTTGCAATATTGAATGACTGTCTATTTGGAGTTGATTGTCTGGAGCCCATGGCAGAACAAGAGCCGGTAAACCCGGGACTGCGGTCTCGAGAGCTGGTTGAAACTCTAGGAGGCTCGAGAAAGACGCGGCCCTTTCGCTTCTCCTCCCTGGTGATGCTCTCGCTACGTCGAAGTCCATCAAGTTTATCGTTGTCAAGTTCGATACCGGAGTCGTGCTTACTCGGTAGCTTTTTGAGGTCTTCCTCTCGAACGAATCTGCCACTGTTCGGGGCGCCTCGGAAATGGCCCGACTCCTTCAGCTCCTTGTATATTTGCTCCGCCTTCACTTGACGTTCCCTCAGAATTTGCTGCTGTGTAGTCTCCTCGTCATCGGGCTCTTGGTGATGCTTAGACCAGATCTTCCAATTGCTGGGGTTGAAAGATGCTGCAATAGATTTGCCAAATCGAAAGATACTTGAGTGACGGGATGTTTCTGACCTATCCGCGACTGAGGACACACCTTCAGAGGTAGTTCGATTGTGTGCAAACGGTTGAGGTTGTGCCATGCTCCGTCCTCGGCCCGCCTCTCGTTGGTCAGACTCGTATCTCTCATAGCTCTCCTCATCGGTGCCTAGATATGGAACTGGTGGCTTTTGGCTAGCCCTATCATTCATGCTCCCTTCAAGAAATTTGGATGGCCGAGTAGACTTGCGATACGTGGGAGAATTGAGGGCATTTCGGCTTCGAGGAGAGGCTTTAGCTGGAGCAGTATTGGGGGCGCTGGTATCTGTGAGAGGCCAATTGCTGGTTCGATGCCTCTTCCCTGAATGGAGCCCTTCCTCATCTGCCTCAGCCTCGCGGTTATCGCCATGATCTTGGGAGTTCGATAGGGCCTTGGAGTCACGGTGGCTGAACAGTCTCTTCGTGCCGGCCTTTGGAGTCGTATCTGTGTATTGGGTTGAAGGCTCTTGGTACTCGCCTGAATACCGATGTCTTGAGGTGTCCCGAGAAGCCTATTATGGGTCAGCTTCGTCCATGGTAAACAGGAGCATAGTGAGAGTGCCATGGCACGGGAGGGTGCAGCACGGGTAGATGAAGTAATTCTGTTTGGTCTTGAAACTTACCGAGCGGTTGGTAGCCATCTTGACGTCCTTACCAGTGTTTGATCTGGAATGGGGTCATGCACCAGCCGTTGTTTTGCTCGGACGGCTCCGTGTGCTTCCAGATCATAAATCGAAGTGTCGAAAAGAGTCGACTTCAGAGTTGGGCGTGTTGTAAAGTTGGTGTGGAGAGATGAATTGAAACAAACAAACAAACAAACAAACACAAGTGAATTGGAACCTCCGCTCTCTCCGTTTGGCCAATTGCCAGTTCCCCTATTTCCACGTCTCAGCTGGGCCGTTGTAGGTGAAGGAATTATGGATCGTATATACAGTAGTGAGATATTCGTATGCACGAAGACAGCGGTGGGTGCGTGCGTACGTGCAATGTCTTTTGTTTACTTTGCTGTCGCTCGAATCACTGCCGTTGACGTGTCTAGCCGGTGAAGCGAGACTGGGGTATTGGCGAGCACTAGAGGGGACGCCACCGCCAAACTAACGCTTGCGGAATACACGCTCAGGGGAAAATAGGAAAATAGGAATAACCTGCATATCGCCGTTTCCTTATAAGTGACTGCATATGCAAGTTAGATGAGAGAGGAGAAGCAGTTCATTTATAGATATACTGTACGTAAGGTAGGAATGCAGGTAGTTACTTGCATTCATGTGATAATTCGAGCTCTTATCTACAACTATGGTACGTGTGATAGTCAAAAGCTTTGAATGGTGGGAACATGGAGCGTATCCTCCACTCCACCATCCATAGGGGCAACGAATTAAGAGTCACAGCTTTCATTAGTACCATCATATATAATCATCGAGGCAAGTTTCCAAATTTCCAAAGTTCATCCATCTCATTCTTGTTCAATCAGCTCACATCACCACCGGCTTCCGGGATTCTCCCCAGTCTACCAAAGCCTTTCCCTAAATTACAAAATGGTGCCCCCAGAAACCGCCCGTGAAACAAATCTTTCCTCCAACTCAACTCAAGACATAGGAAATGTGTAGTAGTGTGAATCAACAAGCAAAGCAGCGCTTTCCTCCAATTCTAAGTGGAATGGGATGAGAAGAGACGTATGCTTTTAGCAGGAACAAGCTGATAGGCACCAAGTGGCCATATGCAGTTCTTCAATGCCGAGTAAAAAAATAAAGAAATCCAGATCGTAAATATAGAATGTGCGAAGTCGCAGATTCGGCAAGTAGAGCCATTCGTGAATCCTCTAGAGAATTCAGAGTAGGTATAAATGAAACCCGTGACATTCATCAAACGCCAGTAATAATATAACACAACCGTTTCCCAAAAGCCAATACCAAGACGTCCGCAACGGCACCATGCGTTTGACATGTCTAACCATCTTATATGAGAACACGAGGAGGCTCACGATGACGACCTGTCCCGTCGGCACGCTTGTATTCCAATTTTGGTTGGTTGTCCTCATCGTCATCAAACGCTTCATGGTAAGTTGTGCTAGGCCGCATCCCATTGTAAAACGGTTTGTTGTTCTCCGAAGAGTCGAAAACCGCATCATATACTCGTTTTCTAGTCTGGGTGGCATCTGGAGGTGCTGGAGCAGCCTGGTATTGATTGTAGGGACCTGAACGGTCCAAGCCGCGATCAAATCCAGGACTTTGAAGCGATGGAGCAATAGTACGGATGGATGAAAGAGGTGCCGGTGGAGAAGCAGAAGGCATTGACTTCAAAGGCGGCAGGGACGGAGGAGGGCTGTTATCTCGAGCATAGGGGTGATAGAGAGGTCGGTTGTAACTAGCCTCGGATGTGGGATATGGGGCGCCGTGCAGAGGGTTGGAAGATGGGAAGGGGGCCGAGGCTCTCCTGAATGGGTCGGACTCAAAGGGATCACGTTGCTCACGTGGTGGATTGGTAGGATGAGCAGATTGAGGGTACGGACGTTCGTGTGAGTATCCACTTGGAGGTGGAGGTGGAGGTGCAGGACGATACTGAGGGACGGGTTGGGGATAAGGATTCGGTGCCGTCTGGTATAATTGTGGTGCGGGATGAGGTGGTGCTGGTTGAGGAAATTGGGTTTGTGGTGGACCAGGACCAGGACCAGGCGGTGCTTGGAATTGCGACCCAGAATGTCCACCCATCCAGCCCAAATTGCCACCAGGCGGAGCAGGATGACCGCCAACAGGTGTTCCAGGGGCGCTATATTGACTATTGTACGGTTGCGGTGGATACTCTCCAGAGAGTCGGCGTTGCGGTTCTCTCCCCTCATCACTGCCAGCACTATTCGATCGCTCACGATATGGATCGATGGCCTGCTCAGGAGCGCGACCTGCACGAGCATAACCATCCTCAATGGCATTCGTATCTCCATATTCAGACGGTGCCTTGTCACGTCTTCTCATTCGAACATCACGTCTGATCCGGACTCTACATCCCTGTTCTGCGACAGTCCGGCTGAGTGTTGTGCTCTCAGCAAGGCCAAGGAATTTCTTTGCACTGTAGACGGTGAACATGTTGGACTTGATTTCCAATCGCCAGTCAAAAGATGATTCTGGGGCAGCTGGGCCCGGAATCTTAGCCTTCTGATCATTTGCGGGTTCCGCATCACGATCGTCTTTCTGCTTGGTCTCCTCGTAAAGATTGAAGCTCAGTTGGTATCTGCCTTCGTGGCGGACAGAGAGATCCGGGAATATGAAATAGCCTGCTTCGTTGGGGCGATCAAGATACGCCATGCCGGAGACAGGCATTCCAGTGAGGACTGGGATCTGTGGTGGTGATGGATGCATTCGACCATGAGCCATCGGACGAGCTGTCTCCAGAGTTGCAAACAGGAAGAAATTGGCGTCGTAGGAGAAGGTAATATCCTCGCCGGGTTTCGCGATGTTGCTGTCATCAAATATACGAAGCTCGACAACAGGCGGAGGATCAACCGGCCGTCTATCGGCGGACGCTTCAGATTGTCAGCGACTCTGGTCAGATGCACTGTAGCTAGAAGAGTTGATGCTTACACTTTGCTCCAGAGCCACATGCTCGCGCACGTTCTGGCTCTTGGATTACAGACAGACTGTATCTGAGTCTCCTCCCACCCTTAGTAACTCTGGTCCATTCCTTGGGGGTAGGTCGTGAGGAGGTTGCGGCGGCCATTGTTGCTTTCTGTGTCAAATTAATTCCACTTGACCGGGTCTTATATTTGATATCTAGGATTGGCTGCCTAAATTCGTCAGTACTGGTTCGTTTTCTGGGTGTTGACATTCCAGTTGACTTTCTCACGACCCGGAAAACCAACTAAGTTTCCCGACACCCAAGCGGATGGAAATAGGCTTTGCAAGCGACCAACAACAACTAGGCAGGAATGGAAATCGCTTGCTCACCTAGAGGACTATAGCTCAAAACCTTGCAGACGTATTCGACCGTCCAGTGTTTGGTTCGGTATCGGAGCGCCTGTGTTGATAGCTAGAACAGCGACAATGCTGTTCAAACTCGGGTCCCGTCGCTATCAGTGCCTGTACTACGAAAGCTAGCAGACCCGTCCGACAAACTGGCAATGTTGACGACCGCTTTCCTCTGGTCCTGACCTTGCTGGCGATATCGATCCTCCTCTCCTAGCCGTCCTTGGTCGACGACAAGTGTTGGATCGCAGTTGTGCAGTGCTTGGGGAGTAGGTAAGGTAGTAAGGTAGGCAGGAGGAGGAGGAGAAGAGAGGTGGTAGTATCGGGTGGAGACTCTCTGGAGAGGAGCCAGGCGAGACAGGCAGGAGACTGGCTGACTAGGGAGGGCTGGAAATCTTGGCTGGGATTGGGGACAGGCTCTCGCTGGGACGAATCTGCAGTGGTGGGACGGTACTAAAGGGAAAGCTAGGCTCAGTTCGCTGTTAGCACGGCCCCGACTGCCCGAGGGCTTTGAAGCTTTGATGGCTTCTGATGGTTTGGTACCGTACGAGTACGCTGATACGAGTAAGTCTCTAGCATGCTGTCTTACTGGCAGATGGCTTGCTGGGTGCAGGGCATCAGGATTGGATTGGATTGGATTGGATTAGACTGCTGGCCCACCCACCCACTGGGGAACCCGCCCGAGGTGTGGGTTTGGACAAGGGAGATAGAACTGGGCTATTGGACAGGTTTCCCACAAGGATCCATCACCAGACAGCCACCGAGCCAGGAGCCCCCCAACCCGCATGCCCAGCATCCAATAGCTGACCCCTCTGCCACTCTTGTCCTTCCCAACTTGGCCGCCCCCTCCATTCACGCGGGCACCCAGGTAGATTGTGTTTCTTTCATATCATGATGTAAGTGGTACATAATTATTATACTGTACCGTACTTGGAAGTCTTCAAGAACCATCAGATCAGAGTCTGGATCCCTCATCTCTACCTTAGAATCTCCGCTAGTAGTCGCGGCTATAGTAGCCAGATTTACTTTACTAAACTCCTGTTAAATCACGATTTACGAAGTAGTATTTCCCGAGTACTAAGGTAGTTTAGTCGGGTTACAGTTGCTAAATAGTCTGTTACTAAATTTATTTCCATGAAGCGAAAAGGCGGATTGCTTCTTCCTTCATTAGGTCTGTATACAGTACTTTTACTACGCTACTCAGTGGGAAAACCAATATCACGGCACATAATCCTAGCCCGGCAGCCCAAGGAGCGGTCCGAGAAGAACGTCGAAGACCCGAATCGTCTTCATGGTTGGAGTTGAAGCGGATTGGAGCATCGTGCGTGCCATAAATTCAGGACTCAGGAGCCCGAGTGCTTGGCTTATTGGCTACCGAGTTCGCTGAATGTCAGCGCCTGGACGCGGGAGGTGCTTGCAATATAGAAAGTCTAATAAGTTCAGGTAACGTCGGATCGTCGACCCTAAACCCCAGACATCGAATTTTTCATTCCGATCTGCTTCTGGGCCCACGCCACGGGTACACAGGACAAGCTCAGATTTCCTGAAACTGTATCGCGGAGGCTAAATACTCCTAAAGTAAGACTACAATTCAGCATGGATGACCCTTTATACAAGTCTGGGAAGCATCACTTGCAAGACTTGATAGGAAAGTACGGCAATTAAGATAATCCCCAAATTTTCCTCAACCCCTTTTTCCACGCCAGGTATATACTCCGTATACTCTGTGGTTCGACGTTTTGGAACACCTTTTTAATAATGCCAGTAAATTTACTCCATCACCGGCCACCAAGGATCAATTGAGCAAAACCTCCGATATATTTTATGAAAGGGAAGATGTGACGCTCGGTATCCAGAGTGCTCCCCTCCCCTTAGAATTACCGTAAATTACCTAGGTCCTCAGAATTACTTGTACTTCTACGCCTATTTTTGGCTGCTAAATACCTAATCGAAACTGGCACTAAACGATTTCAATCAGCTTTCGGTGCCTCACTCACTAGGTACTGTATGTACCCTGCAAGAATCGCACACGCCAGCATCTGGCAACGGCAGCTAGAGTACGGCTCTGCCCGTGCTTTACTCCGTAAGAAACGATATCGCAAATCGCGATTGCCGCTGCAAATAATTATATACTGTACTGTACGAACCGAGTTACTTAGTACGAGTACGAGTCCGTATGGCTATTAATTTGGCTCCCTCAGTTCCTCTCCATTATTCTTCATGTCATGAATTTATTGAGACTTGCAGACATCTGTTTTAAATCCTTCCTTAGAGCTTCCAGTCGCTGCAAAGTGTCTGCAAGCTTCTGCACGCTGCAGCTCCTTCCATGTGCAAAATCCTTAGTGGCAGGTGCGTCTGCACAAAGGGCTATCAAAAATCGACTGGTCGCTTACAACGGCCAGAGTGACATTTCCAGCACGTTTTCTCGTGGAAGAAACGAAAGCACAGTTATTGATTCAGAAGCATCCTGCCCGCTGCATACCTACACTTACTCGAATCTTGTACTTGCCCGTCTTCAAGTTAAGGCGTCATAGAAAAGCTCTGGTGGGGGCTGTGATAGGTACCTAGCTAAGCTGCTAGGCAAGCATTCTTCTCTGAGTCTGAGCTAGAGCAAGAGCACGAGTGGACACATGCACTCTATCACACTTTTGTGTGACTAGACAGGGTCAACACCATGTCCCACTCTGAGCGGGGGGGGTGGGTAGGTAGGTTTGGGGCGCAAAATCCTAAAAATCGTATGGGGGCGCCGTTACGTGTTGGATTCATATCATGGAAGTACGACTGTACAAGTAACAAGATCTTTTGAAGATCAACAGCCGCCGTCTATCATTCCTTCAGTCGAGTCTCTTGGTGCTCCAGCATTTCCAGCCGGTGTTCGACCTTGGCCCAGCCAGACTCTACCTGAAACGCAGAAGTTTCCAACAGGCTCCGCCTCCCTTCCACTGGGAATAGGACTTTGGAACACGCTGTGAGAGGGCGCGGCTTTACCAACCTAGCCCACCATTGGACGGCGCTCCCTATCCACGCTCCACAGGCTGATTCGATGGGCTGTCCAGAAGGTTGGCCGGGATCAAGTCTCGGGAAGGATTTCCGACAGCGACAGGCCAGGCTTCCCTTGCGCCAAACCACTGACGGATGTACGAAGCAGGGTTTGTGTCCGCATGCTTGAGGGTTCTTGCATACTGTTACTGTACTATGAAGTACAAGGATGGCCCCAATCTAAAAATCCAATCTCAAGCAAGAATTTAACTGCCTCGACTGCTTAAGCGAGCAGAACTCACGAGAGATCATATGAAAGCCTGGTGAGCCAAGCTGGCCAAACGGAAATCCGCCTGCCTTTGTTGGAACCGCCATTATTTGTCGCGCGCTAGTATTGCGCAAGGCAGGCGATCATATCATATCACCATTAAGTACCGAACATGCACGGCATAATCGTGAGACTTGAAGGTCAGATCTTTGTATCCCAGCTATATGCACACTAAACGTAACTATGGAGGTATACTATACGGTACTACTAGGCAGAACTATGGAGGTATACTATACAGTACTACAAGGCAAAACTTGAACAAGTACTTCATATATTCCCACGCCAGAAGCTTCTTCTTTGTATATCTCCCGGCTAGTAGTTCGAGCTCTCGACTTGTGTTTTTGCCGGTGCAGCATTCAAGGAAGTGATGAAACTCAAATCATTTAGAGACGAAATCAATGAATGTCCTGGCTGATATGAATTCAACCGGATAAGTCAAGCACCAGACAGATAGACAATCTTTGGAAGGTACCCGAACCCGAATCAGGAAGTACTGTTCGACTATCTTGTTGTTGGAGTATTCTGGCGGTCTATCTAGCAATGTCACGAGGTACATCTTCGATGTTTGGCCCACACACACCTCCACTCCCACCTCCCTCAGCATCTTGGGCAAACAAGGTTGTGATTTGCATGGATCTATGATTTGATTTCATAGGATGTCAGACGACTTCTCCGGTATACGGAGTAGAGAGAGCCTAGATGTACTGGAGCAAAGCAAGCTGAGTAATCTATCCATCTTTGAAGGCGTCAGACATCGCAGCCGATGTTTACACCTACACCTACACTATACGAAGTACTTGTCTGACGATCATTTTTCTTCCCTAGATTGGCCACTTACTGTACACTCACCGTGACTTTACGGTGAAGTTATAGATCATCCATCACAGCTGCTTGATCTTCTCAACAAGGTCTCACATTGTCATCCAGCTGACCAAAGCCGGCTTTCAGGATAAGAGAGCACTCATTCATTCATCCATCAGTGGGTTTGAGACTTGACCTTGGCTATGGCTAAGCTCATATGAGGAGGCTTTTCTGGAATATGTTGGATACTTGGAAGGAAGCGAAGCAAACAAGATCACTACTACGACGAGGATAATCCCCAATGTAGTACAACACATCTCTCTCCATGTGCCCACAACCCCCAAAACATCACCAGTACATTCATTCATAACATCGCCATATCCATTCATTCACCAAACCTCTTCTTCGCCTGAGTATGTATAAGTACAGTATCCAGGGCAACACATGCCCACATCCTCTTTCAAATACAGCAAGAGCAGGCAGTAAGCAACGCAACACCGCCACATCCCCTCCCAAGCTTTCAGAATACCGGCATTGAGTTATCGTTTGTTACTCGTTACTCGTTAATTACACATTACGCCTCGCAATTCCCTCCATCATAACCCCTCATTCCGTACTATAGTTACCGAAATAGATATGATGGTGTTGCGTTACCAAGTACGGTGCCATGTATGTATGTACCCGTCTGTCACCTTACCCTTACTTACTCTCATGCAACGCAGAGGGATTTCCATTCATGTCATGTATTATTTTCTTGTCTTTTTTTAAAGCAAAGCAAAGCATGCTCGCGAGTAAACTTGTTGCTTGAAGGCTGAAGCATCTAGATTCGTATTCTGGGGCGTTTGAACGTCACGTCACATCCCATTTTCGAGTCATGTCGAACAGACAGACAGATTGCTTGAGGTATTTACTTGAGATGTATGTTTGTCTGTCTGTCTGTCTGTCAATCCCACCGGAGTGGAACGCTCGTATGTAGGCCTCTGCGAGCCAACCAAATCGTTTACATTACACGCTCTCCTGCTTGTACTCGTACTCCTACACCTACACTGGACTCTGGAGATCATCACAACAGTAGGTAGGTAATCCAACATATATGCACTGTACTGTAGCATGATATGCATGCATGCACGAACGATCCTTGATTTCATACCTCGCCGTCAACTCGAACGGAACCCTGTTTTGCTACCGGGAATTTAAATTTGCCTGTTTGCAAGAATAGATGGATGGATGGATAGATAGACATACATAAGATCTTACATACATACATACACTATATACATACATTCAAGAAACATAAACCTTTTCCTTCCACAAAACAACCTCCCATCAAGACCAAGCCATCGGGAACGCACATAACAGCTCGCCTCGCCTCGCCCATCGGGATTTTAAGAACAGCAGCCACCCGCGATGTACAGTACCGGAATCCGAATCCACAGCCGAGAAGGAAAGACCTTCCTCTCTTTCCTTCCTTTAATTATGAATCGAATGGGCCGCTACTGTAGGCCTGGTGGCCCGAATCATAACATAACATAACATAACATATGCATGCGTGCTGGCTTCTCACGTGTTTGACGTATGCAGGAACGAGTTTTCTCATCTAATGTGCTGCACATATCCACAGATATTGGTTTCGTGGTGAGTGAGTAGTGAGTGGGTGTTTATGGAGAAAGAAGGTCTAGGGAGAGGTTGTGCCGTGTTGTGTTGTGTGGCGCGGTGTGGTATGGTGGTCGTAAAATGAAGGTCAGCGTGCGTGGGTTGGGGAGGCGGCGATGGAGGGAGCGCATTGTAATATAATGTCATGTAGGCCTAGATGTTCCGAGCATCGCACAGTTTTCAGCTGTGCGTGTTGAACTTGGTGGGATTGTGAAGGCTTGCGTGACTTGTTCGTGCCATGACTTTAGTTAGATTCTCGTCGACGCCCCAGAGATACTCGGACAAGGTACCGACTCGTAAATGAGAGAGACTGTGGTTGAGATGCTCATGGATAGTGAAGCATTCAAGCTGTATGGGGCATTGCTATCTCGACTCTCCAGATATATTCAAAGCACGAGTAGGATTTAGATGGTGGTAAAGGGGGCGTGGGGAAGTAACTCGAGGCATCATCCGGAAGTAACACCGATAATCCCACTACTTCAAGCTTGGCTCTGCTCGTCATATACCACTAGAAAAATGCGGCTGTGGAAAGTTACTGTAATGGGAGACACCTTTCATAGTGATATCCGTTGTGGTTGACGAATTTGGAACCCAGCCACACTCTTCAATCGGCCATCTTATCCACAATCGGTGGTCTTCGTCAAGCAGGTCATACGTCTGAGCCAGGAAATGAATACCGCAGCCATCAAGCCACCAGCATTCATTTGCCCGTTTCAGCAGTACACAAAAATACGCGAATATGGCAAGTGATTCTTGACTGCGGGCTTGAAATTTCTCCAGGAACTGAGGACTGAGCTGGAAGAGCCAGGTGAACAAATCTCCAGGTTCGTAATCTGCATAGCTCTGCTTGTAGATGAGAGCATAAATTGTCCGCAGCTCCTCAATAGCAGTGTGATACGTGTGGTAGTCTTGTTCGGAATGCTGGGAGTTGTTGATGTGATCTCGCAGTTCTCGAAGCGGGTCTGCCTCTCCGTGGAAATCCGCAGCGAGTTCTTCCCTCAATCTTCCCTTCCGCTCCTCTGCTCGAAACATAAGCCCAAAAGGACCTTTAGAGAGAATCTCTTGCCCTGTAGCGACGATTGAAATGCACCCTTTAATCAAGATGAGCCAGTCTACTACTCCGGTTTCGCCTACGATCAGAAAGTCGCCGGGTTTGCGCGGAGTGGCAATGGCGAAGAACAGGGTCAGCGCCGAGAAGATGTAGACTGCGGAACAATTCTCATCGGTTATGTTTGACAGCATTGAAGTTGCCACGCGCAGACCGCTTTGGTGTTGTATCAGGGCTTGTGCTACAAAGTAGTCTCTTTTCTCGGGTGTGAAGTGGGCAATGTGTAGTGCAGACACAGCCAAGATTCCACGCATCACAAAGTCGTAGGAGAATCCAACTTTAGGCACATTGACTTTCCACATTGTCTTGAGCGCCGGGTTCGTGTGGAGAGTGAGGCTGGTGGATGTGGAGAAGTTGTGGAGAAGTTCCAAGTCCAGCATGTTCATGCTCAATGGTTCATTCTGGACCGAAGGACTGTTGAAACGTGTGATTTCGCCCCCAGAGCCCTGGAACGTCCCGCTTGAAGGGGTATTTACATGCTTGGTAGGGGCTCCGGAACTAGCAGGGCTGCTTGCAGATATAGGTATCGGCGTGCCCATATAATCGCACTGAACGGAGTGTTTCATGCAGTTGGTACATTCTGGTCTTTGTTCATCGCACTGTGGTCAAAGTCAGTTGGAAGACATCGTACAGTACACTTGATGAATCAAAGAGGCGTAAACATAGAAACAGTGGGTAGCTCGGACCAAGAAGACAATATCAAGCCATCCAAGAGGGTTGGAAAGGGGAATCACGTGGATAGAACTCGCTTGGAAATGTGTGAACGCTTTCCAATCCTGAGATGGGCTGTGTGGCAGAAGAGGAGAGATGAAGAGTCCAACTTGCCTTAATCTTCCTCAGTTTGCAAGTCCGGCAGCCTGTCCTTGTCTTGCGATGCGCTTTCCGGGAGGCAGGTTTTGTTGCAGTCGTTCGAAGCGGCTCGACCGGTTCACTCATTCTGGAGGTACAGGACTCCTACTTCCGCTTTTGTCCCAGTTGCAGCGGCGTCCCTCTTGTTGTTCTGCAGGTGACAGCTGCGAATATGAACAATCCGGATAATTCACAGGCTCTAGGAGGATTGTATATGAAGCTTCGCTGTCGAGTGAGGAGGCTGATGGTCTGTCATTCTTTGTCCTTTAGACTTCGTACTAAACTACGAATACGAGCTTGATACTCCAACGCTAATCGTCAATAAATCTACGCTCCGTACTCGTAATGCCTTGCCTCAACTCCGAGTCCGAGCTCATATTCAGATATCAGTTGTGCGTCTAGCAAGATAATAAGTACTTATATTATCTATGTTAATACATTCTCTGTGACTGATTTCCGCTATTCCTCTCCGTGTATCTATATGGCTCTTTTCCTTCTATACCAACAGTCCCCACCAGTGCTCCCTCTATTATCCTTTAGGCTCAAGAGGATATAGAACAACACCTAGAATCGGATTCTTTGGGTGCTTGTAACCTATAATAGCGGGTACAAAGCCTAAATACATTATTGAACAACTGTCATAAACCCGGACAGAGACAATTGAATTCACACAAGATCATATTTGAAGTCCCTGTACTTTATACAATCGAGGTAAACTTTGATTCTAAACTTCTTCATTATTATGTAGCCCCTGCATACTCTTTCCTCATAGCTTCCCTAACCATCTCCCCACACAACTTAGCTGTCGGATTCGCACTCACAGCCAGGGCCTTGGCAATCTCATTCCCATACCTCCCTCCCATCATGAAATCCTTCGAAGCATGCTCCTCGAAATCAATTGTTTTCCATTGCACTTCGAATCTAGTCCCATCAATCCTCAGCTCGGCCTCATGCGAGCGTAACCGCTTGGCAGTCAAGTGATAGAACGCTCCCCGTTGGGTGTACGCTTGAGAGAGCGTCTTTGCTGCTTGTGGGGATATCGCAGCAAAGGGAGTGAGGGGTGTGAGGAGACTTATAGCTGTACTAAGGTCGGTGAGGATAGTTGTTGAGACGGAAAGGAGGGTGGAATCCGAGGCGGATGTGTCTAGAGGAGCTGCTTCTTCGGATGATTGTGAATCTGGCAGCCTGACGAGGATACCATCCCCGTATATTCGTCTCAAGGCTTGTGCTCTGTTGTTCCTTGCACTGGCGTATTTAGGGTATTCTTCTATCAGAGCATCGAGCTGTTTGATGCAGTTAAGGTATTCGGAGAGAGGTGGTTGAGATGACACGGGCTTTAGGCCGGCAATTCGGAGTTCAATTTCTTGGAAAAAGGATATAGTTGTTCGTTCTTTTATGCTGACTGCTTGATAGCTGGCAGTATCGGATACGTGGGGGTCTCTTGGGAGAGAGTCGTCGATAAGGAGGGGTGCTGAAGGACCAGCCTCGGGGTCCTTTATCTTCTCGAGAATCGACAGATCATGTGTTGTAAGAGACGGCATGCTGAGGATGTGCGTTGTCTGCTAAGGTCGAAAGGGGTTTCGTTATCTGAATAGGAGAAAAAGAAGAGGGACAATAAGGTTATTTACCAAAGGCGGGGAGGGGAGGGGAGGGGAAAGTAGGAATAATGTCTTGAAGATGAAGTACAATTTATGCCATGATGAAGTAAGAAGACTCTTCCTACTTACCGTGTATAGATAGATGACTTATGCGGTGCGGTGCGGCAACTTGGGGATCAGATGAATGGAATTCTGGAGGTGGGAAGTCAAAGGGTAGCTGGTTTTGGCCGCTTACAGTCCTGTGTCACAGCCGACGGCAGCCGCTGTTCTAAATTCCGCCCCAAAGCCGAGCGGCCGCATCTAATCATCAGGAGTCGGGGTACTGTGCAGTACTGTACAGTAGCTCCCAAGAAAAAAGAGCCAAACATGTTCGGACTTATGAATTATTAATGGTGCCAGTGCATCATCGTTGAAGAATGCCGAGCAAGCTAATGTTGATAAAGGAAGGCCGCGCCCTGAATTTGGTTCATATATCTAGATACTAGATATTCATATACAGTATTCATATCCCTTTGTCTGTTTCTAAGCCGCAGCATAACAACTTGACTTTAGCAGCAACACTTCAAACTTTCTAAGCAATAAGATACTTTTCTTTGGACATACAACCTTCTCTTCATCTTTTACCTGTCCTTCGCAGAGAATCGTACCGCACAGACTTAACCTTTCCACCAAAATGGCCCCGTCTGCCGTAACCCCTCCCATGGATCGGACTTCTCCCATCCTCACTCCCGCTTCTTTAACCTTTCCCACATCCAACAACACCTCTGGTGCTGTCGATGGCACTCCCAACTTCCACGGCTATGATCATGTTACCTGGTATGTGGGAAATGCAAAGCAAGCAGCTTCGTATTACACCACACGCCTCGGCTTCTACACAGTAGCATACCAAGGTCTCGAGACTGGAAGTAGACATGTTGCCTCCCATGTCGTTGCCAACGGCAAGATTAGATTTGTGCTCATGTCTCCCATCAAGTCATACTCATCTATTGATGAAAACGAGCCCATATCATCAGAGGAACGAGGCTTGTTGAAGGACATGTACCAGCATCTTGAGAAGCACGGCGACGCTGTCAAGGACGTTGCGTTCGAGGTCGACAACGTAGAGGGTGTTTACCGACAAGCTGTCGAAGCAGGTGCCGTGTCAGTACAGGCTCCCCGTAAGACGTCAGACGAGAGCGGATCAGTCACCACAGCCATCATCCGCACATACGGCGACACAACACATACATTACTCTCCCGAGACTCCTACCAAGGCATCTTCCTCCCCGGCTATAAGGCTATACCCAAGTCCAAGATCGACCCACTCCAAAGCCTTCTCCCACCCATTGTACTAGAAGCCATCGACCACTGCGTCGGCAACCAAGACTGGGGTAAGATGGAAGAAGCCTGCGCCTACTACGAGAAGTGTCTCTCCTTCCACCGTTTCTGGTCCGTAGACGACAACCAGATATCCACCGAATTCTCCGCGCTGAGCTCCATCGTCATGGCGTCGCCAAACAACGTCGTCAAGATGCCAATCAACGAGCCAGCGCCGGGCAAGAAGAAGAGTCAAATTGAAGAATACGTCGACTTTTACGGCGGTGCTGGAGTGCAGCATATTGCGTTGCGGACAAATGATATTATATCCGCTGTTGGGAACTTGCGGGCTCGTGGAGTGGAGTTTATCGATGTCCCGGAATCGTACTACAGCACTATGCGCCAACGACTAAAGAGCGACAAGAGGAGTTGGAAGTTGCAGGAAGACTTCGACACGATCCAAAAACTGAACATCCTGATTGATTTTGACGAGGGCGGATATTTACTCCAGCTGTTCACGAAGCCGTTGATGGATCGGCCGACGGTGTTCCTTGAGATTATCCAGAGAAACGACTTTGATGGCTTCGGCGCTGGAAACTTCAAGAGCTTGTTCGAGGCTATTGAGAGGGAACAAGCGGATAGGGGTAATTTGTGAACTATGGAGAATAAGGTCAGGGAAACGGCGGTAGGCGCTTGCGTACTTGTACAGCACACTTACTGTACCAAGGTTAATTAGTATCCATATTGCATGGCATTGGACGGATCACCAAGAACCAACCGACTCGGGCGTTGGTCTGTACAACCTTATTTATACGAGAAAATGAAATGAATTGAAAAGAATAATAATAAAATTATGCCCAAACCTGGAACGGAAGTCTGAGATACCAAATCCCTATACCACATAAGAGTGCAAGAGCTGTGATCACTGCTCAAGCCTACTCTCCACCCTTTCTCATGCTACCTGCCCGTGTCTTCCTCTCGATAATCAACTCAAGCTTTCCTCTACACTATAAGCAAACCAGTCAAGCGCAGCACTTTACCCGAACCCGTTCCCTCCCTCCCTCCCTCCCTACCTACCTACCAAGACGTCACAAACCCCACCAGACCCCCCACCTCACATACCGGCCGAAATCGCCAGCCAGCCATCCCGAACAACCTATAAACGAACGAAACAGAAATCCGACTCAGCGTCTTACCAGCTAGCACACGTCGAATGTTACCCCCTGAAAACCCGCCTACTTCTGCCATTCTAGATCATAATACAGAAATAAGGGGTAGTTGAAACCAATGGCTTCAGCAGGGATGATCGAACAGGTCTCCTTCTTATGAGTTTAATTACTATGATACATGGTGCATGGTGAAGAAAATGGAGAGTAAAAGCAACCTTTCTTTTTGACCTTCTAGGGTACTTTGGCCACCCATGCTCCAACTCCCGCTCCCAGAACACCACCTCCTGCAAAATGTTGATCGGAGCGATCATTGAGACATTCTCTGTACAAATGAGAAAGAAAAAGTAAGAACCAACGCCATTTGTTGTACTCAGGCTAGCTGATTGTACAAAGCAGTTCTTTACCAGCCACAGAAATGAAAAGCGCCAACCGTGCAGTATTATTGAGTAGAAGATCCAAATGAAAATAGCGATGCAAGTGCATCTATTTGTACAATCAAGGAAATGACGTTTTGTTACGAAAGCCCCCAACCCAAGTACTCTCTACTGATACCTGCTGGCTTGATGAACTGGAACTGCGGGAGGCGGTTGAAGAGCTTGAGGATGTCGTGGATCGTATTCCTCTTCGTAGAAAGCGGGTTCTGGTCGAGGGATAGGCGCACGACTTTCATATACTGGTTGTCGAGCGTAGCCATCATCCTCGTAAGCGGCGTACACCGGCTGAGGTTCTCGACGGACAGGTCTTCGAAGCATATATTCGCCTTGCGAGTCCGTGACTCGTACAAGCTCATAGGTCTCCGCATATTGAGGTGCCCGTGGTCGGGGGTCATCAGCGTAGACTCGTTGGTACTCCTGACGTGGGGCTCTCTCATAAGGCACATCCTCTGTCGCCGGTTGCGGCGTACGTGGGTGATAGATAGGCTCCGGGTGCAAAGAGTGAGCGGCAGGGCTATGCTCGCGGTATTGCCCAGGCTGCCCTCCCGTCTTAACGTATACTGGTGACCTAGAACGCGCGCGGTCGTTCTCGAGTCGAACACTCTCGTACCTAGCATATCTGCTAGGCGTTCTATGAGCGCCATGGCTACTTTGTCTTTCGTCGCGGTAGACGACGTTGTTGAGCTTATACCGGCGATCAACCAATTCAGGCGATCGCTCCCGCTGTACTGACTGCTCCGAGAGTGGATTGGCAAAACGATCATCATAAGCGAACGCTCGAGCTTGCCTTGGTGGTTGCCGCTCAATTACCACGTATCCAGCATCATCAACAATTCGGTTAGCAGGATGCCCTTCACTGGCAAAATTCCCGCCAACTTTATCATAGCTGTCGTGCACACGGCGGCGTGATTCTGCGGGATCCTGAATGTAGCGTGCTTCCTCGTTACGAGGGGGCTCCCAAATGGCTCGAGGATTATCTCCTTGGTGGCGCTCCGGTTTACTTGCAGCCACTTTCGTTCCACTGGGGCGGAAGTCGTTTAAAAACCGTTCTGCGGCATCATTTGCTTCTTCTGGACGCGAGGGGTGGATCTCGGATTGTGGATCAGGTTCTGGTCGAACTTCACCATCCTCAGAACCAACCTCAGTAGGAGGCTCTTTAGGGGGTAATCTATCTCTTGCTTGTTGTGCGTGCTGGGAAATCTGTGCTACAACCTGGGAAATAGTGTTCTGCTGAGCTGTGGCGTCCTCATCTCGAGCATGTGGATCTCTTGCGACGAGGGTCTGATGATCTTCTCTGTTTGCTTCATATGACTCGGAATTTACATGTCGGGGATCTCGCCCCAAGAATACAGGCTCCCGATCCTCATAACGGGGAAGAGGGTCACGTCGTACTCTGTATTCAATTTCGCCTGCATCCAAATAACGAGGACGCCTATCAACATACACTGGTGCTTCTTCGCGAATAATAACGCGTTCGTAGTCACCAGCGGCTCTGATATGAGAGGGCGGGGACACATGCCGTTGCTCCACATATTGATACAAGGGTTGGCGGTGTTCTTCATCGCGACTTGTGTATCCATAGGTACGGTCATCAGGAATTTCAAATTCTCGAGGATGACTGAGTTGACGAGCAGATTTGTAGACGGGTCGACTGTCTAGAGGCAGTTCGTGAGGGTTTCGAGGATCATACTCTCCATTATCGTATGATACATTGGCAAAATCATGTGTCTTATTGTCACTGGTGGTAGTGTAATACTTGTCGTGATTATCCTGAGATGGAGCAAGATTTCCATGAGTGTTCTGGTCTGCCATTGCGTAGTCCTGGTGCGATGGTCCATTTCGCGCATCCGTCCCATGAGTAACAGGTGGCGCAAATACTTCTGGGAGAGCCTCTTTCACTAGCTTGAGCCTATGGTCGGAGGACTTGGAAAGTGAGGTCAATTTGGAAATGTCCGGAAGCTGGACCATATCCTTCGTCCAATCCGGAAAATAACCCATTTCATTTCTCAAATTTTGGGGAGCGGCTTCATGTGCTTCACGGAAGTGGTTAAGGAGTTGAGGGAAAGAGAAATGCTTCTTCTGGAGAGCGGGCGTGTATCCTGCCTGACCCAAAGCACAAGCTTTACAGAGAAGTCCATTAATGTTCCGGGCTGGACGCATCTCTTTATTATGATTCAGGCCTTCGATAACCATTGGGAGCGGAGGGTCTTCTGGGTAGGAGGCTCTGGATCTTTGTAAGATATGGTAAATAATGGTGTAAACTTTGACATTTCCAGGGATCTCCTTCACGGGGTTGATAGTATTCCAGACCTCACGCGCAGTCTTTGCAATGGCCTGAAGTTGCATCTTCCACTCTTCGGTCTTTGGCGCCTCCTGTACGTAGCTGCTAGCGGGATATGATGGTTGTTGATTGTAGGAAGGCCCATATTGATTGACTTGTGGATCATGTGCATGCTGATGGACGGAGATTTCAGGAGCGGAAGCCGGATACTGGCCTTGATTTGAGGAATACATGCCTGGACTTGATGCTGGATAAACACCACCATATCCTTGTTGGGAATAGTCTTGGGGAGCATCAGAGTATCCAACATTACCAGGTGGCGGGGGTGGCATCGTATATTGCGGGTTTTGGTATCCTTGAGAAGTATCCTGATACGCTTGCGGAGGCTGGTATGGCCCATTTTGGTGGCCCGAGAATTGATCTCCAAATTGAGGATGTCCATAATATGGGCCAGGACTTTCCTGGTACACACGGGAATTGTGAACAGGCATGGGAGCTTGCATGGGAGGCTGCATAGGAGCTGGCATTGGAGCCTGTATGGGCACCGAAACAGGCGCTGATTGATACCCACCATATCCATAGTTTTGCTGGGGTGCTGATGCTGGACCGGTACTTGCATATGGCGCACTGGCACTTGGCGCAGCGGCATAGTAAGAACCATTAATTACAGCCGTAGGATCGGGATTGAAGGGAGGGATTTCTGGCCATTCCGATTTCCAATGGACCACTACACTTCCCAGACTAAGGGAACTGGTGTGCTTGGCTGCGTAATGTTGGATAACACCCTCAAAGCCGTAGAACTTCAGGTGACTGTCGCAGGCATTGCAAAGAAACAGCTCCTTACGGTGGTGTTCAGTGTGCGGCTTGACCTTAGTATCGAATACCCACTTCATATTTTCCAAGACCAGCTTTCGAAGATACGGGCCGTGGAGAGGATCAATTTCCGGTTCCCGGCCTGTTGCGCGGACAGCTGCCTCATCTTTGGATATCTCTGCATAGAACCGCTTCCGCACATATATTAAGACGTCCGCGGCAAATTTTGGGCAGTTTTCATAGTTCACCTTTTCACCACCATTCCACCCGTCACGGATAATTTCATCCGCATACCCACCAATTCTTACCCGCAACGGAGCTTGAATGTCATCCCATTCTCTATCAAGGCTATCTTTAGCCTCTGGATTGATTTGAACATCCTGGTATCGACGTTCGTCAAATCGCTCTTGAACCACTCGGGTCTGAGCCAGTCGATCATTTTCCCGCTGTTCGGCTTCTTCGCGCTGGGAAAGTAGTCTTGGCTTGAGTACATCCCACGCACCGTCGTTCAGGGGTTGGATAATCTGTATAGCAGCCTGGAATGAAGACATGTGTGCTAGAACACCGGCTGTCAGTGGTGGTTCGAGCATCATACACCGCCGCTCTATTTCAGCTCGTCTCGCTGCCTTCAGTTGGGTAACTTCTTCCTTGGTTCTCTCGGGCCTAGCTTGAGGGTGTTGGCGTGGAAGGGGATATTGGTTGAAGCCATTTTGTGATGGCGACTCGAACCTCCCCGGGGCAGTTGCTAGAGGGTTTATTGGTTAGCTAAATCTTTGCGGCGGAAAAATTGTGGTTTCAATTGGCCTTACGAAAAACTGTATGGGCAGGCTGTGAGGTTCCAGGTGGCTGGAAATTTGGAAATGGTCTCGTTTGCTGCCCCGGATTGGTGGGCTGAAGTGGGAACCCTTTGTTATTGCCATTCGTCGCATGGAATATCGGCTTTGCAATTCCAGCTGCAATGAGGTTGCTATTTTGACCTTCTGGTTTTGGGGTTTCGTGATGCACCTTGCGCATGTTCGTGACTCCTCCCATAGACTCATATCTTTCCCAGCGTGCTGCATCACTCTTTCTTTCTTTGCCGCGCTCGTCTAAGCCTTTTAACCACTCTTCTGCTGTGGCCGATCCTAGAGCCTTGACATTGTCGAATTCTTGTTTGATGTCCTCTATATGGGAGTTGGAATACCGTTTAGCTATCTGAATCGTGGGTGGATGTTGTCCAGTTTGTAGAGTGGAAGCAGGAAGAACATGGAGCTCATTGGTTAGAAAAATAAAGGGGAGGGCAGCCATCAGTGGAAAAGGAATAGAAGATGACAACATCAAATCAATTTCCTGGGATACATTAGTTGGGTCCCGAGTAGATAGGTCCAAAAGAAATCGCCGCCTACCTTCGTTGAATTCTGTTCGAGACAGGAGCCGCATGCACGAATACCAAATGACCAAACGGGTACAACTCCGCTTTCACCAGGACCGGGATGCCACTGGTCCCCTGGCACCGTGGATTTGGCCTGTTTCTTATTGCAAAATTGGCATGACGGTCCACAGGCCAGTCTCCACATGTCCAGCTCCGACGTTCCTGCAAGCGGACCGGGCATTCCATGGCGGAAAAGCAGCCTGGAAGATTTCCAAATAGTATCCGAATTCAAGACTTTTGTGGCTGACCCTGGTAGGGCGTCAATGGAAACATCCTTGGAAGGTTCAAGAAAGGCATTGAAAGATTTGTTAACTTGCAATAATGAGCCTAACGCTCTTGGGGGACAAAAAGTAAATATGTGATGCCAAATTTCGGCTGGCAACAAGGATCTGTCATTGAGCAAGTTCCCTTCTGGACTCCGAAACCTTTGGAAAGCTTCATCTGGCTTCAGTCGCTTCCGGACATATTCATCAACTCCACTGTAAACATGTCCATTGGTGGCCTCTTGCGTGGAGCTTGAGTATTTCCGTTTTCTAGAACCTTCCGTTGTAAGGTTCGTGGATGGTACTGGAGCGGATGGCTTGGAATTGTTTGCGTCGGTCGCCCCCTGTGCGGTGGTTGAGTCTAGTCCTTGTTCGTCTTCGTCATCTGTGTCTGCAGACATGGAAACATCTGAGTCGGAGGAGTCGTCGTCGTCGGAGACGATGGTGGTATCCATATTGCCGGACATAACATTTCCACCTAAGCTTGGGGGCGCCTGCGTGGGATGGGATCCAGCAGTAGTAGGGTCTGCGGTAGATGAATCTTCGCTGTCCAACGATATCACGCTACCTGGCGAGTCCATGGTGGTCGACGAGGGATGAAATCAGGACTAATACCTCTCAACACCAGATATAGGGCAGAAAAGGAAAAAAGGACAAGAAGAAAATTAGACAGGAACAGCAGGCAGTTGCATGGGCTATCTGCGACCAAAACACAATGGGCCAAGGGAGATGCTATCGAGGCTGAGACTGGCTCATTGCCTGGGAGTCTCGAGTCTGGAGCCTGGAATCTAGAGGAAGAAACGACGCAGCGTCATGGGTGCAAAAAGTGCAGACAAGAAGCTGCGCGATCGCAACGAAAATGAGCGTGTAGACTAGTTAGACGTAAATGTAAAGCAGCAGTGACGAGAGTGTCGCTGCGAGAGCGAGATGGGGAAGGACGTGAGAGAGAAAGATTCGAAAGGTTCGGACGAGGCGGGATATGGGTGAGATTATGTACTCTGGATGGATGGATGGACGGATAGGTTGGACTGGGACTGGGACTGCTACTGCTCAAGAGGCAAAGCCAGGCGTGCGGTTCGAGTGGTGGTGGAGGAGGTTCCAGATTGTGAAAAAGGATCAAAAAGTAGGGCTCCCCAGAATTATTGGCTGTCAGTGCTTGAGCCGCCCTGCTAGCCCGAAGTGATTAGCGGGCGGAGAATGGATGCTGAGGGTGGCCGCAGTATTACCTAGGGGTGGCTATAATCCTACCGTACCTCCCCCCTCCGTACTGTACCGGATGACGAAGGATCGTTTTTAGCAGCAAGGCTCAAGTCAAGGCTCACCCACGCACCATCACTCGTACCTACTGCTACGGTATACTGGTTGACTGGTTGGTACCTTACACCGTACCGTACCGTACCTTACCTCTACCTACACCTGTTGATGACTACTACCTAAACCACGATCCTTACCTCCACCTCTGCCTCTGTCTCTGCCCTTACCTCAACATGGCCTCTTTAAATACCTCTACCAACGGCCCTTCGATCAAATCTTCATACAATGGAGTCATCAATTCCGCTCCCCCATCCGGTCCCGCCGCAAAGTCCCCAACCTATGGTCAATGGGCCATCTTCTCCGTCTCTGCACCCCTAGTGAATGCCTTCCAACAGGACAGCGGGGGAAAGGAGAGTGTGCTGAAGGTCCAGAGCACCGGAGGTAGGCATATTCTCTGAAGCCATTTTCAGCTCTTTCTATGCTAATTGTGGTGAAATAATAGAGGGGGAGCTGCTGGACTTGATCGAAGACTTTTCAGAAGGCAGAGTCCAATTTGCTTTCGTCAAAGTCCTTGATCCTAATACCACGCTGCCCAAATATGTGTTGATCGGATGGGTTAGTACTGATGGTTTGGAAGTGAGTGACGTGGAAGCTGACATGATATCCAGTGCGGAGAAGGAGTGCCTGAAAGAACAAAAGGCTACTTCACAAGTCATCTTGCTGCAGTATCTAAGATTCTCCACGTTAGCCACCTGTCAATGCCCTATGCGCTTGACTATGCTGATTCTTTCATAGGGATACCATGTTCAGGTTACAGCCCGCTCCGACCGCGATCTGACCCCCGAGAGCATAGTCCAGAAAGTTGCGGATGCATCTGGCTCCAAATACTCCGCTGGCAGTGCTGCACCTGTTTCATCTTCTGGCCATCCACCTCCTGTCGCCTCCAAACCAGCTTTTAACCCTACACGATCGAGTGGAGCTTCTAGCTTTAACCCCTTAGCAAGCTCGCGGGCGAGACAGAACGACCCGAATGCGGATGAGGATGGCTGGGGTGCTGACGCGCCACAAGTGACTCGGTCACAACTGGAGAAGGTTGCGCCCGCATACCAACCGACAAAAGTCAACATGGCGGAATTGACGAAGCAAAAGGAACCTTCGAGGTTTAATGGAAGCCAAAGAGCTGATAACTCTGCCTCCGAAGATACGGTCAGAGGTGGCTACCAACCGGTTGGAAAGGTCGACATAGCTGCAATCCGTGCCCAAGCCAAGAAGAAGGAAGATGACCGACCAACAATCGTGAAGGGTGCATATGAGCCCGTTGGAAAGGTGGACATCGCAGCTATTCGAGCTAAAGCCCAAAAGCCAGGGGATGATGGAGGTCGACAACTTTCACCAGCTGCAACAGGAACTTCTGCCAAAAGCAACATCAGCGAAGAGCACAGGTCTCTTGCGGACCGATCTTCCGCGTTCACACAATCAGAAAGACTTACATCCTTGCCCAAGCCCAAGGTTGCAAATAAATTCGGGGGTTCAGGCTTCACCGGAACCAAAGCGCCCACTCCTGGCCAATTTGGACTTCAATCCGCCCCTCCAACAGCGGCTCCTGCACCCGTCGGCGCAGCAAGTAGGACATTTGCTGATGAGGGTGGAAAGACTCCTGCTCAGATCTGGCAAGAGAAAAAAGCTCGCGAAAGAGGTCTTAGCGGAGCTGCTGCCCCTTCCCCAGGCATTACATCACCTTTGCAAAGCCAAACAAGCGGAGGAGGGCAATGGCAGAGCGGGTATAAAGGGAAGTCTTGGGCCCCTGTGGCTATCAATGGTACTGGTCGTTCTGCTGGATCTGGTAGCATTGGCCAACAGCGAACAGGCGAAGAAGAACACGAAGACGCAGCTCCCGCATCGCCAGTTGGTGGCATTGGGGCAATCAGGGACAGATTCAAGGGTGGAGCACCAATGGGCGCACCCAGTATCCCACGAACAACCACAGGAGAGCAATCACCGCCCCCACCTCCTATGAACACCCGGCCATCTGGACCAACTGGCGGAGTGCCCATGCCTGGTCTTCCCACACGACCCCGTCCCGATGAAGATGAAGAAGAAGAAGAAGAAGACCAAGCTGGACCCAACATCCCTCCACCACCTCGAGTCCAACGCAGCCCAACACCCCCTACCCCCGAAGCACGTGATGTCTCACCTGTCCGAATCGCCATGCCAGTTGCCCGAGGCAGAGAGATTGAAGCCCCAGAAGAGCGCAACCCCCCGCCCGCTCTTCCCGAGCAAGCAATTAGCAACCGCATCCCCGATGAAGAAGACCTCACTGAAGAGCCCGCCGGCCATGACCCAGCTCGTGGCGCAGGAGCCGCAGTGGGCGCAGCATCATTCGGTCACAACGCCCCTTCAGCCATCACCCAGAACTCAGGTGGCAAGCGCGCACTCATCCAATATGACTACGAGAAAGCTGAGGATAACGAGCTCGAGCTTATAGAAGGCGAGTACGTTACCAACATAGAAATGGTGGATGAGGATTGGTGGATGGGCACGAACTCCAAGGGCGAAAGTGGATTGTTTCCTAGCAACTACGTCGAGATCGTCGAGGGCGAAGAGGAGCAGGAAGAAGCTGCCCCTCCTCCTGTGCCAGCTGCTTCACGACCGACTCCCGCTCCTGCTCCAGCAACGGCGCCCTCGGGACCGACTGCGACGGCCGTTTATGATTATGAGGCTGCAGAGGATAATGAGTTGAGCTTTGATGAAAATGCGACTATTACTGGACTAGTGAGCCCCACTTCCCCCCTCCATCATCCCACCTGAAAAGTCATTTTTGGAATTATAATACTGATACTAATGTTTCAATAGGAGTTCCCCGACGAAGACTGGTGGTTCGGACATTTCAACGGAAGGTCTGGTCTTTTCCCAGCAAACTATGTACAACTTGACGAGTAAATTAACGCTCCCCCTTTTGACTTTTGCGGATTATAGAATCTAGTCTATCTCAGCTAGCGGTGGTGAATCAAAAGCTATATTTGCCAAATACTCGCTCTTCTGTTTATTCCTTTGCAAGGCAGTAAATTATTTCAGCCATACCCGTAAGAACAGGGCCCCCAAGCGGTTTTTACTAGAAATGCCCGTGACAATAATATTGCTTTTATAACCTGAACGGTAACATATTACCACGTCAGCTTAAGACAGTAATGACATCGTTATCTCCGCAAAGCCGATTTTTCTTAGCTTTGAAACCCATATGTACGTTGAAGCGGCTATTCTAGGTATACAACGTTATTACCTAGGTACTTATCTCAACCCCTAGATATCAACTAGCCATCAACTATCCCTCCTCGGAAAACCTGTACCGATATATTGAGCTTTATTCTCCAACTGTGAGTCAGATATTGTAGCTTTGAAACACAGCACCCCACTGATTTTTCTGCTATCCTACAGCTCGGTGCGGTTCTATAGATGAATTACCACGTATGAAGGGTGATGGTGGCGAATGACCTTCACGTGCATAATAATTGTCTTCCTTTCCGGATAGATGATGTAATATACCTCTATTCTTTTTCTCTGAGGATTGTGTAGATAGTAGCGTGTTGATGGATGGGCGGACTTGTACTTATACTTGTATTCCAGATGAGGATGCTGGTTTGAGAATCTCTTGTTCCTATGAGATATTGGAAATGAATGGGTGTTTAGTGCTGTTCTTAATCCTATATATTCGTCTTTAACCCTCCGCTTCCTACGAGATATTGTTAATCCACTCGTCAAGCTTCTCTGCAATAAGCTCGGCCCCTGGGGCATTTGATCTGGATTGGTACCAGTCGGATACGTTGAACACCAGCTTCGTGCGATACTCGATAGCCGTCGATATTCTCTTTTTCTGCTCGTCCCAAAACCTAGACCAGTGTGCTGTGCCTTCCATGTCCTTATAGATATCATCTAAACGCGTTGATCCTTCTTTTCCATAAGGACGGTGGAGGATATCTTTTTTGATATGATCTCTAATAAAATGAGCTTTAACGAGCCTCATTAATTCGAACTCCTCCTTGCAGCCCTCCCAACTGCAATGATGATGTGGCCGGCTGTTAATCGCCATTGAAGGGTCGTGATTCAGCCAGCAGATATCCATATATATCCAATCAGGGCCGCGCATAATCCTGCCCCAATAAATTAGCATGGTAAAAGTGCTTAGAGAGAGTCAAGAGCCCAAGAGTCATCGGTGTATAAGACCCTGAAACAGCTCCCAGTTTCTTAGCTTCCATAGAGGAAAACAGCCTTTGTTATATGAGAATATACCTACCAACTGTGTTTTATGATTGTCGTGATTTGGGCAGACGCTTTGGCAGAAGCTAGTCGCCTTCTGTGGATTGCTTCCAATCTATGTTCTTCCCAATAGGGCACCAAATCCGTACCTGGACCTTCCAAGCCGCTGGAAAATAGTCCCACAGCAGCTAAAGTATTCGGATCTCTTTTAACACCACAAGTAGTATGCTTGGGCGGTAAGTACTCGTTGGAGCTTTCCCCCAGAGCTGGTCGAAAATTCGTATTCTGTCCAGCATATACAACACCCTTCATGGAAGGCAAATATTGTCCGTTTCCGCGAGGAGAGTCTTCCGAAGCAGGTTGCCGATTCGCATTCTCTTCGACGCCCATATAATGACTACCATAATGACTAGGTGCTGCTGATACGCCAGAGGAATCTCCCCCGGCAGGTTGCTGACCCGTATTGTCTCTGGTATCTGTATTATAACTATCAGTGATTATATTCTGCCAATACGAAGTTAGAAGCCCTTATCATCATACATTGCTCTCTCATTAACTGATCCCACTCAACCTTCACATTATCGTCATGAGCAAATGGATTCTGCCCGCCGTGTCCATGGGGATTGAAACTAGAATTGAGCACGCTTCGATCACTGCTCAAGCTGGCTGGGACTGAAGCAGGCGAAGCTGCGGGTGCAGTACTGCTTGTCGCCGAGCCATCGAATGGTGCCGTGGAGAAGTTTGTAGTATAGTTGGAGTTGCCAGACAGATCCCAGTGGCCGGAATTGCCATAATCCATGTTGGAAGAATATCTAGTAGCATGTGGGAGAGATGATATCGATGTGATGGGTTTGAGCAATGCAAAGCTGGATCCTCCTGTCGGTGGACGCCCTCCATTATGATGAATAGTCTGCTAGTGAAGAAGGAAAGAACGACTCAGGATCTGGTGAGGTCAAATGATTAAGAGCCTGGAAAGGGGTGTTCACATTCACTGGATCTGGATCGCACAGAGAAGCAGAAATTGAGGAAATTGAATTATGTATGCACTGACTATTACTCGTCATTGAGATGCGCACAGAAACATAGGCCGTGACAAGAAAATTGGTGAAAACCAGTGCATGCAATTCCATTGTAATCCACACTATTGGCCCCATTATTCATTTCCTAGCATCCGCCATTGCCTGCGGCCTGCATATCTCAGTTTTGATCTTGAAATTCAATGTTGTACATAATTTAGGGGTGACGAAGGTGTTTAGCAGCATCCCTCGGCGCATTCTGTGTAGTTGTTAGTACTGTGGGAGCAGAAGGGACTTGTTAGGAAATCATACCACCGCAATCAGCACACGCCTCGCAGCCCTCCTCGGCGACACAGCAGCAGCACAACGCTGCGAGACAGCCCATGAGACAGCCGTTGCCGTTCTTTTGTTTTGGTTGGACGTAGTTCTGTTGTCCGTTTTGCGCGTAGTTTTGTTGTGGTGGTGGGTAGCCTTGTCCTGGGTATGCCTGCGAGAGGATCAGTAATAGGACGACGATATGATATCAATAGCTTACCTGTGGAGGCTGTTGTGGGTAACCTTGAGGGGGGTAGTTCATCTAGTTTGTAAGGTCAATATCGAGTTTGAAATGAGGGCATGGGGAACGTACTCCTGGTTGCTGTGGGTAGCCTTGCTGTGGGTAGCCTTGCTGTGGATAGCCTTGCTGAGGTTGACCTCCGCTGTAATAACCTTGGTTGGACATGGTGAAGTTCTAGAGGCCGGCCGTATTCGAATTATTTTTCTGACGTGCTGTGGCAATCGCGAGAAGGGGAAAGCGTACGTTTTGTTCAAATAGAGTTATTTAAGTAGTGGATTCGAATTTGTTTGGAGGGTATTGATCCAATGTCCGTCTTTTGGACAATCTGAGGAGGGTGAGAGACAGACGTTTTGATGGTTAAAAAGGTTGAGGATTGAGGATTGAAAATAATGATGCGACGGGACGCCAAGCCTGAGGGGAATGCCCCAGGTTTATAGTCCACTAAGGTAGCGTAGCGTAGCCTAGGCAAAGCAAAGCTTAGTCGATGGCTTTGTTTGCACCTGCTGTACGAAGTACCTGTTTTCACCCAAAAACTAAAAAACATCCACCAGATCTAGACCTGCAAAAGTGCAAACTACCCAATTCGTGATGGATTGGCATCCGCAGCGAATGGAATGTCCCTGCTGGTCGACTTAGTCCGCCACCAGTGATTCGAATTCATCACATGAACGTTAAGTCCAGATCTACGGTCGTGCTTTCCCTGCAGCTTTCAGCTGTGGCAGTTCAAGAAGAACAACTTACAAGAACAACTTACCTAGGTATAATTACATGCTGTATCTAGGGCCTACTTACTTGTATTCCATTATGTGGCGGCCGCGACACAACATCGCCACCGCCTTCTTCAACATGCCATGCGTCAAAGCTCAGCCACACATCTACAAAGCAATCGCCACGTCCGTACAGTACCTTCGTACGGCTTACGAAGTTCTTTGGCCCCGCTTTGGCTCCCTCCCTCCCGTTCATGTATCTGATGCTTGGCGGCCGATGCTGACATGGAGGCTGATATATATTCTTTCACGAAGGTATTTCCGAAAGACCTCACTAATGTCACGCGCGTTCAAAATTGAGATAGGTGGACGTGGACTACAAGCGACAGCCTCACTCTCAAAAGCCTTTATAGTATTTCAAAAGACTATTCCAAGTATTGAGCTGCTTCAAAAACCCCAAGTACAGTATAGTATAGGTTTCTGCTATAATCTACATCTTCGAGTTTCGTTCAGTTCAATACCCAAGTTTCATCTCCTAAAGTCCCAGAGTATCCAATTAGACGTCACTTCATGAGTTCTAGATGATATTCCATTCCATGATTCCTTCATAGCAACCTTGAGGAAGCAATCTGAGGAGATATCACCATCACATGATCTAACAGGCGTCTCCCCACCACTAAAATACCCCAAACAACGACACCAGAAACTCTTCTCCAAACTCAGATTATACATTATACCCAGTCACCTTGGATAAAAGCAAAAGCAAGTGATCTGGTAATGGCGCACACAGAACCACTCTGGATGTTACGCATCACATGACTCATATACCCCACCAACTTTAGCTTAGGTAAGGTAGATGACGCGATCTGATTATTATTTTCAGATCAAACCTCCACGAACAAGACATCTCTACGCAGACATTCCCGCAGCTTCCTTTCCGCGACTACTTACTCCCTTGCGGATCCTGCTACTATCTGAAACTACTCTCCATACACGTTGAACCTTTTGCGACTTCAAACGCCTCGATTCCTCCGTTCCTCACCATACAGTTTTCTCCTTACCACCCCACCCCACCTCAGGGATCTGATAAGCCGATAAGTAATCAACAAGTCGCAATTGTTTATATTGTGGTGGTGAGGGCATCACATTTCTCTTGAAAGTCATTGCAAAATCCAGCTTCCCACACCCTCATACCACCACCGACATGTCGACCTTGATGGAGGTCAAGTCCGAGGAGGACTGGAACAAGCATGCGGCGTCTCTTCCCCCAACGACTCTCCAGATCATCTCCTTCCACGCCCCTTGGGCAGCCCCTTGCGCACACATGCGAACAGTTCTCGAGACTCTTGCTTCCTCTTATCCAGTCACCGAACCACTCTCCACATCATGGGTCTCGATGAATGCCGAAGAAGTTATGGACATCAGCGACTCCTTCGATGTCACGGCGGTTCCTTACCTCGTTCTGACCCGCAACAACCAAGTTATCGAGACTGTCAGTGGGAGCGACGCTACAAAAGTACGTGCAGCAATCGAGAAGCATGCGAAGGCGTCGGGAGGAAGTGCGACCAGCAACGGGGCTTCCGCCAGATCTGTTAATAGTGGCAGCGGAGCAAAGAACCTCAGCAATTATACACCAACAACCCAAGAACCAGCTACGGCACCAGAATATACGTCTGGCGAAGTCAAAGAGGACAAGGAGGCGTTGCACCAGCGCTTATCAACATTGGTCAAGGCTGCCTCTGTTATGCTGTTCATGAAGGGTACTCCAAGCGCTCCGCAATGCGGATTCTCGAGGTATTCGCTGCAAAAATGTCTATTTCAAGTGTTCCACTGACTGACACACATATTTAACAGGCAATTGGTTGCTTTACTTCGAGAAAACTCCGTAAAATATGGCTTCTTCAATATTCTCGCCGACGACGATGTCAGACAAGGTTTGAAGGAGTTCGCCGATTGGCCAACCTTCCCTCAACTTTGGGTGGATGGTGAACTGGTTGGGGGTCTGGACATCGTAAGCATCCTCAGAGGTTTCCTGAACAATATAGCATCACTGATTATTTATATAGGTCAAAGAAGAAATGTCCAACGACCCTGAGTTTCTGAAGGCACACAGCGTAACAAAGAACACTACCAGTCTAGTAGCCCCTGCCCAGCAAGCAGCTACTACTGTTTAGAGACCATGCGATGTAATATACCCTTTCAAAAACATAAGTAGCATGTGACAATATCATTCCTAGCAGATCCTTGGCCAAGCGTGCCTGACAACGTTAGTCAAGAGTAGGCTGATTGCGTTAGTCGGCATTTGAAATCGATCCTCATCAGCAGTTAGATTCCCTTACTTCTTTCTCCAGAACGGTCGTGTTATGTTAATTCAGATAGACTCGAGGACTTTCAAAGTTGAATGTCTCAATCTCCTATTTCAGACTTGCAATACATATTTATCGAGTATAGACTTAGGCACCCACCAGTACATCGCTTTCCACATTACAATTAACATGCGTATTCTCTTTAGACTAGCTGCCCCATCCGCCACGGAAGGAGAGTCTTTCCCCCACATCTCAATGGACAATCTCACAACTTCTTCTTGCAAAATCCTTGCTTTCTCCAGTCCCCTGCAGCTCGCGTATTCCAACGCAAGCTGGGCCATCAAATCAAGCGTCTCTACACTGATATTGCCGGCGCCTTGCACATATCCAGATTCTTGAAGTTTTTGCTTGATTAATATAATGTTTTTGATCCTTCTCGGCTCGGAGTTAAGTACCGCGAACGGATATAATGCCGTATGGAAATCTTCCGACCTTGCTCTTGCATCTATTGTCCGCAGGTCATCAACTCCAAGTAGAGTTGTTAGTAAGTCCACATACTCTTTCTGCATCACCTTTGCCTTTTTGCGTTGCTTCAGCTGGAGGTACACTTCAGACAGGTCTTTCATCACCTGTAATGACTCGTAGCTCTGCTCTCCGAAAGTTCTTCTGCGAATTTCTAGAAGCTTTTCGAAGGATCTCATGGCACTCTTTGGCCTCTCCATTGCCCAGTTGGCTTGCGCTACTTTGTCCAACGCTTCCTGCTTAATCACATCATCTTCGCCGAAAACTGATTGAAAATCTTTAACAGCGTCATTACACATATCGATGGCTTCCTGATGCTTGCCGGAAATGGTGTACTGCCCTGCGACTCTGATCATGGCATGCGCTATGCCTCTTGGATAACCCCGCATTCGCTCCATTTCTAGTATCCTTTGCCACATCTTAGTGCATTCCTCGCTCCTCCCAATATTTCCAAGATCATGCGCGACCTGATACATGGCGTGGATTTGATAATTGACATCGGCAGGAAACATCATCTCTATAAGCTCCAGACATCGCGATGAAAATTGTATAGCATTAGCACGGTAGTTTTCCCCAAATGCCATCGAGAACTTTAAAGCTGATAATATCCGACATGGGAGGAATGCCCCAGGAGCGAATATCTGTTCCTCGCTATGTGCTACACAGGCGTCGATGTGCGGCAGTAAGCTCTTTCTCTGTTGGATGGCTGCATAAGTATTATGAAAAGTAGCTGCCTCAGCTATCGTTACGAGCGCTGTCTCCCACGCTCGGGTTCGTTCTTGTTCTGACAATCGACTCCTGGAGAATTCGTGCACTAGCGGGTGCATGGAGATGCGACGTCCTTCATCAATAGTGATGAGAGAAAACGACACCAGAATCCGAAGAGCATGGCTCATGACTAACGGGTCCCATCCTGAAGGCATCACTTGCACCAACAAAGATTGCGCAAAAAGTGTCGACTTGGCCAGCGCTAGGTAACTACTCCGCGCTGCTTCAAAAATTCCCTCCGTGATGCCATCAAAATGCATAAAGGCAAAAAGCCGCAGAAGCTCGAGAGCAAGCACTGCATGATTGTCTTTCATCTCCTCGATCATTTTGATCGAGATCTCCCAAGTGGTATAGACCGAATGCTGATATTCGATACTCGATTGGGAGCGACCTGATTCTAATAACTCTTTCTTCCGTTTCGAGTACACCTCGCAGAAACCTTCGAGACTTGCTAGACGTTGACGAATCACTGCACCAGCTTGGATGATTGCAAGTGCGAGATACCCAAGTGACTTGACAATTTGCTCCGCTGATTCCCTTTCCTTCTCTGAGAATTTCTGTATGGCAGCAGTTTTCAGAAGTAGCGTGGTGGCATCTTCGGAGCACATTTGCTCAACACTACACGAACCAGCAGAGCCATACTTCTGGAAGTCCGGATTGCGAGTCGTTATGAGCACTGTCCCTTTCGTCCCCAGCGGAAAGAACTCTGATATGTCCAAGTTAGGATCATCCGCATTGTCGATGATGAGAAGCCAGTGCTCTTTGTTCGAGAGCCATTGTTTCACAGACTCTATTCGCGCTTCCTTTTTGCAAGTTTGAGCAATGTTCTTGAAGCCCTCCTCTGCCATCTCGTTGCTGCTTGCATCTATCCAGAAAATACCCCAAAACCTACATATGGTCAGCTCGCAAGTCATCGTCATCTTGATGAACGAGACTCCTTACTTGTCTCGATGATCCTGTATAAATTTCAAGCACATCTGGGTCTTTCCGGAGCCGCCCAAGCCATATAAGACAAACCTCTGCTGAGCTCTCGAACTTCCATATACGTCCTCAATCAAACCCTCGTTCAATTGCTGACGGATATCAGTTCTTCCAGTAAAGTGAGGATTCACAGTGTGCGGCACAATGTAAAATTCGTTCTTCACATCAATATTCATCGTCACACTCCCCCTGAATATCTTCTTGATACATCTCACAGCAGTCTTGTAAGTCTTATCCTTATTCGACGAGAAGCGACACATGTCTCTATGTGTAGCATTCACTGGAATCTGCTCCTCGTACGTGGGCGTCTCGCCCGGCGGCGTCAGTAGCGCTGAAGCAATCTCAACGATCTATTTTCCCTCAGTCAGTACCATCCTTCCAGCACCGACTCAGCATTCTCACCAAAGTCTTGAAACCCCTCATCGCCCTCGTCTCATAAAAGCTCACAATATCATACGGTTTTGCTTTATGGTGCTCTCTAAACTTTTCAGTCAAAGTCTCCAGTATATGATTTCCCTTCTTCAAACTCTGCAGCAATTCTGGATCGGGTTTATGCGTGATCGTTGATGCTATTCGCGCAACGGTCGTTCCTACGTCAGCCATGCTGCTTCCTTGGTGCGGTGTGCCGAAGAAAATGACGCCGCTGGTGCTCTGGTATATGTGTTTGTAGTAGCGGCGCTCCTGTTCGGCGATTATGAGTGCCTGCGAAGTGAGTAAAACGAGAAGGGAAGGGGAATAGGCTGGTCCTTATTTACCTGTTTGATAACGAGTCCGCCGAGAGAATGTCCGATGAAAATTAGGGGCCGTTTGATTTCCTTTTGGGATATTAGCCATGCATCTCTACTACAGTACCACTGCCTCTCTATCAACCCATCTATCTCAAGAACACTTACGTCCCTCCCCTCCCTCATCTCCACCAGACACCTCAACAAATCCCTCGCATGCTCCACAATCCCCGCCGTGCTATTCGCAAATATCGGCTTCGCATCATACCCAAAAACCATCACCCGGGCCCGAGGCAAGTCGTTCGGCAGGAAGTCCCGTAGCCATAGTTTATGGCTTTTAGGTTCTGTCCATGTATGCTCGCGATCGCCGTTGAGGCCATGTATCGCTATAATACTATATACAGTATACCAGAAGGTAAACGGTCAGAATATGGTTCTGGGGAATAGAAGAGGTAGGTAGGTAGGTGTAGGGACATGGAGGCTGGACTAACTCGAGATTAAGTGACAAATTCGTTTCGAGATCCTTCTCGTCTTTGGGATGCAATACCAATATCCCCATTATATATATATACCCCTAAACAAAACGAAAATAACTCTATGTCAAAACTCACAAAAACTCATTCATACAGAAATCACAAAAAGCGAAAGAGAAACAGAAAGTCAAGCAACGAGGCTGCCAGAAAGATAGATCCTTCCTTCTTAACCCCCGTCGCCTCCAGGCAGAGAAATGCAGGGGGGATAATCAAAGCAAGCAAACATTACATTTTCGCCTTCGCCTTCGTACCGTAGACTCGGTATCGAATCATGGGGGGCGGAAGTGCATGTTCTTGCGTGCGATGTGGTGTTGCAGGTTATGCATGCGTGTGGGTGGGCGCTTAGCAGACAGGGAGGGCAAGGCGGCTGTGCTGGATGCCTGTACTGGACTTACAGTACACCTCCCCTTCTTTCTTATTCTGGCAAAAAGTTTTGAGATCGTGATGAGTGAATAATTAATTGAGGGGAGTGAATGAGTGTGCAAATTGTGAAGTTGTGATGTTTGATTGATTGATCGTTTTGAGTTGGTGATGGGATGGGTGGAGTTGGGACGTTGGATGTTTTATAGTGGGGAATGAACGGTTACGACCTTCAGGGGTATGTTATACTGAGATTCCTTTTTTTAATCACTTGGAGCTGCTATTGTCTTATCGATGTAGAATTTATACTCTTAACTGCTTCAGTTGAAGAAAGGTCTCCCGTGTTAGAGACTTCTCCCCTTATCGGCAGAGAACCAACATTCTTTCGCCTGGTCATTTAACCACCGAGCGACCTGGTGATTGTCATGCATACACAAAAAGGAAGAAAAAGGGTAGCAACGAAGTTCCTAAAGGTTTTGGATAATTCAAATCTCGAGAGAGCGCAGGGTATTCATCGTCCTAGTATGTTACATTGAGATCAAGAAGAGCAGGAGCACTGCATAGCCCTCTCTGGTTTCGGCACATCGCCACAAAACCTTTCCTCTTCCTTTTCATCTCCACCCCAATGTTCCTCGAATGGATGAAGCGCCATATTCATCACTCTATCTAGAATCTCCCTCTCGCCTCCCTTTTCAACACGTTTGATCAACTCGTCCAAGATCCAACTTCGAGGGATGAATTTAGGGTTGACTTTCTTCATATCAGCTTGTCTGGCAGCATCATCCCCATCTGGGCCCCAATCTTCGTAGACTCTCGAGGCCCATTTCTCTAGCCAGTCGCCGATTCTCTTTCGGGCTGACTCTTCGGTATTTCCGATTCCGGTCACGCCTTCGTGATGGAAAAAAACTCCAGCTTTCTCTTTTCTTTGGTTTTCTGTCTCGAGATCCCCCACTTTAAGATGGCTCAGTTTCCTGAAGAAATGGTTGAAGTCTAGTTCTAATGACTCCATGGTGTCCAAGACCTCGCTGAACAACGATTCGAAATCGGATTCTTTGAAGACCTTCAATCCTAGTCTTGCGGTCATAAGACGCTTGTACTCTTCGAGAAAAACGGCTTTGTATTCTTCCCCAACGCGGGTGATAAGCCCTTCGGCGCGGGAGACCAACTCGTCTGCTCCCTCTTGTCGAACACCTTTCTCAACAAATTCTTCGGCATCAACACCCTCACCTATACCCATCAGCTCGCCAAGTGACTCGCCTAATCGGACAAGATTCCACCAGATAATTGTGGGTTGGTTGCGGTACGAATACCGGCCCATATGATCATCATGATTGGGAGTATAGTTGGGGTCAAAGTTATCGAGAAATGCAAATGGACCAAAGTCAACTGACAATCCAAAAATCGAAGTGTTGTCCGTGTTGAGAACGCCATTGGTAAAGGCATAAGCTTGCCATGCTGCTACCGTCTTCGCATTACGGCGTACAATCTCACGATACAAACGAGTGAACCGGTTCTCTTCCAAGCCAGTAGGCCCCTCGATCGTGTCCTTGCCAACGCCTGTACCTAACGGGCTGTCAGACTTGCCGTCGTCAGCTGGATTTCGCGCAGGAAGTGATTCCCATCCATCAAAGACGTTCTCTGCAATGTAGGTAGATAGCGTCCTGATGAGATCTCGATCGCCTCGTGCCCTGAGAATATCGAATGTACCTATCCGAAGCCAAGACTGTGCGAATCGAGCGACAATTGCTCCTGGCTCCAAGGTCTCTCGTCGAACCTTCTCGTGGGGCAGTAAGGTCAAAGACAAAGCTCGAGTTGTGGGTATCCGAAGAGCATTCAGAGCTTCTGAAACAACAAACTCTCTTATACTCGATCTCAACACTGCCTTTCCGTCCGCGAACCTCGAATATGGTGTAAGGCCAGCTCCCTTCAATTGTAACTCATATCTTGTCTTGGAACTAGGGTTCGTGGTTTCGAAGAGGGAGATGGCTCTGCCGTCACCTAATTGTCCAGCCCATGATCCAAACTGCCATCCTCCATAGCATTGTGCCCACGGGTATCCGCCTTCTCCTTTCTCTACATCCCAACCCAGCAGCCTGTTGCCCGCAACAGTTTCCTTGAACTCTTGCGTCTTCTCTTCTCCCTCTTTTATACCCAAATCCTTCAGGGCAGCAGGGCTTACTGCCAGTAATTCCGGATCTTTTGATTCTTCTGGCCGGACCCACGTAAATAATGCGCCCTTTACTTGCCAAGGGTGGATCTCATCTCGAGGTGTCTTGTGTGACTCTGCGGGAGTAGGCAATTTTGGATCCGGGGGAAGCTTAGATGTAAAGGTCCATGATTTGGGGAGGTCTTCTAGGGAAGTGCCCGTGTACGAAGAGCCATTGGAAGTATTCTCGTTTGATAGATGGGCGGCCATTTGCGCAAGTCGCATGCGGGGTACTTGGGGCCGAGAGACAAGCCTTGAAAGCATGTACAAGGAAGATAGTAGAGCAATTAGATATATGATATGACTTTTAGAGTAAAAGAAGAGAATGGAATGGGTATCAGGAAGTAATTGGGATCAGAAATAAAAGATGGGAGGCTAGTTGAAGATCTCTGTTGTGATTTGAAATGCTGAACGAATGACGTTGAAGGCCTCGGCCTCGATAAGAAGTGGCAATTCTGCCATGTCATACCGCTTTACATAGAGGACTGACAGGCACGTGACTGTTACCAGGTATTACCTAGTCCTTAACTCTTTTAGTGTTTTACGGCCTTTCCTATTAAATAATGACCGCTAATTATGACCACTTCTTCGGGCTAGACACAGAAAGCGGCACCTATCCTTACTATCTTTTGGTCACCTGGCACATTAAATCAGTGCCGCTTTTTGTGTCCCGCCCCGCGAGGTTTCTTTTTTTGTGGAGACAGGCGTGAAACACTAGGTATGACTACAACTAGCAGTTGGACATGATTTACTCGTACATTACCAGGGGGTATCTTAGTTTATCAACGTACAGTAATTCGGGGTCAACTTCTTTCTCTTATTCTTTGGGGTTTGATTTTTGAAATCCAAATGCTCCAGATCACGCGGCATCTATCGGAGACTTCTACAGGGAGCCCCATTTCAGTGGGGATGACGACAGTGGCGTCCGATCATGAATAACTCCGTGTTCGTGCTTTTGCTGAATAATTAAGAAATCAATCAGTCTATCTCTTACCTACGGATTGTACCTAGGTAGATGTCTATTTCTCTCATGTCTGTTGCATTATTCAAAACAACTCAATTGACCAGCTTGGCCCAAATAATCAACCCTTTCTCAAGTCCTCAAACGCGTTTCTTTTACCCCTCCACCCCACTTACTATGAACTCAGCAACCTCAGCTTATCAAACATCACATCACCCCGAAGGAGGAAACGGAGGAACAGCCCCGAAACAAATGGCTAAAATCAATCTTCTCAAGCTCAATGATGGGAATGAGATTCCAATGGTATGATCTCTCTTGGCTGATGTATGGACCTTGCTTACATTGGTGTAGGTGGGGTACGGACTCGGGACAGCGAGGTACAAGTCTGATGCGAGTGCTCCTCTGGACAAGGAAACTGTGAAGACAGTCGTTATGGCAATCAATGCTGGCTACTATCACCTCGATGGCGCAGAGGGTGTGTCAAGCTCTCCCAATTTTCAGACACAAACTTAACTCTCTCTAGTCTATGGCAACGAAGAAGAACTCGGCCAAGCCATCAAAGAGTCTGGCGTCCCACGAGAAAAGCTTTATGTCACCACTAAAATCAGCGGTACAAAAGTCCAAGATACGCAAAAAGCATTTGAACTCTCTCTTAAGAAGCTCGGCCTCGATTACGTGGATCAGTACCTAATCCATGCCCCATTTTTCGCCAAGACTCCCGAGGACCTTCAAGCAAAATGGGCAGACATGGAAGCAATCCATGCTTCAGGAAAGGGAAGGACCATTGGTGTTTCCAACTTCCTCAAGCCGGATCTGGAAGCGGTTCTTAAGACCGCAAAAGTTATCCCTGTTATCAATCAAATTGAGTACCATCCATACTTGCAGCACGGTGATCTTGTCGACTTCCACAAGAAGCACGGAATTGCTACTTCTGCTTATGCTCCATTGACTGCGGCGGTCAAGGCGAAGCCAGGTCCATTAGATGCAACGTATGAGCAACTGGCGAGGAAGTACGGTGTCACGCCAGGAGAGATCGCGTTGAGATGGGTTATCGATCAGGGAATGGTAGTTCTGACAACTAGTGCGAGCGAGCAGCGTCTGAAGGGTTATCAGAAGATATCGCAATTCAAGCTGACGCCGAAGGAGGTCGAAGAGATCTCGGAGATTGGAAAGAAGAAGCATTTCAGAGGTTTCTGGTTGGATAAGTTCGCCCCTGATGATATATCCTGATTCAAGGTTTGTCAAAGAGTCTCTTAGGTCTTGCGGGTGGTGGCGAGCAGTGGTGGCAGCTTTAGTCGATGGGGAGGTTTCAATGTATCCTCATCCCTACGGAATAGCTTCCTTACTTATTTCCGCCCAAACATCTCAATAGCAACGCAATAGAGAATAATTCAACGACCGCCTCCCACTTCCTCTTGTAAAGTTGACCAAAACACATTACTACCACGGGTCTAGTTCGCCTCTTACTGGTTGGCACTGTTAATTTTGAAGGATTTACTGAAGTTCAACTCGAATCATTCATGTCTTGAAGCTTGAGACTCAGGTCCTCTCTCTTAACTGTGTTACATGGGTACTTTGGTCACGAGACTGTCTCGTTCGACTCCAATCCAAAGTCCCCTCGACAAGCTATGAACAACTGAGGCAATATAACTTCCTCGATAAGGATCTATTAATAATTAAGAGAAACAATTCAAATTTACCACGAGACTTGACTTCACCCACCTAGACATCCCGCAACTTTGGGTCTGACATAAAACCCTGACGAGAACATCGACATATCACTTTTGAGCGACCCAACAAATTGGTCACTTAGACCAACCAGAGCCCCGAATGCAAAGAGCATCATATTAGCATCACGTGGTCTAAACGGTCACACGATACTGAGTAGATCGGAATCCATCATATTTACCCCACACTCCGGCAGAGGAATTACACTTCCCCGGGCTCGAGCCGTTTCCACGACGTAGGCAAGTACGGTTTATGGGTGACTCTAATAGAGTTCGAGAGCGCAGCTTGAGTTCAGAAAGCTGTCCCCTCACAAGCGGCATTATGGTGAGAACGGGCATCGCCGCTATGAGGTCGGGTGATGCAGTTGAAAAGCAGATTTTGAAAATGCCGACTACGACTTTCTCAGAGAGCACATACATAGATGCAGAGACGAGATGCGTTTGTATAGTACTCCAGTGCTACCACACACCGCAGCCCGGTGACTGGCACGCGGAGAATTCGGCTGTCCGCATGCTCGTTCGACTTGGTAACTGTGAGACGCCAGGTTTGTGAGCTGACTACTATTGAACTCTTTATCCAATGTATAGTCGGGGTCCGCGCTGGGAAGCCACACACGGCGGGAGGGGAGGGGGATATCGTCATGTATGTTGCTAGAGAGCTACTTCGCATGCTGTGTTCACGTCCGAGAGTGTCTGCGTGGTGTGATTGGACTGAAGAGCGGTGTGGTTGGAGGCAAGAGGGCTCTTTCCGCAGATGCTAGTTTGGGGAGAGTGTGGGACGGTATTGTTCTTGATGGGAGACTTGGGCAAAATAACAATAAGACGATGGACGATGAGCCGTGCCCAGGGGGGTTAGTTGCCGGGTGGTTTGTCGTGTATGGAGTACAGTAAATAAAGAAGCGTGCTATTACAGGGATGGGAGAAAAAGAAGCCCTGAGAAGCAACTTGGGGTGGGGATGTTTATATTTCTTGCAGCAAAGGCCTCCACACCTCAACTTGCCGTTGCACTATTCGTCCGTCTACTCACATAGCAACCTGTGTGCCATTGCTATCGGACGCTAGACATTCTGCAAGCACGTATGCGAGATGGCAACGCGTGGAAGAAGGTTTTATGGGAGTAGTATTGAGTTAAGTAGAGGATAAGCAAAGTGATGTCCGGACAATATGGGTAAATGTAATTCATCGTCATGAAGCTTTGACTGCTGGGTTGAGGGAGCCAATAGAGTTTTTGGTCCCTTGGCGACTCGCTGATGCTTGGGAATCAATGGATGTTTGAATTCCCTTTAGATGTGGGGGCTTAAGGTGACTGGTATGTACGCGTAGTACCCGCCGTAGAACTGTCAGAAAGAACAACAGGCAACAGGCACAGGTTGCTTGACAGCTGAAGCTGAAGCCGAAGCCGGTGCATGGAAGTGAAACTGCAGCGGCGTACTGGAGGGGAGTAAGCTGGCTGGGTGAGAAGCTGTTGGCTGCTGCTTTAGAAGGCCGATGTACTGTAAGAGAGAAAGAGAAAGAGGACAGAGAAAGAGAGCCCGGCCTTTGTTTAGTCTCCCGAGAAAACGCCACCTGATTGGCAGATGCTTACCCCCGCTTTAACCAGCGCAACAAGTGCCCAGTGCGTGAGTTACTAATAAGTGAGCGAGTGTGAGCCATGGCATGGGTGGATGGTTCGATGACCCTAGGCCTAGGTATAGTACTGTACGCGAGCGAGGGTTGAAATAATCCCAATCCCAATCCTTCTCCAGCTTTTTATTGTGAGCTCGACAACACTCAACCCGGACCTCGACATTCGACCATTGCTGCAGCCATTCCGCACCGGCCACTTGCGACAGACTCCCCCTAACCGGCAGACCGGGTTTGGTGGACTTACCTAGGTACCTACGGAGCCAATACCCTGGTTACGAACGCTCTGCGAAGGGGCGCGTATTCCACAACAACACCAGGAGACGTCACATCAATTACCATGATGTCTCTCACATCCGCCCGCTGCTAGTAACTGGCGTCCTGCCAGACGCCGAGGCGAATTCAAACACGGTTTCCAGCACTCACACCGGAAGAGGCGACGCGAATGACATCGACAAGCGAGGGGACCCGAGGGCATCAGAACGACAACGAGAACTACTCCGGTCAATGTGGGCACAACAGCCGATTCTTAGGAATCTAACTTGCCATGGAGGGAAACAACAACATGCTGGCACCGCCAGTTGTCTCGCACCTACGGGCACAAGCTGGTGGTCACATGGAGCGCAGCCTGAGTACCGATATACGGGAGGAGAGGGAGGACCTACGAGAAGCTGCGGAACAGACGCTCAATGTTATAATGGACCTCAGCCTCGACGGTAGCATTCGATGGGTCAGCCCCTCATGGACCGACGTTATCGGCACTACTCTCGAATCTGTGCAAGGAAAGCCAATCAAGGACATTCTGGTTGGCGACAATAGGGAGGTCTTTGCGGATGTGGTGGAATCCATGAAGAAGGACGATTCACGCAGTCAAATCATTAGGTTTACTGTTCAATTAGGTCCTGGGTCCAAGTTGCGATCAATCGAGTCACAAGACAAGTTGAAGGCAGAGGGCGAGGATGAAGAGCCGACTCCTCAGGCCGAGCCGGCTACAATCGATCTCGAGGGACAAGGTATCATGGTGTATGATCGTTCTTCAGGAGGAGAAAGTCATGTAAGTCGAATGGACAATCATATTCCAGGCGGATTGATACTAATTGGTACAAACAGACAATGTGGATGATTCGACCATGGATTGCACCACGCGAGATTCAGATCGACCTGCCGGACGTGATTGTCGATTCTCTTGGGTCTGGTGCCGAGATTCTAGCATCCTATCTGACTACTCTGGCTGAAGTTGGCTTTGCGGATCCAGCTCATAATGCACCTCCTCTCCCGGTGCTTTGCCGTATTTGCGAACGTCAAATCCCTCCGTGGTGGTTTGAGAAGCACACGGAGCTATGCCTTCAAGAACACAAGGCTGAGATGGAAGTTCAAATGTCTCAAGAAAATCTGACTGAACATCGCCACGCTATTGTCAAGGTACTAGATGCTCTGGAGGCCCGGAAGACTCGATCTGTGTCAAGCGACCCAGCTCCTTTGGCTACACCACAAGCTGAGTATAAGGGGATGCCAATTGGCCCCTGCTCGACGTCTTCCTCCTCAGGTACAGCTTCCCCCGGTACCCCTGTTGGGAGGTCTCGAGATTCATCCTCAACTAGTGGGTTTGGCCATTCGCGGCAGCGGTCCTTCGCTGTCCGACGTCCACAAGCAAGAATTGTCGAGTTATTACTTGATCTATGTGATACTGCAATCGAAATCAGCACGCCAGCCATCAAGGAAGGCCCCGCGCAGACTCCTGGCGAGTTTCGCACGCAGTCTCCTCAATCAGAATCGCGATTATCACAGGTTATGCAGTGGCAATCCCCAAGCACAAATACGCTCGACCAGGAGCAAGGTCTAGCTTTATTATGTGCTGACAGCGAGAGAGCAGCTAAGTCAAAAGTTGAAGCTGTTATTCGGCACCGGAGAATCATTGAGTACTCGGAACGCATTCGGATGGAATTTTCAGTAGTTGTACAAGATTGCATCGATGAAGCTATGCGGAAAGCTTCTCGGATTGCGGCTGGCCTCCTCAGCGAATCTGAGTCTGAAGAGGAGAGAACTCTTGCTAATGACGATGGCTTCTTTACTGGATCTTTTGATGGACCATCGTCACTCGCAGCTGCTCTACGAGAGGCTGAATTGAGACGAGATGCTGAGGGACATCAATCCTCATCAACTGCTGGTTCAGCCAGGTCGTGCAGTCCCAAGGAATCTCCAACGCCCAAGTCCCAAGGTCCAAACAGCATACTTTCGCAGTCACAAGGCTCCCGACGGCAATCATTATTTTTCGAAAGTGATGCTGGTGATAGTGATGGCAGCATAAGATCTTCATCTCTAATGTCTCGTCCACCACCCCGAACCGATTCCCCAGTCTCTGAATTTGGCGATCTACGTCGCGCGGCAAGCTCTCGTCAACGCCATCGTAGAAGTATTATTCTACCTGGTACTTCTTCACCTCATCGTCAAGAATCACCTGTCAGGATCCCACAACCATCATCGCCCTTACGAATTACAAAACCACGGGCATTGCCAATTGCACGCGAAGGTATTGTGTCTCCTACAGCCTCTCCTTTTTTGCCCGGAAGCGAATTCAGCTCTCCTGCCCTTATTCCGCATCACCACAGACGTCAATCATCAGCTGCGGGTTCTGATCCCTCACGACCCCCACCATCTCCTCGTATGAGTGCTGTAAGTGCACCCCAGGCTAGAGCTGTACCACCATCTATCAAAGACTTTGAAATCATCAAACCTATTAGTAAGGGTGCATTTGGAAGTGTTTATTTGGCGAAAAAGAGATCTACTGGCGACTACTATGCAATCAAGGTGTTGAAAAAGGCAGATATGGTTGCAAAGAATCAGGTTACGAATGTCAAGGCGGAACGAGCTATCATGATGTGGCAGGGTGAAAGCGACTTCGTCGCAAAGCTCTACTGGACGTTTTCCAGCAAAGATTATCTCTACTTGGTTATGGAATATCTTAACGGAGGTGATTGCGCATCTCTTATCAAGGTTCTCGGCGGCCTGCCAGAGGACTGGGCGAGGAAGTATCTGGGAGAGGTCATCTTGGGGGTGGAGCACCTTCACAACCGTGGTATCGTTCATCGAGACTTGAAACCAGACAATCTTCTCATCGACCAGAAAGGCCATCTTAAGCTCACCGATTTTGGTCTGTCGAGAATGGGGTTGATTGGACGTCAAAAGCGGGTTCTAAACAGCACGAACGAGTCTGCTCCGGATCTGCTTAAACAAGGACCATTCGCACGCACAACTTCGATCAGCTCCTCGCGATCGACTTCGTTTGACTTCCAAGGACATCATTCGCCAGGCTCGACGCCTCAGATGACTCCAGACCTCGGAGGTAGCACTCCTTCATATTTCAGTCTAAGTCGTGAAGGCACTGTGAACAAAGACTCTCGACGCATATCTGGTCGCAGTGATAGCGGTGGCAGCGAGACCCTGAATCAAATGTTCACAAGCTTTTCTCTGCATGACAATCAAGGTCAGCAATTGATGGGCCAGCGAAGAACCCCGATAGAAGAAATTAGCGAGGGTGAAGCCAACAACTCGCCTGATTTCCTCCCGCTCCATCAGATCAACAGCCAATCAAGCAATGAGCAAAAGAACGCGCTACCACAGACAAGCATGATGCCGCCCCCAATGGCTCTTTTCGATCCAGATGACAGCAATAGACGATTCGTAGGCACCCCAGATTACTTGGCCCCCGAGACTGTGAATGGTGTTGGTCAGGACGAGAGGAGTGATTGGTGGTCCGTTGGCTGTATTCTGTTCGAGTTCTTGTACGGTTATCCACCTTTCCATGCAGGTACTCCTGATGAAGTGTTTGAGAATATTCTTGCTCGAAGAATCTCCTGGCCAGATGACGCCGACTTTGACGTCTCCCCTGAGGCCAAAGATTTGATGAATAAGCTCATATGTCTCGATCCACGTGAGCGCCTCGGAGCTAATAGCGAAGAGAAGTATTCTTGTGGTGGTGATGAGATTCGCAATCATCCATTCTTCGAAGGTACAAACTGGGAGAAACTTCTCGAAGATGACGCGCAATTCGTCCCTGCACCCGAAAACCCGGAAGATACCGAGTACTTCGATGCTCGTGGTGCTACCTTGCAGTCTTTCGCCGAGGAGATGGAAGATCAGTCGTCACCACCAGCCTCAACACCAGGTGCAGACTATCCCGAACGACCCCACGATGCTTTGTCTCGAGTTAGATCTCAAGTCAATTCGATAAAGCGAGGCCTAATGCCGTTACATATCCCACCGCATGTTCGCGATTCGAAGAGTCGTAGACTTAGCGAGCCGGTTGTTGCTGACGACTTCGGTAATTTTGCCTTCAAGAATCTTCCCGTCTTAGAGAAGGCAAATAAGGATGTCATCCAAAAACTCCGAGCCGAAGCGATGGCTGCGCAAACCAAACCTGTGGCTATCAGCCCTAGTTCTGGACCTACAAGTGCCACTTCACCTACACCAACATTGGAAGGCAGTCCGATATTGCCAATGCCAATTCAAAAGACACTTTCAAATGCAAAGGCTAGCAACCGCCCATCGTCTCCGTCAGGGTTGAGCCAAGCCAATGCATCGCCTAGTCGCCAATCACAGCCATCATCCCCCTTACTTGTTTCGTTCGTTGCAGGTCAGAATGGCGAAGGAAGACGGAAGACATCGAGCAACTCATCTAGTCTTTCACACCAGTCCAGTAACTCGCTTGCTCCTGGCAGTTTTTTCGAAATGCCTCGAGTGCCTGCAAATCTTCAGAAGTCCACAAGCTCTGCCGCCGCTTCCCCAGTGAAGACCCGCGGTGCTGCACCGCCACCTTTGGCACTGTCACCACAGAAGATTTCAACGCCAAGACAGGCGAGCAATCCATCAACCCGAGCCCGGTCCCAAACTGTGGGGTCCCAGGAAGGTAGTCCTACTCCGGGTGATCTGTTCTCTCACCGCAAGCGACGAAGTCAGGTCTTTGACATGTCACCTTCGTCTTCAGATAATGAGGGCGACAAGGCAAATGCACTTCTACGCGTTCAAAGACGTCGTCAGAGCTCTAGGCGCATGTCGCAGATAAATGTACAAGATGGACCAATATTCCGTCCTTTAGATGTTTTGATTTGCGAAGATCACCCTGTCTCAAGAATGGTCATGGAAAAGCTACTCGAGAAATTGAGATGTAGGACTATCACAGCTACAAACGGAGCCGAGGCGATGCGGTATGCAATGAGCGAGATCAAATTCGACATAATTCTGATGGAGTTCAAGCTGCCTCAGATCAACGGAGCAGACGTTGCGAGAATGATTCGCGATACGAAGAATGCCAACTTTCAGACACCTATCGTTGCAGTTACTGGGTATCTTAAGGAGCTCCAAGCACCGCATCACTTCGATGCCCTTATTGAGAAACCTCCCACAACATCGAAACTGACAGAGGTTATGTGCCGACTTTGCCAATGGAAGGCGCCAGCTCCCGGCCAAGTCACTTCGGCTCCTATGGGATATCCACAGCCTTCTGGTTTGCGGCAAGAGAGCTTGAGACTGGAGGATAGCCCAACCTCGGGATCCTCAGGGTATGCTCACATGCCTGGAAGCAGCTTCAGAGGTTCAAGCCGTGAAGACTCTATGAGCTCTAGCCTTTTCGGCGACTCGGAGTCCTTTATGACTGATGATATCTCTGTAGTTATCAGTCGAAAGGCCACTGGAGACTGGGATGACCCTAGTGGTCTTGGGATTAGCAATGAAGAAGCATCGCTTGATTCTCAACATCTCCCGAAACAAAAATTACCCTATTCTCTCCTCCACGAAGTATCCGCGCCCGGTCGAATGGAGCAAGATCAAAAGCTGCCTCTTCGGCAGCGCTCATCGGAGGCGATGAAAGCAAAGAGGGAATCGATTGAGAAGCACCGCCATGAATGTGCCGAGTCAGGAGACGACGAAGACGAGGAACTCGGAGATACATGTGTGCGAGAGAAGAGCCCAAAACAGGCCACCAAACCCAATCGCGGATCAAAATTGGGCACTGAGATGATGCGAACAAATAGTCGCGGGAGCGTTGTTTCGTCATCAGACCTGACTGCCAGCGCCGACTCAGTTGAACCTCCCCCAACCGTCACTGAAGAACTTCCCACAGTGTCCGAAATTAGCGGCGGTCATTTGACACCTCCTGAGGTCTTCACCACTCCTGGAAACAACGTGATCGAGATCGACTTTGACGAAACACCAAAGGCATCCTCTACACAACTCGACTCACTAGACGAAGAGCCAACTCGACGTGCACCATCAGTCGCTTCGACTAGGACAGACTAGATGCATCTCAGCAGATAGACCAGTTCGACTTTTCTTTTATCTTATCAGCATTCCCTACACGACACAATTCGACTTTTTCTTTCACTCATCACGAACTCAAGCGCGGCGTTTATGGTCAAGAATTTTGGGAGGGCGGCAGGCGGAACCAAATATGACGAAGGGATAACCAGGCGTTTTACTGAATTGGTCTTCTGAATGTGTTTTTGCTGCATTTACACCACTTGCTTCACTTCACGATACAAAAAAATATTGCTGTGCACCTTATTTCATTTCTTTTTCCGATCGGCGGAAACTCCACACTCCACCTTCGTTGATCTTTGCTTTCTTTTGTACAATTTAGGCGGATAAAGACGTGTTGTTGTTAAATTGCCCCAAGCGCTGGGGCTTTTCTTATATTTGACGTTATTGCGTTGGGTTCTTGATGCGTACGTAGGTGGAATGGATGGAGATATGGCACCAAGTCTTGAGATACGAGGACTGTGCGGCATGTGATATTGTAGACTATGGATGGTTTGCAATATAAAACATTAAATTGTGTACCGTTTTTGTTGTAGGTGAACGCTACTGCCATGTGGAATTTTTATTGCTGGCCGGCGTCTCTTCAGGCTACGCGTATTACTTCTTCGTGTCTTCCCAATAACCCGAACCGCTCTATAAAGAACAAATAAGGTGGAACACCCCCTGCAAACTGCGCATCGCTGCCACCTTCAGCCTCGGCCTAGGGTAAAGGTCCTCTCATATATAGTATCACCGAACTCGTGAGCTTTTGTATCAAAGTGTATCAAACGTCTTGTCTCTAATGCTTTTGAAGCTTTATATAAGGTTGCTTTAAGTCAAGTTCAAGTTGAAGGTTTTACCCCTTCTTGCTTAATTAAGCGAGGGTTGGGTAAGCTAATGGGAGTAGGAAAAGATGAAAGGGTTGCAATTGAAATGCAGGAGTGTGATAGAAAGGGAGAAGTTGTTTAGAGGACAAGAGGGGTTGAGGTGTGTTGGTATGCTTGAGAAACGAAATGGCAGTTCTGGTTGGGAATTCAAAGGTCTTCTTGTGCTATGTTTGTGGCCGAGATCTATACATGTGTTCATGATGGAGGTGTGGAAAATGGGAAATATTCGCGTAAACTTTCTCTAGATTTGAAATTCATAGTAAATTGTGTAAACAAACGTGATGAATCATAATAAATGTAGAAATGGGAAGCTGCAAAGCTTGTGAAGTGGTACACTGGGTACCTAGGTACTGTAGTTTCGCACGGTTATGTAAGCGTTCTCGAACTAGGTATTACATGCAATTCCAACCTCACTTGGATCCTACTACTCTTCCTCATCAACAACGATCACCACCAAATTCCGTGGATCTCCTTAAAATATATTATTTCAAGATCTGGAAGTTCGGCAGTGATAGGCTTCTTTGCAATGTCTGGATTCGCGTGTTATTGGAAGTCAGCCCATATATCACACCACCTGTTAGTAAGTATGGAATGCGCAAACATGTAGTATGTTCATCACGAGCTTTCTTATAGTACAAATACCTTTCTTGATCCAATAAAATATCTTCCAAAATTATTCCTATTATCAATTGCACGATTTACTCAGCAGGAAAAGCTGCAAACAACAACAATCCGAAATATATTCGAGACACTCGCAAACATTACAATCCCCGCCTTCAACATGATCCTCTTCGAGACTAACACCTCAGTCTTCGAGATATTATGGGACATCGCCCTCGCGCTCTTCATAATACGCATCGCCTTCGTCTACTTCCTCCTCTCCTTCATAAGCGGCGCCATCGTAGTCTATTTCCGGATCGCCGAGATAACGCCCCTGCACCACCTAACGCAACCCCAATCCGATCTCACAACCTTCTCGATATGGCTCATTGCCATCACCCTGTGGGCGCGTTACTCAACCGTCGCCTACCAGGTACCCAGAGTGGGAGGCTTCAGGCTGGCGATTGGGGCGTTGGCGACGGTGTTTATGCTATGTGCGGAGCTGGTAGGCGGAGTGGTGCTGTATGAGAAGGGGTATGTGGCTTGGACTTGTCAGACTGATTTGCTGGCTGCGGGGCTGGGTGTTGGAAGCCTAGGGGTGTATGGGCTTATGCCGTGGCTGCTTATGAAGGTGGAGCAGGAGTCGGATGAGATGGGAGAGACGTATCATGGGCATGAGAAGAAGCCGATTGTGGCTGCGGTGTAAGTCTATTGCCTTGTTCTATGCGCGGTTGCTAATGTTTGGTAGGCCAACAGTCGCGTTGACGGAGAAATCGAAACAGAATGGAAAGAAGCACATTTGATATCTCGCGTGACACAATGAGCCTAGATTTTTGTCTGTAAGATACGATGTTGAAGAAAGTAGATTAGAGTGTTGTCGGCGTCAGGTGGAACACATTGGAAGGCGTTAGGTTTGCCATCTCCAAGTAGGAGAGGCTTACTTTGGCCGACGGCACTGTATAAGTACATCCATATCAAGGGCTGAGGAATGCAAGCATCATTCCCAAAATCTTTAATTAATACATATATTTACCTCTCCATATATTCGCACTATACTTGGATGAATGGTCTTGCGACTTTCGATATACCATCATTAACGGTACGTGAGTTGTAGACTGTTTCAAGTACAATAATACTGGGCGGCACGTTTCTACGATCTCCTCGTCCTGCTCTATGACTATTAATAATCCACAATTAGGTGAAGTAAAACTGCAATCAGATCTTAATAAATATGTATAACTCAGATTAGCTTGACTCGTACCAAATAGAAAGTTTATATTGAGCAAGATATATTTGTTAGCTAGGTAACTTACTTCCATTTGGTTTTGAGGAATTAAAAGCCGCCAAATTTCACTCTTATGCTTTGGAATTGTCCTCCGTGTCGCATTGTATTTCATACTGTAAAGATGATCTATGGTATACTTATTCTAGTATGAATGTTTACATTCACATTCGGCTGGAAAAGGGGCAGTGCATCTATGGCACAATTCACCCCGCCATACTCGTAGCGTTGTGGTTGACGCCTGATCACGAGCTTCAACGCGCGCGTTGTTGCCGTTCAATTGACTTATCTACAAAGAAGGCGACCAACAATGCTTGGACAACTCAAAGATACACATTGCTTAGCAACTTGCTTTAATCATGGTAAATCCCTCAGATGTGGAAATCCTGGTGCACATCACCGCCCCAAGCAGAGGACCAGATGATGCTCGATATCGAGCTCTAGCTCACGCGTATTTGGACTTTGAACCTACAAGGAGACACAGAATAGAAACTGACGCGCCCATTGGCATGGAAGGAATGGGAGAAGAGGAGGCCCAAAACCAACTTCAGGAGGAGTTGCATCAGTCCACGCAAGAAGGGCGGGAATCTGAGGCCTCATACCGGCCAGACGAGGAAAGCGCGCCCTCACGAGCAGCCTTCCCATACGAATATCAACACGCACCAGGCTTTTCGCAGTCACTTACTTCACCCCAACTGTCTTTCGACAGCGTGTTAGACTCTCCAGTCTTCCGCCCCCCAAACACGTGGCAGCAACGTCTGTCTCAGTATGACGGAAGTCAGGAGGAGGAGGATTCGGGCAATCCATGGTCCAAGGCACCAAGTACGATTGCCGATTCCCAACCGGAAAATGACAGGTCAATGGCAGCCATAGCCTCTCCGGCTACAATGTTGGAATTGATACTACAACAAATTGACACCTCTGATGAGACATCACTAGGCGAAACTACAAGCCAGAGGTCGAGCAGATCCACACGTTATGGCAGCCATGCTATTGCCTCCAGCCAAGACAGACTTGGAGGTATAACTGTCTCTAAGATGGCATCATCCTCCCCCATGCCCGTCATCGAAGAATTTCATCTGGGGTCTGTAATTCAAGTTGCCCGAACTTCAAGCGCCGACCAGATGACGAATGAGAGAACTGCCGAGGCACATACCTCTTTTCCGACAAACAAGACAATTGATTCTGGTGCGCAGATGCTTCCTGCAATTTCAGTAAATGGAATCTCAGGCACGCCTAGCCCTGCCTTGCCACGAGCCCGACCTGAAAGATATCAGACTCGGAGCTCATCGCAGAGTTTTGGAAGTGTTGTACCTGCGACATCTACTCCTATTATTTCTTCCTCTGGCCGAGAAATTAGAAATGAAGAGAATGATCCCGTGGAAGCTTCATGTTCTCAACTTGAAGTACCAGCAACTTCTACGCATGGTATGATTTCGTTCCCATTATCGGAAGACGTTAGTAAAATGCAGTCTTCCGTTCAAATTCAAAGCTTTGAGAGGGAAATACCTCCAACGGCTACTGCTCCTATCATAGCTCGATTTGTACAATCAGCGACCCCGCAGAAACAGCACAAGTCCACCCTGGAGTCTCAGACAAACCTGCCCCCTGCCATGCAGGAGCCAAATCTTCAATTGAAAAGAAAATGGCCTGAAACTATCCCTGAAAGCGAAAATGTTTCGTCTTCAGCACCAGCAACTGCGTCCTCCAAATCTTTTCCTGGGAGTTTGCGGCCGCAGAAGAGGCAACACCGTGATATAGGCTCTTCGCAATCCGCAACTACCTCCGTTCGGATCCCTTTAAGCGATACTACCAATATTTCGATGAATTTACCACCCAGTAGTCAATCTATTTCTCCGTGGGCCGATAAGCTTGAAATACGACCAGGTATACCAATTACGGCCTCTACAGATTTGACTCCTGAGATGCTCATCACCCCTGACCTAAGCTTGTTAGCTTTTAAGATGAGGACAGCAAGCCTCTTTCGCCCTGCACACCAATCTCGAGACCTGCGACCAATGGAACGAGGCTACTGGCTTGTCAATTGTGAAATGTGGAGCACCCAGGTTCGAGCCGATACCTGGAAGCGGCTGGGAGACTTCGTTGGGAAGTCAAGAGTTGGATGGGGTGTTTGGTGCGTGAGAGACGAGCAGTGCAGTATGATTAGAGTTTACTGCTGGGGAGTCATCGTGGGCCATATTTACCTGCTCCTTGTGCTGAGCAGCGGGAACAAGATGAATAGGACTAGGGCGTCTTGGATTGGTGGTGATGGAGAGCCACTTATCAAAATGCCCTGAAGACCTTGGATATGTTGCAGTCCATTGGATATGTGTCTAGGAGCCCAAAAAGAGTTCATCAAATCCCAAAATCTATCGTGTAGCAAAAGGTGCTGACCCCTTCTCGAGGTTGGAGGTCCAGCTAGACAGACTACGCAAGGACTATTTTATCCCAAAGGATACCGGGGGAGATTGTTCCCCGATGGCAATCCCAATATAACAACTTTATTGTGCTCATAAGAGGCTTCGGCTTTTTCACCCACCAAGATATTCGACCTACTAGCTCAGAGCAACTCTATTTTAACTACTTAGTGGAACTTCGGTTCCCTTGTCTCTGGATAGGTGCAAGCGGCAGGGGATCTTATCCATTGAAGAAATACCATACTTAATCCCTCGACGGCTTAATTGTTGGTCTAATTGCATCAATAACTTAGCAAATGGAGATTTTAGAATTTGATCATCCAACGTGTTTTAATTTGTCTGAAAGTTGACCTCAGACCTACTACCCATCGTATCGCACAATGAAGTGTAGTTAATCGTTCAACGCGGATATTTTCTTAGCTATCAATGTAGCATTAAAACCCGCCATACGCATCAATCCCACTATCGCTATAAACCTCCTTAATCAACCTATGCCTCTCGACCGCATCCTCAAAAGTACAGTTAATCCTCCCCGCCTTCAACTCCCTATAAACACTCGCCACATTCCTCGCCGGCAACTCCAACGCCGCAAACTCCTCCTCCCACTCCACCTCCTGTACCTTGTCGCTCGCATGATCGTGTACCTCGACCTTCATATCGGGCAAGCCGATTTGCAGGAATGGGCCAGAGGCAGTGACGCGTATTTCGCCCTTGGAGCCGGCGATGCGCCAGTCGAGACCGGGCTGCCCTTTGAAAGGGGCGCCGCCGCGCAGGGATACGGAGATGGGGATTGAGGAGGTGAGGGTGCCGGTTAGGAAGACGGTGTCGTCGGAGGTGTTGGGCAAGGTGGGGTTGAGGATGGTCGTGGCGTCGTTGTCTAGAAGGGTTATTGTTGGGCGCCGGTTGGCGATGGTTGTTTTGGGGCCGGTGGAGAAGCCGTATCCTAGGACTGTGTGTGTGGTGATGAGCAGTTTGTTTGCATGATATTGTATGATGCAGGATAGGGAAGAAAAGAGAAGAAAAGAAAGAAAGGAGGAAATACCAGCTTGGATATAATCAATCGAATGTCCGAAATGAATCGTCACTATATTCCCCCCCACATCCCTCTTCGCGGTATACTGATACGCCGCCGTAATACTCGCTCCCCCTAGCCCCGCGGCGGCCGTCCACGTCGAGCTCAACACCTCCCCAATCGTCCCGCTGTCCACCAGCTCCTTGATTTTCTTCACGATGGGCGCTTGCCGCGCCTGCAAATCAACCACGGCGTTCTTCACGCCGCCCTCGTTCTTCAGCTTCAGCAGCTCTTCCGCCTCGGCGAGGTTCTTGCCGAGCGGCCATTCGACGAGCACGTCTTTGCCTGCCTTGAGAGACGGAGCGATGGTTGCGTAATGCCTGTCTACACGCACGCTGCAGACGACTAGGTCGATATCTTTGTCGTTGGCGATATCTGGTCGGGTTGTCAGTCTTTGCTCACGTGATGTAAATGACAGGAATCCAGTTTTAGTTCTAGCTTACCTTGGGGATTCGCATATGCTTTCACGGAAGAAGGAAGCCCGTAGGCTTTGATAGATTCCTTGGAGGATTCGACGGTGGAGTTGCAGATGGCTACGATTTCGTAGTCCGGGGAGGATTGCAGGTAGGGCAGGTGAGCTTTAGGTGCCCAGCCTACTTTTGAGAGGCCGATGAAACCGACGCGGGTTGGTGCCATTGCTGTTGTTGTTTCTTTGTGAGTAGGAATTGAGAGTTTGTATAGTGAAAGGGGTACTTTAAAGTGCTTATTTATGATGTATGATGGAATTCTTTCTGTTTGTATAATATGCGGGGTGGTGCGGGTGGCGTGAGCGCTCTCCCCACTTTATTATGTGGTATCTATCACTCGCACATGCTTGGAAATCAATTTGCGGCTCTTCTGGACCTCTGCATCAGGGGGAACCTTGCTTATCATTGGTGCTGTGCTGTAATTTAGCATTTCGGCAGATCATCGAGGAAGAAAGTCTAGGCATGGCATGCCCGAAACTGTTGCATAATAGAGAGGATCCTGACTTGGGATCATTTGCCCGATTAGTCGAAAATGCAATGTTGGTATGCATTTTTTACCTTGAGCTTCTAAAGAGGGTGGATCCGGATGAGGAATTGGATGTTGATCTTAAGAATCTGCCGGCGGGCTTCGGATTCGGAATTCCTTCGTCGTGGGAGCCGCTCAACAGATCATACATGTACGGCTCCCGACACTATACCTCGTAAGTTCGTATATACACAGCTTCCTTTGCGAATATACCCCGAACCTGGCTTGTTGTTATTGGGCTGCGGCTCCTGGACGTCAATGTAGTGCCTCTGAAGTGTCCGAATACGCGCTACACGCAAGTGGTGCGGGGATGCAACATCAAATGCCTAGGTGGCTGTGTAAAAGCGATGCCCCCCGTCCTGCATCCGAGCTGAAATCACGACGCATAGGATGGATCATTACTCAGTCGAACTTTTACTTTGCTTGGTAATCTCTCTTCATTGATCTGACTAAGACCCCGCCTAGGCTCGGCCTTTGCGACTGCTACAGCGCCGGAGAATCAAAAAGAGAACAGCATTAGATTTCCTAATGCGGTGTTCAGCGAAGCTTCGATCAATAAACCTCCTAGAATGCCAGATCCTTTTTACTCCAATCAAACCAGCCCCTAAAAACGGAGAAAGGCTTTAGTATCAAATGTGACACGTACAACTCCCAGAACATCTTGTTTATACGCGCAGACGCTTTTGTTGGCGACAAGAAGAAGAAAAAACGCCGTCTTCGAATGCTTCAAATCATGTCCCAGAACCCGCAAGAAACTTTGGAAGGAAATTCGCCTTGGACAGAGTGCCATCGAGATCGGCCGTGACGGTGGTATGGTATGGCGACTCTTGTATCATACGAAAGGTCATAGATATGTGGCCCCGGGCCGGGTAGTTATAGAATGAAATATACGTTATGCATTATGTATTGGCCATTAGGGAATTAACCAGCTCCAGTTACGCCGACGCCGACTGATCCATTTCGCGGTCGACCCCATCCTGAATTGCGATATTCCCGACGAGAGTGCTCGGCCTGACTATCCGGAGTGCCATTTCGATGGATAAACGGCAAGGGCGCTTCTAAATCTGGATTATGCCACTGCTGTGGTGGTGTATTTTGGTTGCCCGGAGCTCCATAAGGCGCAGAAGGTTCCTGGATGTGCCGCACACTGCTTTCCTTTTGCCAGGCATTTGTCTGAGATGGGTCGGTGTCAACTCGAGTAAGAACTGGAGCCAGCGGTCGTCCACCGTCGTCCTTCGATGGTGATAAACCCTCTACTGTCTCGACTTGATGGCGAGCCCCACCGTTTTGGCCGATATCTCCATAGCGTTTCAAGATTTCTTTGGTGGTGATGTCGCTAGTGTTGTTGAAAAGCGTGGGATCGCCCAGTATCGACTGGAGGTCTTCAGGTACCTGTTAAGAAAATTAGTAATATTCATCTCACGAATATGATGCACTTACTTCACACATCTGCTCGTTGCACTCGATGAGCGTGTGTACGACCTCAATAGCCAGGAAATTATCATCAACAGGGGTCTTTGCATTCGTATATAGAATGTTTGGGGCAATGACAGTAGCCAGGTTGTGCGTGTCCATTTTTGAACCTGACTCCTCATCAACTTGGTGGAATGACGCTACCCAATTGAAGAACGAGCATAGAATTTCCAACGAATCTCGGTGAGCTTTCGGAAGCAGACAACATGTCAAATGTAAAACACGTCGGCGTTTTTCTTCATCATTTATCTTTTGTGACGCGATGAAGAGTCGGTGCAACTTGAAAGTCAATAACGGATCTGGAAGTTCTCGCAGGTACTTTTTAAGAAGGGCAGCGATCTGTACAACATTCTGTTGGGCCAGCTTCTCGGCATCACATCCATCCCTGTCGATGGCTGCCATCGTGTCGTTCAATCTTTTGATGTTTCCATTTTTCCGGAAGACACCTTCAACCGAGAGGTCCATTTTCCGCATAGCGGTCACACAGTCGTCCACGATAGCGGGTATCCGCAAAGCCCCGGGCCCGATTCCATCGGTCGAGTCGGCTCCGTCCCTCTCGATGATTTGTTCGAGAGGGACACCGAATACGCCCTTCTTCTTGCTACCTTTCTTTGCATCGTTCTTAAAAGCTTTCCCCATTTTATTCCAGAACGTTGGCTTCCTTGTCTCGATCAAGTTGAGTAGCTCCTCCATGGTGAAATGCCCCTCGAGCATTGGCTGCATCGCAATAACAGCGACATGGCGGACGATGAAGTATTCCAAGGCGGAGAGCTCAGAAAAATACCTCTTGCCTCCATCTCGTCGCTGCGATGATGGCTCCCCGGGAGCAGGCATATCAAGCCCATTGCCACTGGAAAAGTTTCGTTGGTGGCCATTGAGAAGCTTTGGTTCTGTAACAGAAGTCCGGAACATTTCGTGGCGAGCATGCTTGTAAGCATTGGGTCGCTGGTCTTTAGCTTGCTCTGCGGCAACAATTCTTGGAATATCGTCCAACGTAAGAGCATTTTCCTTACCAAACAAGAGCTCAGTTCTCGATTCACCGTTGCCATCACGTTCTTCAACGATTTGGAAATCGCCATTCCTGGTATCTGACCCATCGGCTCCTGCGGATCCCGGTCTAACGCTACGACCGTCCGGGCCATCCATTATACGGGATGTTCTCGCTTTTTTGATGGTCGAAGAAAGATGCTTGTCCATTCGCGTGCTTCTTAGTCGACGAACATCGTTTAGTGTATTTTCATACGACGATTCCCGGGGATTGTCATCCGCATTTCCGCCATATGATTTGGAGCGAGTGTCTGATCTTAGTAGAGGCGGCTCAGCTATTGTCGCCAATCGATGGCCCTCACTGGAGTTGTAGCCGTTCAAGTTGGGATCGTCCGCTGTGTGGGGAACCGTGCCGGTCGATTTGAGTACCCCCAATAGCCTTGCAAGAGCAGCCCTCAAGAGGAAAATGTATTGCTCAAGCCTCGTGACCTTCTCAAAGCCGCCGACTGCACCGCCAGGCACTCGTTTTTCGCAATTATTGCAGTATATCGCTTCGTTTTGACTGGACCATCGAACATCCTCAAGATTCTGTGCCAGTTCACGGGCGCAATTAGCACATCTCAGACATGCTAGATGACATCTTTGCTCCTCGCGACGTGTGCATTCATCTTCAATGGGGAGTTTGCAACTCATGCAACAGTCCGACTGTGATCCAGAAAGGCCAGATGTGCCAGTTATGTCCTCGAGTGACCGTTCATCGGTCTTGATGACCTCTAGGTCATTAAGCTCGTCCAGGAATTGATAAAGACCATCGGAACTCTTCTGCTCTCTTTCCACTTTCAGGGATCCTTGGAGGCATATCCGAATCAGGAGTTTCAAGTAATGAGCCAACCCCGTAACCAATGCGAGCAATTCCTGGGTAACGCCAAGCTTTCGGACACCTGTTTCTTGCGTCTTTGAAAGTAGAGAAAAGAACGAGACTATTTTTTTGCACAAAAGTTTTGCTTCTCGTGAGTATGAAAGTCCTGTAAAATATTAATATATAAAACCCACACATCAATTGGAGAACTTGCCTTTCATGCCAATGCTTGTCATGGTGGCGTCAAGCTTGTCTGCGGAACTGAACAACAAGTCGACATGCATAATGAACTTCTTGGCGACCATTACCCCGTCCACGTAAGCGCCATTGCTCACATTGAGCAGCATGTCTGATATACATGCTGCAGAAGACTCTTCAAAGGTGGAAAGAACACTCCATATTCTGTAGACCTTCTCCTCCATTCTTTCTTCCTCATCCTTTACGGCATTGCGCCCTTGCTCGTCTGTTTCATCTGCCAACTGAGGTCTTGCTTCCACGGCGTCCTGTGATGATGCGAGTCTCACATTCCAGAATTTATGGATCATATAACATTCGGGGTGCCAGTGTTGGTTCTGCCCGTTGCGGAATATCTCAACAAACTGCTTCAAGATTGCGGTCTGGCAGCCATTGCACCGTTGCGCAAATTGTGTCGAGTAATGATAGTGACAATAAACTTGCCCATCGTGCTCGTAGTAGCTGTCTTGCGCTCCAAATACCGTCGGGCAAACCGAACATGTAAAATGGTCGATATGATATTTCCGATCCAGAGCCGTAATATATGAACCCCGCAATGCCCCATTACACTTATGGCATATGAGGTCTAACCTCCTGAAGTAATCTGTCTCACACAAAGGATATTGACCTTCCCCATCCTCTTCATCGACCGGAAAGAACTTTGAAGCTACTATTTGTCCGCAGTCCTAAGATTTGTTAGCACATGTACACACAATGAATTACGGCTTACTGACCCGACATCTGAAGCAATCCAAGTGAAATGTGCCATCCAGCGCGCGTACGAATTGACCGGTTAAGGGTTCACCACATTTCTTGCACATCCTAAGCTGTCCAGATGCTGTCCGGCCATTTCGTGTCCGGGACCTCTTGCGCTCTCCGCTAGTCTTCTGGGATTCCCCATCTCGTTCCCTTTCTCTCCCACTTGCACTACCAGCAGGTGATACCGCCAGTCTATTATCTGACGCAAATGCGCCATTTGGCCTGGCGAGTTGCTGGTCCATATTTCTATCCGTCTGGTATCGCCGTCCATCCTCGGTATACGGCGGGCCTCCACCATAGCCGCGCCCCTCTCCAGATGGGCGTCCCTCAGACTGAGGTCCCATGGTGTCGGCCACAGTAGCGGGCCTCCTATTCTTCGATTTCGATGGGTGTCAGCGGCCCTTGGGTATTCTTTTGAAGGGGTTGAACACTCAAGCCGCGCAGAGTGAGTCGCGTTCGCCAGTGTGAGGGGATCGATGGATCTCTGGAGAGTTTAAGCTTGTTCGCCAGCGCTTCGCTGGATTCTGACGTTGTCGAGTCACAGGGGCCCAATTAATTGAGCTGTGCATGTGTAATCAGATTGTGTGCTGGCGACTCAGAATGGAGGAACAACCAAATCGCAGAACTTGAAACACCATTCACCAGGAACAGCAGACAAGTGTTATAACGGCGTGCTACTCGAAGGGGTTATGGCAACAATACGAGATCCAGGGCTATGGTAACGGGCGGCTCGTGTTCGATGGCGTCGATGTCGGTGAAGGAGAGGTTGGGCTTCGTGGTGTATGTATATTGAGCGGGGCGTGGAGATTGCGCCCCTTCTGCTCAATGCTTTGTTGGGACGTGGAGTTACGCTTGTGCTCACGATGTACTTCCAGGTCTGGTGTTTGTTCAAGACGCTGGGGGACGGTGAGCGAGTTGGATGCTTTCAAGAGTCGCCTCTGTTCTATTCAATCTGGGGTGTGGTGGTTGTGCCTGTGCCTGAGGCGGAATGGTAGTCACGGTAGGGGCAGGGCAGTACCTAGGTAGGCAGTGGTAGTGGTCTAAGTTAGAAAAGCGGCACTCGATCTTGTCAACGATTAAAGTGCCGCTCGGCTTGACACGTCGAATATTCCACGCCGCTTTTGCTCTCCACCCCCAGCCAAGATCAAGTCAAACCAGTCAATCAGTCTATAGATTTCATATTCTCTTCACATGTTGTACGCTTCGAATGTGAGATGGAGCAATACTCAAAGCTTCGGGAGGCCTTTGAACAGTTGGGCTCGACTTTTCAAACATTCCGTACATACCTACTAAACGCATTCCTCCGGCAAATCAACTCTAGCAAGCCGGCATGAGACTAACAAGGGGAGTCCACTTTGTACAAATGGATTGTAAAAGGTTGCTTTTACTTTCAATCGACCAGAATACTCCCAAACTTGATAATATAATCTAATGATAGGTCTCTGACATTTCCTTCTATTATCTTCTAAGCATGTGTAGATACTTTCACATTAGAAAAAGTTGGTCTATACGAATCCGAGTACAACGCCAGAGCTACATATACGAAGGAAGACAGGCATGCAATGCTTTGGAGCACCCCCATCATCTCGGTTTTATTCTTGTTCTATTATTAGCTTGGCTATTTATTGGTTTGTAAATTGAAAAAGGTGTACTGTTCCCTTACTGTCAGTACGCTTCCCATCTTTCAGGAATACCTTCATAGGTAGAACTCTATTGCTCAGAACTAAGATATACATCTATCTCGACCCCTTTAATCTGATAGGGTTTCTCCGCACTACGTTGTCCTCTGTGTCACTGGAAGTTCATGCCTAGAGAAAGGCTGAAAGAATCAGCTAAAAATAGATGTACGGGTACATCAAAGACCCTTCTTGTGCCTTTCCATAGATCAGTCCATTTATTCATAAGCATACTTGAAGCGGACGGGATTCAATCATCAGGCGGTGCTTGACTGCATTTTAGCAGTGAGGCTGAACATTGCCTGTCTGCCTACTGTTTAATACCCGCTTGCGCTGTAGAAACCTGGACCCGCTTTCCCACTTTCCTACTACGGTTTACGGTATACCTACCTACTGTGCTGTGCCTACACCTACTCCCATCTCAAAACCAAACCCCTCAACCTAACCTACAATCCACCTCGCCCTATGAACCTACACAAGGGAAAAGAACTCTCAGATTCTTGGACTTATCGGTGACCCATACCACCATGTCGAACCATTCCATCATCCGCATCACGAAGGTACGCTCAGTGTAGATATGATATCGTAGTGGGGGACAAGGCTGACAACGCATTAGGAGTTGGCGGATCTCCAAAAGTGTTCAGACCTCTGTGAGTATTCCTAACCAGCTTTCTCTTCCTTGGACACACCTCTGACAATACTCTGACACAGCTCTCGCCGTTGCATGCCGTGATGTCGACGTGCGCAATGTTAAAGCAATCATTATCGGCCCTCCTGATACACCATACGAGTTTGGATTCTTCGAGGTTCGTGAGACCAGATGGTACACCACAAAACTTGCTAACGTTCTGTCAGTTCCAGGTGAAATTTGGACGAGGTAGGAGAATATACCACGGCGTAGGAGAGTCGGTACTAAAGTGGTTCTGCAGAATATCCAGGAAAGGCTCCATCAGTCCTTGCGACAACTACAAACGGAGGCAGATGCCGGTTCAATCCAAACATCTATGCTGCTGGAAAAGTTTGTTTGTACGTGCTTTCTCAAATCGTCTGTTTGCGTTGGATACTGACTGGACTTTAGATCTATTCTCGGGTAAGCACTGCCGACGGTGTCAACTGATACAAAAGGCTCATATATTTGCAGTACATGGAGAGGTGAAAGAGGAGAGGAGTGGTCATCCGCACAGGGACTTGAGTCAATTTTGATTTCAATCCAAAGTCTTATGTCGTCGAACCCCTACGAGAACGAGCCAGGCTTCGAGACAGCAATCGATGAAAGCGCCAAGAAGGACCAAAAGGATTATGTGGCCAAGGTATGATCATATTGGTTATTGAGAGGTGCTTGCTAAAGATTGTCCGTAGATTCGTCACGAATCGCTTCGAATATCGGTCATTCAGCGTTTAGAGGAGTATCTAGGCATTTCCCCGGCTGGTGCAGTAGCCCCGTATGCCTCACTCAACGACTATGATGAAGATGAGCAAGATATCGAGTTCGACGAGTCGTCCATAAACTTTGACCCTTTTAGGGATCTCTGCAAACGCCGGTTCCTCTGGTACTACGATTCATATCTCTTAGCCATTAGTAAAGCTAAGACCGAGGTTAAGGATGGCCAAGCGTTTAGTCGTATGCCATTTGAGTGCACTGGCAATACAATGGAGGGGAAATTCAATTACACCGAACTGGAAAGACGATTAAGGCTCATTAAGAAAACCTTGGATGCGGAGACAGCAAGATGGTCAGAAGAGGGCCTTGTGTTGCTGAAGAAAGAAAGCACAGCTGCGGCCAACCTTCAGAGGCAATATGAGCAAGTCGTTGAAGCATACAAGAGGGACAAAAAAGTAACTCTTGATATTGAGCTTGTCGACAATAACCCCTTCGTCTGGTCCATTACCTATATCGGTAGACCTATGACTAACTTGGATGGCGGCCTCTTTCGAATAACCCTCCGCTTTAGTCCTCGTTTCCCAGAAGAGCAGCCAAGAGCCAAATTCGAGACACCCCTCTTTCATCACCGCATCGCCCTTGACGGCACTCCTTGTTATAGTACTAAGCGTGCTGAGGATGCCAAGTCACATCTTCAAGCCATTATTGAAGCCCTGGAAGAAGTATCCCCACCTTATGATCCCCGAACTCTCGTCAATCCTGACGCCGCCAAGTTGTTCTGGGGCTCTGAGGAAGACAAGAAGATGTACAACCGAAAGCTTCGTAGAGCTGTTCAGCGGACCACAGAGTAGGCCTATCCCCTACAAGTTCAAGTTCTCACTAACACAGCACAGGGAATGATTATTTCCATATTTTTACAATACAGACCCAACCCAACATACATCTTCTCTTCTCGTCCCATTTCAGATTGCGATTAGCGTTTAGTTCCTGGTCTGGTCTATGGTAGTGCATAATGTGCATTTGCGGGTTATGAAGCAGTCAGGCGTCACGAAGGGAAATTCAATCCTTACAAGGATGAGCGGGGCTCGATAGGGAGTTCAGCGCTGCGATAATTCTTTTCTTTGTGCATTAAGGGGTCTAGTCAGGGTTTCGTCTGGACCGGGGAAGGAAAATGCCTGGAGTCTGCATCATGAAATGAATATAGGTTCCTGAAGTTTGTTAATACCAACGAAATGGTTACATTTACGTTATATGAATCAAATCCTTCTGCCCCCTTCTGTTATGGTTGAAGCTTCTCATGTGCTCTGAGTCCGGCTAGAAATCTTTTTAACCTCTCTTTATTTTCCACCTCGTTTTGAAGAGGAGATGGGTGACTCCCCCTTCATCTAGTGAGCCAATTAGGACTTTTTAGGTGTGGTTTCACTCATATGGGATTACATTTACTGGTGGGTATCGTTCATCATTGCTTCTCGAGCGAGTTATTACGAGTATTACATATACAACATCTGGCATGGCAGAAGTTACACAACATGGCTAACTGCCTGATGCCCCAGATATCCTCTTCCATTCATACTGTACCAAGACGGTCTACTGATCTTTCTTCTCCCCCTCTTTTGTCCTCTGCTCCTCAAACCACTTCACACCTCTCCTCAACCCCTCATTCAGCCCTACAAGAGGCTGGTACCCAAGCCTCTTCTGCGCCTTTCCACAATCATAATACCTCGTCATAGTACTATACTTCACCTGCCTCTTAGTAAGTTTAGCCTGCCTCCCAACCGCCCAAGTAATCCACTCCAAAAGCCCCCCAATAGCAAGCCCCATATCCCTCGAAATAACCCACACATGCTCCGTCCCCTTTTTGCTCCCAGCATGCGCCCACACCGCTCGCGCGAAATCCCAGAAGTATACAGGCGAGCAATTCGTGATGAAGAACGCCTCCCCGTCCACCTTCTCGTGGTCTAGAATAGCGGTGCTGGCACGGCTCGTGGCGAGCAGACCGAAGGCTGCGAGCAGATGCGCGTGTGCGACGTTGACGACGTAGGTGAAGTCGAAGAGGTTGGTGTTGTCGCCGAGCTGGAAGCCAGTGCGGTTCGTGTAGTGGACGTTGAGGATCGGAGGGAGGATTTGCACGTCGCCTTCGCCGAAGATGCCTGCGGGGCGGATGGAGCAGGTGAGGAGGGTGGGGGAGCGGTTCGCGGCCAGGACGAGGGCTTCTGCTTCGGCCTGGGTTGTGTCAGAGGGGTTATTGGAAGGAGAGGGACAATTGAAAGGGTGCGGATAGCATGGGAATGTAAATAAGTACCTTGGTCTGCGAATAATACTCGTGCTGGGCATGCGGAGGCACAACAGGCCATCTCTCATCCGCGTTCTTGAGATCACTGATAGTATCATGGATCACACTCGCACTGCTCGTATACACCAGCGCCTTGACGCCCGTCTTCTGACATGCCTCAATCACGCACGCTGTCCCATCCACATTAACCTTCCTGTACAGCTCATGCCCTGCGCCCATCAGAGTCGGTGATGCGGTATGGATCACTACATCTGGCTTTGCTTTTTCGAAGATAGGTACCAGGGAGGAGATAGAGGTGATATCGCCGTTATAGTAGGCAACACCGTCCGAATCTGGACGCCGATTGCGCGTGGTAGAAAGGTCGAGGACGGAAATTTTGCTGGTGTAGGTGTCGTGGAGGAGATTCACAATGTGATGGCCCAAGAACCCGCAGCCGCCAATTACGAGAACGTTGCCTAGATTCTTCTTCGCGGGAGGTGCCATTGTTACAGGAGTTTGTGGGTGGTGAAATATTATATTTCAATGCTGTGGGCTGCTTCAGATTTAGAGGTGGTTGAAGATCTCGGGATACAGGTACTGACCCCGAACCTGGGGATGGGGCTAGTACAGTAGCCTCCGCTATTACAGTAGTGCTAATTTCAACCACAGCTCATCGGGTCTCTTTTGCAATAATCAAAGCAACCTTTCCAATATGGAAACGTAACACCTCTTGCACAAATACAGCGACTGCAAGTCTTGGAATATTCGAATCATACAGCCCATAAAGCACAATCTTTATATCACATGACTCGCCAACCAGATCATCAGCCCCTATCTCTTTTCTACAAAGTTGTAGTAAACTAGGAAGAGCTCTGGCCATGAACAATTCCTTTCTATACTCGTACATGATACATCTACGCCACATAGCTTGCACAAGTTATTTCAAGAGTTCAATGTGTCTTTTAGCAAGGCCCTCTGGCTCAGAAGAGCGTCAATGACTTGGTTTTGTTGGCAAATGTTTCACCTACGAAGACTTCAGAGCACGTGTCCCCTTCAAACTAAGTCATTGTGAACCCAGCTATGGATGACGGGGCAAACGTGTCGATTCCGCCATCTCATAGTTCGGCCAGCCCCCAAACTACACTCCTCTCGGGAGAACATACGCCTCTCATGATCAGCAGGTATGAAGGAGCAGACCAGACTTTATAAAAGAGTGAAGTGGCTCTCTATTTGCATTGGAACGCCGTGGGCCAATGCGCGTGTATAGCACCTGATTATATCAGTATCAGTGGTACTTGGGATGAGGAAGAAATTTCGAGGTTGGGCATTCTATAAACTGGCATATCATTAAGTTGTTTTTCACTCTAGCATATGTACCTTAGTCAACCAGAATATCTCCAATTCGATCCGAGGGCCAATAAACCTTAAACCGAGAGTATATTGCAAATCCATCTTCTGTGAATCTATGAGACTGTGCGGTATCATAGCTCTTGAGACGAGATTTGTGTGTGATGTATTGCACAAAAAGGATGGATCCAAAAGCACTTCACAGAGCTCCGACAATTCACTTCATACCATGAGGGCGAATTGAAGTGAACTTTCGATTCCATTTCAGTTAGTTTCTTAAACGGCGGCCTCTACGAAAAGAATATCTACTGACACGCTTGAAAACCTTATGTGCAAACTCCTCGCTATGATCTTCGGAATGGCCTAACCATATGCTCTCTCGCCTACCCGTATCTTGTTCGCCTGTCCGTTCTGTCCCTTACGACTTATGAGAACTTTCATGACCTTTTCTAAACGATCCACAGCCTCATCACTGATCTGATAATGGACGACCAGCCGTCCTCTACCGGGGAGAATCTTCAACCCATGCTCTTTTGCAACTTCCAAGAATTCAGGTCCGGAACTGCCCGCATCTTCGAGGTTGAGCCACACCATATTGGTCTCTGTGGGGTTCTCTAGCTTCCCTCCTAATTCAGTCCATATATTTGCAATCTTTTTAGCCGTAATGTGGCTTTGCTTCAAGAGTCCTCCTTCGCCATTGGGTCCTTTGCCAAACGTCTCGTCTAGTGCTACTCGAGCCGCGGCGGTCACAACACCTGGTTGTCTTAATCCACCGCCAATACTCTTTCTCACCCATCTCGCTTGCTTGATAAGCTTCTTACTTCCCACGAGCATACTTCCAACCGGAGCACCTAGACCTTTGGAGAAGCACAAGCTGGCACTGTCAAACAAGCTGCAATATTCTGGCAACGAGCCGGCTCCAGCTACAACAGCTTCCCAGATTCGCGCTCCGTCAAGATGGAGCTTGATATCGTGTTCCTTTGCAAACGCAGAAATCCTCTTCACTTCTTCTAACGGCATGATGGTGCCAGCGAGAGTGTTTTCAAGAGAGATTAGCCTTGTAGGGGCGCCGTGAATTTCGTCGCCCAGAATAACATTCTTCTCGATATCTTCCAGCGTCAAGTATACCCCGTTCTTCGGCACCACACCCTTGACCAGCGCGCCGCACAAGCTAGCCACACCGCCAGCCTCCCACTCCAAGATATGAGCCCGGTAATCGCAGAGAACAGAGTGTGGAGGTTGTGTCAAGTGCGCGCGGATGGCAAGCTGGTTCCCCATAGTCCCGGATAGGACGAAGAGGGCAGCTTCGTGCTCGGTTCGCGACGCGAGGTGGGCTTCGAGGTCGTTGGTTGTGGGGTCTTCTACGAAGACATCGTCAAGGAGTGTGGTGTTGGTGATAGCTGCCAGCATGGAAGCTGTAGGGCTTGTCACTACGTCGCCTGTTTGGTTGTAAGCTTTCGCGTGTGTCTGTTGAGGTTGGGGTGGGTGGGGCGCAAGTCTTACTCCTGAAGTCAAAGGCAGCAGGACCGGGGGCAGACCATGCATTTTGCTTCGTGTGGTGCTCATCGGTAGGAGGCAGGTCCGTGGTGCCATTCAGTCCTTGGGTATCTTCTACCTTGGGAGGCATAGTTGCAAGTCCGCGTATGGATACTTGTTGAGGTGGGAAGGGTGAACTGCGGGGTAGTTTTTGATGTATCCGAGTGGAGCGAGCAATTGAGCTGAGAAGCTGAGGCTCTGGCGAATATCAGCTTCAAATGAGAATCAGGAAAGGAACTTATAAGTACGAGAACTGAAGTAAGCTGATGGAGAGCTCCATCGTAGTCGGAAGGTGGGGGTTCTCATAGCGGGGTAGAATGACACGTTTGAATCGGAGGTTTCTACAGAAGGGCGTACAGTATCTGCTCGTCAACTATTGTGACGACAACCCCTGAGATTACTTCGTCTCCACCTCGGAAAATAGAGAAAGCCGTTTCTAGACACTTCAGAGTAGTGAATTATGTAGTATTGGCTGAAGATAATTCAAACATTTGTCCACAAAAGTTGCCCCTTCGTGGTGTTGATTAGTCAACTTCAGGGGCTCGGACGCTAATATGTGGCGCCCTGTGGCGTTGTTACCCCTGAATGCTCCGCTAAAGCTTGTGCAATAGCCGAGCTGGCTGCCTGAAAAGCTTACTATCAAATTCTACGACTTGACTTGCAACAAGCAACTACAATCTGTAGTCTGAATATCAAACATGGCTTCATCCGGTAAAGGAAAGTGGCCGACAAAGGGACAGGCAGAGGGGCCATGGCAGCAGATTACAAAGGAAGCGGAAGATCATCGTCATGATAGCCATGCACCAGTCCTGGATGTTTACCAGCGAGTCAAGTTTCCACCACACTACCTAAAAGCTCAATAGATAGGTATTCCAGAGAAAGCTCTCCACGCAAAGGATTTTTAGATAACAACAGAAATTCCATGTCTGGTGGAAGAAGTGGTGGGGGAGGAGCACTGATTGGGATTCAAAACACTCAAAACATGACGAGGTAACCTCACAATAGAAGCTTCTCCGTCGCATTGGGCCAAATGAGACGGAAGTAAATGGAATCAATTTCAACCGAATTTTCGATCTTATCTTCAAGCCCACAGTGAATATATATGGGTGTTCGCTACCAAGAGGTATTCACACAGCAACAGTACAAACTATCGGTAATGTATTTGATCCTAGCCTCCCCAGAACCGTTGATCAAACACGGAAACCAAAACTCGAATAACAGTAGTTCCTAAAGATCTGGAACTACATCGATGGCGAATAAAAAGAACCCTCGCCCCTTGAAGGCGCAAGCAAGACGCAAACTCGCTCTCGCTCAAGCACACCCCCCAAAAGGTAAATGAATCATCCTCCCTGTCCTTATACCCCAAGAGCTAACTCTACACAGTCTCGCCACCCTTGAACACCATCCTCCCCGCTGAGCTCCACCTCCTCATATACTCCTTCCTCGACCCCGTCACCTCCGCCTGCTTCGGCGTTACCTGTAAAGCCTTCTACGATATCTTCCGGAAATCCCCAAACTTTCGTGTTCCGCTAGCAATGAGTGTGCAAGAAGGCGGCCCGGCCCTTCTCAAAGGCCTTTTATACAGTTGGGTGCCTGCGGATCAGAGGTTTTTCAACTGCTTTACACAGAAGTACATGGGGTTGGAAGGGCAGCAGGAGATGATTTTTGATCTTGTGGTGATGGGAAGCGCGGCGCAGGCGATACAGAGGTTCTTCCCCTGAGGGCAGGTGAGCGCTCAATCGCTCCCTGTTTCCCTTTTTTTGAAAAACCTAGACCGACAAGGAATAGGCGAAATTAAGGAAGGGGTAGGGTTGAGCATAAGGTAGACATGGAGGATTTCTTCTTCTAGAAGGCATGGGATGGATAATTCTTGGATGTGACCGCGTAATCGAATAGGTACTAGGGCATAATATCATTCTTGACTGCTGGATTTATTGGTTTGTGTCATATGATGGTCACGAGTCTTTGTTCTACCAAGCCAGGTGCGTACACATTCTCAGGCGTTATGCTTCCTTTCTTTCTTTGAAGATTTCAATACGCTTGTGAAAGTCACCATGTTTTTTAAAGCACAACGGCTATAGCTAGTCACGTTTGGGTTCATTTACGTTCTGGTATTCCCTTTCACTTAACCAGCCACGACTAGGCACGCCCGTAGTTGAGAATTCCAGGGGAACAGAATATGGGCGGGTGTCCAAACTGTCTAGATTACCTTGAAGTAGAGGTACTTACCCAATAAAGGAGAAGATCCTTACTACTTCAACTCTACCTTTAAGATGTCGATGGTTTACGTATCAAATGTGAAAAATGCAGGCTCGGCTTTCTTTGATACCTTGCTTCCTCCGGAAATACACTAGACAATGAAACACATGAGTGTAGAGTTGTCTTTGTCCGAATGCGTCTTTCCCGGTCTTTCTTCATTATTATCTTTATATTATAGGTTTTGAAAAGAACTTTTGCTCGGTCTTCAACCTTCCTTCATATCATATAACCAGTGGTAAAACTTTTAAACAAAAGTAGAAAATCATTAATGATCTTCAGATCATTCCTCCACACTTCTTCGATTCAATACTTTACTTGAGCACTCAATAGAAGCCATGCCTCCGAAGGTCGCACCCGTGGCAGTTCCAGCTGCCGCTGCAAACGCTGCAAACGGCCCTGTGCACCCTAACAACCCACCGATGAACACCGGACGAACATTGTTCCAAAGTCCTTTGCCCCACCCCCCACAGATTAACATCGTTCAAGGAAACATATTCGCCTATCCTGCCGACGTACTAGTCGTTGTGACGGACGCCCAGATGCTAGTTGACCGTCAAGCAGCCCCAGGCCGAGGAGCCCCAAGAAGATGGCATACCTACGCTGGTCCTGCACTTACCGCCTATAATAATAATAATCTGCATCATAATGCTGCTATGCAAGTAGTACCAATGTCTCTAGATCCTGAGGACGCGATTAGAATTCCTTGTATGTATATTTGCTACACCTTTGGACCTGAGAGTGCTCAACGCCGACATATATATTTGGAAATACAAAGATTCCTTGATGTTTTTAGCTAACAAAACTTTTTAGCATTTAATCTTGTGAATACTAATTGGGTAATTATGGCAAACCCTCCCCAGTATAGCCCAGTTGTGCCAGTAAACAACAGGGGTCGGCTGCCGGGTAATACTCACAAGCTTTACAAAACTTATCGCGAAATATTCAAGGAGGCTTTTCGAGTTCCACTTGCTTTGCATGTTGGCTATAGGCGTCCCACAAGCATTGTCATGCCGTTGATGGGATCAGGCGCTGTTGGATACGATTACGACGATGCTGCGGGAGCTGCAATAGACGCCTTGTTCAAGTTCTGGTATAATTCAAATCCAGCTACCGCTCTGGACCATAGGACTAATATACGATGCGTGACATTCATGGTACCGACTACTGCTAGACTCTACCCAGGTCGCATTAAAAAGGCATTGCTTAAAGCTGTGAGGTACGTTTGAATGTCTATACTTTTGCATTGTTTCAAGCAGCTAACTCCCTCTTAGAGCAAGGCTTGCGGCACCTGGCGTAGCTCTTGGTATACCTGTCGTGCCTGCCGTACCTGCTGCGCCAGAGCATGCCCTCAGGTCGGGGCGCACATACTAATATTCTTCTCGATCAGGAAGTATGGTAAGTCTGGGTACACAGTTCAGCTAATCAGGGGCAAGTTATTTCAGAGGTCGAGCCTTTGCTGGAAGCAAGCGGAGAGATGAGACTATAATGTACAGGGCACGGTATCAGTTGTAATTTTGAGTTTGGACACTTAGCTTATATAATTTGGAAACTAATGCTGATGATTGACTTTATATGTGAGTTCATATTGTACCTACCAGTCTGTATGTTGAGAATTGGAAGATATGTCACGTACACTGCTGCCCTGTCTGGGATTTTCTCAACACCATCTCACGAATGCTATTAAGTCCTCCATTTACGGTTCTCAAACATGGCGTTAAGCTATATTGCTCAAAAGACAGAAACTCTAGTGGATTGCCACTTGGAACGGATCAGGGTCCAGGTTTAAAGCAGCTACAGTGAAGACTGAGTGCAGATTATACATCCACAGAAAACATCTTGCTTTTACAGAAACCATTTTTCATTCAAGATGCTATGAAATTATAGTATACATATTTCTTCTGCTACTGGTTTGCGATACTTACTGTAACCGAGTTATATATTTAGGATCTGCGTCCTGATCTACTCACACGGTGATTAGCACTTGCGTTCGGAACAGGGGGCTGGTTCTGCACGCTGTGGGGATCATTAGCAAGTGCCCTGATCTCCCTTCCCAACGTTTGAGGTGCAGCAGGTACTGGCACTGCCGCGGGCCCTATAATAGGGGTGACTGCTACGCCAGGTACAACTGGTACAGCTTGCCTTGCACTGTGTAGAAATCAGCATCTAATTACGAAGAGGAAGAAGTTCAAATACCTCAAAGCCGTTCTCAACGCAGCTATGCAGAGTTCCGGACATAAACTGGGGTTAGTCGGCACAACAAATGCCACATGGTTGATACGCCCTTGGTGATTAAATACCTGAGCCAGAGGATCGGTGAACCAGAAGTCCCAGAGGGCGTCTATGGCCGCTGAAGCCGCGAGGTCGTAGCCAAACCCGACCGCCCCAGAGCCCATTAACGGCATTGCAATGCTTACAGGTGCTTCGGCTGGATCACCGAAGAAAGGCTGCTGGTGAGCAAAAGTCTGTACACTAGCTTCATGGAGTATATCTAGATAGGTTTGATACAGAAAATAGGTGTTGCCTGGCCGGTTTCCGTGGTTTGGGGTTGGAATATATTGAGGTGGATTCGCCATTACCACCCAGAAGCTGCTGTTAAGATGGAAAGCTATTTCATGTTAGCTTCAGTTCATGGATAAGCTCGCCTCGTGCTGAGATTCAGTTAAGATTTCTAGGACACGACTTGGTAACGACCTATTGTCTTATACCAAGTTGGCGGCGTACCGCGTTTGAAGAGTAGAGGGGGTTCTTTCTCCGTTCCAAGTTTACTTACACGGGACTCTTAAAGCTCGCGACGGATTCAACGTTGCAATAACTGCTGCATTATTATTGATAATATAATGCACAAATCTATTCCATAAGTCAAGACCAGGTCCAGCCCATTTGTGCCAAAGTTGGTTTTTAGAACGGATCGCTTGGCGGTCGATTTGCATGTCGCCATCTGTCACCACTACAACTGCTTCGAGTGGGTATCTGAGTATATCCCCTTGAACTATAGTGATGGTTGGAGGACCGGGGACTGTGGTAAGAGTTCTACCTACACTGGGGTTGGGAACGTTGACATCCGGTACGAGGGCAGCCGCTGCAGCTGCATGTGCAAAAGCTGCTGCTGGATAAGGTACAGCCATAACGTCTCTTTTGTTTTATTAGAGGTATGTATAAAATTAGATTTGAAAAATAGCCGTGGAGGGAAGAATCAAGTAAATGGTAAGGATTATTTCCCGATATTTAAAGTTTCGCTCAAGGGAAGCGAAGACACTTCTTGACAAAGACAGGAAGTCCGCATTAAGATTATTCTAGACTAAGAGAAACAAAGCTTCCGAGAACGAAATGACGCTTTGGGATAGAGATAATGAACGGTTTTTCGTGCTTGCATTTGTTCTTTGTCGGATCCGACTCGGTGTCAATAGTAAGCAGCTCGACCATAACACCCCAAAGAGAGACTGCAGCTTTGCGTTGCAGGTATACAAAATTCTACACACATCATAGCTGGATGAACATAACAGTATTCATTTTAGTGGCACGAAGGCCACTCTCAAGTCAATCTCGCCTCTCGGGCTTTGTATGCATACTTGAATCACTAAAAAAACTACTGTTTAAAGTAGACCCTGGAGAAATAGCATGGCAAATTTATATACGTCCACTGGGAGTATCATAGCCACAGAAAAAGGCAATAGATCTAAAAGAAACTGGAATTCAAAAATGAAAATAAGAGGTGGACACCTTCAAGTTATGCCATGCAGTTCATCCTTGATTTACACTCTAGAAGTAAACGCATATCAACCCATCCAAAATCTGCGCCCATATAATTCTACCTCACAATCCTTCTTCATCAGCATCATACCCTAATTCTGTCCCTGCTTCTCCCTCAAAATACCCTCTGCCAATTTCCCCATCTCCATAAACATTTTCTTCTCAGCATCTCTCGTCATGAACCTCCCAGTCAGAACATTAAAACGCCGCATGTCTTCCGGCATCCAATCATACAACAGCCCCTTTAAATGCGCGGGACCTCCTTCCAGCACACCAAGAGATCGACTAAGGGGCACCCGTAGGCCTTGCAGATTGATGTGTATTTTATAGAAGGATTTGCAAGTGACACCGAGACATGTTGAGGTGACTGGGTCGAGGAAGCTGAAGATGAGGGTTTGCAGCTCTGGGGGTAGAGTATTTAGGAGTGCTGAGGGTTTTGGAATTAGCTCAGAGTTACTTAGTAGTGTTGAGCCGAAGGGGGATGCTCGACGGGGCTGACCTTTTTGGATCTGGGACGGAGCTGGGTTGGCTCTGTGTCTTCTTGGCTTTACTTTCACGGCGCTCTTCGTCTTTCTCATCGCCATGATTGTTTGATTTCGAAGGGCCTTGGGCGTGACTTTTGATGTTAAAGACAATTATTAGTGTTTTGGACTTTTCAGGTTGGAGTGATGGTGGAGATCAGTTGAGAGTTGAAGGGCGCATGGTGGTACTACCTGAAGTTTTATACTTATACACGACTTCTTGCCTGTAAAAGCCTAGTAAATACTGTTTCCTACCCGTTATTGAATGATATATTGTTTATCTGGGTTTCGTTTCACACTGTCTGAAATTTAGTGCAACAGTACAACCTTCGCCACTAGATCCCTCGCTATCATTCACATCCAGAATGATAGCAACATCGCTATCCCTATTATAGATGTTGCAAATTTTCAAATAACAGCACTGATTTAATACAAAGCGGCCAATAACATTTCACGACACGGTTATAGTTGTACCCTTTGATACGTACCTTAATCTATGTAATCTAGGTACCTAGGTATATGAAGAGTACGCCTCTTATCCCGCTTCTAAACTACAACTAAGTAAACTAAAGCAGGATGAAGTTCGCCATGGAGACAAAGGTTGTCGATACCGCAGAGGGAACTTCCTTAAATGTTCATTATTTGCGTTTTCTTGGCCTTCTGTGATTGCGTTGGAAAGGAAAATGGGTGTCGAGGGATGTTGGGAATTTATACAGGAGGCATTTAGTGTGCCTGCCTTCCGTCGGAAGAAATATCCGAGGAAAGCGCGATGGACTAGGTAGGGGATGTGAGGTACGGTGAGTTATTGAGGTTGACTCTATACTGCACTGAAAGGATTGATATTGCATTTGTTTTGTGGTGGATTGATTGACAACCGTTAGAGTTGACTTGTAAGTTTATTTAATTTATATTTTCGCTAGCAAATATAATCAATCCTCTACGGCTACGACATCATCGATACATCTACCCTTTTCATCCAACTTACGCATACCCATGCGTCTTCAACCACTCCAGAATAACACTCGCATCCCTCTCTTTATACGCCGCCCTGCCTAGTATCGTATCACTAACCACGCCGAGCGTGCGATCATAGCCCCTATTATCCTTGCCCTCAAAGAACTTCTTAATCTCCAGCTCTTTCTCCCTCTCATTGAACTTCTGCAACGACAACTTCAAGAACCGATCTAAAACCACCATGTTCTTGCTTAAGCGCGCATGAATACTCTCAAAGTTGTCCTGGATATACTTCCAATTCAGGCCTCGTGTTTTGGGGTTCGCAGCCAGTGCCATGGAGCCGGTATGCACGTCCTGTGTTGCGACTTCGGTGAAGATGAAGTTGTGGTATTGAGGAAGGAGATCAAGGTTTTGCAGACGGCCCATGGCGCGAAGAGCGATTTCTTTGCCATCGACTGAGGGCGTGGTGTGCCATTCTTTCTTGAGGGCTTCGTACTCGGCCGTGTCGCCATGGCGCATCGCGATGCCGAAGATGGTGCTGCGGAGATTGGGATGGATGGCGGATTTATCGGTGCCGGAGGTGTAGAGTTGGAAACGGCGCTTTGCTTCAGCGGTTGCCCTGTGGTGTGTTAGAGGTATTGTTTTCGAGAGGAAGGAAGACTGACTGTTCATGGCCGTTCAAACCTGCCTTTAGAAGGAGAAGCGAGCGGAGCTGGGTCGTAAGAAAGTCATCGTTTGGTGATGTCTCCCAGCCGATCTTCTCAACAGCAGGAATGATCAGCTTGAGTGTGAACTTCTTCAAGCCTTCGGAGACAGCAGTATCCTCCGAGAAGATTGATTTGACAGTTCCGAGTGAACCTAGGATCTGTGACCAAACCAAATAATTCGTCTCGGACTGAAATCCTTCTACAAATGCGAGCAGTCCAGGGGTAGCAGCCTCTCCGGACAGAGCCAATGCACCAGCGTCACCAATCAGACCTAATTTTATCAGCAGCTACCGAAGAAGCAAAGCCGGGAGGGAGACTTACCGATCTTGTCGGAGACACTTAGAAGGTCAATCTGGGTACCCAGCTTTGCCAATCTTGCAGGAGGGTAGTTGGTTCTATAGAAGCCAGCATTGTCCTTGTTAATTTTGTAGAATTCGTCGTCGACATCTCTAATGAAGTCTTGCTTCTTGGTAAGGCCGATGGAGGCTGCTCCCTTAGTGCCAACCTTGCCTTCAAATCCAAGAGGCACCCACCAAGTGGTAAAATCATCCTCTGGCTTGGCATCACCGGTAGACAAGTAGCGAGACTGCCTGACACCGATTTGGCCTGGCTCTTCTGCAACTGTAACGACAGGAAATCCGATTTTGCGGATCCAAGGATCAATCAAAGTGTTCACATCTTGGCCTGAAGCCTGGCTCAATGCTGACCAGAGATCCGCCGTAGTGGCATTTCCATATGCATGAGCTTTGAGATAGTTGGAAACACCTTTTAGGAAAGTTTCTTGCCCGAGATGTGTAGCCAGCATGCGGATAGTAGAGCTGCCCTTGAGGTAGCTGATGGCATCGAAAATTTGATCGACATCTAAAGCATCTTTGACCGGGACTTCAATAGCATGAGAGCTGCGAAGCGAGTCCAATGTGAACGCAGTTTGCATGCCCTCGGAGACGAATTGAGGCCAGACGTTCCAGTCTGGGTGGAGGTGATCTGTTGCGAGCCATCCAACCCAAGTAGCAAAGCCCTCGTTGAGCCAGAGTTCACTCCACCAATCCATTGTGACGAGATCACCAAACCATTGGTGGGCCAATTCGTGGGCAACGACGTATGCGATTCTGTTCTTGAACCTAGCATCCGACGTCTTCTCGTCAAATAACACAGCTGTTGTTCTATATGTTACAAGACCCCAGCCCTCTGAATTAGCGTCAGCAATATCCACAGAAATAAGGTAATTGAAGTGGGCAGGTATTTTGCCTCTGGAAGCAAGACATATGGATTAAGAGAATTAACGAACCCATTGCACCGTGAGACTAAAAAAAAGAATTAGTAGGGTTAAACAGCTCGCAGTTGATAAGCACGTGGACTTACAAATTCATGAACTGCAAGTAAATCCGACTTTGGAAGTGGGTAATCAATGTCAAAAATCTCCGAATAGTAATCGATGATCTTGGGGGCATGATCAAGAGCATATTGGGCCTGGCTCTTCAACCCTCTAGTTGTGTAAACACGAACCGGAATATTCTTGCCCTCGTATTTGCGCTCCGTAAATGCTTCAACGTACTCAAAGTCACCCATGGCCCAGGTCAATAGGTAGGTGCTCATGATTGGTGTTCTGTCAAACGAAACAACTTTGTAGTCATCCTTGGCCTTCTTGGTCTCCTTTTCGGGCATATTGCTTAATGCAACTTGGTCTTCAGGAAGCTCAATTTGGAAATCAAAGGTGGCCTTCAAGTTGGGCTCGTCAAAGCACGGGAATGCTCTGCGTGCATCACAGCTCTCGAATTGGGTTGAAAACATTACGTGGTCTTCGCCGTCTTTTGGTACAGATGTTGCTGGAGGGACGACTGGCTTGTATTTCGAACGATAGAACCCGGCCATGTCATTGTTGATAGTTCCTTGGAACTTGATGACAAGGGTAGCCTTCTCAGAAACTGGCAACTCGTCTGTGAAGGAAAGAGTTGCACGTTGTCTGGGAGCATCGTATGAGATGTCATAAGCCTTGAAGGACTTCTGGTCTACGGAAACCTCGGCACTATGAATCTTGAGCTGATGAGAGTTCAAGACAATCTCTTTGGTTCCCTTGGTGATCTTGGAGAAAATGCCAACAGTTCCTTGATAGCTGAAAGCGCCACCTAGTTCGATATCGTAGATGGAGAGGTCATAGTTGACAGCCTTGACGGTATCTGGGAGAATGTCCCTGTCGAGGGTTTCAGAGGGAGCCATGGTGGCAAGTTCTCGTATACTTGGTGTTCTGAATGGACTTTGTTTGCCTCTAATAGCAAAGAGTCGAGGGTTTGGCTGCAATCGAGGCTGTCTTCGTGGAGTATTGACCGTACGAGTTTGAGAAGAACACAAATGAAGACGGGCAATTCGGTTTGGGGGACAGACAAACTTATTAAGTCTTAAGGCAGAGACCAGGTTAGGTCTCTTCAACATGAGTAGGGAGCGCGTGATATTCTAATATTGAGCTGAATTGGCAGGAGAGTAAGAGCCATCGCCCAGTTGGGCCTTCATTCGCTGTTCTAGGGCCGTTAGCGTGTCGCGGCGGGTAGCAGCGGTCGGCGATTGATTGGCTGCATTTTACGATACCCCTGTTTTTCACAAGGCTGAGCGGAATCAAAACATCAAGAGAGAGAGAGAGGCAGGACATATACATCAACATAATTCAACACAGAAACGCGCCCCGTCATGGCAGCTGGTCAGAAGTTATATCCTCGGGCAACGGTCAAGAAGATTGTCAAGGCACACTCTAAACGCAATGTCACCAAAAATGTCGATGTTCTGGTAAGCAGTGTTGACGCGTCTTGACGGAACAGCCTACTGACGATTTCTAGATCTTCCTAGATTACGCTCTCTTCTTACAAACGTACGCGATGCTTCCTGCTCTACTCTCGAATCTAAATATCCCAGGGGCATGGCATTTCTGCAGAGATAATGCTGACAAAATCTCACAGGTTGATGAAAGAGGCCAGCATCAACGCGAAACAGGCTGGGGAGCGGGGTATCAGTGCCAAAAGCGTCAAGAAAGTCGCCGAGGTGTGTACTTTTATTGCGAATTCTTTGCTCCGTGTTAATTGGGCTCTGTCGTAGCTTTCCTTATCGAAGTTCAAGGGTTGACAACCACGAGCGAATCAACGTGGAGGACAAGCACGAGGACGAGGATATAAACAGGCAAACACTGTCAGTGGTTGAACAACAACGAAGACAGTCTACGCCCTTGATGCACTTTATTGAGTCATAAGGTCAAGAGCAATGCGGCAAGCCTCGTGATAGAAGTGAAGGAGGCAAAATTATGACAAGGCTGCAGAAAACCTGGGGTAATGGAGGACGGTTTTACAGGGGTTGGCCTAATAGCGGAGGGAATCGAGAGTCGAAATGCGAATAAAATAAAGTAGTAAGATGCTGCTAGAACTCAGGTCTGTTTTGCCATTTCAATTGAAACGATGCAAAAAGTTATTTACCGTAAAAGCATTGCCTTACCATCTAATGTTGGATTGCCTCCTCTCCGCAGTGGCTTCCCTTCCTTCTGCTTCTTTGATATTCGAGTTCGCTTAAGATCGACAAGGCCAAGCTCTTTTTTGAAGCGTGAACCTCACCTTTGACCATTAATACCACCTCACGAAACCTACGAATAACCTTTCTCTCGACCCTTTCAGATTGTTAAAATTCACCCAGTAACTTGCTACTCTGTATTTACCATCTGCCACCGCCCTGAAAAATTTCACACACCTACAGCACCGACACTTCAAGAACGATTGTACAACGCCCTCCTTCATTGCACCACAGATCATCTTCACGCTTTTTCCATCCTTCATACCCTCACAATGGCTGCCTCTGTAACCCAAAACCCACCAGTCAAGTCGGAATCCAAGTCAGCAAAGAAGAAGAAGGCCAAGAGCGCGCCCGTCGAAGCTGCCCAAGCTCCCTCCGTCCCTGCGTCGAACAACCCTGCCGAGAGCAGCAACGGAGATGGCGCATACGAAAGCCCATATATCAAGGAGATGGAAAAGTATGCTCTCATCATGGATCCCTTGATGCATCTCGCTAGGTGGTGTACTTTGTTTTGACAGCTGGCAGCTAACCTAAGTTCAGGAACATCCGTGGCTTAACTAAGAAGATTGTAAGTTGTTCTGTCACTCTGGCTGCATTGTAATGTGCTAACTATTTGCCTCGCAGACCAATGCCTCCAAGGTTGATGGTATAGTCGCCGAGAATCCTGATAAGACACTGGAGCAATTGGTCTCCGAACGCAAGATCAATGCCGACCAGAAGGCCCAACTACTCAAGAAGCCCTCCCTGGAGGCATCTCGCACACAATTGAAGGAGCAGATTGAGCAGTACAAGAAGTTCGACCAGGAATACAAGACTGCGGCTCAAGCTGAAAAGGCGCAGTTCGAGAAAACCTTCACTGAACGTTCAGTCAAGGAGTTGGAGGAGGCAGTTGCTGCAGCAAAGGCAGAGGCCGTGGCAAGCGCTAAGCAGGAGCAGGAGGATGGACTTCTAGCACTTTCACAATTCTTGAAATTGGCTGCTGTCCGAAGAACTAACGAGGAGAACCAAGACTCGCCCGAAAATATTGCTCTTGAATCCCTGCTGGTAAAGGTCTACACTGGAGATCTCACTGCGGTTGGTTTCATGTCGAAGATCATCCAAGGCCCTACTGACCAGGTCGCAAGTCAAGATGGTGACATCTTGCCGGTCACTTGTAGGTTTGCATGTCAATGAGCTTGTAGCATTAACTAACCTAAATTGCAGATGCCGATATCAAGAACGCCTACATCTCACTCCCACCTTCACCCCAAACTACTATTGAGGCCGAGGAGACTCCCGCTGTCGAGACGAAGGACTACCCAATTGAAAGCGACCCCACCATTGCCAACGCCGGCCTCACCGAGCTCGACGCCCCGGCTGTCACAAGCTTAAACAATGGTGCTCAAGAATCATACGAGATTCAAGGCGTCCCGCAAAACTCTGGCTTTGGCGACGGAGCTGCTAATGCGGCTGCTGAGTCAAACTGGGACAACACAAATGACCTATCTCAATCTCAGGAATGGGTTGAGGTTCCTCGCGATGCTGCTGAGACCGATACTGGCATCACTGGTACCCCTGCCGCACCATCCAATGTGCAGAGCTGGGCCGATGACCAGCCAGACAGCCCATCTGAGGTAAGATTATATTCCGCAATTATTTTCCAACATAACTAAGAAAGCTTTGAATAGACAATCACCCCAGTCGCACCCAAAGACGACGGCTTCCACGAAGTCCAACGCAACCGCGGCGGACGCGGCGGCCACTCACGAGGAAACCAATCCCGTGGCGGCGGACGAGGAGGTGAGCGAGGCGGCCGTGGAGGATACCGAGGTGAATTCCGCGGTGGACGAGGCGGTAGAGGTGGACCTCGAGGAGGGCGCCGTGGAGGAGACGATGCCTAAATGTGCACCAGTCCCCCAAAAAAAACCCATGTAACATCACCTTCTTTGCTTGTTCTTTTGCAGCATCGCAGTCATGGCATAAGTTAATTGCATTTTTGTGGTACGCAACCCTGGAGCGTTTGTTTATACTCTTAATGCATGCATGCATCCTTGGCTTGGTTGGGGGGTGGGGGGTGTATGGAAATGGGAGGGGGTGGAATTGGATTGGATTGGATTGGGAAGGCTGGTCTATGATGAGTGAAGTGATACATAGCTTTATGCTGTGATCATTCGGAATCAATGGCATACTGAACCCAAAATAAATCGGTTGCGCGACTTCTGTGAATGAATATACGTGATTGAACGAAGAGACGGAAATTGTCTGAAATCAGCAAGTGCTAGGTGGAGCGAGGGACACGTTCTTCAGTTCCTTGCTTGCCATTTATTTCTAACTAGTTGCCAGAAATTAAACTTGTCGGGTACTCGAGTATAAAGGAAGAACCAACAAGCTTAGAGGTAGAGATTAACCCACTACTTGAGACTATATCGACAGTAATGTTCTTCCTAGATTGCAGGGCCTTGAGTTCTCGTTACACATGTATGGGAAAGAGAGGAAAGTTTGATGGATGTGAGAATTTAGTTCTACTTTACTTCCTCACTTCTGCCACTACCTACTTAAAAAGCAATAATACTCTGCTTTGCTGTCAATTTGAAAGCCTACAGATGAGCTGATCAAAATCTAGTTCGCTACGCACGTGCACACAAAACAAAGCTGCCACTCTACTATTATAAGGGAATGGCAGTGGTTGTTAGCAGGCTGTTTCTTCTGTATTGCCGTTCCTTGTGGAAATGGGACTTGGGTTGTGCGAGTGTTGCGTTAGGAATCTATATGCTGTTAAGGAATGTTTTCATTCAGTTTCTTTAGATCATTTTCAGCGTTATTTACCCCTAGCTGCATACACGTGCATTAAGACATATCAGTTGTAGACTTGCTTACAGACTAATATTCTCTTGAGTTTGGGGCAGACAGAGCGAGCGCAGAGGATCCTCTCTCATCACACATTCTTTGCAAAGACTTCCAGTATCTTTTGGTTTCCTTCCCTTAGCTATGGCTACCTTTTATAACCTAGGCGATAGGCTGTGTTTCTAGTGAATCCACGTTTAAAAGAAATATGTGCGTGTTTCTAGTGGACGGAAGTGTAATCATGTGTATGGCGATTATGACACTTGGTGCAACCTATGAGCTATCTCAAATCAATCAAAACCTTTAGGGGGTAGTTCGCAGAATCAGGCATACTCTGTTTTTCTGCTGTTTAACGCCCTGAGCATGTCAAGTGTATTAATCTCGTACATTCATGGTTGTCTATAGCTCGTTCCATATATCGTGTGAATTGCTTGCTGTTGGGAATCCTTTTTCGGTCAAGGATTTCGTTCACTCGTTCATTCATTTGTTCTGTCGTTTCTTTCCTGCTTATTAGTTCTTGATGTAGCTAAATAGTAATCCTGGACCTGAGTTCTAATGAGTTTCTTTTAATAATTTGAGAATATGTTAAGAGTTTATGTTTTGCTTTTTTATTTCTGCTCTTTTGGCAAGATTTTTTCTTCAAAGATTATGAGCTTGTATATACTACTATATAGTGGGATTAATCTGGTAGCGGGCTGTGCTCTGATTGGAGGTATGGGGGTGGCCTTCAGCTATAGATAGAGTATAGCCAAGTAGGAAGACAACAAGGTCATTAGCACGGAAGCATTTAAGGTTAATTCAGTGGTGCTTATGGTATAGTCGGGAGTTAAGTGAAGTTGAACCAGCGCAACTATGCCCCATTTCTCAAAAGCATATGGATGATATGGCTGGTCAGTTCCTGGCCTCTCATATATCTTCCTGTGACCTGTGAATTAGCAAGTGTACATACCTGTTCGGTACTCGCAGCAGTAGAATTCACTTAGTTCACGGACATGTCTTCACGATGATGCATATAGCATATGCTGATTTGTGTATGCGTATTTCCTAAAAGTACCAGCATCTTAACTAATTAAATGCGTGATATTCTAGAGACTACAAATCAAGCCGTTGGAAATTTTCACGCGTCTCTAATAAGTTTGCCGTTAAAGAATCACATGCTTTCAGAATCTTCATTCATTCATTTAGCCACTCATAAGTGATTTTAGACATAATATAATAGTCTCCCGATGAATCGCAGACGAAATATTTAAAACTTTTCGGGGATTGAAGGACACCTTTAATGCAGTATCTGAATAAGGGTTAAATTACAATTATCTTTGCCCCAAATAGAACTATCACTGTGATAAGTCAATATCCGGGACCACGTGGCAATATTGCGGGTTGCCATAAGTCGAATTGCTACATAGCGGGGTACTTCCGCATCCCCACTGATCACCCCTCAGTCCTAACTATTCTGGGCCGAAGATTAAATGCCGAGCCATGTGCAGTTATTCCTGCCGCTTGACCCCTCCCTGGCCTCACCGCAGCGGGATCTTGCAATAGTGTAGTTTCCCGTCGACATAATAGCTTATGAGTGCATACAGCTCTAAGTTTATTTCTCATATGCATGCGAGAAGCGTTCGCAATCCTAAGCTCTCCGAGATCGAGATATCATAACATGGCCCCAAAAGCAGAAGATGGTAGCTACCTCCTTAGCCGTGACTATATTGACTGCACGAGGTAGGATTGCAGAGTCCAGTCAAATTTCTTTCAATACCCACAGCAGCTAATGTCCGATACCGTATTCCACATAAAGACTCAACCTACAACATTATCTATGGACTCAGATATTCGGATATCTGCTACACCCTAGCATCAAGATCGATAAATCCCAAGAGAACCTGAAAGTAGCTGATATTGGCACTGGTACAGGGTGAGTTTATCCTTTGTTGCCTCTTGTAGAGTGTTGCCAACATATTTAGTGTTTGGCTTACAGACCTTTCCAAACAACTCCCAGCAAGCTCCCAGCTAGACGGTTTCGACGTGGACGTTTCTCAAGCACCGCCTAAAGAGTGGTTACCATCCAATGTAACCATTCGGCAATGGAACGTGTTCGACGAGGTGCCAGAAGAGCTGATCGAGCAGTATGATATTGTGCACTTAAAGCTCTTGGTTTTCGTGGTGAAAGGAGACCCAGTACCAATTCTACGAAACCTTCTCAAAATGCTAAGTAACGACATCCTTCCTGTCAATGGCTCAAGCTTGTTTATATGAGGATGCGGATCTAACTATGCTATGCGACCACAGAACCAGGAGGCTGGCTTCAGTGGGCCGAGCCAGACGTACCTTCGATGCGCATTAGGAAGACCGATGCCTCGAACACTGAAACGGCCCTGCAACGGCTCTTCAGTTTGACCGCGGCTCAAGATCCACGTCTCATCCCACAGTGGCCGAGCCAGTTGCCGGGCCTGATGGCTGACCAGGGCCTGATGCAGGTAGAGGCACATCGCGTCAATGCCAACCCGCGTAAGTGGCGTAATTCCGTCTATTGTTGGCGATTCGAACCCCTAACGTCCCTTCCCTATTCGTGATTGGAATTTATACTAATTATTACAAATTTTGATCCTTAGATCAAGAGTTTGCTATGCACGAGTGCAATCTGCTTATTTATGACATGATTGCGCAGCGCAGCGCAGGGAATGGAAGTGAGATGGCAAAGGAGATCACTCGATTGGTCCCAGAAGCTGCAAGCGAGTCAAAAGGGGGCGCGATGTTCACTTTCTCTCGCCTAACGGTGATTGGGCGGAGAAGCGAAGAAGCAGGATCGAAAGGAGCAAAGTTTTAGTTTTGTATCGTCATAATAGTCTGATTATCACTAATGAACAATCTCCCAATGATACAAATATCGGTAGGGAAAACGATCTACGATGTGTTCACCTATATAGGTAGGTACAAGTCAGAATCTTGGGAACGCTACTTATATCCGAAACTCTCTCGGGTATAAAGAAAGCTGTGTTATCGATTTGGGAATTCCACTAGAATTGTCGAATTGATACAGTAGATATTGAGCGCTAGCCGCAGGTGATAAGTGCACTTCGGTATAAGTCTCGCTCTCCACTACCCCACTTGCCACAATAAAATAGCGGAGATACTAGTAGCTGTTAGTTCGGCACTAAACTTGCCTAATGGGGAAGTCTATTTAATGATCATGGGCCGTACCGCAGATCTTAGATAGAGAGATCGCTTTCCCACGTTTGATGATTGTTGGAGAAGCTTGGTCCTTCCTTTATTCCGTACGAAATAAGTTCAAATCACATAAGATGTTCGCAAAACGCAGGATCCTATAGACCAAATGCCCAGTCTATTGTAATTGTATACGGCGAGGAGTTATGATTACATGATAGTTTCTCAAGGGTTCCCCTTATATTTGTGGTGGCGGATAGGATCGATAAGCTTTATTGAGAACAGGAGTACATTACTGCATGTACCTAGGTAGGTAGGTACGCATTGCATTACAGCTTCCGATGTACGAAGGAAGTAAACTACTGCAAGGACCAGCATGTGATCAGCGGCACGAAGTATACCTTTGTGAATTCGAGACTTCTAAGCTTCAAGACTTCAAGACTTTGAGTTTATTAACTTATAACCAATTGCTATCTACGCTGATTAAATTTACTTTACTGTCGGCTTTTTAAGACCCTTAGAATCCCACTACTGTCTCCTTTCCCTCTTGCCTACACATCCAGCTCGCAATGGCTGCCTCTCTACCCACCATAGTTCTAGTCCATGGCGCCTGGCATACCCAGCCAAACTATCATAATTACATCGAAGCCTTGAAAGCACAAGGCTTCAAAGTCCTCACCCCACACCTCCCTTCATCCAGCGGCAAATCTCCCCCAGACGCCTCCTTCCCAGAAGACGTCGTCGCAGTCCGAGAAGTCGTGGAGAACCTCGTCGAAGCGGGCGAGCGCGTACTCATGGTCATGCACTCCTACGGCGGTGCCGTCGGCACCGATGCTATCACAGGCCTCAGCTTCACCGAACGCAAAGCCGAAGGAAAGAAAGGGGGAGTGATACACCTCTTCTACATGTGTGCGTACATCCTCCCACCCGGAGCCACCATCTGGAGTATAGTGGAAGAAGCGCAAATGACGCAGTTCTGGCCGCAGTTCGTCGACAATGCTGCAGATGGCTCGAGCTTTCCACACGACCCGAAGCTCTTGTTTTTCGGCGACGGCGTGGAGCAGCGTGTCGTGGATGAGGCGCTTCCGCACTTGGTGCGGTCGCCGTTGTCCATGTTCCATACGGAGACTAAGGGGAGTGCGTGGAAAATCGTTCCCGCGACTTATATTTTGACCCAGCAGGATTACTCGGTGCCAAGGGTGTATCAGGATATCATGCTTTCTAAGGTGAAGAAGGAGGGGGTAGTTTTGAAGACGGAGGACTATGAGACGAGTCATAGTGTTTTTATCACTAAGCAGGCTGAGATGGTTCGAGCGGTTGTGGAGGCTGCTAAGGATGAGAGGAATCCGTTGTAATCAGTGTATAAAAAAAGAATTGAGAATTTCTCTCGTGCGTCCTCAAATTGCTAGGAGCCTAGGAAAATACCAATGTGCAAATAGCTTCAACGTTGTAATATAAGTCTTGAGGGAGGGCCTAATGAGACCATACTGGAATATGAGATGTTCGGTTTTACTGATATAAGGGGTGTTGTGACAAGAGAATATTAGACGCAACGACTAGGCGCGCTGAACTTCGACGTTTGGGTTTGTTCAAAGAAGAATATCACATTGTCTTATAAAAGGGTATCATAGTTGACTAATTGCTCTGGATTTGATGTTTTCTATCGGTAGCGACGGTCACTCCGCTCGACAGTGAATTCCTGCGAGACATAGACGCCACTTAAGCCAGATTCGACACTATCTATATCCTTACCAGATTTCTGACTCAAAGGTATCGTGTCACGTCCATCGATATAGTCGAAATCATCCTTCGAAGCTAGTACCGCGGTACCATTTTTGGTTCGCGTGGACCGGAAGACCGAGACGCCGGTGGTGGCCTTGCCACGACTGCCGACAATCTTCTTCTGCCAGGCTTTGAAGTAGGCTGGGAGGGTAGGCAAACAAGCGCATGTTATGGACAGAGGCGTTTCGATAGATGTCCAGACACCCACGTTGACTAATGTATCTGGGGTATTTTAGTAAGGGACAGTAGAAACCAAACGGTCGCCAGTGGTATATGTGTCTTACAAGTTATGTCCTCGTCCTTTATTTTGCTCAGATTGACTATACGGACGATGCTGCTTATGCAAACGCTAGAGACGAGAGTCAATATAAAGCTACCTGATAAGGAGGGACGAGTCATACAAGCCTCCAAGTAGAAAAACACCAGCAAGAGCACTCTTCTTATGAGCGGTCATGTTTAGTCGCAATATCATCGGAATCGGTAAACAGAGAATAATGACATCGGTGAGGAGGTTGGAAATAGCGTTTCCATAATAGAACTTCGTTGTATTTATGCCTAGGTATCAAAACGTTAGCATGCGTATATATCTTTAGGAACATTCAATAGTAAGTTTTACATTTTGCAGTTGCCATTGCTGTAAGATTCCAAGAACCATCTACAGGGTTGCAAGAGAAAATCTGTGTCAATACAACCGAAATCATCCAGCCCAGAACAATTGCACCAACGGCATAAAGCGCATATTGGAAGGATTTGACGAGGTGGAAGATGCGCCTATACATGAAAAGTATTGAAAGTTTGATGGTGGGTAATGTCAAGGCGTAAAATATGTTATCGATATAGACTATCTGCGCGTATGTTAGTCCGCGTTCACTTGAAATGATTTGATCTCCGAACATACTAAAAGAAATCTTTCGATTTGCTTAGGTAGAAGTTCACTCATATGGAACCCCGCAAAGCCAATGGTACTGATTAAGATACCTGTAGTGTATAGTCCGAACGAAAAGACCAGTGCAAGCAAGGCAAACTGCACAATCCAGCTATCAGCAAAACGGTCTTTGTCCAATGTGCTGATAATGACAACATGTATAACTGTTTTCCGCGACTACTTACCCAATCGTCCACTCCCACCCCCCGATTTGAATGCTTCGATAGAAAACGCAAAATAATGGTAGAAACAGCCAGTGTCTGAAAGACAGTCGACACTACCACCAGCGGGACAGCTCTTGATGACACCACGGGCGCATGAAGCGGTTGTATTGTAACAGTTGTTGGCGAAGCCATCTTTCTTTTTGAGAAAGGAAATTGGAGAATGGAGGCACGAAGTAAGTTCTTCTTCTTTTTCTTCTTCTTCCACGCATAGAAAGTCTGTATATTACTTCTTGAATTGATGGATTCTAGGTATTTACCTCTGCTAGTTTGAAGTGTCGTTCCTTCGCGGTGGCGAGGGGCAATTAATTGTGGAGAGAATTAACGTTTGAAGGGGGGATGGTAACGTAAGATATGCTAATCTCGCAACCACTCCTATACTATACGTGGAATCCTTTTCCATGCATTTGCTGCATTTCACGTTACGGCGCTATAGCGGCCATACATGTACGAGCGAAGATCTTTGAGTACTTCGAGGTAAGTGGACAGACACACGTACTCCGTAAGCCAGAACCATGGTTAGAACTCCTGCTCAGAAGGGAAGTTTACCTTGTTGTTCCTTTGATTTTTTTAGGAATTCCTTCTACTCGGGTTTCAGTTGAACCAGTGTAGCTAAAAGCTCGTGAACGCTACGGGAGTTAGCTTAAGTGGTATGTGCCGGGCAAACCTTACCTTACTGTAAATCATTGGATAGCAGGCAGGTGACTTTAAAAGGTGGAGAACCATGTGTCTACTAGTCTCAATATTACTAAAAGTACCCACTTCGCTTAACCGTCTCTAGACCAAAATTGCTACTAGTGTGGTATAGTCTACTTTACTGTAAATAGCCGTGCTGAGCTGAGCTGAGAGCATACTCCGTATTGAGACCAAGATCAACATCTAACATTCGCACCTTCCCACCCAAAACACACAAATAGATCTAACTCCACTCAACACTTGTCCGTTCTTTCCCTTCCCCACGATATGCTTGGCGCCTGCCAACGAACCAAAAGATTGCCGGTGAAATAGCATGCATGATAGGATGGAGCCTCGTACGTATCGGACACCCAGTCACTTGCAGTAAGCGCTGCATGACATATTTTGCAAGCTCGCCTTTCCCTCACTACCTAGTCATAGGCCACTGCCGTTTTGGCAAGGTTCAGAATCGCAGTGACAGCCGCTGACAGTTTCTCTAGATCTTCTCCTTCTGAGGGTACTCCATGTCCAGCGCTGTGCACCACTTCCACATTATTCGTTGCCGAGCACAGCTGTGAGAGATCTGGCCCCATTCCGGGATAGTCCTGGTCGTTGTCCGCCCAGCAATTTACCACAGGGAGATGCATCAAAGCTGTCATCTCCGACTTTCGAGCGCACTGTACAACTTGCCCCTCTTTGAGAGAAGTCATATCAAAAGGCAATCCCCCACATAAGAATATAGCGCATTTGAAAGGTACTAGACCCTTCAACTCTGCGCTGATGATAAGGGTTGCGGCGAGTACCGCGCCTTGGGAGAACCCAATGACTCCATCAAAAGGCCCACTTGACGCAACGTAATTCGCCAGGTCGGTGACTGCCTCAAGAATACTCGATGCAGATGGGTCTTCACCGTCGAAATAGGAGTAGCAGTCTACCTGATCGCCGAATACCTCCTGGATTCCACGTGCTGGTGGCCAGAGAAGCGAGCCATCCACAAAGTCGTACTCATGCTTCTCTTCGCCCAAACGGTAGCGCAGAGATGCTGTGGCCCAAACTTCAGTATGAGGTCTTACTTCTTGTTCTGTGAGAAACGTACCAGTCTGTGCCTTGAGTACCTAAATGTTCAACACAAAAATGTTAGAATACTTGAATTTATTTCCGAGACATGTAAAGAACCGAATGCTTACGTCGCTATTTGTTCCCAGCCCATGCAAACAGAGGAAACGCATTTTCTTTGGTCGATAGAGGTTTGGTTCTGATGATGGTTTGAAGAAAGCTTGCCAGCGATAAACATAGCACGAAGGCAATATAAATCCCAGTACAGTAGAGACGGTCTGCCGGCAGTGTCTCGGTGATCTCTCGCTCGGAGGCTGAGATCTCCAGGATAATTGTTGGTATGCACTACCTCCGTACCACATCTGGATAATCCATTCCTGGTTTGGTCTACCGCTCCCAGCAGTGAGGCGCTGGAACTTTAAAAGTTGCCACATGTGCAATGCTCCACTTTTCGGACGAGCAAGTCAATCTTCTGCCTGAAGTGTTCTCGCGTCTCCGAAGCTACCTTTTGATTTGGATTTCTTTCTATCTATCGTGACACATTAGATTCATATCACATGGGCAGTGTGAAAGGTTTGATGAAACTGGGAATATTATAGTTTGTCGCCATGGCGATCAGAAAATCCCAAAACGGCGTTCATCCTGCGGAAGGAAGTTTGGAAGACTTGAATGATGGGCCTCCAAACACCTCTGCGAATGGCTTCACTTATACTTTAGAACATCCCACCGTGGAGCCCATTGCGGTGATTGGGATGTCCTTGAAGTTTCCTCAGGAAGCTACATCTCCAGAAGCTTTCTGGGACATGCTCTATGAAGGCCGATGTGCTATGACCGAATTTCCTCCAGACAGATTCAATATAGATGCATTCTATGATAAGGAGAACTCAGGCACTGGAACCGTAAGTGTTTCTACCTTTGAACCTTCTTGTTCAAATACGCAGCAAAAATGCACCAAGTTGAATAGCTCCGCTGACGAAAGATAGCTACCCCTTCGAGGCGGTCATTTTTTAAAGGAGGATCTAGGCGCATTTGATGCCCCTTTTTTCTCTGTCACGCCTGCTGAGGCTGTTGCGATGGATCCGCAACAACGCATAATGTTAGAGACGTCTTATCACGCTCTAGAAAATGGTAAGTTCGTCTCGAGCAGCCCAGAATTTAGATCGCTGAGAGTGTGCAGCGGGTCTCACTATCGACAAGTGCTCAGGAAGTAAGACTTCAGTTTACACTGCAACTTTTACGGACGATTACAAGAGTATGTTACAGCAGGAGACCGAACAACTCCCAAAGTATGCAGCCACGGGACTGTCCGGATCGATGTTGGCGAACCGCGTCAGCTGGTTTTTCAATTTGCGCGGTCCTAGCATGAATCTAGACTCTGCTTGTTCTAGCAGTTTGAGCGCTTTACATATTGCTTGTCAGGATTTACTAAATGGTACATCAAAAATGGTATGATACAAGGTGTTATTTGTAATTCCCACTGCTTACCTAACCCAGGCCCTTGTTGGTGGATGCAATCTGGTCTTTCATCCGGATTTCATGCTAATTATGTCAAATATGAGTTTCATGTCTCCTGACAGCCGATGCTGGAGTTTTGACCATAGAGCAAATGGCTATGCTAGAGGCGATGGCTTTGGTGTTGTGGTTTTGAAGAAATTATCAGATGCGCTGCAGGATGGAGATACCATAAGAGCTGTCATACGTGCTACTGGGTTGAATCAGGATGGTAGAACGACTGGCGGAATCACACAGCCGAATGGAGAGGCCCAACAGTTATTGATAAACGAGACTTTTACAAGGGCAAACCTTGACATGGCACCAGTAAGATTGTAAGTTGATGAGAAGTGTCCACTCATTGTTCATAATAAGCGGTTTGATGACTTGCTGATTTCTATGACATACTATAAAAGGGGCAATATTAACTTTGTGTTTATAGTTTTGAAGCACATGGGACAGGAACAGCCCTTGGTGATCCCACCGAAGCAAAAGCGATTGGAAATTCTTTTCGGTCATTCCGCTCAGCCGAGGAGCCACTGATTGTTGGTGCCGTCAAATCCAATATTGGTCACTTGGAAGGTGGTAGTGGCATTGCAGGTCTCATCAAAACTGTGATGATACTAGAAAGGGGTATTATTCTGCCCAATACTGGGCTCGAACAGGTCAATCCCAGGATCGATACCCAAAATCTTCGCATTCACGTAGGTTCCTATTCCCAAACCACAGATATGCTTTTAACTGACTGTTCTTCCAAGTTTCCTACTCGTCCAATGCAATGGCCTAGTTTGGGACTTCGTCGTGCTTGTGTGAGTAGCACCTCTTCCTTGGACACCAATCTAACTATATACAAGGTTAACTCGTTTGGATTCGGCGGCTCTAATGCCGTTGTGATAGTCGATGATGCTTTGCACTTCTTGAAAGCCCATAGGCTCCACGGTCATCATCGTACTATAGACCTTTGCCTGCAAAAGTCAATTGGTGAAATGAATGGGACGAAAGAGACGAACGGCTTCTACAAACCTGTCGAACAGAAGTCCGAAAGAGACGTGCGAAGACTGACCGACGAAAACGGATTTTCAACTCAGCTTACCTCGACTCAAAAGCACCCGAGGCCGAGACTATTAATTTTCTCTGCTGCTGATGAGGTTGGGATAAAAAGTATGCTCGATACTCATGGCGAATTTTTCAAAAAGCGCGGGCGAGCTGTTCTGGCGCCATCATTTGATGATATTGTCCACACTCTAGCAGCCAAGCGATCTCTCCATGCGTGGCGTTCCTATACTGTTGCAACTTCTGGCAGTGATCTCATCTCGCTAGAAAAAGATAGTTCCAAACCAATCAGGTTTTCAGGAGACCCAAAATCGATTGCTTTCGTGTTCACTGGCCAAGGAGCCCAATATGCGAAAATGGGAAACGGGTTGCTTGCATTTCCTCTCTTCAAACTTCGGTTTGCTGAGCTTGACCATATACTTCAAGGCCTGGGATGTGAATGGTCGCTTCAGGGTAAGTAGCCGCTAGTTCATGGTTTGCTGGAGATGCTGACCTGGATTGTAGCTTTGCTTTGCGATTCTGCCTCTACCATAAATGAGCCAGAATATAGCCAGACATTTTCGACCGCGCTTCAAATCGCTATAGTCGACTTACTCAAGTCTTTCGGTATTACTCCCGCTGCCGTGGTGGGTCATTCTTCAGGCGAGATAGCCGCTGCGTAAGTCAACCCAAGTGTCTCGCTGTTCACATTACTCATTAAACTAGATACTGTGCAGGTGCTTTCGATGACAGAACTGCAATGAAAATTGCTTTCCACCGGGGTCGCCTCGCTGCCAGACTTCCGACGCTGCATAAAGCTCCGCAAGCAATGCTCGCTGTAGCTCTGGGTGAAGAAAGAATTCAGCCATTTCTGTCCAGACTCAAGGAAAATGTCGAAGTCCTCAATGTTCAAGTCGGCTGTGTGAATAGCCCTAAGAGCATCACACTTACGGGAGACAAAGATCAGCTTGAAATTCTCGAGTCGTGGCTTAAGGACGACCAACACCTGGCTCGTAAACTTCGCGTGAACGTTGCGTACCATTCTTCTTTCATGAAGGCAATAAAGACCGATTATTACGAAAGCCTGAAGGACATAGACGGTAAAGTCGCCAAGAAGGTCACCATTCCAATGATATCGTCAGTAACCGGGGCTATTATTCCTCTAGACAGGGTTTGTGATGCTGAATACTGGGTCAAAAACCTTATCTCTCAGGTCAAATTCTCCCAGGCGGTGTCTCTTCTCAGCGTTCAATCTGGGAAAGCGCCTCGAAAGACCCTCGGCTCCAAGTCCCAGTCACTTTCGGGCATCAAAGAACTCATAGAGATAGGGCCGCATTCTACCCTTCAAGGCCCACTTCAAGAGATTCTGACAAGCACTAAGTCTCAAGGTCGGATGGGTTATCTGTCAATACTTAATCGTCAAAGGGACGCTGCAGCATGTACCCTAGATGCTGTTGGACGGTTATGGAGCCTAGGATATCCTATTGATATGCTGGCAGTCAATAGTTTTGATGAAAAAATGCGTACTGTGGTTACAGATTTACCATCCTATCCGTTCAACCACACACAGAAATACTGGTTTGAAGATAGAACCAGTACTCAATTTAGATTTAGATCTCATGCGCGACATGAGCTTTTGGGAAGTATAATTCCAAGTTCGAGTTCCTTTGAAATGCGATGGCGCAATTTTCTCAGCCTGGAGAAGCTACAATGGGTCCAACATCATCAAGTGAGTTACCCCCTGTCATTAGGTCAATATTCCTAGGCTAATCTTGGGAAGATAAGCAGCAACTGCCTCCTTCCCGGTGCAGCCATGTTGGCTATGGCTATTGAAGGCGTGAAGCAGCTTACGACTGGGGAGGTAAAGGTTGTGGGGTTTGAGATGCGAGACGTGCAGTTCCTGAACGCTTTGCAAGTTCCAGACAGCAACGAAGGCCTGGAGATCCAAGTATCTCTTGCTACTACTAAGGACAGAGTAATTGAACATAGACCATGGTATGAGTTTAGACTTTTCTCATTCAGCTCAGAATGGTCTGAACATTGCCGTTGCCGTATCAGAGCTGAAACCGCATCGCAAGTAGGGAGCATTCCATCCCCTATTTCAAGTTATCATCAGGAGTTCTCGTCCATAGCCAAGGCATGCGTCCACGAAGCGGACGTGAAACATTTCTATGATGTTACCAGAGACAATGGCGTCAATTACGGCCCAATTTTTCAGACATTAGACTATGTGCGGTTCAATGAGTCTGGAGCTGCTATGGCCGAGATCCGAGCCTTTTCTGGTAGCGCCGACGACAAGTCGAAAGGTCTCAATTTCAATGCATACACTATTCATCCTTCCGTCTTGGATGGCCTCTTCCAAATGGTGTTTCCTGCCCTCAACCAAGGTGGGGCTCTGGATCTTCCGACAATGGTGCCGTCTTCCATACGAAGACTAGTAATATATGCAAACGAAGATTTCATTTCTTCAGTTTCACATTTGCGGGCAAGTGTAAGATCGAGCTTCAACGGATATCGAGGCACCGAATCTAAGGTCATCGCTGTTTCACCCAGCAACAATGAACTTTTCTCGATCATGGAAGGATATCAAACGACGTTTGTTTCTACATCGAACGATACACAGCTTCTAAATTCGGAGCAGAGGCCATTACTTAGTCATTTGGAATGGCGACCAGATCTTACCTTGCTTAACAACGAACAAATATCGGGACTGTGCAAGCAAGCAAGGCCACAGAACAATGATTTTGTCAATTTCCAACAACGATTGTCATTGTTAATTCAACATTACATTTCAACGACACTCGAGGCCTTGAAGCAGTCACCTCCAGAGGGCATCTCTCCACACTCATTGAAATATATCAGGTGGATGGTACAACAGCACAGTCAGCCCGACAATGATTGGGCTCCAAGGGCCTTGGCTGAAGCAGCTGGAGTGGACTCTCTAGAGAACGAAATAGAGACGGCAAACAATTTAGGCCAATATTATGTGACTGTTGGTCGGAATCTCTTGCCGCTCCTCCTGGAGGAGGGCTCCAAGAGCCTTGTGTCCAGAGAAGAGCTAGCAAGTACCTATTTCCACGAGCAATTGGGGAGCCAGAATATCCGAAAGCAACTAGAGGTTTTACTGTCAAATCTCGCTCACAAAAACCCCACAATGAAGATACTAGAGCTTGGAGGAAGCGGAGGAACATCACCGTGTCTGAGTATCTTATCTGGCAAGGGGAACACCAGGTGGCTTCGATACGACTACACTAATGTATCGTCCGATAAAGTTCTTCAAGCGCAAGAGAAATTCGGTAGCTCTAGTAATCGGGTCTATTTCCAAGTCCTGGATATTGAAAATGAGCCCACGGCTCAAGGAATTGAAGACTCCTCTTACGACTTAATCATTGCAGCCCACGTCCTTCAGGTGACTTCGGATTTACCTCGAACCTTCCGAAATCTGAGGAGGCTTTTGAAGCCGGGTGGCAATTTAATACTAGTTGGAATTGCAGCTCCTCAAAGTGTGAATATTGACTTCATCTTCGGTCTTATTCAGGGGTGGTGGACTAATGGGCAGACCTCTTTGAACCCTTACCGCTCGAAGGAAGAGGTGTCAAAAGCTCTAACAGACTCTGGTTTTAACGGTATCGACTACAGTATTCAGGATTTGGAGGACCAGGAACATCATGAGATTGGTGTTATTGTTGCTACTACAGCAGAGCAGGTGGCTTCAGAAGCTTTGGAACTTCCTGAGATAGCCATCGTTATTGACGAAAAGTCTTTGACTCAGGCTAACTTCGCCAACCGTTTGAAGGAAAAGATAGAGGGAGATGGGAAAACCACAGCATTGGTCTATGATTTTGCCGACGCGGTATCCAAACGATCGATTAACGGGATGTTTTGCGTATTCCTCCTCGACTACGACGAGCCTTTCTTTCCTTCCATCAATTTGGATGAGTTCAACAACTTCAAGGAAGTTTTGTCATTGGCAAATGATATATTATGGGTAGCCAGAGATACCCAGACGCTTCGCAGACCAGAGTTCCATATGGTGGATGGACTTTCGCGTGCTCTCCGTTCTGAAAACCCCAAACTGAGGTTTGCTCGAGTCGCCATCACGGATGATGACCAGACAGGCTTAGACGGCCCAGCAGCAGTACTTACTGTCTTGAACCATGCAATCCAATCGCCTTTAGACGATATGGAGCCCGAGTATGAGGAAAGGGACGGCATGCTCTGTATCAACCGAGTTATCCAATCAGAGCGCATGAACAGACTTATCGGGGCCAATATTGCTTCCTACCAGGAACGAACACTGCAGTTGAGTCATGAGCTCCCAATTAGAGCTACCATGAAAAATAGTGGCATGACAAACAGTATTACCTACGAGGAAGTGGCGGAGTGGGACGACCTTCCTAATCCCGATGAAGTTCTCGTCCAAGTTCGAGCTGTAGGTCTCACTTCTCGAGATTATCAGATTGCGTCGGGACAGCTGAATGAAGAGAGCATATTCACTGAGTGCTCTGGACTCATTGTGAAGGCCGGATCAGACAGTGGATTTTCTCCTGGCGACAAAGTTTTCGTCAGCTGCCCCGGTGTCTGCACCACATCTCTGAGATGCAAAGCATCGTCCGCGGCGCTTTTGCCAAACTCCATGTCGTTCATCAAAGCTGCAGCTCTACCAACGTCGGCGCTGCTATCGTTTCAAGCTCTGGTTAACGCCGCAAGTCTCGCCAGGGATGAAGTCGTGTTGATCCATCACGCAGCTGGCGCAATAGGTCAGGCAGCGATACAGATTTCCCAGAAAATCGGTGCCAGAATTATTGTTACTACGGGTTCTGAGGAGAAGGCAGAGCTGTTGCGGTCAACTTATAGCCTTTCCAGGGACAGCATTCTGTCGAATAAAGATCCGCACCTGTCACAGTCAATTCTGCAAGCGACTGCGGGCCATGGTGTGGATGTTGTGCTGAGCTTTGATCTTGGTGATGATCTTGACGTCTCTTTGGAAGTCCTGGCTCCATTCGGCCGTTTGGTCAACTTCGGTATTGGCAAGAATGCAGTATCGGCAAAAGTAACCCAACAGGCATTGCCAAAATGTATCACCTACATCTCTTTGAATCTTGCCGAAATACAACGCCTGCGTCCTCAGTTGATCGGGAAGCTGTTCAAGCAGACATCTTCGTTGATTCGCAGCGGTGATATCAGACCAGCAATGCCACTGAATGTTTTCCAAGCCTGCGATCTTGTCAAAGGCTTGCAATTCTTCCATACTGGTCGGAGCGTGGGTAAAGTAGTGATTGATTTTGATCCTGAGCATTCAGTTACTGTAAGATTTCCCCAAATTCGCATCATTGTCTTCCGAGGCTAACATAGATACGAAAGGCACTCGTTACGAACAAACCGTCATACTATTTTGACCCTGAGGCAACATATCTGATTGCAGGTGGATTCGGTGGCTTAGGACGTAGTGTTTCGCGCTGGATGGTTGACCGTGGAGCAAGGAACTTGATTATTCTTGCTCGCTCGGGTACTCGAACAGAGTCAGCCAAGGAGCTCGTCCGTGAGCTAGAGGCATTAGGCGCTCGTGTCGAAGCACCAGCTTGCGATATCATTCAAGCCGAAAGCCTAAAAGGTGTCCTCGAACAATGTGCCAAGACCCTACCACCAATACGGGGCTGTCTTCAATGCACGATGGTTCTAAGAGTAAGAGATGTTTGTCCTAAATGTTAGTACGCTTCAACTGACCAAGATCCCAGGATGCAATATTCGACAACATGACACACGACGACTTTACCACTGGAACACAACCAAAAGTCATCGGCTCCTGGAATCTCCATACACTGCTCCCAAAAGGCCTGGATTTCTTCGTCTCCCTCTCCTCCATTGGCGGTATTCTAGGCGCTACATCTCAAGCCAATTACTGCGCCGGAAATACCTACATTGACGCCCTAGCGCGCTACCGCACCAGCGTCGGCGAGAAAGCCGTCTCCATCGACCTCGGCATGATGGTCTCGGAAGGCGTCGTCGCCGAGACGGAAGGCATGCTTGATTCGCTGCGGCGCCTGGGCTATTTTATGGATATCAGACAGGCTGAATTCCTCGCTCTGCTAGATCACTATTGCAACCCTGCGCTACCGCTGCTCGCACCGAGCGAATCGCAGATTATCGTTGGTATCGAGCACCCGGCTTCCATGGAAGCCAAGGGTCTAGAAGTCCCGCACTGGATGCTGAGACCGCTGTTCAGACACTTCCAACTTATCAACAAAGATACCGCCGGGCCATCGAACAAGCAGAAACAGAGCGCGGATTCCGAGACTGTGCTCAGACAGAGCGCGTCGGCGGAGGTAGCAGTCGAGCATGCCACTGGCTGGATCGTCTCGAAGCTATCGCAGATTCTGGGAATCAAGGCAGACGAGATAGAGGTCCAGAAGCCGGTGCATGTCAACGGGATCAATTCGCTGATCGCGGTCGAGCTGCGGAACTGGTTCGATAAGAAACTCGGTGCGGACGTGACGGTTTTTGAGATTTTGGGGAATATGAGTATTGTGGACTTGAGCAAGTATACTGTGGATAAGAGTCGGTTTAGAGAGGAGAAATAGGAGCTTACCTCGGGACGGCGAGATGCGCCTGTTAGCTTGTAGTTCGCTCCTTTCCGAGTCGTCAAAGACTGCAGTGGTAATGATATATTAGAAATACTATTTGAGTTAAGCACGAAACTCCGACCGCCTCGCTCGGTCTACCCAGTTCACATGCACTCCCGTGCGCTGAAGTATAACAACCAAAAAGAATCCCCTGGTATAATGCTATACCCATCACGTCTCAAAAGTTCTGATAGTTAAAGGGTATTGGTTCGCCAATTTGCAGCTTGATTACTGGGACTTTGCTTTGTAGTCATAACTTCATGACTAAGCAAGCATGACTAAGCGAAGAGGCATGGCATGCCCTGCCCTGCCTGCAACCTGCGATAGCATCATCATCTATCATCAATGCAAGAACCAGAATCAAGTTTTACCAAGCTACTAGCTATTAAGATGTGATCACCCCTGTAATACCGAGAGCAATTGTAATAGCAGCTGTTGCTGAAACTATATCGTCTTAGGATGATCTGGATATACAATTCGCTTCAACTGTTAAGAGGGGAGTTGTCAGAGGACAAGTATAGATAAAAGTCTTATATTCTAATAATAAGATAAATGCAAGAAGGAATGATGTTCTGAGAGAACAGCTACTTGTGTATTTTTATGAAGCACGGGCGCTCTAAACCTATTAGGCTAGACTCAGATTCAAATGATACTATGATTGGAATTAAGAGAGGTTGGGTGAGAACTAGAAGAAGAAGTAGGACCTCTACAAGGAGCTACTTATCTCACGCAAGGGTAATATAGGAGTGTTTGCTCTATTGATAGAAGGATTGGCGGGACAGAAGTAGGTAGCAAGGAAGTGCAGGAAAAGATGCTAAAAAGGTCTGAATAATATCATTTTTGACTATTAGGATTGGCGGGCGGAAAGCTAATAACTAATAAGTTGATTTATTCACAGATTAACTAATTTGCTGGTGCATTGGCTAAACACAAACTTGGTGAGTAAATTGGAATAGAACTAATCTGAGTAGATTGAGTATTTTTGTATACGCTAGCGCCAAGCACCTAAACAATAAGCTTTATGATTATACTTGCATATAAAAATAGAATTACGTGTCATAGCACTACTTCATCATTGGAAAACAAAATCATCACATGAATCTATAGGAATTAAGCTTCAGAAGTACGACCTGACCCCAGACAGACAGAAACCCTGTTGAGACCGGAGAAAAACTCCGACCAAACTTCCAATTGAACCAGGAAACCCTTGTTCGGTTGTCTTGACAGACTGGTCGAGCCTGCATCTCGACCTCAACTTTCCGGGACCTGCGGAAGGACAGATATAGAACCCTTAGAGATGTTGTGTGACGGACGCAGCCTGCAGCCGAACGTGCCGAGAAACTGCGTAGTACCTAGGTAAGAGACAAAGGTACTTCGTAAAGAAGGAACAAAAACGATATTGAGATGCAGGTACGAAGTAAAAAACGCGTAGTTCTCGGACTCTACAGCTTCATAAATTCCGTCCCCAAACCTACAGTTATCATCGTCATCCCTAGTGTCAAGTACCGTGACCGTCCCGTGTTCAAACAAAGCGAAAGATGCGAGCTCGTAAAGTGGCAAGGAAAACAAAAGGACATTTGTGATTGGTGCGTAGACTAGTATAAGACTTGATTCATTCGTCGTCATTGATCAATGCAAATACAAATGGTAATGCGATGAGACGGCCAAGGCCAGGTGGTTCAAACAAAGCAAAGCAAAGCATTGCACTCATTCAGCTGGCGGATGACTTCCCTCCCATTTACGTGCGTACTGTAGAATGATTTGAGTTAAAATGATTTGAGTTTATGAAAGAGGTATCGTGGTGGTGAGAAGGAAGGCTGTGCAAGAATTAAGAGAGAGTTTGCCTTGAGGGGAAGGAAAGAGAGTTTATGGTGGGTTGTTAACAAGCAGCCACACACGTATGATGGTATGATTCCACACGCGCCAGCACTTGGGATAGTGGCCAGGGTAGCGTTACCCAAACTAGAAGTAGTGGTGTGCTGTATGTGTGGATGTACTGTACTGTACTGTACTGCTTCAAGCATATCTTGACATAAAAGGGCAGAAAGAAAGAAGTAGAATCTTTTTAAATTATGAAGAGGAACTGTCCATTACTCGTAATGCAGCTTTAGGTTAATACTGTAATTGATGTTTGGATGCATTGGGCATGTAACAGTAATAGAAAGATCGAAGCTGAATTAAGAATCATGTCCAGCCTTTACACCCTGTAAAGCTTCCCGTTAATAATCTACCTACAAGTACTTCCGTCCACAAGCCTCAGAACGCTTGGCTCACCTTGGCCAATGATACTCTTGGCTGTACCGAATTGAAGCATTTCCAACATTCCCGTAGACATATATGGTATTGTTATTGTTATTAGCATGGTTGTTTTATTATACAAAGTTATACCGGTACTTACTGTACTTGTACCGTTTATAAAAGGACGCCCGGCATACCGATATCCGCTTATTAATAGACTTTTATCGGTGCCCTGTTACCCTCCCGTTTCACGCCCAGCTCCACCCCACCCCACTCCATTCCACTCCACTCCGAGACTCCAATCCAATCTTCTCTTACCGTATCACTATCGCCTGGGTATAGAACATGTGAGCGACATCAATCAACTGTTCACCTCTTCTCTATCTTCTACCTTCCCCTTCCCCTCCCCCTCCCCCTTCCCCTCCTCCGCATCTTCCCTCCGCCATAGACATGACGACGTCGACCGTTGCCATAAGCATGGCCTGCTTCCGCTTCTTATGGCTCCTCATCCTGCCCGGCCTGGCTTACGCGCAGAGTGTACAGCCCTCTAATACAACTATCGCGGCTTCGCAGATGAACCAGTTACGTTTGACCGGAGGTCCTCTCTTCCAAGTCAAACCACCATATAATCTTCTCCCTCTTACTGCGGAGACCGGCAAGGGATCCAGCAATCCAAATTCCGTAGCCGTTAGTACTATCCCACCCTCCACGCCACCTCCTCCGGATGTCCCGCTATCCGGCTTCCACATGAGGTTATTTGCATTCTTTGAAATAACTGCTGACTCCATCCCATTGACTAGGCAATATCAGCTACAGGCACCTTGAAACATATCGATCCCCAGAACCTTACAAACTTGACGACCGGTGATGTTGGATATATAAGTTGTGATCCAGACGGCTCCAACATCGACCCTGCAAGCGTATTCGAGAAAGCTGAAACGAGCAAACCGCAAGCCATTATCCTCTACACTCTGGACGCGGTTCAATGTAATCTGACTGGGCCATACACATTCACCACCATTTACTCTACAACCTCGGCCAAAGACGCCCAAGACATTCTCGATACCATTGCACTCTATCCATCATCAACAGACATACAACCGACCGCCATGATTGCAACAAACACCACTGCAAGTGCGACCACGAGCGCGACCAATGACCCTACAGGTAATCCAGCTCCGACTACTGCCGTAGCTATGAGTATTCTCTACAGTATTACCGGCATCATTACCCTTCTCTTCTTAATAATTATCGCTACTGGCGCTGTAAGAGCACACCGACACCCCGAGAGATATGGACCTCGAAATATAGCAGGAAGGCCAAGACAAAGTCGCGCAAAGGGATTGGCGAGAGCTATGTTGGAGACACTGCCGATTGTCAAGTTTGGAGATCCAGAGCCCGTTAAGCCCGGGAGCGGAGATGTTGAACTTGAGGATGGAACGGCTAGTCATACGGCACCTACGGATACCACAGCAGAGGGTGTTGTTGATGGCAGGAGGAAGTCGAGTGGGACAGAAACGTCACCAGAGACGTCAGTAGCGTTAGGCATGGCAGCTGCGGAAGAAGGGTCTACGAAGGAAGGAACAGAAGCAGCAACTACAACACCACCAAAAGAAGGCGACCTTGGCTGCTCGATCTGTACAGAAGATTTCACGACTGGTGAGGACGTCCGAGTCTTACCTTGCGCACATAAATACCACCCCGCTTGTATCGATCCCTGGCTATTGAACGTGTCTGGAACCTGTCCATTATGGTAAGCATCCCATACCCTTATCTCCTTACATATATCTAACTACCCATCACAGCCGTCGCGATCTCCGCGGAGATGCTGAAGAACCCAATTCACCCGAGGAAGCAGCCCGTGCATCCACCGACCTCCCACCACCTCTAAACCTCGAAGGCACACTCGAAGCCTTACACCATCACGAAGCAGGCGAGTCCTCCGAAGACGGCAATAACCACCAACGTCACCGCATATCCCGCTTCCTGGATCTCAACAGACTCCGTCATGCAGCACCACACGAGCGCATTGCCGCGCTACGGCAGTTGAGAGAAGAGTCGCGGACACAGGAGCAGATTGAACAGGCTGTGGAGGGGCAACAGAGCAGGAGAACGAGAGTCACTGGACGCTTGAGGGATACATTCCGTATTCGAACCAGGACACAGGATTCTGCGCCGTGATGTAGATGGGGCTGGTAACCTTACGAAATGGAGCGATATGATGAGACATTGATGATACCTTTTATGAACGGGCGAGGGCAGGTCGGTATTTGCATAAGACGGCGTTATGTTGGGAAATTCGTGGTACGATGCAATGCTTTTGAGCGGAGTTGAGCGGAGTCTTGGTAATCAACGGATCTGGTCAAGGTCAAAAGCGCAACAGGATACGAGGAGAGGAAAGGAGGGAGTAGAGAGAAAGGAGAAAGGGGTAAATGAATGAATAGTATAATGTATTATATATACTTACTGACTGGTCACTCACGATTGGAATGGGATGGAATGGGATAGCGGTGAAGGATGCTGCACTGCGTTGCATATGGCGAAAGCAGATTTGCCAAGCGAGCGAGGAAACAGTACATAGATGCATTCATTCATTACATATGTACATAGCTCTATCAATAGATAGCTCACAGCGTTACTCTTCACATATATCCTTTCTTATTCTTTTTTGTCACTCACTGGAATGTGAATGAATTTGCATGACTTTGCAATTCCAGCAAGTCGCTCAGTTCATAAGTCGCGCATTTCATCTAGGACTTGCCGTTAAGTGGACTCTTCTCATCATAAACATCACTCTCAATCTCCTTTGGATAGACAACCCCACCCTGCCTCCTCACCTCATCCATGACTTCCATAATCACTAAACTCTCGTCCCACGTCAAAATCTCACTCTGCACCTTTCCATCCCGCAAGCATCTCGCAACTTCATCCGCCTCCCAAAACATCCCATGACCCCACCCTTTCTCCCCATCCTTCCCCTCTCTCTCCGGATCTCTAGGTATCGGACAAAACACCTCCTCAATCTCGCCACTCTCATCCCCGTGCTTCACAACCTTATACAGAAGCGGCCTGAACAGCGGTCCAAACACCTGAATCTCCCCCTTCGTCCCCTGAATCCTACAGCTGGGCCCCGTCCCCAAACTCCCCTCCCCGTGCGGTTGCGTCGCGACCCTCAACCCCGTCGTCGCGATCCCCACCGCGCGATTCCCCTCCCAGCTAAGCAGCATACTCGTCATCTCATCCGCGCCCGTCCTGTACCTCTGCACCGCCGCCTGCACCCTTGGTCTCTCCTTCCTCTCCGCACATAGATACAGGATCTGGAACTGCCACGTCAGACTATATATCCCCAGATCCAACAACGCGCCCCCGGCCAGATCTACATTAATCATCCGATTCTCATCGGGAAAGGAAAGTTCTGTACTCTTGTCATCATCGCTAGCGGAGTTGAAACTCAGATCCGAAAACACGCGCTCGACTTTCCCAATGCGGCCATCCTGCACCATCTCCCGGATCTTGATGCTCAGCGGGAAATAACGCGTCCATACAGCTTCCATGAGAAACACGCCCTTCTCTTTTGCTTTCGCGACTAGTTTCCTCGCCTGCGCTGCGTTGACCGTGAGGGATTTCTCGCAGAGCACGTTCTTGCCGGCTTCCAGACAGAGCATTGCGTTTTGGAAGTGGTGCGAGTGCGGGGTGGCGATGTAGATGATGTCGAGGTCGGGGTCGTGGGCCAGCTCGTGGTAGGAGCCGTAGGCCTTTGCGGATGGGGGGGCCTGGACGCTGGTCAGGAAGGCCTGGGCGCGGGAAGAGGAGGAGGAGGAGGCGGCTGCGGAGACGATGTGCTGGATGTCTGTTACGGAGCGGGTGGCGGGGTTGGTGAGGAGGTCTTTTGTGAAGGCTGGGCGGGGTGGGAAGTTAGTTATTGCGCGAGGAGAGGAGGGATAGGGGAAGGGGGACCGACTGGTTGCGATTCCTCCTGTTGCGAGGATACCCCACCGCACAGAGTATGGTTTTGCTGCCATGTTGAAAGATTTCCTCTTCAATTGATAGCTGAGAGTTTCAAGTTGCTTTGCTTGCTTGAGCTGAGGGATGTGGTACCTAGTAGCAATATATGGAGAGGAAAGGAAGGTGGGGTATATATATGCATGGTGGGGTAAAAGCGGCTAAACTGATGTGACGTTGACTTGAAGATCCTCCCTCACTCAAATCCTACTTTACCCAACCAAAGTAACCATGCCATGAAAGTGGTGCGAATACAGTAAAAGTATTTTCCATCTGTCTATTTTCTAAAAACACTGCTCTATTTCGTTATCATCCTAAATGTAGTGAGTATCCTTATAGTGCGTAGTACCCCGCGTTTTACCCCTCCATCAATACGAGAGTTTACACCAATCGCAATATCCGGAATCCTATATCACTTACAGATACCCCCTCAAACCGTTCAAAGCCCTTCCTTGTTCTCCAACCTATACCCATTAAACACATTTGAAAGATTCCAAGAACAAATACATCACGCTGGAACAGAATCTAGTCAAGGATGGATGTTTAGGGTGGTCTGCCTGTCTGCTACTTATATATGGGTTTTCTGATCTGATGGCATGGAATTGGAATAGATGCAAGTTTTCAAGCTGTACTCATGCTTGTGCTTGTGCTTGGATAAGAAGACGAGGTATGGGAATATGGGCATGTGTTTTTGAGGTATGGAGTGGAGTGGTGTGGAAGAGTGAGGGTCTACAACTGTAATGACTTCGCAACTTGAATACCAATTTATGTTATGCGGCACCGGGAATCAAGTATTATAGAGAGTAGTATGTTAACGCGTTATCGATGCAATTTGTACGTCACGTCGAGCAAATCTCCAGCTCTGGTATCATCCCATCCCGTCCCATCCCATCCCAAACTCCAAACAACCCGCATCAAAACAAAACCAACTCATCTTCCCTACGCACCTATAATCCGTCAAATTATAAACTCACACATGAGATATATACATCTATCTACGCCTCACAAGCAAGCGACGGAAACAGAAGTTGCCTGCGATGGCCAACGTAGCATCAACTTCCAACACGTTGGAAAAACAAAAGCACAGGCCCCCCATACTCATTCCCACTCATCGACGTCGCAAATCGCGCCGAGCTCGCAGACACGCTGCTGTCATTAAACAGCTTCCACTGCCCAGCCGAGTCAACAAGGGACGCTACGTAGTGCCCGGTGTTCGCGCGTCCATTATGCTTAATCACGGACTTCAGCTCGTACTTCTGAGACCCTGCCTCCAAGGACAAGGGCGAGAGGTCGAGCACGGTGGGAATACCGCACGAATAGTCGATCTTGCGGAAATTCTTGTCGACGAGAGATAATTGCACGCATAGTATGTCGGCTGAGGAGGTGAAGGTACGGGTTTTGGCGCGGTCGCGGTAGTCTTGACACCCGTCGCATGTGTAGAAGACTACTTCGCGGAAATACTTTTGTAGATATTCTGGAAGGGTGCCGTTTTTGATGCGGGGTGAGAGGGGAACGGTGAGTTTTGTTTCAGCGCCGTTGGTGAGGGATATGCGGCCACATTGGTTGCAAGGGATGCCTTGTTGCCAAAATGATAATAGTGTTGTCTCGATCAGGCGGAAAATCCTGTTGCTGTTGTTAGACATATAGTGGTATACTGTGAGTAGATGACTTACGAAGAAGGAAGCTCGGCCCGCATGCGCTTCAAAAAGAACAGAAGCATCTCATCTGGATCTGCTTGTCCACTCTGAGTCCATCCGTGCTGCTTCAGAAGAGTATGCATCGTCCCGTATATTGAAGCTACCTTGCTAGCAGCGCCCTTCCAATACGCAAGGGCCAACTGACGCAATAAGCAGGTAAAGCAAGCTTCTTGATGATCAGAAACGCAGTGGGATGGGAGGGTATAATCCATCAACCAATTGACAAAGAGTGGCAAGTGCAACAAGCACTGCATCAGTGAGCTGCGATAACAAAGTGCTCCCGTGAGATTGGGTAGGCCAAGCTGCGAGTTTAGTGGCATTCTGTTTGCATCGCGCCTCAACTTGTCGGCCTGGGCGAAGTTAGCACGGTGTATAACCTGCTAGATTGAGGACATATTTACACTGGCTCTTCTTTCCTGGATATTGCGCGCCCAATTGGCGACCTTGGTAGCTCGATTTGTCACATCCTCTGTTGAATCATCCAGTTTCACATGCTTTGCACGCCGAGAATAGAACGGTGGATCCTCTTCAGGAAGGGGACGCTTGGTTCCAGCGAGTGGTTTGCCGATGCCTTTGAAGAGCTCTGAAGATGTGTTACTCAATGTCCGATTTGAGTGATACAAAATACAAACCTTCTTTCCCAGCAACCTTTTGCTTCCTCAAACTAGCAGGACATTCATCCTCCTCGGTAGGGCATTTGGAAGCCTCGAGGTCGGATTCAGGGGTCCATGGAACAAAGGATGGGATCGTTGGGCGCGTTTTCGTTAGCTTCTGCCGCAATGGTAGGTGATTATTATGATGTGGTTTTTTGGCATAATTGAAAGCATTTCGTTGAGGTGGAGCTTGATGCTTGACCTGTCGCGTTGGATTCGTGGACAGAGGAGACGTTTGCTGGCGAGGGGAGAACCCATTCTGGTTCTTCGCTGAATGAAATCCCATTCTGGCTTGTTCCTTGGGAATTTCGTGTGATGGCGTATTCCAGAATGAATTCCTGGGATTGGGTCGGTTATGGACTGATATTGCCACAAAGTATTATTTATTTCTATGGCGCGTCCAGAGATTTGTTGACAGCACAGTTCAGCTTCCCAGGTTGTCTGTTGAATACTGATAGATGGACCGTTGTTTTCCCTACTGCGGGGTTCTGAATGTACGGATGAAGTGTGAATTGCCTTCTTCAAATAATATTCTACTCGGGAAAGTAAGAAAACCTCTCAACTCGCACCAAATCGATTAGAAGAAAGCTGTATGTAAATCAATATAACATGCTCCGTATGGAGCTCATGCATCAAATCTTCACGGATCCGGTTTTGGGCTGGCATGGAGGCGAATTGATGGTGGGCAGGATTTGTTGGCGATTAAGAGCCGTTGCAGCCACGCAACTGGATCGACTTGAAGTTTGAAACGGGCTTATTTGAGGAGTAAGCTTATGTTGGTTCAATCGCATTGTCTGGATGGCATTGTTGAAGACCGGAGAGGAGATAAGGATAGCAATTATCGTGTAGAAACCGCGGCGATAATATGATTTTTTTTTCCTCGCGGCGGTCACAAAGTGCAGGTGCAAGTGCACTGACCAGCAAGGCTACACCAAGCCAATCTAGGACTTAACGCAGGGCTGAACAAAATGCTACTTAGTAGTGCCTTAGCTCTGTTTCTGGTCTCCACGTTGAACAAAAGCCAGCCATCTGAACACAAATCCCGTTAAACAGGTGCCTGCATGCCTAGATAGACATGTCTCGGGAAGCCACTTAAACGGAACGCCTCAACAACAATGAAGAGCTTGATTCAACGACCTCCCATCTCGCCGCATCCACATATACATAAACATACACAATGAACGCCAACCCCGTGGTTGGGACAGAGGAGGCAGAATCCTATGAAGAGCAACACGTGCACGAAGTCTACGAGCAGATCGCCTCGCACTTCTCCTCCACCCGCTACAAACCCTGGCCCATCGTCTCCTCCTTCCTGTCCTCCCTCCGGCCTGGCTCCATCGGCCTAGACGTCGGCTGTGGCAACGGCAAATACCTAGCCGTGAACCGCGACGTCTTCATCGTAGGCAGTGACCGCTCGTCCAACCTCGTGAAGATCGCAAGCCAGTCTCAGAACCAGCCGCATGCAGCGGTTGTGGCTGATTCGCTCGCGTTGCCGCACCAGAAGGACCGCTTCGATTTTGCTATTAGTATTGCCGTGGTGCATCATCTGAGTACGCGGGAGAGGAGAAGGGAGGCTGTGGGCGCGGTGTTGGAATGTTTGAGGGACGGGGGGCGGGCGCTAGTTTATGTGTGGGCCTTGGAGCAGAAGGGGAGTAGGAGGGGGTGGGATGAAGGGGGTGAGCAGGATGTTATGGTTCCGTGGGTTATGAAGAGCAGTAAAAAGGACGTGGGGGAGGCCGGGGAGACGGAGAAGACGTTTCAGAGGTTTTATCATCTTTACCGGAAAGGGGAGTTGGAGGAGGATGTTGTGGAGGTTGGAGGGGAGGTTGTTGAATCTGGGTATGAGAAGGATAATTGGTGGGCTATTTGTCGGAGACCGTTGAAAGAATGAAGATGGGATAATTGGGAAAAAGTATACCCTAAGGCTCGGTTCAAAATTTGGGCTGTTGGTTTGTTTGTGGTAAGCAATAACAGGCTGATTCATATGCTCCAGGAATAATCCCCTTTGCTAGTTTATGCCGACCGCTTCAACCGTAGGTACTTGGATATGGTACCAACTCGACCGTTGATTGGGGATCAACGTCGGAAATCTATCAGCTGAGATTGTTTAGTTACGATGTCGCGTAACGCTCAAGCCTTTTGGACCAATATCAGATCAACATGACGATCTAATTATACAGTGTAGATACCCTAATACAATCAAGAAGACAACCAAAAATATTCTTTTCCAGGACCCGTGCCATCTTATGCAAGTCATCAAGTACGTCTCTCATCTCGTGTAAAGCCATGCTATGCAAAGTCATATACCCATACTCATGCTTGAAGCCTGAACACCAAATGCTTGCTCTCGCAACCTATCTATCCATCTCCCATTCAAACTATCCAAACAACGCCTCGAGAACTACAATCACCAAGCCAGATCTTCACTGTCTTCGCCGATTTGTCTCCCTTGGGCCCACTTCCGGGCTTCCTCTCCTCTTGCTCTCAGGTCTAGGAGGCATCCAATTTACACCAGGGACCATCTGCTGTGGGCTCGAGTATCCTCCGCCCATGGGCATCGACATAGCATACGCAGGCGCATTGTACGGACTGACACCCGTCGTCATCTCCGCAACACTGGGAAGCATCTGACCTGCACCTCTACCCATAGCCATTCCACCCCCAATAGCAGCCAAAGCAAGCCCTTCGCCCGGACTCGGAGGCGGCACTGACCTCGGCGTGCTTTCCTTTCGGGCTGCAATCGTTCTCGATGAACTTCTTCCGCTGCTGATACTGCTCGGGACACCTTGCGCAGTACTTGGTCGGCCGTATCTAGAATTGGTTGGGGCCGCGCTAGGTGCTCCGGAGTAGGACTGAGAGTGTGAGTGGCCGTGAGGGGGTGATAACCGGTGCCCTGGTTGTGGCGGGTCAAGTGTGACGCTGGAGAGGGAGAAAGGTACGACGCCGGCCCGACGAGCCATGTCTGCTTCGCCGAGCTGCCAGTGCATTGCCTCAGCGGCGCGCCATGGTATTGCCATTTCTTCGGCGACTTTTGACCACATTTCTGGCTTGAACCTGGTAGTGAAGGTCAGTGCCGTCTTACCGCATTTGTTGAACGGGGAAGGACAAAGGTTCAAGACGGTGTTGGATTAGGGCACTACCTTTCGTAAAGTCTCGCCAGCTTGTTCTTCCGTTCTTCATCCCATTCACTGCGTCTTTCCAGGTAGTTCTGATAATGCAACCGGCAGCTAATCGCGCTACGTCCTGGAAGTCTCTTGGAAATGTCTTCCCACTTCATTCCACCCCCTCTTAGATCAATAATCAGAGCATCTTCCTCTGAGGTCCACTTGCTCTGCTTCTTAGCAGGAGACTCTGATGGATGGGGAGGCATGCTGCGTTTGCCACTCCCTCCTGTGCTAGGGTTGGCAAGTGCATATGCAGCACCCTCCTCTTTACCCGATGACGGGACAGAAAGTGATCGCGTCTGCTGTATGCCTGTTGGCGATGGTGAAGACTCATTTGAGTCCGGAGCCTTGAGGAGGAGGGAGATATCCACGGTGACGGTCTGGAATCGACGATGCCGTCAAGGCTGACGGAATCATGTGTGGAATGGATAGCACGGTTTGTAGGGATATGTTTGTGGCGTGGAAATTTCCATGTAAAACTCTCCTTGTCAATAGGAAGCCAGCGTGAACGAGCGTTGAGGTTGAATCTCAATTTATCCCAGGTTGAAGAAATCTCGGATGCCAAAAAGGACGAAAGTACTAGTATATCAGTTTAGATGGGTAGATCCAAGGTACCGACGTGAAACAGTCGGATAGTATTGCTAACTCAATCGTCCGGGTGTAGTCGCAGGGAGATCTTGAGACGATTTGGGCCACTTCCGACGAGGAGAGAGTTCCTATTTCGGGGCCTTAAAAGATCAAATGCGTGGCTTGCTAGATCTCGACAGCGATCAGGTCGATTGGCAACAACAAGTCTGTCATCCAGCCAATCGCAAAGAGTAGAGACGTGATTAGATGAGAAACCCCAGCGCCAACGGAATAATACGTCTAGCTTTATTTTGACAAGCTTCAATGAGCCAGGAACTTGCTCGAACTCATGATCTCCAAACCGGTACATGGTTATGAGCTGGATAGCCTCTCGGGAAGATGCGCGATGCAGATAGAGTGTGCTCCTTCATGGTGGGGGAGGGAGCAGGGATACAGCTAGTGTGGAGGAAAGGATGCTAGGGCCTGGCCACGAATTCATGCATGAACAGGAACAGGAAATACTCCGTACGCATAGTGATGCTTGCCATTGTTCTAAGGGGCTCTGTTAGTAGGCGCAGTACTGTATAGGCGGCGGAAGACTCGGTTGAAACTCGTTGTGGCGCTGTTGAAACTCTTATATAATCACAGACTCCTGTGCGACTACTCGAGACTGTTTGGGGCGTATGTCTGTGCGCTATTTGAACCTCACATACTACACTCATCATTTATTATTGTAGTGTTTTTGTTGACTGACCAGTCTTTGAGACGAATCCTGTTCACTGGTTCCATCCGCCCGTTCAGCATAACAACCGAACACTTCAGATCTTGGATTGCTGGGCTGGAACCCTCAACTGGCGGTCAAGTTCGCAAGGATAGCTACTCCATTGTTATCAGGGATCAAGGTGTAAGATCCCCATGGCTTGCAGAAGCTCATGGAGGGGCGGTCATGAACCATGATCTTCGCTGTTTAAGTGGCCTACCAGCGAGCACGTTGTTAAGCAATGCTTTAGTGGCTTGCAGGCTGAAAATAAAACGCTTCCAAACTTAAAGCATAGCCGAGTATAGCTCGGCTCTTGATGCCTAAACAAAAAGCAATATGACGCTGCGTTGTACTTGGGTTTAAATTCTCCGTTTGCATATGGGGAACTCTGCCTACCAGCATCAAGGAACGACTACCATTTGCTCGTTCATTGTTCTCTGAATCAGTCTGCGGGACCTCACATCTGGCGGTGTAAAAGACACCAGCCATGTAAGACAACGCTTGGGTACAGAGTTGTTGAAGATTTGAGTTTTCAAACAGGGGATCCATGGCTATAGTCTATAGATCTCTTGCGAGAATCTTAAAAGCTAAGGCGGGGCATTCTTGGGCAACACCTTGGAAAAGATGATCGCAAAAAAGGAAAGAAACCTTTCTTGGCGGCGCCAAACTTCACCTTAGATCCGATCCGATCCATGCATGTTCTTGCTTCAATGATGCGGGCCCGATGCAATCTGTTTTCGCCATAGTCGCGGTCGAACTTACAAATTGCGACCCCAAACACCAGACGGTACAGTCTGTACGGGTTGGTGGCACGGTCCAGTTTAGACCAATTATGCCGTGCATTAGCAGAACCGTGTTATTGGAGATGGCCCCTGCCACAACTGTTCTCCACGACCCAGGTACGATGTCAAACAAAGAAAGCGTGGCCTCATGGTGATTTGCAGTGCATAGCTGTACAACCTGCCAGCTGCCGTTGGCCCTATTCATCCGTTTGTTGTCGCCTACAATGGCAATTGTTGAGTGGTATCATACTGTATACATTGGGAAATAGACGGGAAGTCTCGTGTTCCCTCTTTTAGGGCACGCAGGACAAGTGTTGTTCGGAAGATAGCCGAACTTATGCCATAAGAGCTACTAACCCATATTGGAGGCAGACTGAAAGCCATCGATACCGAGTAGGACCATAAATGCCCAACTTAGGTAAATAATAAAAAACACCAGATTCCAGATTACAGATTCCAGAAACATAACAGGGAAAGGTAGAGGAGAGCCAGCTCTTAGGCGCCATGAGGCTTCACGCGTGTGCATCGGCGTGCTTGACAGGGCTGGAGACGGCGTCTCAGGAACACCAACACCCTCCCCCATTTCTTGTTTGAGCGGTGAGGCAGATGCCCCTTCTGGAAACCAGTCCAGCGTTGCGAAGTGCAAAAAGCAAGGTTGCAAGACGCACCTGGACGTGTATCCGATCTCTCCAGCAAGCGGTTTCGAGGACAATTGTATTATGCCCACTCCCGTCCATCCAATTGAAGATCCTCTGCGGCTGATCTGCAAACGGGCGATTGGCCAATTGGGACGAGACATCTTGCGGTGTCTGAGCGGCGGACGTGAAACTGCCTCGACATTTGGAATTCCAGGAACAGCCTTTCCAAAGTACTGTACCCTATCTCTCAACAACGGAATTCTGTAGTCTGTAGCTTCTCCTTATGCTCTAAGTGCATAAGGACAGGAGAACTTGACGAGATGGGAAGGACAGACGAACATGGCAAGTAACGCTTCCGGTTTCTCTGCGTTGAGATGTATCGAGTACCATAGAAGGAATGTCGTTCGTTATACGATTGTTGGTGTGTCATTCGATAACAAATGTGTGGCTGAGGCGCTTCAGGAATGCGGCTGAGCAACTGTTTCGGAAACTGATGGAGATGGTACAGTATCATAGAAATCTCTCGTTTGTGCCCTCAAGATGATTTCTCTATCTATGTATGATATGATAACCTCAAAATTATTTGTTTTATGATGTTTATCAAGTCTCTTGTCAAAAATTAACCATTTGAGGTTGAGATTCGCTCGCGCTAGTAGCTTTCCGGACCTTTTCGCAAAATGGGGTGCACACCGAGGAGGAGGCATCAACAAGCCTTTTTCAGCCTCGCAGTTTGCACATCATACACCATCTCCCTTACTTGAATCCGACTTGTTTCGCTCGCACGCATCAACAAGATAAGAAGTAAGTCCGCACCTTTGAAGCCACCAGCCGGCCAATGCTGATAATACCTCTATTATATCAAGTTCAGCTTGGGTCGCAAACGTTCCCCAACCAGACGCCTCGCCCGCCCCTAGTGGTATCATACCAAGCATCACTCCCACACCTCACATCTCACATCTCACATATTCACGATGAGTATGCAAACCGCCGGCGACATCCCGCTGCAGGTTACCTCCGAGAATGCCTCCTCGGAACGCCGTATTACGCCCTCATGGACCATTGGACAACTCAAGGCGAAGCTGGAGGCCGTCACAGGCATCCCGCCTTTGTCGCAGAAGCTTGTATTGAACCTCGGAAGCCAGCAATCTGTGCCCATGGAGGCTGCGGACGAGGAAAATACCCAGTTGTGTGTCTTCCCTTTGGCGCCATATGCTGAGATTCACGTGAGTAGAAACGTGTTTTCGTTACATTTATCTTCATTTTGACGTTTGGTCCCTCTTGGCAAAACTTATAGAGTTAACATGCTTGACGGCTTCAAAGGAGTATTTACGCCGATGTATCAAGTGATGCGAGCATGTTGAATGCCTTTTTGTGGTTGGATTGCTATGAAATGTTGATTAAGTGGTCAATTTCTTGCTTTAGGCATCGATGCAGCTCTGATCTAGAAGGACACAAGCACCAGATCAGATACACTTGATATCAAGGCGAGTAATTTATTTTCTACAAAGCAAAAAAAGGCGAACGTTCATTCGCAATGTGGAATGCTGGCTGGAGGCGAGGTGAACATGTATTTTTCTTATTGCTCCTTCTTTTTGATTCTTTGTTGCTATTTGAGAGCTCGGGAATGTTATTCTATACCTGGTTCGAAATATCTATTCCATTTTCCTTGTCAAGCGGATATCTAAAAGCGGCATCTGTAGTTGAGATCAGATATGAAGGATTGCATCAACCTGCTATCACTGTACCTTCAGAGTCAAATATTCAATCTGGCCACGCCATCAAGCCCAGGGCGAGACGTGGCATCGCAGTGAGACTATTGTCAAGGTCCACTGCTGTTGCGCCTGCTCTCTCCATCCGATTGGCTTCTGCATGTTGCAGATCTCATATTTGTCACTCTTTTTAGATACTCCTTGTACCTTTGATTCCGCGGATACTCATTAGATGCCGGGCCGGTAATTATGGTATGATCAGGCTGGTCACTACTTTCATTGGGAACTCAACTATCTTTACATCTGATGACAACTTGTCACTCAATTCAGAAAGACATGATGTCTTCAAAGCTCTAAATATAAATGCGTCATGTCCAACGCTTCCGTAGCATTGCCGACATATCCCTGCCAAGACACTTTCTCCTTGTCTCATCTTTAGCATTTATTCCGATCACTCACTCTTCTTCATCACCCAAAACAGAGTCACCCAGTCTCCCCATAACCTCTCAAATACCATTCCCATAAACTAATACGCCGACCAACAGGTAACCGATACCCGCCCCCCCCGGCGCCCGCCCCAACTATACCGACCCATCCAGTGTCCAAAAGTACGAACTCCCGCCCTCCATCTACGAAACGAAAACCGACAGCGTGCTCGCCTGGAAAAAAGCCAACAAGCTCGGGCGATTCGACCCCGACGCCCCCTCCCTCGAACAAGCCAAGCTCCTCGCGCTAGAAAACGAGATCAAGGAGCGGGGTATTGCGGTAGGCAAGAGATGCAGAGTAGGGGGTGAAGATGCGAAGAGGGGAGTGGTGATGTATGTAGGTGATGTGGAGGAGATCCCAGGCCAGACCGGAGCGTGGGTTGGTGTCAAGCTCGACGAGCCGGTGGGCAGGAACGACGGCAGTCTGAAGGGGAAGAGATATTGGGGCAAAGAGGGAGATGCGAAGTTTGGGGTTTTCGTGAGGCCCGAGAGGATTGAGATTGGAGAGTGGCCTGTTATAGATGATTTGGAAGATATGGAGGAGATTTGATTAGAAGGGGCACTACACTGCACTTACTGTGCTGGCAACGACGGATGCAACTTTACTTTTTTGCTTGGGAATCTTGAGTCCGTTACAGTATCAGCATCCAGTAACCAGCTGTGCTTTGCTTTTAGCCTCAAGTCCTTCCTTCTCCACCCAATAAAAAAGAGAGTTTCGCTCTCTTGCTCCACCACTCCACTACTCCAATCCACACAGCTCAAAGCCCATTCTTCTTCACGCCAGCCTAGCCCAGTTTGCATGAAGCATTGCCCGTGTCCGTCCGTCTCCAAATACAGTCCTATATATAGTATAGTCCAAAAAAGAAAGCATGCACAAAAAAGGTATTGGTTACAAAGTACACGTGACATCACGTCTGTCTGCCTTTTCAGTTTCGAGCCAGCTGCGGGGGCATATCTCAAAGCAAGGATTATTGTACTGTATTTGGTACATATGATGTCTTCCTCCCTCCCTCCTTTCCCTCTCCCCCCTAATCTGGTCTTATCTGCATGGCTTGGGAGGTTTATTCCACGAGTCGCTACTTGGTATAGAGAGAGAAATTCGAATCGTCGTCTCTTAAAGTCTTAGTAATACAAAACAGCCCAGGGCAGGTATTACATCCACCTATCGCATTTCATATCGCGTATCGTATACTAAATCCTCAGCTCATTAATCGTTAATCAATTACAACCTTACTCCATATATGCCCCCTTTATTCCCTACTCTTGTAGCTAGCTTCCACACCACTCACCCCTAGGCTTCCATTTCCTATCTCCTTGGAAACGCACTACTCAAGCTCTTCTGCTCCTCGAATTTGGATAGTACTTTAACGTCCTCCCTGGCATCATAGCCTTGGCTAGCGGGTAGCTCGACGGGGGAATCGGGGATTGGCTCGCATTCTAGGGTTTGGAGATCGTCGTTGTCTAGCATTTGGATGCCGGTGGAGGTGTCTTCATCAGATGAGTAGTTTGGGGTTTGGGTTTCGGGTTTGGATGTGTATTTGTTGGACTGGGGGAGAGTTGATGTGGATATGGAGGGAGGGGAATTGATCTGTGTATTTGATAGGGTATCTGTTAGGTGTGGGATGGCTGCGGGTGCTGAACGTGTAGTAGGCGGGTTTGGACGAGACGGGGGTAAGGGGTTGAGAAGGGGGTCGTGGGTTCTTATATTAGCTGTTGAGCGAGATGAGGATGCTGCTGGCGGTGGACGACTTGGTGTTGGTGCTGATGCCGGGTGGAGAAGAGGATCATGATCATGCTCAAGCATACTAAATGATTCCCCCTTTGTATCATCCACCTCATTCCCGTTTCCGAAATCAATCAGATCCTCTTCATCCACCAGCTTGATTTCGCTCCCTTGCGGCGCGACGTCTATCTCGATAGTCGCGTCTTCCACCAGCACACTCTCGACGCCTACCCGCTTCAAGATCTTGCCTACGAGTTCTGGATACCGCAGATGTCCTGAGACTTCCTTGCTGAGATCCAGATTGCTCACTCCCTGCACGTTGCTTATTTCCTGCAGACCAGCAACGCCGAATTGGATCGAGGTTGCGCGGTACAGGAACGCGAGGATGTAGTCGTTCTCAGAGTAGACGTTGAAAATTTTCCCGGAGACAACGCTGCACATCGTGCGCCAGTTGTCTGCGTTTGACGGGACCGGAGCGCCGATGAAGACTACGGACTCCACGAGCCCGAACGCCCTTCTCTCCGCGAGGGATTTTAGGCATGAGTAGATGACTCGCGCGCCGAGTGAATACCCGATGAGCGTCACGGGGCGTTCGCCTTGTGCTTTGTTGATGAGAGCGTCTGCTAGCACCTCGCCAGCCTTCTCCGAGCGGTTGCGTGCCACTGCAAATGGGTTGTCGATGCTAGTTGCCATCTTCAACAAATAGACAGGCCAGAGAGCTGACCAGAGAGTTGCGAGAACCGTCCGCTTGAGAATCTCAAGCTTGACGTATGACCACGCATAGGAAGAAACCATGTTCTTCAACGAATTCCCCAGTTCGATCAGCGCGTTCATCTCGTACCGCAATGCGAACACTTCGCTATCCTGGCCTAGGATTCTCCAGGGCTTAACCACGTCTTCCCTAGAGTTTAGCCATCCGTTTATGCCGATTGTTACGCGGAGACGCCGGGATTCCTCTTCGGTTTCTGGTTTGGTGGTGTGTTCGCCCCACTCTGAGGCTACGGGGAGGAATTTGAAGTCTGATACTTCTTTGGCGTATTGATCTACCATTTTCCCGGTCATTTTCCCTCCAAAGGCGCCGAATAAAGACCCGACGAGAGCACCGTTCATGGCGAAGATACCGAGGAAAGAGGCTACGCCTCCAAGTCCAACACCTCCCTATATACACATTAGCACAGACTCCAACAGAAAATCCAACACCTTGTTTTAAAATCAGACGTGAACAAGTGGATATCAAACTAACCATAAGCCCCCCAATAGCTCCAGCAACAACAGGAGCAGCAAGCCCACCCGTTACACCAATCAATGCCGCACCAGCCACAGAAGCAAGCCCAACTTTCCACCTCCTCGAAGAAGCATTCTCCGCCTGCCTCTTCTTCGTCTCCGCATCCGCAGTCAGCGTCTTAGAAGCCAGCATCAACGTCCTCGCAATCTCCGTCTCCTCCGTCGTAAGCACACTCATCGGCATCTCCAAACTGCTCGTCAAATAACACAGCAGCGTTCTCGAATGAGCAGAGTAATGACCCAGGCTCAGTAGCAGCAACACCATACAACTAATCACGCAATGCCTGTCATCTTTAGAGATGGTAGTGAGACGTGTAGCTACTGGCGGATATAGCGATTGTAGTATTGAGACATCTTTAGCTTCTCCCACCTCCCTGGCTTCGGCAGCTAGAGCTGCTGCTTCCGCTTCGGGCGTCTTGATGAAGTCGGGTGCATTAGGCTGATAAGGAGGAGGCGGCGGATTTCTCGCAGCAAGCCATTCGCGTCTTCTCTGCTCCGAGCGCGGATCTTCCGATCCTTCAGTGAGTTTCTTAAACACACGTGCCACCTCATTCGCCCATGTATCGAAATAACGCAACGCGTCTCTTTTCAATCCCCGCAGTTTAGGGGTAGAGAGCGAGTTCTCAAAACGAGCTTCGAGGCGGCATTGGCGTGCTTCTTCCTCGGGGTCGATTTTGGGCCGGTCACGTGAGTTCTCTGGGTCGACTAGAAGAGGAGCTGGTTCTTGGAGGGGGGAGGGCTCGAATGTGTGCTCGATTTCCTTGCGCATGTGCGTTACGATGCTTCCTAGGAGGGTGGTGAGAGCGCGTCGTTTTGCAGGGTTGAGGACAATTTTGAGGTCTTTGGGATCCGAAGCGTTTGGTGGCATCTTGAACAGCCCTTGGAGAACTCAAGCATGCCAGGTATCTCAGAATGTATCTTATGAGAGAAATTGTTCAAACTTTTTGATATTGAAGCCTTCTTGGGGTTCGAGGTCAATATAAAGATCCAAGTGCCGTGCCTCAATAATAAAGCTGCTGCCTGATGGATTGGACCTGGACCTGACCTTCAACTGGCGGCTCACGGACCAAGGAAGGATCCAGTTTGTGGTTTGGCTGGCTCCCTCCCAGTCAAAAGAATAGACCCGCCTTCTTCGCTCCTTGACTGTCTCGTTTTCGAAGGATTGCAATCTATATGGATGGCTCGTTGGTAAGGTGCCGTGACATTGAGGCAGTTTGGACGCCAAGTGTTTGTTTGAGCGCCTGCAGCTCGCTTATCACCCCTGACTCTCTACAGTACCTAGGCCTAGGTACTCTCAGCGCCCCTTTTGCCCCGGATACCCCCTAAATTTATTGAGGGCATGTTGCCCATCGACAGATACTATGGAAGTGGGAGATACCTCTTCAAGGTATGTGGGAGACTGTTGTATAAATCCCGGGACATTTTCAAGAGATTCGATCACATGTCCATATAATCATTCGAAAATAACCATGCTCTGTTCTATTGTCTAAACCGATATCTCTAAAAATCTATATCATTTATATCCAGTTATCGAGATCTACAGCTTTCTTCCATTGTCATCCATATGAGCCTTCACCTCCTCATCACTATTGCTCACGCTTGACCTGTCAACACCATCCATCACTTGTCCATCATCAAATTTCTGCTCCATTGGCCAGATCTTTCCCGCAGCCGTGTACACAATAAATGCAACGACAGTACCAACAAGCCAGCTCAGACTATAAACATAAGTCGCTCCCTTGGGTACATGCTTGTTCCCTGTCGCTTTCGCCAACCCCGCCAAATTCGGCGCAATGCCGCAAATGAAGGCCCCGAAAGCACGGAGGTTGAAGCCGTGGAAGAAGGAATAGATGTCTGGGTGTCTGTACAGACTTGACAAGTTCAATTGACGATTACGAAGGATCCAGAAGTCTGTCAGACGAGTCAGTTAGTGTATGCATTTCTTGAAATGAGCTTTCGACTCTGTGACAGGTCAAGAACACATGTCTAGGAGGAAAAGAAGCTTACCTGACAACATAATGCCAGCGATGGGACCAAGAAACAAGGAATATCCACCCAAGAAAGCCGAGAAAGACGCGGCACTGTACTGAATATTCCATGGGGTAGCAGCAACAGATATAATACAACAGACGTATGCACCTCTTCTGGCATTGATCCAACTAGGGAACCAGAGTGAAAGGTCATTAGAGAAGGACACAGAGTTTGCCGAAATATTGGTTCCAATAACTGCAAACATCCAGCAGAGAGCGGAGAAGAATTGAGCGGCGCGATTCTCCCAGAGAAGTGAGACTTGCAGAGGGTTCCAAGTCGTGACGCCATAGATCTCTTGACAAGCGGACGTGACTGTGATACCGAGGATACCACAAAGGGTGACGAGGACACAAAGCCCGACAGCCTGGGTCCAGAAAACTTGCTTGGGGTATTTAGCGTAGCGAGTGAAATCGGGCATGTTGAGGGCGAGTGTTGCTTTTGGTCCGATGGCAGTGGTAACACATTGAAAGAAGACCACAGCTACAGGAGTGCCGTCTTTGATGTGGGTTGTCTTCGAAAAGGTTGGTCCAAACCCCTTTGCTGTATTTATATCAGGCAAGAGGAAGGAAAGAGGGCAGTGTTTGACATACCAGCTACAAGGGCCCAGATGAAGAGAGTAAGGCCAAAGATTGGCATCACAATCGTCTTTGCCATGAAAAGAAATCTCAACTTAGAGACATGTAGCCAAAGGAGGGGCAACTGAACTATGATGAAGAGGAAGAAGCAGAGCAGCTGAGCCGATGTGACATGCGCGCTTATAGGGATATGGTTCGGGAAATGTTTAAATGAGGGCCAGATTGCTGTCAACATTGTTTGAATGCATTGTCCTCCTTGGAAACTTTGAGTACCGAACCCTGTCTGGGGTTAGTATGATGGGAGTTTGGAAGAGTCTACACTTACAGATACAAGCAACGACACCTCGGACAAACACTGCGAAATACGCTCCTCGGACTCCAAAGGTCGACCTCATCAGGACAGGAAAGTTAACGCCGTAGATGCATCCAACATAACCGTTAGCCATCGCAGGTATGCAGACCACTAATTTTTGGAGTCAGTACTGTTTGACCTAGAGGGAAGTTGGGATTTGAGAGTATATCTTGATATCCCAGAATTCTTGGGACATTAAAATCCAACATCGCCGGATATATCTGAATAGGAAGTACATAGTCTTGGAAACTTACGAACATGACCGACTAGAACGGCACCAATTGCCATTCCAGGACTCAATCCCTTGGTAATTGAAGAAGACGCAACCTGATACATGGAGATACTGAATGCCTCAGCAATCCAGAAGCCCAAAAGCGAAGGCCAAGTCCATTTTCGTTCCTCCGATCCAAAAGGGACCGGATCGAGGTCCTTGTTCGATCTGAGGCCATTGCTGAAAGTTGAATAAGCACCTGGCTCAGACTCCAACTTGAAGCGTTTTACAAAGCCTGGAGCCATGTCGATAGGGCGGGAGACTTGAAGAGGCTCTCGTTGTCTTTGAGGACCGCACTGCTTCTCTTGCTTGGCAAAAATATCACAAGGATTACAACCAAGTGCTGATTGTCGCGGCCCACAAAGAAATAGAAAGATTCTGCAGATGAAACAATACAAGCAAACGAGGTGACAAAGTAAATTTGACTTATATTTGAGTTGAAAGAGACATATAGATACGCAGATACGCAGATACACCGATTGTTGTCGAGGCTTCTTTGGAGTTTCCTATACTAACGCCTCACGGCCATCATTACTATTACTCGTATCGATTGTCGATAATTGATTATCGATACTGCGATGGTGACCTGACTAGTCAAAGATTGCGACACCTACAGAAGGGCAAGCTCTCAATCAAGATACTTTATCAGATGATTTATCTCGAGCGTGGAAGGCCGTCGTCGTAAAGGCCAACGAATGGAACATTTCCGCCCTGTCCAGCGTTTTCTCCTCATCTTATCGTGCCCGTGCTTCCTGTTGGCCGCTGGTGATAAAAATTTGGGGAGGTGGGTGGGGTGGGGGGGGACGGGAAGTTGGCCGGCACTACTCTGGTGCTAGGCAATTGCAGTGTACCTGTCTCGCCTGTGTACTTCGTACTTGTGTACCTGTGTACCTGTGTACCTGTGTACCTCCGTACTCTACTGTACAGTACCGTCTTATTGAGCAGAGGCCAACATCTGGTTTCAGCTCAAGATCCAGGGCACTGCAGCATGCGCCAGGGACAATGACAATGTACTGTACTGTACTGCATGTTGCCGGGCCGAATTTATTCCTTGATAGGATAGGGTACCATATACGCCGTATCCCTCCTTCTTGCCCTTCTGCCCTTCTGTCTCCTTGCCCTCGAATCGACACTCCACTCCACCAACTGGTGCAAGCTTACAAGCTTACCGAACTTACCGTCAGATTACATCAAACTTTACCAAGCCAAGGTCGAGACTCGGTAGCCATGACGTGCAAAGAGCCGCCCGTCACTCTACTGCATCACCTCGGGTCCTCCCTCTGTGGATGGAATAGGGTAGGATAGGATAGGATAAGATATGTCAAGGTGGAGCGGCGGCCATGCTACAGTACGATTAGGCCCAAGTACGATACCATGGGCATGCCATTTGCTTGGTTCGTCTTATCGTCTCAATGGTAATTTACGTGGACGCTGCAACAAGAAGTCCGGTCGGACAGCAGCAGCATCTTCTCCACTTGCTACCCGCTGAGCTATCTATCTGCTTCAGCTTGCCCTGCTCGCAAATCTTTCCCCGTACGCCTCTGTGGCTGCTTAATCAACGCATCTGAGGCCGTGATGGCGAGTGTGGAGTGGAGTGGGGTGGGGTGGGGTCTTTTTGGCCCGTGAGAGATACTTTTCACAGATAGTTATGTCCGTCTATTGTGTTAGGGCTTTTTATATCCAGTCAACAGCGCTTGATATTCTTGTTTTGCTGTTTCTATTCGCGCGTCATTTTGTCAGTTCAACATGGCTCCTACGTTACTCGATCCTCCTCTCCCCCAGGAAGCAACTTCAAAGTCTGTTCAGACATGCTCCGACCCCTCAGTCATTCCCTCGGAAAAAGCATCCCAGCGAATAAGGGAACTTTGGTGGTTACATGGACATCCTCATTCAAAACGATATTCAAATCCGAAGCTCGTCAGTCTTGGAGCTCTGGTGAGACATAGTGGCGTCACCTATAAGGGCCAGAAGGCTTTCCTATATCCCCTTACCGCCGATGCTACCACTCCTTACAAATCCATGACTTGGAATGAGTTTGATCGTGTGACGGAATCTATTGCCCTTTCATATGCCCTGCAACTGGAAAACGAGCTCGAGGATGCAAATTCAATCGGGAAGCAACCCACGGTTGCCCTCCTTGGAGGCGGAAAGACGATTGAGTATTTCTGTACCCAATTAGCTCTCCAGAAATTGGGTGTTAGGGTGCTTCTTCTTGCAGAGTCCAATGCATTGAGTGCACTGCATTATCTTCTGGAAACATGCCAAGCACTGGTTGTTATCACGGACTTCAAAAATGCTGGTACAGATACAAATGGAGTTCGAAAATTGGATATGATTGAGACATTACCTCCTAACCCAGCAACCAAAGCTTCAGAAGTAGATGCTGTCAAATTTCAAGATTTTGAAGATGTTTGGGAAAGGCATTCATTTATCATTCACTCTTCGGGCTCTACTGGTATGCCGAAACCTGTTATGCACACGAATAGGAGTATGATGCTCATTGCAAGGATGTATCGGCTATTTCAAGAGTTTAATGTAGAAAATTGGTTTCTCCTATTTCCACTGTGAGTCAGTTCCACATTTTATTTTTACCAAGCTGACAATGAAGATATCACATCGCCGGCATCTCCATAGCATTTTCGAACTTGCCAAACGGCCAAATTCTCTCCTTTCCACCGTTAGCATGGCCACCGTCATCTTCCAGTATATTTGCTGCATGGAAGACACTTTCATCAATGGGCCACCCCGTGGAATGCACGCACTGTGCTCCTACACTCATAGAGAACATGTACGAGTACATTACTGAAAATGGAGGAGATTTCACTCCTTTGTCATCCTTGAAAGTGCTTCAGCCCGGAGGAGCTGCATTATCAGACAACATCGTCAAAGCTCTTACGTCCAATGGTGTCAATGTCAAGACTACTTATGGCAGTACCGAAATTGGTCCTCCTTTACGCCCAATACCACATACGCGAGAAAATCCGAATTGTTACTCATTTCGGAATCTCTACCCTGATAACCCATTGATAAAGATGGAGGAAGTGGGTAAAGGTGTCTACGAATGTATAATATACAAAGGGTTTGACTTTGCGGCAGACTTATGGCAAGGCAAACCCGATGATGAACCATACCGAACGAATGATCTATTCATTCAAGATCCTCCCAGAAGTGGAAACTTCACCCTCCAAGGGCGTAAGGACGATATCTTGGTTCACTCAAATGGAGAGAACACCAGTGCCGGGCCATTACAGCTTGACATTCAGTCTTCTTCCCAATTGATCCACAAGGCTTTGGTATTAGGCCATTCAAAACCTGACGTGAGTCTCCTAGTCGAGGTCCATGAGAACTACGATCCAGAAAGCAAGTCAACTCAAAACACAATCTGGGGGGCAATACAGCATGTCAACACCCCCTACCCATCACACTCCCAAATCACAAAACCAATGATCCATTACCTCCCAAAAGGCAGCACCCTGCCCGTCACACCAAAAGGCAACGTTCGCCGTAAAGAAGCAGAGCGTATTTATTCCTCTCAAATCGACCGATTATACGCAGACCCTCTCCCCACCCTATCATTCTCATCATCAGTGGAGCCCCTCGCAGACTACATCAGTACCCTCCTCTCAACCCTAACCTCCACCCACGCCTCCGAAATCCAACCTTGGACATCATTCTACTCTCTGGGAATCGACTCCCGCCTCGCCCTTTCCCTCCGCGCCTCCCTCTCCTCCCATCTCAACCGCCCCCTCTCCCTCTCATCAATCTTCGAAAACCCCTCCATCGAAAAGCTAGTCTCATACCTCATCCCTTCCAGCTCGAAATCCTCAAATCCAAGCCTAAATTCAACTTCGGACAAAGCAACAGAAACAACGAAACGTATCATCTCCAGACTAGAATCAGAATTCAAATCCTGGCCACCCGGTAGCCCTCGCGATCAAAATCCCGCAGGTCCGATTCTCAAGCGTGAAAAGGAAACCGTGCTCCTCACCGGCGCATCCGGCTCTTTGGGAACCGCACTCCTACAAACGCTCTCCTCATCCCCTCGCATTGGCAAAATCTACGCAATGGTGCGCGGGCCTAACCACGTTTCAAAACTCGCTCAATCCCTCCAGCAGAAAGACATAGATCCATCTATCCTAAAATCCGCAGCCGAAGGTGGCAGTGGCAAAATCGAGGTAGTGAATTTCTCGATGCAGGATCCATTGTTGGGGCTCGAGGTGAAGAAATATGCAGAGGTCGCCAGGGAGGTCACGGTAGTAGTGGCGAATGCGTGGAAGATGGATTTCAACATGGGGGTCAAGGAGTTTGAGGCGGATTGTTTGAGGTGTACAATGTCGCTGCTTCGTCTCTGTCACGCGAGCGACGCCCATGCTCGTTTCTGCTTCACTTCTAGCATATCGACTTGCATGGGTCCCGCATCCCCTTCTATTATCCCCGAATCCCCTATTGGACCCGACCCAGCTGTCGCCCTTCCAACAGGCTATGCACAGAGTAAATATATTGGTTCGTGTCCTCCCTTTTCCCTTCCACATCACCAATTTCACCCACAAATTTCACCCCACCCCACTCCTCCTAAATTCAAACTAACCTAACACCCTCCCAGTCGAACGTATAACCCAAACTGCGTCCAAGACCTTAAAAATCCCCACCACCCTGCTCCGCACCGGCCAAATCTGCGGCTCAACACTAACATCCAACTGGCCCACCACCGAAATGTGGCCCATCCTATTCGCAACCTCCTTGCACCCCTCCATGCGTGCCGTTCCCTTGTTACCAGGGCAGAGCGTAGATTGGATCCCAGTTGATGTCGCTGCTAATGTCATCGTTGACCTTTTAACTCCCCCGCTAACGTGTAATGGAAATGCACATGTGGATGGAGATGGAAAGGAAATTGTGGAGCAGGAAAAGGCAGATTATCAGGCTCACAATATAGTAAACCCGCACCCGATCCCCTGGTCTTCTTTAATCTCCATGGTCCTCCAATCAACCACCACCTCCTCCTCCGACACATCACCCCTCCAAACCCTCCCCATCTCAACCTGGGTCGAAAAACTCAATCTCCTATCCACCACCACGCCGTCAATCCCCGGCCTGAAACTCCTCCAGTTCTTTGAGGATATGGCTAGCTCCAGCTCCAGCTCTGGAAAAGGGGAGGAAGAAGTAGAAGAGAGATACTTCCAAACGGAAACAACGCAGGCACTGTCGAGCGCGCTGAGGGAATGTGAAGCGTTTAACGAGGCGTGGTTGAGGGGGAATTTTAGGGTTTGGAGGGAGGTGGGGTTTTTGTTGTAAAGGGGGGGGGTATGAGAAGGGTATGGAATGATGATGTATGTGATGGAATGGGATAGAATGGTGGTATGCATATAGATGTATATTCATGTGGATAAGAATGGGTTTGCAAATGGATGTACATTTGAAATTATGGCGGATAGATGGATGGATGACTCGACTACATAGAGTAATGTGTGTTAGTAGTAAGAGTCGGGGTCGGTATACTAGGTAGATAAGCGAGCCAAATCTCTCTTGAACCCCTGAATTCAAACCTAATAGTATAGTAAACAGTCGCCAACTCCCTCGTAGGAAACTAATCTATCTACCTACTTCGCGTCTCATACGACTTTAAACTCATGATTCAGCCGTACCCATTTCTCCGACTTAGTTTATACGATGCTTTAATTATCCACGTGCAGACTACTCTCTTAATACCCGAAGCTAGAGACAAAGTAGCCTGGCATGGTTATTCCACATGCCGCCGGACGATCAATGAGCTACAAGGGCATACACCGCCATCCAAAAGGGTGAAGAGCGGAAGCTAAGTTACCAATATTGGAATCCAATATTAACAATCGATTGTTGACTTGCATTAATTCACACCTCCACATGTAATAGCATTTCCCTTGTGATTTATTTATTTATTCGATCTGCAACTTGCTCTACGAAGATATACGAGTATCACGATCAAAATGGCTGATGCTGCGGAACCCCCAGCTGGAGCAGCCGCGCCTGCCGCTGATACACCTGCCGCTGCTGCTCCTGCTGTAAAGGAAACTGCAAGCGCGACTTTGATTAAAGCTGTAAGTTCTCAATACCTAAACAATCGATCTATAAATCAATCAATCCTAGAATATACTAATCAGCGTGGTACCTAGGCGGAGCACGTAGTCATCGAGTCAGCAACAGCAATTGTAAAGGATTTGGGGACGAAGAGTGCTGCGGATTTGAAAGTTATTGAGAAAGGCCTTAGCCAGGAAGTAGTGGCAGAGACTAAAGATGGCATGCCGAGTTTGTCTGAGATTGGAGAGGCGATTGTGGATGGTGTTGAGGTTGTAGCTGAGGAGGTCGTGGAGGGTGCTGAGATTGCGATTGATGCCGTGAAAGCCCACCCCGAACTAATAGCCGAGTAAGATCACGAACTTGCATTTCTAACAATTGGATTGATTTCTGTACTGACTGGATTGATTGATTTCAGGGCCGCTATTGCCGTAGGAGTCGGTGTTGCTTCACTCGTGCAGCCGGAACTCATCGTTGGCAGCGTGGCGATGATTGGCAAGATGGCGGCTGATAGCGCCAAGAAGACGGCAAGTGATATTGCGGTTACGGCTAGTACGCATGTTGTGAATGAGATTGGAAAGGATATCACTGAGGACATCGCCAATGATGCAAAGGTAGAAGCAACGTTGACCAAGACGGAAGTCACGCAGAAGGAGACGAAGGTCGATGAGGAAAAGGGCGTTGTGGTCGAGACGAAGACGAAGGCTACTTCTGAAAAGACCCAGGTCGTCGCAACGGGGATTGGCAAACTCTTACAGAGGCATCAGATGCTGTTCCGGAAGACGGGAAGGACACCGAAGCTGCGGATCAAGCACAGAAAGAGGGGGGATCTTCCCAACCCCCCCTTGCCGAGGTCGCGAAGGAATCTCGTTCGGACGGAGAGAATGAGGGCACTTCTATTATTGTAACAGGTGGTGGGGATAAAAAGGTATCCGTCAAGATATCTGACGATGGTACAATCACCATTGGCACGGATTCATCCTCGGAGAAGAAAGAAGTGACCGAAACACCTATCAAAGCCACACCAGCAGCAGCATCACCAGAGGAAAGCAAGGAGCCCGAGAACGAAGACGTTCCCTTGCAAGACAACAAGACACAGACCCCCGAAGTCAAGGCGTCCCTCCCAGAACCCGAGACGCCGACAGAAGAGAAGCCGGTGAATGAGGAGACCAAGGAAGTAGCCTCTCCAGACGCCGTCTCAGAACAACAGCCGACGAACGCTTCCAAGACCTCATCTCCTCCCAATGAAAATAGCGAGAGCGCGGTCGTGCCGGATGCAAAGGAACAGAGTCCCGAGTCCGTAAAGCTTGCAGAACCGAAGGCCCCGGATGTTGAAGTCAAAGGAGTAAAAATTGTGCTCAAAGCACAAGCTCCGCCTGAACCATCTTCTGAAGTTCCCCAGCCTGCACCACCACCAACCACAGAACCACAAGTAGTAGATACGCACATACACGATAGCCTAGCAAAGTTACATGAGAGTAAGTACCTAGCCATGCCCTTCCCTACTACCCCGCGCCTCCACTGATGCCCCTAGAACTAGATACCTTACTCGCAGCCAGTACGGCTGCAAAAGCCCAAGCCCAAGAGTCCGTGAACCAGGCAGAGGTCGCCGCTACGAAGAACGCAGATCCGAAGTTCACGCACGAGGATCTGAATAGAATCCATCTCAGTATGCAATCCCCTTCCCTTTCCTATTCTTCTTCCCTCCATTGCTTGATATGACATGAAACGCATGCTAGCTGGCAACGAATCTTTCTAACAATGAAAAAGAGCTCGATAGTATGCAACAAATCCTCGCAATCGCACCAGCTTCCGAGTCTGCTAATGGCGTCGAGCATATCCATCAAAGTACGTCTCCCCCCTCCCCCCTCCCTATTCCTTCCCCTCACCATCCCATCTCCCGAAACCCTTATACAAACACTGACTCCCACTTCCCAAGAAATCGACGCCATCCATTCCGTTATCATATCCAACCCCCTCAAAGATCTAAAAATCGACCAACTGCATCAAAGTACGTATACACACCCCCACCTCCCATACTCACCTTGTCATCGTCCTGGTACTCAGACCATGCTTACCTACCTCCTCTTTCCTCCCTCTTCTTTCCTTCCTCCCTTTTCCTTTCCTCCCCTTTTCTTTCCTTCCTCTCTTTTCCTTTCCTCCCCTCCTCCCCCTTCCTCACCCAGCCAACCTACCCAGCTAACACCAACCCCCCAGAATTCGACACCATGCAAGCAGCCCTAAACACCCTTTCCGCAGCCCTAACCCTATCCCTATCTCTAGCCCCGAAACCCCCAGGCCTAGAAACCAGCACTAGTAGCGCGAGTGCGGGTTCCGAGGCCGTGATGGTTGATGCCTCTCTTCCTGTTCCTATTACTCAACCCCATTCTTCACCTCCTCAGGCTGAAGGAATCCAGACGGGAGCGGTTGATGATAGCAAGAAGAATGGCGAGTCAGGACCGTCGACCTCTACAGGAGTAGGGATAGGAGGAGCAGGAGCAGGAGTAGGAGTTAGAGCAGGAGGTGATAGCACGGTTGTGGAGACGAAGCCGCCGACGAAACATGTCAAGCGGTCGAGCTATTTCGGTGGGTTATTTGGGTGAGCGAGTGAACGGTTGGTTCGTTGGTTGATGCGTTGATTGATTGATTAATTAATACCCAAAGCGCGAGGGAGGGGTGGTGTGTTTGTTTTGTCTCGGCAAGTGGAGAGGAGTGGGGAGAAAGGAGAAGGTGGGAGATGATGACATGGTGTAATTAAAGTGTAGATATGTCTGTATATACGTATGGATAATTAATGGATAGAAGAGGGGATGAAGAAAGGGATGCATCAATTCATAATCATTACCATACTCCAGATTACTATACTAGACATACACGTCCAATACCATTCAATACAACACAAACACCGCAACGCCAACCACCTCCATAGAATGACCCATTCATTCAATCAATCAATCAATCAATCAATCCTCATCCATCCTCAACAGCCTCTCCTCAGCAACCTCCCTGATTTTCTCCCCTAACACACCGCGTCCATAACGCTCCGCCACCTTCCCAGCAGCCTCAAGCATCCTTCCACTCCTATCCCTCAACAGGTTAACCATCTCCAGTGCGCGCATGCCCCTCTCCTCTCCCTCCCTGCACTCCACAGCCATCATCTGCAACAGCGTCTTATCGATCTCGACTTCCATGCGCGCCAAGGCTGTGCGCTGAGAATGGCTACTCTTGGTAAACTCCACGAGATCCTGCTGCTGAGACGTCAGGATACTCTTTAGTACATAAGCGCCTTCTAATTTCTTCGTCTCGTCGCCTCCAGCGTCGCCGTCTTCGGTCTGTGCTGAAGGGGTGTTGGAGAGCGGGATTTCGAATTCGAATTCGGAGAGTAAGGGGCGTGGGAAATAGGGGTATTGTTCGCCGCCTTTGAGGATTATGCAGTGGAATTTCGACGAGGCGACGGCGACTGGGAAGTAGGTTTCTGTTTTACGGCCAGAAGCCAAGCGCGAGAGGAGGCGGGTGTCTAGGAGGGGGACCCAGGTTGCTTGGGAGGGGGTGCGCCAGTGGAGGAGGGTGAGGAGCGTTCCAGTTGAGTCGTAGATACAGGGGTCCTGATAGGAATTAGCATTTGAGTTTAGAGATGTGGATGTGGTCACTTACCCCATTGTCCGACCAGAAAACACTTTTTACTGTTTCTCCGTCTGGTAGAGCTACTATGTCCTCGCTTTGACAAATTTCATCTCTCTTGATGTTTTGAATTGTGTATAGCAACTTCGTATTGCCATCTGCACCAACTGGTCCATTTCCTAGAGTGAGAACGTAGTCGCGCCAACTCGCACATGTAACTGTTGGGCTGCTCTTTTGCCGGTAAACCCTGTATGGAACTCCAAATAGGGTATATATTCTCACATAATTCGATGTTGTGGTAACGGTGACAAAGGATTCGCTCAGTGAAATCGCCGTCACATCTTCTCCCTTTGGCAACTGAGTCCTCCAGTCCGACCTGGTGGTCCAAGTCTCATGTGGGCGATAGAAAATAGTTGCTGGATTTGTGTCATTCGCCTTGGATGAGAAAAGTGTCCCATTCTCGTTTAGGCATGCTTTGTCGTAGAGAAATGTATCTGTGAAATGGAAATCGCGAAACTCCTCATGGTCGTAGAACTCTACTGTTACTGTATGATGAGTATCCTGGTCGACAGTCCAAACAAAACCAATTAGGTTTAGGCAGAGATACTTTCGATCTCCACGCCACGGAGTGGATCCTGGTTGGAAAGACTGATGGTACTGTGGTTCCCAAGCTGGCGCAAGACGTTTAGCTGCACCTCCATAAGGGACAATATCCCCATTAGGTCGCTTGCCATTTCCATTAATACCAAGGGCATAACCGGCGCCGTCGTCATCTATCACAAAGTCATCCTCGTCACCCAGTTCGGAACCGAGAATATCATCCAAACTATCTGGTGTCCCTCGTCGAACTCTAAGGGGAACATCCTTGTGGCCATTGGCGGCTGGCCGTCGAGCGTTCGCTGATATTTCTGAAAGAGGATCATGAATGAATGGGGCGGGTTGAGGACTCAAATTGACCAGATGAGCATGCTCTGCTGGTACGAAGTCATTGAAGATATATACCTCACCATCGCTATTGGTGAACGAGAGGAGGTTCTTTGTGGGATGCCACGCAAGGTCCATGACATTAGCATAGTCATAGCTCGCAATAACCTTCTGTATTTTCGTCTCCCATATGAGAATCTTCCTGTCCTTCCCAGCAGATGCCAACATTGCCCCATTGGGAGACCAAGACAGAGCCGTGATGTCGCCCATGTGTCCATTTGAGAACACTCTTTGATTCTCCCAGTCGCCTCTAGACATTACTTGTATATCCCGCGTAGCTGTGGGGGCAGCAAATGCTCTACCATCGGGATGCCATGCCACCTTCGCGCTGATTTCACTGTCTGTCTCTACGGTTCGGATAAGACCATCGATTTTCTTGACAAGTTCTGGCTCATCGTTTGCGAGGGAGTAGACGTACACTAGTCCATCAGTACATGATAGGGCTATGTATTTGCTGCTTGGGTCGAAAGCAATATGTTTGACTGGCTTTATTTGGTCTCGAAGGTACATGACAGAGCTTGTGTCGGCAGTTTGAACAATTTTGACAATAAGATCGTCACTGCCAACGGCACACCATTTTCCATCGCGGGAGATAGTAATGTCTCGAACAGGGAGGGAACAACGCATGAGGAATTTGTCGAAGGACATGGTATCGAACGAGTACAAGCTGACCGTTCCGTCTTCTGCGCCAGAGACGAAGAAGTCATTCTGCCACAATTAGTGAGACTCTCAATACATATTGACGGGGAAATTAACAGTCGATGCCACGGCCATATTCTGCTCCTGGCAATCATCGACGTTTGAGGGCTCGCCATCGAGTAAGTTCGTCTTGTAGACTCTTATGGTATTATTCGATCCGACCGTGGTCAATTTAGTGCCATCGGGGGTATAGGAAAGGAACGTTGGACCGGCTGTATGCGCAGGACGTCCTCGCAGACGAATTTGAGTAGTAGTGGCCATGTTTGAATATCTCAATGGCAGTGGGAGACAATATCGTGGTGTTGATGAGGTTTGGCGCGGGACGCGTTCAGTCGCGTTTTCCCACTCCACTGTACGCGAGAAATTATGGAATCCCTGCAATAATGGACCCCTGAAGAAAACCACCCCGCAGGCGGCAACTTCAACCCCAAAACATACAACACCACCACGCAACGCAATGTCCCGATCAACAGATCCAGGGCACTTCTTCCAGACTGATGCTTCCGAGTCAACGAGAGCTCGTAGAGCAGCCAAGTCCGGCAATAAAAATGGTGACCCGATTACCCTACAATCGAAGATCCTGAATGTTATTGCGGACCCGTTCTCTCAATCATGTATCTACATTGCAGAGAGTGCGGGCTGTGTGCGAAGACTCAATTTAGAAGTAGGTACGTCAAGGTACTGGTTGCAATAGAAGGATCATGCTAATCGCTGCTTAGACTAAAGATTCGAAGACAGTATACAGAGGTCCAACTGCCCCAGTTACATCTGTAGCCATCGGTGGCCATGGAGGAGACACCGTCTTTGCCGGATGCTGGGATAAGGATATATGGAGCTGGAATAGAGAGTCTAGAGCTGTCGGACAAAGATACAAAGGGCATTCGGATTTTGTCAAAGTCATCATATGTGCAAGACTTGAGGGAAAGAATGTAAGCCATCATCTAGACCTATCCGTACGACCTGCTGAGAACCTCTAGTGCCTCATATCTGGCGGAGCAGATGCTAAGATCATGGTATGGGATACCGCAACGGGAGAACGCTTGCATACCCTGCGCGACAAGACTGATACCATGATGGCTCTGCAAGATCTCGCCCTCGACCCCGAAGAATCAACCGCCTCGGAGTTGGTTCTTGTATCATCGAGCAGTGATCCCCAAATCCGGCGCTGGCGTATAAGTCTATCGTCCTGGTCCCAAATTTACGACACAACTCAAGCTGCGACCTCACAAAACAAGCCAGCCAGAGACACCATCCTCGAGCACGAGACCAGTGTATACACAATCCTTTTCTCGGGCGAGGACGAGGACTCAGATCTATGGACCGCGAGTGCAGATGGGACTGCCAAGTGCCTGTCAAGAGCGAAGGGCTGGAGTACGGAAGATTCGTATACGCATGGTGACTATGTTCGGGCCGTGGCCGTTACGTCAGACTGGGTGATCACAGCTGGACGCGACGAGGATGTCAAAGTCTGGGATCGCGCGACTGGAAAGCTATGGCATGTTTACGAAGGCCATTATGAAGAGGTGACCGGGCTGGTACTTGTGAACGGGGATATGAAAGTTGTGAGCGTTAGTATCGACGGCACTGTGAGAACTTGGGGTCTGGGCAAGGCGGATCTGGAGAAGGCGAGACTAGAAAGGGAAGCCAAGCAAAAGGGTGAAGCGAAGGAGGAGAAGATTAAGCCAAAGAAAAGTTTAATGACGGAACAGGAAGAGGCCGAGCTTGCTGACTTGATGGATTCAGACTGAGTCTATTTTCAGAACTTAGGCCCCGGATGACTTCCCCATTCCGCGGCTTAGTAAGACTTCAGTTGCATGGAACTTCAGTGCCCAATAGTAGTGGGTTTCAAAGTCTTCAACGGTTCAGCCGATTCACCCCTCCGGACATCGTGATAGCCATGTTCCTATCAAGACATTCGTTCATCATTGTTATTGTCGTGTAGTAAGTCAAAGATTGCGACGGGCTTCAAGGCTCGATGCTTGCAAACTCGCCGCAGTTTGAGGACTCTTTGATCAACAAAAGTTCCAATGAACTGGCCGAGAATTACAGACCATTAAAGTTTCAAAAATCCCCGACGATGTGGAACTATCAGTCTAACAAGAGCGTTTGACTTATCAATTTTGGCGGACTGGATGTTGGCTGCGGCCACCCCGAGATGATACCCAGAAGCTCTTACTTTAGGAGCTTCTTCTCCTCAGAATCCCATCAACCTTTCCGATGATCTATCAAAAGCGGTATCAGGGGAATATGATAGTCAGGCACACCGACACCAACGTGTCTCATCACATGGTGCTTCACCTGCTACTAAATCCAAGAAGCAAAGGACGATGGTTTCACAAAATTATGTCGGTGACAGCAGAGACCTGAGAGCGTTTGCATTTCAAATTGCCGCTAGTTACCTGGATGTCGTGAAGCATGACTTCCTGCAGCTTTCCTTCAATATTGTAAAGTGCTATGTCGCTTGCCGTGCCCCAACAACGCTGCACGGGTGCACGCATACCTCCACACGAAGTTAATACTTCTTCCGAGGAGACTGTGGTGGTATTTACGGACTGGCATTCATGATTACTCTGTCCATCGTTCGATCTAAAGTTTCGCTCACAACTACTTTCGGTAGTAAGGTTTAGATCGCAGCCAAAACGGACTTGAGGTTAAGAGCACGGCTCACCATGTAGACTGTGTCTGACCCATTAGCATGGATCAGCTCCCAGCCTCACTAGCTTCAAACTCGGAGAAAGCGAATTTTATTCCAAATCAAGCCAATCATAGACTTTCCGATTGCTGTGGATCACAGCCAAAAAGTACATCAATCCACAGCCGTGCATGGGATCAGGGCCATGGGTTGATCCGAGATCTGCTGCATATGCACAATTGATGATCTGTTGTATTACTTATATTACGAAGTATGTAGTACGTTTCTGCTCAAAAGTCAAACTGGCTCGGAACATCCTGATATGCCTCCGTCATTGACTCTGGCGCAACGCCTTAGACCCGCTCAATTTACCGTATCATCAAGATTACTCGTAGCAAACATCACTACGAACTCGTCCGGAGGGAAAGTGAGTCCGGCCCCTGATTAACTGCATCAGCGTCACAATCAAAAATATCACCGTACGAACTGTATAAACCAGGTACAGAGTCCGGCCGTACCTGCGTATTCGCTCCCCATATCCACTGGGCCGCATATGCTCTGTGCTGAGCATGGTTTCATGCCGATCTCAATCATCTTCCAGAAGTCTGCAAGAACCGGCAGATCTGAAATATGATCTGAACATCAAGATTCATAACTCCTCTACTTCATACATTTTGCCTCACGGAAATGAGCCTCCAACATACTGCGCCAGTCAGCAGCATTATCTATTGGCTGAGGCGCACGTCTATTATACAGTTCATTGGCACTAATCTTAATCTGGGAACCTTGTTCGGCCCTCTGCTAATAAGCTTCTGTACCTCCGTAACTTCCCGCTTGTACCGCGTGACTGTCCCCTAGATATGCATCTTTCAGAGGTGCCCACACGCGGCTATAGTCCCCTTTACTTAGCTGGCCTTTGGCCGGCCCACAGTCCGGGGTCTCTTCTAGTAGAGTAGTATCCACTTTCAGCTTCATATCGTCAAGCGGCTGGCTTGATTTGGATTCCTCACCTTTTACAGCCTTCTCCTACTTTGTTTGCTTTTTGATTCCGTCTTGCTTTGCTCAAAATCCTTGTCTTCGTCGCAGCCTTTCTTCTCATCTAGGTATCCAGTTGTATATCTGTTCGGGATCTAGTATGCACGGTTCCAGTGTACCACAATAAATCTCGCTGGCTCGAGACGAACTTTCTCCTTTCAACACATTTTGGCAGAGTTTGTAGAAACTGACGGTAATCATGGCAGCAAGCATTGCAGAAGGGGAACAGCACTTCGGAAAGCTGGTGGCTTTAGAGGGAGACGAGAAGACTATTGCGACACAATTGCGGTTATTACCACCGTCCGAAAAGATCCTTGTTCTTCCCTCTTTTACGGAAAGCTTACCAAAAACCTTGGAGAAGCAAACTTTCGACGCCCAGGCTTTTGTCCGCGATATATATTCAATGTTTGTGGAACGAACGGAATCGGCACGGTCTTTCTTGAAGTCCTCGACCAGCACGCAACCGAGACTTGTCTTTTTGAATGGGGGTAGCGTCTGTGCCCGGGCAACATGTATCACAGGCATTTGTGACAATTTGACGGACGGCGACGTCAAAAAGGCCGAGACAACCTTTAATGAAATCGTACAAGATGGGGTGGCCGGATTACTGAAGCAGGTGAAGGTCGGTGAGGAAGTACGAACGGAAATGGATGATGTCCATAAGAAAGAGGAGGTGATGAATAGGATGGTTGGAGACCCAACTATGAAAGCTATGCAGGCTGCAGAGTCGTTAGATCGCCAGACGACCGCGTTACAGACGAAGAGGAATATTAAGAGTCGTGTGGCTTACTCTGAGAGTAAATACCGGGCTGGGGGCATTTCACATGATGATCGAGATATTTTCAAGGCACCGGAGGAGGCCCCCGACGACCAAGGCGAGTCCTTGGTAGTTGACTACGGCATTCCACAGCGAGGACCTCGTGGGGACGACATTATCACAACCGTGATGACAATGCGAAGCCGGAACTCAAGTTTATTTGATCGAAGCGCAGGGGCATTGAGTGAAAGCCATACTTCAAGTACTCCTTTTACCTCCCGCACAGACTCCACCTCCAGATCGCATTACACGAATTTTTTCACACATCAACTCGATAGTGATGTCGATTCCGACTATGATGAGGATCTCATTCCTCCTGATGATGAAAAGCTCTTGTCATCACCAGCTCCTGGCATATTTCTTGGCGAAGCCCACGTCGTTGATGTCCAAACCACTTCTCCTACTTCCCAGTCTTTCCCAATAAGAGAAGCCAGACGGGTGAAATCTGTTGATGGGTTTCACCGCGATAAATCAGGCTTTCTAGGGCAGGCTCCGAGCAAAGCAGAACTCAGACATACAGCATCTTCCATTAACCTGGGGGCGTCAGTTGTGAAATCACTTGCAGCAACCTACGATGCCAGTAACGCCCCACCACTACCGAAAATGACATTATTTCGAGCTTCACAGACCACCATCAAAAAGCCATCAATTGTTGGATCCATGAGTGCTTCTACTGTATCAACCCACAGATCTCCACCTCGGGTTTTTGTTGATCGCGGCACTGATGCCGAAGTGATTGTCGCAAAACCAACCCCCTTGGAAGAGCCAGAAGCGCTATTTGAGCCGGTTTTGGCTTTGGTTGAGGACTTGGTAATACATTTCACTGATACCGAGTCCAAGGAGATTCTCGAGTCTGTCATTCAGTCGTATAAGAATGAAAACTATCCTATCTTCCCAACGAATTTAGAACTAGGAAAGGGGGCCCACGAGAGCCCGTCAATTTTGGATGAAAGAATTGTAGATTCAGGGCCCGAGAGAAACAAATTCAGATCCGTTTCTCAGATCACAACGGCTACCGACGATGAAGAGTTCGATCTATACAGCCCATATGACTGCTATCCTTCAGTTTTTGTCCGCCAGCAGGAATCTCAATGTACAGATCATGGGGCCCCAAACAACGAACCTCCGACCTCGTCCACAACTCCGCCGCCAAATTTCAACCATACGGCAAAGAAATTTGTATCTTTTCGCCCTGTCAACCCTAAAAATGTAATCAGCATTCAGAACTCACTCCGAGAAATACTCAAGCTTCATTTTCCGGCAGGCGAGAATGGTTATAGTCAACATTATTACCCAGTTTTTCCCGAAATGGAAAGACTGTGGAAGCCAGTTTTTAGGAACGATGACAGCGGTAGTCTTGAAGCCGAGAACCGGACTGTTGACCAGATAGTCGCGTTAGGATGTGAGGCCGGAGTCAAAACGGAGTTCTTCGACCAGATATCTGGACAGGTAGAGAGATTGGGAGCTAAGAAAGACGGTCAGAACCGAAGTGCGAAACTGGATATCAGGTAAGTCTTATGACCAAGAAGAATCCTCACTCGCTGACCGGATTCTCAGATATCTAATCGCAAACGTGATGCAAAATTTCTCGACCCTCCCACTTACAGCTCAGAGCACTTTCAATCCTCTTTCTAATCCCACTCTCATGGCTACTCTCATTGTCCCTGAGCTGGAGACATACTTAGCAAGCAACGCGTCTACTCGTCTTCTAATCCTTCAATACTCGTCAACTCACTTAGCAACCGTGCTTGCCCTGCGCACTCTCCTAGGTGTCAACCTTTTCAAAGTGGCCGGCATTCTCGACTCACAGGCGTCAGATCCACCTTCCATACTATCCAGTCCACGGCCATCTACTAGTAAATCCATCTCTCATGAAACCACGAGGTCTGGTTTCTCCTACCACGACCGTCTCGGATCCGACAAATCTTCCGACCGTCCAAAGACTGCTGAGAGAAATATCCGTCAAAGGCCCCCCATCCCAACCTTGAGCGACTCAGCCCGCTCCCGCTCCTCCATAATCTTCCCAAAACTCGACACCTCAAATTCCGTTTCCTTTTCCAAAGCAAATTTCCTCCTTCCCTCCATGGCCACCGAGATCGAGATCAGCACCTTTTTATCCGGGATCTGGAACTCACTGATGGAAAAATCAATGTACTACACCCCAGAACCAGAACCCAAACCTATCGTAATCGAGAGAATCATCCAAGTACAAGTCCCAGCAGTCGCCAGCCTCCCTACCCCAACCCCACCTGCAGATTACCAGATGAGCCGCGACACCGCAATTCCCCCACCTTCATCATTCCGGCCCGCAGGCCAACAATCCAAGATCTCCCGCCTCACAGGATCCGCCAAGCACGGACACGCTTCCAGTGTCTCCCCAAGCGCTAAACAAGACTACACGCCCAGTATCGCCAGCTGCAGTACCATCAGTACCAAGAACACGACGACGAGTAGAAGGGAGGACAGAGGCTGGGATAAATTCTATATCGCCGAGGAGGATAGCGACGATGATGCTTATGACAAGATGACGCTCGGGCGGGCGTTTGCGCAGATTACTCCCGATGCGAGAAAACCGGTGGGTGGACGTGGGGCGCTTAGGAGAAGGCCGACGAAGAAGGCGTTGAGGTGGTTGGGTTTGGCTTGAGTGTTTAATTCATTAACTTAGCCGGTATTTTGTTTTCTTTTGGGCTTGCTTTCGACATCTGGGATAGAGAAGAGGCTCTCTTTCGTGCTTGATTGTTGTAAGAAAGCCAGCATACACATGCACACACCTTTCTTTTGTATGAACTTGGCAGTAGTGGAGTATTTGGGCAACATGGGAACGAATACTTGTTTTTTGTAATCATAATTTTTATCGTGTGTTATCGGCGTTTTAGCTGTGAACAGAATAGGGTACGAGTACTGTACCAGTCAGCTAGTTGAATCAAAGAAGTTTGAGTAATTTACCAGAGGGTTGTTAGTTATTCAGAGCTATTGGATGGTAAAAGTGCTGGTTGACTGATGTCATCCTCTGCTCCTACTTCTACTTCTGCAACTCCATACCTCGCCTCGCCTTCATTGCATACTTGTCTTGTCTAAACACTGCTGCGCAAGACTACACTCCATTTCATCTCATCCATGCAGTCCCCTCCACTCTCGCACATGACTATAACCGCCCTTCGCCATACTATACTATGCGTACGTCTACACAGCCAGTGCCAAACCCCGTACCTACACAACTCAGATCAGATTGCACAGTGCTGAGGATACCCATCCTCGTGCGTTGCGTTGGCTTTCACGGCTCATCCCTAACAACCTCTCCCATCTCTCCCATTTCATCTGTGAACAACCTCAGGGGAAATCTTTTCAAGATGCATTTCGATGCTGGGCTGGCTGTTGTTTGTTTTGTCGATAGCACGCTGCTGTATACGATGGAGTTAGGTAGGCAGGGGGTTTGAATAAAGTATTTAACGAGTTTGCACGCAGTGGGCTTATACTGTGCCTATGCGCAGTATCGATTAATAGGAGTACAAGTATAGATAGATAGGAATGTACCATTTGTATCCAAACGCCTTCTCCTCCTCCCTCTTCTGTCCATCCTTCAATTCATGATTCTCATCTTAAAAACCACAGTTAACTCACTGCTGCGATTTCATCACAAACAAAACTCACCCACACTCACACTTCGAACCATTATCTCTCGCTCTTACTATAGCACTTGGTACCTAAGATAGGTAGGTACCTAGCTACTCTAATTATACGTGCCATGCACACCTGTCCGGAATGAATCTTTCATCGCTTACTACTTCACCCTCGATATATATACCTATATCCACATTCCATAAACATCAACCCCCCCATATAATAAACACCTAACACGCTACTCCTACTCCAAAGCCACCGATACATTAGCCTAGCCCATCCTATCCCACCCCACGCTGGAACTAAACGGCTCTTTCCTGCATTCCCTCCCTTCTCCCTTCCTCCTCCCTCTATCCGCTTTCCTCCTCCAAATAAATAGCCCGCGTTGTATTTCATACCATATGCACCCCGTAACGCAGACATATATATACCTATGAACTAGAGACCGGCACTGGCTGTGACTTACATGGAGTAAAGCGGCTAGAGCCAAGCCAAGCCGAGCTGAGCTGAAATATTGCTTGTTACAAGAAAGACATAGAATAGAAGGATATAAGGATGGTAGAAATGCTAGAGGAGTGTATTAATATAGGCACTGCAGGAAAGTTCCTAGGACCTATTGCTAGTATGCCAGTTTAAGCGTTTATCAGAGCTAGAGCTACGTCGAAATAATTTCATGGTTCGATCAAGAGATAGAAGTTGTGTTTAGATACGGAGTAAGGAAGTCTACTGTATCGTCACTCAATTCATGTATGTCGCATTAAAACCCAGGCCCAACGGATAAGATAGAAGCTCATGTATGATTGATTGCTTGCGAAACCAACCTCAATTGTCTGTCATAATAACAAAAACGAAAAAGTACCACGCAGAGCAAACGCATCGAAGACTCAGAAAGCAAAATATGAAAATCCGGTGCCCAGATCCCCGCACACGCCAAGTCAACCACTCTATCTCCTCATTCCATCCGCCATTAGGTTATCTATTCTCCCACCGTGCGTGTTACAGAGCGTTGCAATCGTATGTATGTCCCGATGTCCCAGGTTGGAATGCAGAGACGATCCAGATGATAGACAATTTGTTCTAATGCGCAGAGAGAAAGCAACCCAGACGTTCCGTTACGTTCGTAGGCAGTACATGATAAGACAGATATGTTTAACAGCAGCCACCAGCGGATCCTTGATTCACTCCTTGTCCCTGTCCTACTTGAACTGTTGGCTTGTTGTTTGCGGTTGTCGTTCCCATTCTCTCCTTAATTTGGCGGGCCATGGTCAGGAAAGCTTGCTCGACATTGCTGGCGTTCTTGGCTGATGTTTCGAGGAATGGGATGCCGAGGCTGTCCGCAAACTCCTATAGAAAGACATAAGTCAGTAATGCTTACTTATTGACGAGGCAACGAGGCTCCGCCTGACGTAGGAGGGCATGTGATATCGAACAGGTGATGTGTAACATGTGAAACCTACCTTTGCAACTGTGTATTCCACAACCTTCTTGTCTGACATATCGCTCTTGTTGCCTACGAGCAATTTGTTGACACCCTCTGTAGCATATCGGTCGATCTCCTGCAGCCATTGCTTGACGTTGTTGAATGAATCCATATCGGTAACATCGTAGACAACGCAGATGCCGTGAGCACCTCGGTAGTAGGAAGATGTGATGGTTCGGAAACGTTCTTGTCCCGCGGTATCCCACTAGAAATAGGTGTATTAGCAACACAGTTCACTCCATGCTTCAACTGTCACCCTTACAATCTGCAGCTTCACGGTCTTCCCATCTAACTCGATCGTTCGGATTTTCTGCTTGAGTGTCAGTGCTAGCCCCCAAATCCCGTAGATGCGGCACGTACGAAGTCGACACCGATGGTTGAGATGTAACTCTCTGTATATGTATCATCTGCAAATCGCAACAGCAAGCAGGACTTTCCTACACCAGAGTCTCCGATAAGGAGGAGCTTGAAGAGGTAGTCGTATCTGCCGTCCAGTTGTGGTTAGTATTGTTATATGTTCGGGAACGGGGTTGTAGCTGCTTGCGCCCATGATTCTCTGATCAAATGCCATGCTGGAGGAGAGGTACTCTATACAGCATAGCAGTCAGTATTGTGTTTGTAAATGGTAGCTCCTGATGCTCCTTGCGGGTGAATGTCAGGACCAGGAGGGGTTTTGAGGCAGACTTACTACTCGGGATTCATGATGGCGACTGTGTATTGTATTGTATTGTATCGTTCGTGGATGGGGTTTGGGGGTAGAAAGTAAGAGCAGAGACGGTAGGTACGATGTGGTTGTTGGGCGGTGCTAAGAGGTGTATCGGTGTATCGCGACTGCAGCTGGCGCCTGTGACAATGGATGATGTTGAAGAAAGATGGAGCCGTGGCTTAAATAGGAAATTGGCACGTGACTTGGGTTTTATATTTGTGAATGTACGTGTATCTCAATGAATATTCTTTATACATTCAGCATGATCTGGGTGGTCAAGATGTGAGTATATGTGCATTTACTCCTACAAATCACGTTTCTATTCATTAATAGAGTTATCTATCCTCCCATATTTTGCTTTGTTACGCTACGGTACCTCGTACGTACCTTACCTTACTCTTGGGGCCGCTAGACCCCTTTGAGCCATTCACATATTCTGTAATCGATAAAGGTTTCGGCATTCCAGAGAAAAGACTTCTTCCACCAACCTACCGCAATCTTCACCCTTCATCTCTTGCATCCTGGATGTCTCTTGAGAATATACCTCGGCAGTCAGGCTGATGTCGACGTCTCCAAGCCTCCTACGCTCCGCTCGACATAACGTCCGCAGATTGCCCTTCACGGCATCCAGCTCTGTCGCTCCAAAGTACTTAGTAAAAACCAACTCAAGATGTCTAGCGACAGTCAACCCGGGTCCTAGAGCATTACCGGAGATCTCCTTCACTGGATCCTTTCCACGATATGCTCCCACGCCCAGCGACCCAAAGAAACCATCAGATGAGCGAACCGTAAAGCTCGGGAAAAGTAAGCGGTCTCATCTACAGTGGCTCTACATTTTATCTACAGTCCTAAAGGATGCTAGCTAACAGCCAAACTAGCTCTCAGAATCCTCCAAGCTCGCCTCCCAACCCTCCTCCAATCCCCACTCCCCCAAGAAATCCTCTCCCCGCAGATAACCCTCCACCTCTTCCCCTCCACGCACCCCCATCTCCCCGCCGTTTCCGGGCGCGTAGCCTATTCCGCGGCGCTATGGACATCCCCTATAGCCTGGGGCCGCCTTCCACACCTCAAGCTATCCATCCTCTCGGAACGCATGGTGAAACGCGGCAGCAACTCCTCCAGCCGCCCCGAGCAGCTCATCGTACGATGGAGCACCATCGGCAAGACGCGGGGCAAGGGCACGGGGGCGTTATACAAGGGAATAGGAGCTAAAGACAACGTCGACAAGATTACAGAGTGGTTAGGGGGCGGGAAGGGCGAAGATGATAGTAAGGAGTTTACGGGGTTGTTTATTTTCGAGTTTGATGAGGAGGGCAGGATTGTATCGCATACCATTGAACATGTTGAAGAAGGCGGGAATTGGGATCAGGGTGTTGGGGCTAAGGTTGTGGGACTTACCGATTGGTTGCTAGGAGGGTTGAAGAAAAATGGGAGGGAGGAAGGGACTCCTTGTCCCGCATGTTGGACTCAAGAAGGAGAGGAGCAGCGGAGACGGAGGTAGATGTATGAGTAGTTGGCTTGCATGTTAGGACAAGGTGTTGGAATAGGTATAGACTTGGCGTTTTGGCTTTGGGATGCTGTCGGATTATTTGTGTACAGTGTACGGATACGGAGTACAGATACAGAACTTATATACCCTCCACTCTGCATGGAGCAATAGAAATAAAGACATGAAATAATTTGGCTGCAGCAAGCTGCTCAGTCTCCTTAGCTCCAAGCTTGAGTTCAACTCGAAAGTCGAGATAGACAAGTCCAGCTTCGATTGTGAAGCATGAAAGGAAGAGAGAGATGTTGATCAAGGAGATGGGTTTCTATAGTCGCTTTCCTACCTTGTAGCTGCAATCTGTGTTTGATTTAGTAAGTGTTTTTGGGTATGGCCAAGTTGATTTCATTCTTAAACCCCCTTTTGCCCAATGTATAGATGCGACATAACTTAATCTGTTCTGATGTAAAGATTTTAGAAGTGGTGGGAGGTTATATGACGAAGGCGCTTATTTTGTGGGGGCGTGCGGGTGCGGGTGCATAATGTACTGGGTAATAGTGACGAAATGGCACCAAAAGAACCCCGGGAACATTTATCTACGTTACTTGATGTAGTCTGGCGCTTCTCCTAGAGTTCGCTAGGCTTTGAAGAATATCATAAGTATCCAACGTCTCCAGTCTAAACAAAGCAACGTTTCTTAGCTCCTCGCCAGGTGACCGAGTTGCTGAACTGAAGACTGGTACAGTTGGTATACTTTAGAGTTGTTCGCATATAAACCACACGACGCCGTTTCATTCATTAATTCATCCACAAAACAATCACTTTACTGTTTGTTATACCGCAGCCCAGCCATCAATCATGTCAAAACTCCGCGTCCTCATCAGCGGCGCCTCCGTCGCAGGCCCAGCCCTAGCATACTGGCTCGTCCGCGCAGGCTGCAGTATCACAATAATTGAACGGGCTCCTAGCCTTCGCAGCGCTGGTCAGGGCATCGACGTCCGCGACACGGCTCGGGACGTGATTAAGCGCATGGGCATCTTCGACATCATGCGGGCGAAGAGCTCACAGGAAGAAGGGATTATGTTCGTTGATAGCAATAACCGTCCGTACGCGGAATTCGGCGTCGATGATTCGGGCGAGGGCGATAGCATGACGTGCGATATTGAGATTCTTAGGGGCGAGTTGGCGAAGATACTCTTTGATGTTACGAAGGATGATGTGGAGTATATTTTTGGCGATATGGTGGAGAGCTTGCAGGAGACGGGGAAGGATATTGTGGTGAGTTTTGCTAGTGGGACGCCGGAAAGGGCTTTTGATCTGGTGGTTGGTGCTGATGGGATTGGTTCGAGTATCCGTGGTATGGCTTTTGGGAGAGAGGAGTTGAATGTCAGGTCTCTGAACGCGTACGTATCGTACTTCTCGATTCCAAAAACCGATATCGACACGCTGTGGTCACGAGTTCATTGGATCACAGGTGGTCGGAACATGGTCATGCGTCCAGATAATATGGGCCGAACCCGAGCCTTTTTAAGTCTCATAGCCTACTCGGCATCAGACGAAAGACTTGTTCAACTTGGGAAGGCAGCAAGAGAAGGCATCCCCGAGCAAAAAGCCGTCGTGCAAGAGCTCTTCCAAGACGGCGACTGGGAGATCCAGAGGATGCTAGAGGGCATGCACGAGTCGGATGACTTCTACATGCAGTATATCGGACAAGTACGTCTGGATCGCTGGTCCAGCGGCCGTGTGACCGTCGTCGGCGATGCGGGATACGCTCCGTCGCCGTTTAGTGGCATGGGAACGTCGCTTGCCTTCCTCGGCGCGTATGTTCTCGCAGGCGAGATATCGAAGCAGCCAGACAACATCCCTGCCGCGTTGCTATCTTACGAACGTATTCTGCGCCCGCATGTCGAGAGCATACAGAATCTGCCTCCTGGGATACCATGGATTGTCAATCCTCAGTCGATGATGGGCGTTCGGGTGCTGGAGACTTTTATCTGGGGCGTTGGATGGCTGTCCAAGATAGGCGTAACTACTTTGGCCTCGAAAATCACGGCGTATCTTCCGATCGGCGGGAAATTGTTCAAGTTGCCTGAGTATGAGGCGTTTAACAAGTAGTTATCAGGCGAAGGCCTGGCTTTTTGGTATGAAGCATGGAGCTTGACAATTAGGTTCTAGTGCTGTGCATTCCTTCTATGGCGTTTCGGATATGTAGTATACCTCTCAACTTTATGTACAAATATTGCATTACTTGCTTACGATCAGGATATCTAAACATTTTTTTACCTAAAAAAAAGCAGTTCCATATTTTGTAAGTAAAACCACCAGACCTCCGTCCAACCTCGTAAACAATTATCCAGCTGTAAGTTAAGCAATTTACAACATCTGATACAATTGTGGTACACACCAACCTGTCTAATTACAGTACGCTAATCTCATAAAAAATATCTAGTCTCTTTTCAACTGTGCAAATGAGAATGTAATGGTTGGGATATATGTCATGTGTACCACGTGACATATTTCCCAACAGCAATAGGAAAGTGATACCGAGATGGGGGATCATCTTCCCCACAGTTCACCCCACAGTTCACCACGCCCTGCAAGTCACTCAGTCCGCACACGCCCTTGATTTGCGTTTGCGTTTCTTTCTTCTATATATAAAGTAAAATAACTTCATTTCGAACCTTACAATATTCAGTAATTTTCTCTCTAATACTTCAATTCCAAGTACTTCCAAATTTCCAAAATGGCATTAACAAACCCCAAAAAGCAGAAGCACATCGTCTTCGATGTAATCGGTACGCTGGCCTCTTACTCTAAGTTTTTCGAGGCGTTGGAAGAGAGGTTGGGTGATAAGGTATGTGTATTTTCGTTTGTGAAATGGGAGATATATGGATAATAATATATGAGACAGCTACGCGCTGAGGGGATTAAACCGATGCTTTTTGGATATGCTTGGTAAGTTAGTCTGATTTTTATAACCCAATTACACACTCTTCGTCCTTCTCTTCTCTTGAAATACATATTATTAGTAATTACTTAATATCATCGTCTCAGGATCGAAACCGCAGAACGCGAATACACATACCTATCCATATCCAGCACCACAGGCTATACACCGTTCTATAAAGTCTTCGCACCACTCTTCTATCGCGTTCTTTGGATGTCTGGTGTTTCTGAACCACGAGAGCTTGCTAGTGATGAAGATAAAGGTCTTTCGTTTCCTCTATTCCCTTTCCCATCACATCTAAATGATCTAATACACCCCTCTCACAACCTCTCTCACATCCCCTCCTCCCTCCTCTCATCTCTCCTAAATCCGTCTCCTCGTCTCCTCACTTCTCCCAAACACAACTTTAATCCAATCTAACCCACCCCCACCAGACATAATAATGCGCAGCTTCCTAATCCTTCAACTACGTCCCGACGCCTCAGCCTGCATATCCCACCTCCGCGCCCACGATTTCACGGTATGGGGCTATACAGCCGGCGACGTCTCCACCGTAGCTGCGTATTTCGCAGACGCGGGAATCGAGATGCCGGTGCGCAATCTGTTGAGTTGTGATATGTATGGGGTTGGGAAACCGGATAAGGAGTCTTATACACCTGTACTAGAATTGCTGAAGAAAGAGAAAGGAGAGGGAGGGAGAGTGAGAGGGGTAAAGGAAGTGGAAGAGGGAGGGGAAAAGGAGGAGTTTTGGTTCGCTGCGGCGCATATGTGGGATGTTAGCGCGGCGAGGAAATCTGGGTATGTTCAAGATGTGGTTTCTTTTCTTGAGGAGGGAGAATGTGAGAGAGAGAGGGAGTGCATGCTGATGAGATATGATGTGATAGGTTTAAAGGAGCGTGGTGTTCGGTATATGAAAAGGAACCGTGTGTGGAGATCTTTGGGGAGATGGATGTCATGGCTGATTCGCTGCTGGAGATGGCTAGGATGGTTGTTGTGAAGGCGGGGGTTTGAGATTGGGTGAGGATCGGATGAGGGTTTGGATTGGATTGGATATAGGGAAGGTATGTTTTAATACGTACCTGGATTTCAGGCCCAGGGGTAGTCAAGTTTAAGCGAGCCCCTAATCAGATGTTCCCAATACCCGGCGGGTGTTGTAACCATTTCAGGCACAGGCTATACTACCTCTGGTATATGCTATTTTAGGGGAAATATATCTGGTTAATAGAAGAGGATTCTATTGCTTTTTGTTGAACTTTAATATTCCAAGTACAAATTGACGTCTCGCTTTGGAGGAATATGCGACTTGTTTGTGAAAAGGATATTTATTTTATCACTTGCAAAGAACTAGACAAGCCTTATAATAACCCTTTTGCATTTCGCTATAAATATAACACGTTTGCAACCACCGTTTAATATCATGTTTCTCGTAACTATTTTATCTTAACACGATAACTTCCTCCCAACTTTGACCATATCTATTCATTCCCCCTTCTCCTAAAACCCATCCATCAATGCCAGCCACCATCATCTACTCCAGCCCCCACCACCTCAAAACCCAAGCGCACTATTAAACGCCGTAGCAGTCGTAGCATCCTTGGTCCCCAACCCCGCCACAGTCGCCTTAGCCGCCGTACACAAATCCTTCGCCGCCTGATTCGCCGCACACACATTCGTAAGCTGGTCGCAGATCCGGTTCGTGATGATATTAGGATTCAGCGCATCCTGCTGCCCCTGCGCAACAACCGCGTCGGTCGGCAGGAACGTGCCCTCGGTCGCCTTGCGGCCCGCGCGTCCGAATTGGAAATCCATCGTCGGCGTGCAGGTACCGAAATCCGCACCTCCTGTGGCAGCGCTGGAGGTGGAGTTTGCGGCTGCGGCGATGGTGGTATTTTTTGCGCGGGCGAATACGGGGAGTGTGGAGGCGGAAGCGGAGAAGGCGGAGAAGAGGATGAGGAGGAGTGTTTTGGTGTACATTTTGACTGGGGGGCGTTGAGGTTATTTTGGTGAGAAGTGATGTGTATAGGAGGGAGAGGGATATTATATGTAAAGACCGGCTAGCGGTGGTATGTGTATATGAATATGTAAGAGAATGGAATAAGTTCACAGAACTATGTAAAGAATGTAAATGCTGCACAGGTTGGTTGATGAAGTTGATGAGGATGGGATGTATCTTCCTTTCAAATGGCATTATCGGTTTATTTATACTCGACTGTTACTTGCAGCTCGGGTCAGAAACCTGCGAGGACGATGATACAATGCCAATGCCTCGTCAGCCGCTCTGTGACATTGGCACCACTTCCCAAGTCTGGATGAGACGAGATCACGATACTGGATATCGTGGTTTAGCTGTAATTTGCTCAGAGAGCCGCGTTCATCCGGTCCATGAGACACCTTGGCACTTATCCGAGTGTGTTGGGACGAACGCATAATGTGGGGTCAGGTTTCAGGGGCTTCGTCAACGGCGCTAAGAATTGGCGACGAGACAGGAAATGTACCAACTTTCTAGGACCATGGTGTTTTGTGCTTTGTCTTAGTTACGAATCAACTTTAAAGCGATGAAGGCTCACAACATGCAGCATGTAGTCTGATTTACGCCGATTTTTATAAGCCGGACTTTCAAATTCCAAACCTGATGTAGATTACAGCTATGATTTAGCGAAACCAAACAGTAAAGAAATGCGATTGTGTTAGAGGTATGCGACAGAGGAGCTCTAGTATAGAGGATAATAGGCGTAGATTTAGGTGCAGTCCCGTTATATTGCTATTAGGCTGTAGTAGGAAGGTAAGAACTAAACTATAGAGTGGAGTATATGTGATGATCCAGATTATGCTTAGTAATCATGGAGAGAGGAGGGCCAGTTGGACCTGATTAGGCTTAGCGCTTATAAGGCTTGGCCCCTCGCAACGTATTCTGGACGGACTTTTGGTTATAGCAGTCGAAGGTGCTCAGATTCCTGGAAGTATAAAATCGAGACAAATAACCTTAAAACGATCTTATTAGACATGGACGACAAGTGAACTTTGAGTCCGAGTCCCAACGCTATGATTACTTCGTAACACTTGAAAGAGACTACAATAGAATGGTACTGCATACCATAACAACACCAAGAATCCAGTGAAAGAGCATATGTGGTTCTCCGGAATGATCCGTTGCTACCAGATTATGACGGAGTCAAACCACGTATTGTCTCCCTCTTTGTACCCTCGATCAAATTCAGAACGCCAGGTGCCACTGTTATATTCCAGGCTTAGGTCGATATGGAAGGTAACTCGTGTCTCTGATACTGCTGTCCATCTGTATCATGTAGTTGTCCATGTTGTACAGCAGTTATTTTTCCTGCAACAGCTCCCCGACCATTGTGCTGATATTCCCGTCTCGCTTGTCCCAATTTTCGCCATAGAAAGAATATAGCAGCTAGTGCAGCAAGGAGCATAGAGCCTAAGACGACACCAACTGAGGCGCCTACCGTAACATTCTTGTTCTTGGAAGAAGAAGCCCCGGCAGCAGAGCAGGAAGCCGCAGGAATGTGATTTGCGTTGATGAAGACGCAGGTTGCATTGCTGGAGATTGTGTCTGTGCAGATACGGATTGCGTCGCTGATGATGTTGAAGTAGCTTGCAAACTGAGCCTCATACTCAGCGGGAACGTTTCGCCATCACAGCAGGTAGGAGAACCAGCATTATTTTGATCTGGTGAACTGCAGCAAAAATTGTTGTTAAGGCAGGATGTCATAACAAAGTACTGGGTTCCTAATTTCTACACGTCAGCAATCCAGACCCTGATAATGCGAAACGAAGAGGCAATAACGGTGAAAGTGACAGTTTCATTAACCCACCATTGGTAAGACGCCGACAAGGGAAATTGTAAATTGGATCTTCGAAAGTCCGATCGGTACAGCCGCCTTGGTATAGAGTGGCCTGAGAGTTGATTGAATTCTATGCGAAACACAGCTCTTGTGTTGTACAGATATCGATATCATTGCCAACAGGATTTCCAAGAGCGCAGCATGTAGAATGTGTGGTTAAATTTCGCTGGCTTGCGGGAACGCAAGGCTCATGGTATGGCCCTATCGAACCGTCGAAGAAGTAGCATGATGCAGGACCGTCTGATAATACAAGTCGGGATATTAGAGACAGTAAAATGACTACCCAAGGTCGCGAAAGAGGATGCATTCTGGCACTTAGAACACTGTTGCTGATACAAAAGTTCAAAAGATGGGAAGCCTAAACGGTGAAAGTAAAAAGGAGCGGCTGTAGTTGTAAATTAAGCCATGCAGGAATTTGCCCCCAACGTAGGGCTCCGACCCCCAGGCAACTGAACAGGTGCAAAATCCCTTGCAAGGTTGCAGCTGCGCCATTCTACTGCAACAATCAAAGGTGTGGTGGCCGAGGCTAGCCATATTCGTCAAAAGTCCTTTCAATAAGATTGTATTTGCGGGGAAGCATTTCTGTGTCGTATTTCACAGCCCCCCAGCGCTAAAAAGCTAAATATCCATGCACCACTCAGCATGATCGGGTATTCAGACGTACCGAAAGACTCTGCGGACTATGGGGAATCAGAGCCTCAATCCATGTGTGTAACGGGCCGGTCCAGAGCTATTTCACGCTTCTAAACTTACTAAGTTCATATTGGTTGCAGCATGCTTCTAATACTAGTGCTTTAAGTATACCATTCCTCAGACATAATCATTCGAAATGAGAAATACTGCATTTAGCATCATGAAAGGTCCAAAGCTGTTAGTGGCCTTGGAAGCAGGCCCAGTCAAGAAGTCCAACACAGGCCAAAGCAGAGCAGAGTAAATTGAATGTTGCGAGTCTAATAGTAAGTCGCAACCCGGCACAGCCCGCCCAATGGAAGCAGCCATAACTATTGAAGGAGACCTGCCCTAGATGCGGGGGAAGACCACCCCGACTGGGAAGGCCCGATCCACAGGATGTCGAGATTGACAAAGCTGCTACTCCATAAGAACAGTAGTCTGGTTGAGGTTTGAGGTAAATAACACATAAGTCGGCATATGCTAGGTGCGAGTCAAAAGTTCGCAAATGTATCGATATCACGCATCACTAGCGCAAGCGCTTGGGAACTCTCTCACTGGTATCGGAGGTGAAGAGTGGCTCGCAAGAACATTGTGAGGTGCGAGAGAATAGCAGGTGCAGAAAATAAATCATGGCTATATGGACGTAAAAAGATGTGAGTTGAAGTAAGCTTCGAGTCGATGCTAGTAAATCGAGGATGTTTGTGCTTGTACTGTGGAATGGGGTTAGAAAGGTTGTATTCTAATGATTGGGAGTAGACTTACTGTAGGAAGTTTATAGTAAAAACGCCTGTATTTCGATATTTAGCATCGAAAATATACCTTGCATTTAGCCTTCTTCATTAGTCGTATTGGATGACATTGAAGTTATCAAGTGTTCGCTGGGTGTCGAGGATCCCCAGATGGCAGGGGTAATCGCTTAGCGGCACATGACCCATCCAACTATTTTGACGTAGGAAGGGGAATTTGCACTTTTGTCTCAAGCAGCAGTGTGTGCCTTATAACGCATGGTCTTGTCTATAATCAAATATGGGTCTGTAGATATGTCGAAACCTGGAATCTGACAGTATCACTGATGTAGAGTTGGCATCAAGTCATGACTGTGAAGCCCTCCCAACGAGAAGACCGGCGCTCGGCTTAATCGCCGAACCATAATCGCGTCTTGATTGTGCTGCATTTCAAAATGCCGCGGTACCTGAAAGTCGAGGTGTTCTACACAACGCAAAGAGGCTGCTTTGCGATCCATTTCTAGGTGATGATGTGACGTTCTTAGTGCCCCAAGTCCCACTACAAGGTCCTGGTGCTTTCTCTGTGACGGTTTCTTGATAGGCCATTGTGACGAAGAGAGTTAACGAGGTGAAGCAATTTCGTGAACACTTCAACGTACATGGCGCGGCACAAGAGGCGCGGTCTCGCAGATAAAGACATTGACTGATTTGACGCCAAATCCGCAATTAAGGTGACTTTGAGAGCAAGATTTTCAGGCATGGGCTCGCTGATGTTTGGAAGGACCCAAGTTGTCCCGGGCATTCCGTCGCGTTGATTTGATGAAGGATGCTTGTGAATGGATGCATCGAATGTGCTAGAGGGCAGATTTTGATACTTTCAAGATGTCACTTGATTGGCAACCAATCAATGTACTGTCTCGTATTGACGGGCCTACGCTCGTGGCCATGGTACTGTGGGTTACACCTCACCGCCGACACCGTCGACAATAGTTCCAATAGTCGTAGACAAGTATGCTCGAGCTGCTCGCAAGTGCAAGCTGAGGTAGACGTCTAGACCTATTGACGGCTGTCGACGAGCCTTCGCTCGAAGTCTTGTTCGCCATCGTGACCAGACGGCATGACTGCTAGCGTTTGCCAGACCTCAGATGGAACGTGCAGCAGAGGGCTTATCTGATGGCATTCGGGATCTGTCGCTTGCAGATCCGGACGGCACCACCCCCGCACAATCAAGGGGTGAAGCAGATCGATTTTTCGAGGTGTAAGGGTCTCGGAAACACACACTACCACCAGGCCGGGGCAAAACACCACACCCAAAGCTTATTTCAACGTGCCACGATTGATGTTATAATATGAGCGAGCGCTTGCTTTTGGAAGAATAGCAAGCAAGCACAGGACATGAAAATGACTGCAATTAAATCTTTTCAGATCCATCATCACCTCAAGTCCCACATCCTCCCAGTAACGTCGACGCAGCTTTGGTCTTCCTTCCAGAGTGCCTCTAATGTTCTCGTAGATCCATGAGATGCTACAGTACTGCGAACAGGAGATCGTGAGATGAGGCCACTCTGGAGAACGAACGGCAGTACGACCTCACAAATTACACCCGAAAAGCATACAAGTCATGCTCGACTAGAGCACTGCGTCCATCAAGAGCTACCTGGGTATTCAGCATCAAAGACTGCCGAATCTGAGGATTGCTCACTCCATCGGAGAAAGATCAAGTTATCCATGATGTGTTGCCACGTCGGAACGAACGTGGGGAGCGGACGGAGCCATCCATGCATGGATACCACAACGAAGCGAGGCATTCCGGACGCCGGTGCACGACAACGGAACCCTCAACAACAGGACCAGCTCGAATGAAGATATACTCAACAGCAGATGTATGTATATATATGCATTTCCTGCAATGTCCAATGAGGGTTTATGCATTAAACGCGGGTGCACAACATTGACCACAGATAATACACACAGCTACACCAGGCAATGAGAACTATTTACCGCATCCCATCTGAAAGGAACGACATGGCTTCTGTTGATGAGTTGAGATGAGATGAGATTAATTCCATTCCAGGTTGCAATTGCGATGTGAGGTTTTCAGGGATGCACTGGCGCGGTGGAGACATGCCCAAATAGGAAAGGCTCGCTTGTCGGTAAAAGCAAGAGGTGAACACCTCCATTTATCGACATTGATTCATCGGCCCATTTCATTCCTACGAGCTTCTTCAACCTCACAACGACAACTTGGACCGCATTCCGGCATTATCAGCTTCTCTCGTTTGGACCAGAAGCCCGGACAATCCAATATCGGCGCGATAATCCCCAGTCCGGATCCTCTAGTCGCCATATCGACGCTCGAGAACGAAGTCGCCCCCGCGATACCAACTTACGCAGTTCTAAACGCCCATTCTGAAGCACGATACGAACACGAACACACCCTTTACTCGGCCGCATGCGCAAACACAATGTCTGACGATACAGTGGTGGTTGCTGCGGCCCCTGGCCCAGCTCTTGAGGCGAATGGCTTGCATTCTCCTCCTGATAGCAACATGAAAGATGCCAGCGACAGTGAACTTTCAGATCTGGACGAGGAACAAGCAGAACAGCCAGCTCCCGCGAGCGATGATATAGGCGAAATTGAACCCTCTTATTACTCCGATGACGGTGTACCAGTGTTTACCCCGACCATGTACCAATTCAAGGACTTTACTCGATTCGTAAGTTGCATTTTCAATTTAGAAGTAGTCCTTGATAGGCAAATATGCTAAGTTGAACCAGATGAAAAAAATCACCAAATATGGAATGCGATCCGGTATTGTCAAAGTTATCCCTCCTCCCGAATGGAAAGCGGCCCAGCCCCGCCTCGACGAGGTTGTGAAGACAATGAGGATCAAGGAGCCAATCAAGCAGGATATCATGGGCACAAGTGGTACATACCGACAGGCGAATATTGTACATCAACGGTCATACACCCTTCCTCAATGGCGTCAATTGTGCGACCAGAGCGATCATCAGCCTCCAGCGAAGAGAGGAGAACGACGCGCAAACCAAGACAAGTACATGAAACCCGCCCCGAAGACCAGGAACACTACAGCCCCATCAAGTTCGGCATCGAAGGGACGGGGTCGAGGTCGCCCGCCAAAGGGCAAAGCTTCCCGCAACAGTACCGTGGAGAAGGAAGAAGAGGGACAGGCTACACCAGATCGACTTCCAACACCAGTGTCCCCATTGATGAAGCCCGAGGAAGATAATGAGACTGTCAAGCTTGATCAAGAGGATGCGGACGAATCTGCATCCAAGCCTAAATTCGGTTCGAGACAAGCAAAAGCCATTTCGGTTTCATCCCGCCGCAAGAACAATCGCAGAGAGGTTGCTGGTAAGATTGATGAAGCAGCATTCGTCGATTTCAATTACGAGTTGGACGAAGAATACCCACCAGAACGTTGCGAAGATCTCGAACGATCTTACTGGAAGACTCTTACCTACGCTCCACCGCTTTATGGTGCAGATATGCCTGGTACGCTCTTCACAGATGAGACAACTTCTTGGAATCTGGGCAAATTGGACAACCTTCTCGATGTCATGGGATCAAAGATTCCCGGTGTCAATACTGCTTATTTGTACCTGGGTATGTGGAAGGCAACTTTTGCCTGGCATCTTGAAGACGTTGATCTTTACAGCATCAACTATATCCACTTTGGTGCGCCCAAACAGTGGTACAGTATTGCCCAAGGAGATGCTAGGCGATTTGAGGCTGCAATGAAGACTATCTGGCCTACTGATGCTAAGGCTTGCGATCAATTCCTTCGTCACAAGACATTCTTGATCTCGCCAGCGCACCTTCTATCAAACTTCAACATCAAGGTCAACAAAATTGTTGCCCACCCCGGCGAGTTCGTCATCACCTTCCCGTATGGATATCACTCGGGGTACAATCTTGGATATAATTGTGCCGAAGCTGTCAATTTCGGTCTCGAGGAATGGCTTGAGTATGGTCGCGTTGCAAAGAAATGTGATTGTGACCAAGCTCAGGACAGTGTTTGGATCAACGTTCATGAGCTGGAACGTAAAATGAGAGGTGAAGAGACCGAGTACGAAGAGACAGATGAAGAGGACGAGGAAGAAGAGGATGACGGTTTTCCTACACCTCCTGGTAGTAATGGCGATTCGAAACCCAAGATTATCCAGAAGAAACGCAAACGCTCTGCCAATGATAAGAGTGGCAATGACAAAATCAAGAGAGTTCGCATTCGCATTAAGGCGCCATCGAAAGAGCCCTGTATACTTTGTCCCAACGACATACCATCGGAGGATCTTCTTCCTACAGAGGAGATTGGTAGCAAAGCTCACAGGATTTGCGCTATGTATATCCCAGAGACCAGTGTTGACGAAGACAACACGAAAGAATTCGTTACCGACGTCAAGTATATTGATAAGGCCCGGCTTGAGCTCAAATGCAATTACTGTCGTTCCAAGAAGGGTGCCTGCTTCCAATGTTCTCAGAAGAAGTGTACAAGAGCTTACCATGCTACGTGCGCTGCCGCCGCTGGTGTCTCGGTCCAACAAGGCGAAGTGCCCAGATTTGGAGAAGATGGGACGGAATACAAAGAATGGGGCATCGAGTTCAGTTGCCGTTTCCATCGCACTAAGCGCGATAAGAAGTTTGATGGAGACGCGCTGGAAAGCGATGAACGTCTTCGTGAGGGTGGTGCGAAGCTGAAGATCGGCGAAGTCTGTCAAGCTCAATACTACAGAGGTGATATTTTTGCTGGTGCGGTTGTGGAGAACCGTCGAAGCGAAGAGACAGTTCTTCTCGATATTCTACCCCGAGGGTGCGTTACCATATTTCCACAGAATCACTTTGTCCCTTTGTTTCTATATGACTAACGTTTTTGCAGTGACCGCCTTGAAGTTGAATATAAGTGGCTTCTTATCCCAGATCCTGCCGATTATCATCTTGATAAACCATCAGCAAACGCCATTCCGATGCCGAAGTCACGCAAGGACAAGCAATCGCTCAACACGAGTAAGCGTCAAGCAGATGATAATCCCAGACGAGACGATCCGTTTGTTGAAGGCTGTACCTGGGCTGAGTTCAAAATGGAGGAAATTGCTCGAAACGTCGCCCAGCGCAAGGTTGACCTCGCAAAGGAGGGCGGACTCTGGCACTATCTTGGCAGAAATTCGACGGAAGCAAGGGCTCAGTTCACAGAGGATCCTGCGAAACCTCGAAACAACCCCAAAGCCAACTTCTTGGACACACTTCCAAGAGCAGTGCCCCAAGCCCTGCCACGCCACTCCTACTCCGCTTCATATCCTACGAAAACTAGCCACCCCTCTCCGAATGTCCCAAGAGCACCAAGCAGACCTCTCCCTCCAAGCTCCATCAAATCAGACAAGCCATACGCATACAAGCCTCGCGACATTGGTGATACATATCGTGTTGATCAACAAGCATACCGTTCTCAGCAAAGCTTCCTGCAGCAATCTGCTCCTAGCGTTCCTTACAGCTTTGGCACTGATCCTCGATACCAAACAACTGACCCGAATCGTCCAAGTCAGTATTCTAGGCCTGCCTCTGGTAGCCCTCTAGCTCCACCGCCTGTTGGTCCACTTGCCCCGCCCACTCAATATCGACCTCCTTATCCTGCTCCTATACCACCTAGACCAAACAATCCTTTCACCAACAGAGCACCACAAAATTCGCGACCATCCAAACCCAATCCCTTTGCTAATTATACGTACTTGCAAAAGGAGCACAACAGATCGCCTCTGGAGTACAAGAGTCCTTACAGACCTGGTGGAGGCTTCATGAACGGCTATCAAGGGAATCTTGGACAGCACTTGCAACAAACACTCTTTCAGAAGCAATCAGGATCCACAGCCCAAAACTCGACCTTGTATACTAGTCCTCGAGCGCCGTATATTGCAGGCCAGCCATCTCCGACAGTCGGTTCTTACGCTCCGAGCAATGCAGCGCCACACGCAAACTATGGTGGCACAACGGCATCATCACAGAAGCAGCCTCCTGCCCCTGGAGGAATGCCGACGGTGGCCCCAAATAGTTGGGACAGGAGAGACAGTCCGCAACTTCACGCAGCCATCCGACAGGAATACACCCAAAGCCCGATGTTCCATCAACACTACCAACCCCAGCATCAGCCCACACAATATCAGGGCTCTGCTGTCCTACAACCCCCACCAATGTGGAATAGACAAGCCTACCAACCTGGTCAGATGCCTCAACCTAACCAAGGTCCGCCACAACAGAATCAAGGAAACAATCCGGCCTCATATTCTCAGGCTCAGCGTCAACAACAGCCGCAAGTGACGCAGGCACAGTCATATCATACCTCTCCGGGGCCACAGACTGCCAACGGGTCATGGCAATCTAGACAGTTCTCACAAGCTGCTCCATCACATCAACCTCCGCAATATCAATCATCGAATCCGGGCACACAGTCGTCTCCACTCAACAGCATGTACGCACCTTCTCAGCCTCAAGGCCAATATCGACCTTCAAGCTCCTACCAATCTGCACAGCCTTTAAGCTCCATTGCACAGAAGGCCATTCACTCACCAATAAATCATGGTCAATCTTCGCCAACTCTCCAAGACCAAGAGAACAAGGCAGTATATCCACACCAGCAATACTTCCAAAAGCAAGCGCAGGTCCCACAGCCATACGCTCGGGCTCCTCAGACATACGAACCAGCAGACGTACCGGTAGATTCCACGTCAATTATCGAGAAGATCATGCTAAATCTAAAGGGTGCAAAACCAGCTAATGCATGAATGGGACTTGGGAATTGTAATGGCGTTGGTTTAAGGGGGTTTTTAAGATTGGGTGATGAATTTTGACGGCTCTAATGACTTGGGATGCAGATGGGCGTTTTGATACAAGGAGGTATTTGTACTTCGTACGGGCTGAGAATCAGCATGTTGCCTTTCACTCATTTTATGCACTTTGGCGCTCAGGACTTTTGTTTTTCTTTCTTGGTTCTGCATTATTTGCGTCTATTCCTTATTTCTCCACCAGTCCACGGGACATTTTTGTGACCTCGAAGACAAGCTTCCAAGTCAGCTTGTAAATTGGGGATGACTTCTTTGTGAATATAGCGTCTTTGCTTGCTTCGGTTGGAGAGTAGAGCATCGATATGATGCTCTGGGATGGATTGGGGTTGGTTGGGTTGTATAACAGTCTTGAAACTGCCTGCCGCGCATAAGAATAAATGATATCGAATCGAATCGAATCCAGTCCCCTCCCCCGCACTGCGCTGCAAGTAGATGACTTACTCGTAGCCTGTATTCATGACCCTGTGCCATCCCGTGGGGTCTGCAATGTAATGCGGTGCCTTAATATCGGTTCAGTTATTCTGGAATATATACGTAGGTATGACTCATTGCCATCTCTCTTGCGACTTGTCTAGATCTCCCTATTAATATTGGGGTGGGGTTCCTGGGTGCTGCCGAACAGTGTTATAATTCGAGCCCGATGCATTTTTTATTTCTATATTGAGGGAGGGAGGAAGGGATTTATAGTGATGAGATAATCGAGTGATCTGCTGTATCTAAGTATTATTTATTCCTAGCTATGTACTTGACTAGGTAGGAAGGCAAAAGGGGAAGTGGTAAATCGATGAAGGATAGTTGTCAAGCAATGACTTACTGTCATTTCTTCTTCCACGGTCATGTTATCTGCTAGCTCTCTCCCTACGTCTCTATACGACATGGTCAGCATATATCCCAACAAAATAGTAGTAGAAGCTTTTATGATAGGCATAAGGACTTAGGTAAAAAAAAAAAAAGGCTGGTGACTTCAGGGACAGGAAGAAGCAAGGTTTTCGGACTTCGAACACAAATGAAAACACGTGGGCCAATTGTCTTGGGCATTCTTTAATTAACAGTACATTATCATAGTCTAAACCACTCATGATTTATAGCATCCTCCGCGGAAATACGGGCTTCGGGCTTGTACTCCAACAGCCACCGCAAAAGTTCTGCAAAGACTGTTTGCTCTGTCTGGGAAATATCCCGATGACGAACTCCATTGGGACGGCGATCTGACATATACCAGAGCCCGGGAGCAAGCTTATCCTTCAATGATCGAGCATCGATAGCAACAGATGGGTGAACAGTGCGCACCTTCTTCCCTTGGCCATCATTCCCTAGCTCAGATGCCAGAGCAGGAACAACAAACCCCTGCTCGTCGACTTCATCCTTGTACATTCTTCTCCGATCCTCCCAGGTTGTAGACCACCATGGCTCAGGAAGTTTGCCTAAGACTTGAACAAAGGCGTCTAAATATTCGTTATCTTCATCGTCGAATGGGCTAAACAGCTTTCTGCCAGTTCGGATCTCGAACAGACTACACCCCAATGCCCAAATGTCCGAACCAAAACCAGCCCTTTTGTCGAGAATCAACTCTGGAGAGCGATACGGCCCAGGAATCCCGAGATCGTCAGGAGGTTGTGAAACTTCGAACGACTCGCCGAAATCAATAAGACATGACTCTTTGCTTATAAATTGAGTATCCACATCGCACCAGTTCACTGGATAAACGAGATAGTCCGGGGCTGGGGACCCATGATGACGCTCTTGAGATGCATTTAGAACAGGATTGACAACCGGGCTGCCGAAAATCTTTAAGACTTCGATTTCACCGAGTCCGTCGAGCCCAGTGATGCGATGAAGGATATTGTTTGGTGTAATATCTAACCTTTCGTTAGAATTCACAGTTTTCTAACAGAGGAAGAAATGATTGGACCGGTTCTACTCACCGCCATGACATATTCCCTGCCTGTGAAGAAATTTGACAGCCTTCACAACTTGTAGACCAAGACTTCTTAAGTCATTGTCCGGGTCTGCAGAAGCACGATACAAGCCGAGAGACACATTTGGGCCAAGAACAGGATACACAAAGGAGATATGGTTCCCATTCGGCCCATTGATCTTGAAGTGGTCCAGTGGCAGGCAAACGAACACCGCGTCATTGTCTTCATTTGCAGATTGGCTGTGAGCATCTTTGAGCTGGTTCACCCGGAGCTCGGGACAATCATCACTGGATGTCTCGGCCATTAGAATCTTTAAAGCTATATATTTCGTCGCCCCTTTCGCTTCAGTATCCCGACAGAGCCCAACAGTAGCAAAGCCGCCGCTGCCAAGCTTATGGATGACACGGTACCGCCCATTATTGCCGTATACATCTCCTAAGTGAACAGGATGGTGGCCATCAGGCTCATAATCATAGATGTGCTCTAGACCGAAGGGGGCCAGCTCTAGATGTAGACCGTTGGTTTCGTCGTCAACTATCTCTTCGTCGGCGGTGAAATTTGACCCTGGCGAACATGGTACTGAGAGATCGGAAGCCATTCTGATAATCCACACTGGAGTGATGGAGCTCTGATGAATGATTGACTGAGCCTTGCGATTTCTCGCTGATATGTGCGGTTGCGAGGTGATGGGTGTTGGGAGTAGTTGGCGGAACGATACGGCGGGAGAAGCTTTCGAAGAAGGGCTGATGTCAAATGACTTGTGGGTGCAAAATTTATGATCCTGTACAGACGAATGTTTCTCATCTGATGATGGAGTATGAGAGTCATGGAATTTTCTTCTTCAGATAAAGCTGACAATTTTGGTTTGGGTGGCGCTTATTGACTGCCGCGGATTGGCGAGGGAGTGGGTGCTAGGCTAGAAATCTGCACTCTTTCGACTGGCGTCAAGTGGGACATTGCCTCTGGCCGAACCTCAAATAGGAATGTTTGTACCTGCTACACTCTATTCGGCCGCAGTCGGTTCCAGATTTTGATTCAAATCACTCATTCTCCAACCCGGCTACATCTAACACATGTACAATCCATCACGAACGGAAACGCTTGCTTGTCCAGGGTGATGAGCTATATATATAGTAGCTATCCGGGCCACTTAGTGTCACCTACACGGAACATGCTGTCGTAGGAGTGAGTTCATACCCGCTCCACATCCACATCATCCGCACCGCGCTCACTCAACACAACCCCGACCTCACTCTCCCTACTACTCCCCCCCTTCTCCCTCTCCATAACATCCAACTGCTTGCCCTCCTTCCTCAACCTCATCTCCGTAAACACGGGGTTCTCTTTCTTGTTATACGCCTCCTCGAAAATGGAATCCAGCGTTTCGAGCGGGTAGCCTTTGGTTTCGACAAAGGTGTAGTAGATGATGGGGATGAAGGCGAAGTTGAAACACATGAAGACGAAATAGGTCTTCCAGGATATCGAGTAGATCATTATGGGTGCGAGTTGGACTACTGCGTAATTACCCTGTTTTATGTGTTGTGTTAGCTTGAGGAGGTCGGGAGCGTGGAGAATTGGAAATGGAATGGGTGGGAGTGGGAGTAGGGGAAGGAGAGGGAGGTACGGACCAGCCAGTTGAAAGATGTAGAAACACCGTTTGCTTCGGCGCGGATCCGGATAGGTGTTACTTCGGCCGGGTACAACCATGTCGTGCCCAGCCAGCCGAGCGCGAAGAAGGCGATGAAGATGAAAATGAAAGCTGTTGCTGCGTAGCCGGGAGCTTTGTAGGTATCTGTTGTTTGGGAAAGGCATGCTCCCTATTGCCAGCCAAAGATTAGCTCAATGAATTTATCCATCCATTCATCCATTTTTCTCTAAGATTGAAGTAGAAACTGGTTAATAAAGGCACTTACGATAATCAAAGCACTGGTCCCCATGCCCATACTCCCCACAATCATCATCTTCCGCCTCCCGAACCGATCAACAATAAACAGCGCCACGATCGCAGCCGCCAGATATAGCGTTCCGTAGCAAGCGGTCAAAAGCCTCGACAACGCAGGGCTGAAGCCCAAACTCGTCTCAAACACAGTTGTGGCGTAATAAGTCACGAGGTTAGTTCCACCGATTTGTTGGAAAAGCTGACTAACGGATCCGACGGTTACACGCCAGCGGTTCATCTCGGGGCCATTGGAGTAGAACTCCTTGAGCGTGAGCGGCTTGCCATCAGTGATCTCCTTGACCTTCTTGATGTGTGCGATTTCGGCTTGGATCTCGGGGTCGGCGGCTGCGGCTTTCTTGAGCCGGCAGAGGATCTCAATGGCGACGTCGTCTTGGCCGTGCTTCAGGAGCCAGCGGGGGGATTCGGGTAGGGCCATGACGCCAAAGAAGAGGATGATGGCGAAGACGGCTTGGAAGGCTATGGGGAAACGCCATTGGAAGGAGCCGTATTGGGTGATGAAGAAGAAGCCGTAGTTTATCCAGTAGGATATCATGACTGTGGATAGATAGTTAGCACAAGGAAGTAGGCATGTATTGGTATGTAGGGAATGTCGACGTACTTCCACCGGCAATCAAAGCACCTTCGAAAAGCACGAGGAATCCTCGGATCTTGGGCGGTGCCATTTCCGATTGCCAAACGGGGATCGAGGAGGTGTTCATTCCATTACCCACGCCCGTCACAATGCGTCCCACAATCAACTGCCCGATTTCGAAACTCGAAGCTTGGATCGCCGTTCCAATGAGCATGACGATAACACCAAGCAACACTGCCCTCCGTCGCCCGAGCTGATCACCGTATCCGATAATGAAGATGGAGCCGAACAGGCATCCGATCTCGTAAATTGCAACGACGAGGGCTTGGATGGCTCCCATTTTGTTATCCGGGTCCATCTTTGGGAAATAGGTCAGGAAGTTGGTTTCGGTGATGATGCCGGACATGATGCCCTCTGGTGAACTCTTACTTAGTAACGGGGGTGGATAGAAAAGAGGCTTTCGTGAAAGAAGACTCACGATCATATCCAAAGAGAAGGAATCCACATGCTGCAGTTGCGCAGACTAGGCCTTCCAGAGCAGCGCCTTTGACTGAGTTCCCTAGGAAGCCAGTAGGGGCGAGAGATCGTTTCAGCATCTCCATGGTATAGTATTGAGTGCAAAATTAGAACAAAAATTGCAAGTGAGGAGTAGGAACTATCAATATGAAATTTTGGGGGAGGGGAGTCTGAATTATATGGGACATAAAGTCTCCAGTCCAGATCAGAACAACACAGACATTCCCCTCCAGAGCCTGCCCCTCCACTTCCTGACGTTCCTTCAGAATCCCACCATTGATAATCAATTGCCCTCAGCCAGAAGCGAGACAACTTTGCCTGTAGCCCCATATAAGATGGAGTCTCGACCCGTTCTATCTGTATACTAACACCAACGTCGCAAGGTATCTACACTTGTAATCGGGAGTTACTTGCGGTGTAGCCCAAGTCCATTTACGGTAGTTGGTACTGTAGTCGAGTAGCGCCGAAACTTGTGGGCGCCTCCCACATCCATATCCACAACGATAACGACGATATGGAGAACATGAGGTCATTCGTACCCATATATTTGACAACTTTTTTGTAGACACTTCGTTTTTTCTTCTGACATCATTTATGTGCACTTGCATATCATATGATAATGAAGCTCGTGCAAGCATGGTTCAAGTACAGGTACAAGTACAGTACAGTGCGGCAGTTCAAAAAAGAGAAAGCGCGTTGCCACTCATGTTCAGTATGAGAAAGAAGACGAGCAAATGAAAGTGAGGCTGCATTTAACCGAATTGCGGTAATAATGAAAACAAGGGTGTCTTGTTTAATTCTATTTCGGCTGTCGTTGAAATAATCAATGGCTTTTCTCCGGCAAAGATCTCGATCGTCGGATCGTTGATCCTGCATGCAATTAATGCATGGGATTCTTTCTCGGCTACGAATTACCGTACGAGGCAAGTGCGCTAGTAGTTTACTCTGTAGCGTGAAACTTATCCATCTTAGATAAACTAGCGAGTTCTTATATATAACGTAGTAAAGACCAAAGGAAGATTCCAATGATCGCTTGATATATCTAGGAGGGAAGGGAATAGGACGGGGAAGCTCTCCTCATATAGTACAACCCCATGCCGAGCTAGTCTATAAGGGGCTAGATACCTGTGAATAGCATCAATTATTTGAATGAACACATGACGAGCAGTTACACGTGACAGATGAATAGAGTGCTGTTACGTGAGAAAACTATTTTATTCTACTTAAATTCAAGAATAGTTCATTGCCGGCAGAATCTTATACGGAGTATATAATAGAAGAATTCTATCCAGCTAGCCGAAGGAAGTTTCACAGGGTAGCAACATCACGTTTGTGAGTCACGGGGATCCACTTCGAGGATGATATAGGAGCATGCTAAATGTTTTCTTCGTTATTATTCTGCCAATTAATAGCGGAGCATGTATAACGTGTACACACACGGAGAAATTCAAACATAAGATAGCACGGCCTTTCCTTCCCTCTGAGATGTTCTGTTATCCATTAATAATACCGCCTACTCAGTCTCATATTTTGCAAAAACCTCTTCATTGACCTGCTCAAATTCCCGCATAATAGTCTCCCGGCGCTCCTCCGACCTTGGCTCAATAGCACACTCAAACGGCTTAGCACAGCACAAAAGGCCCTCCAAATAAGCCGTCCGCAAATCCGTATCAATAGGCTCCGCGCCCTCTTTCGCCTTGATCGAAAACGCCCACAGCAGCTTTGCCATCGCCAGCCAGAGATTGCGCTCTGCTAGGTGGATGCCCGGACATATGCGGCGACCGGAGCCGTAGCCATAGTGGTCGCGGTTCTCGTAGTCGGCGGACGAGGCGTATTCAGGGGCGAGGAGGGTACGGGTTGCGAAGCGAGATGGGTTGAAGGTGTCGGGGTCGGGAACGAGAACGGGGTCGTGGTGTAGGCCCCAGACGTTGAGGATGATAGTGGAGTTTTTGGGGATGGACATTCCGTTGACCATATCGTCTGGAGCTTTTTGTTAGTATGAGATCGTGAGTGTGTTGGTAGATAAGGAAGAAGTGTTTGGTACGTACCTTCGCTGGAGGCGTGGGGAAAGCCTAGAGGGACGACTGGACGCCAGCGCATGGTCTCTTTCACAATCATGGCTATGTATGGTAACCTGGCGTAATCGGACCAGAGAGGTGAGCGGCTCTGTCCGACAATTTGGTCTATCTCTGCCTGTGCTTTCTTTTGCACGTTCGGGTATTTGATCATGGCGTGGATGAAGGCGATGATGACGGATGACGAGGTATCGGAACCACCTTCCAGTAACACACCACAGATGAAATTGATTTCATCGCGCGTGAGGTTTAGTTTGTCCTGCTTGTCGAATATGCAATCGAGGAACGAGCCGGCGCTGCCTGATGCCAGGCGTCGCTTCATAACTTGGCTAACCATCTTGCCGTATAGTGTATCCATCTTTTTGCCAACGTCGCGAGCTCTGGTCCTCCAGTCACCGAATAGGCTTTCTGGCAGGTATTTCAGGATTGGAAAGATATCCACGGGGGGCGTAGACCCTGGCTCCATGATTTCGGAAAAGCCTTCCATCAGCTCGAATAGCTTTACAAGATGAGGGGTATCAACTGTCGCACTTCGAATCCCATACACTGCACAGCTATCCAATCAGTGGATCGCATTCTATGGTTAGGGATGGAATCATACTCAAGCCCAGACTTACCTAAGGTCATGGTGATGCTGTTGCTGAAACGCTTAGGATGCTTCATTACTTCACCAGGAGCAAGACAGAAATCGCACAGCATCTGGACCGCCTCCGCGTTTTGCAATACAATATGTTCCTTCTCACAACGCGACTCGTGGAATTGTTGATGAATCAACTTGCGAAACTTCCGCCATTTCTCGCCATAATCCATGGCGAGTAAATGATCGCGGTGTGTCATAAGATCTGAGACATAGGAGACAGGTCTGCCGCTGTAAATTGAGCTCTTTTTATCCAGCATGGCCTTGACCAAGCTCTTGTCTGTGATTACTACTACCGTCGAGGAGCCCAGCTTGAGGGAGAAGATGCCGCCATATTGTTGGGCCCATGCTGTGAACCTTTCACAGGGTCAGCCAGAATGCTCTTGCTATGAGGTGGAAGAGATGCAAGGATCCATACTGTAAAGGGGCACCGCTCTTGGGAATTTGGTGAAGGTTGCCAATCAAGGGTAGAGTTGGAGGCCCTTATCAAGTATTTGATTAGCAGCTCCCATGAAGCCTCGATAACTGAATTGAAAGCCGCACCAGGTGGAAAGTTCTTCCCTCGCCGCCCAGAGAAAAGCAAAATATACAGAGTCCCAAGAACAGCTACTGAAAGCCCCACAGCCCAGGAAAACATAATGCTCTGACTTGGTGTGATACTCCACATTAGCTGTGACGGTATAGACAGGTTGGGGTTGTGGAACGAGGCTTGGGGGGGGGGGGGGGGAATGGGGCATGAAATATATATATTTAGCCTGAAAGATGATCATTTCCTACTCGATACTACCAGGTACTACTCTAGTCAATGAACCCCGCATTGCACGGTGAATATTGTACGGTTAGTCGTGATTCGCGACTCCTGAAGCAAGGATAAGTTTGATGGTAGGTATGAATGGATAAATGGCAATTATATCTACAATAACTTCACTGACTCAAACGCTTTGGAATACCTCTATGTGAAAGCGGCCCCTCGGTCGAAAAGCTTGGACGAATCATGGGGAGGCTCTCATGTTACACAGAACCACAGACACTCGGCCGAAACGCCAGATTTATTACAAGCATCACTCTATGTTATTTCTTCGTCTTCCATCTTTCCCTACCAACTACCGTCCATCTTAGAAACGAAAGATGTAGGGCGACGCTCAAGATGCATCCGACAAGCATTATCCGTCCGAGATTATTTGCAACAAGTGGCTGCCTCTTCCACTGCTCTCCACCTCGGGAATACCTGGTAACTGGTTTATGCCGCCATTGATTAAGCGCTTACTATGAGCAAGTCATCATTTGGACCATTTTTCTTTTTCCATTACGTGAGTCGGCCGATATTCTTAAGATGTTCTTGCAATCGGCAAGAAATTTTTCGTTAATGTATGTTTCCTGATACTTGCAATTAACTTGTCCTATTAGGTTTTCTGGGCTTCTTTTGTCTCTGTTTCTGACTTGGTTCTGGGAATACAATGTCGTCTTCATCGTTGTAATCTGGCGTTGTAAAAGCTGTCTTTACTCCTCATGATTCTGAGCACGACTCCAGCTTAGGTGGAGTAGGCACCGCCTTTTGCGGAATCCCCAATCGAATTTCATACCTCTTAGAATTGATGGGGCCTAGTAGTGCCATTGATGCAGCCTGCGCTTCTTCTCTAGTTGCAGTTCATCATGGACGACAAGCCTTGTCGGCTAAAGAAACTGATCTCGTAATTGCTGGAGGTGTTAATGCTTTGATTGGACCTGGGCTTACGCGAGTTCTTGACGATGCGGGCGCCTTATCTGCAGATGGAAGCTGCCGTTCTTTTGTCTTTTTGCTTTGGGGAAGTGGAAGGACGTGCTCGCGGTTCTGCATATGGGAAAGGGGGGCTTTTTGTTTAGCGAGATCACGTTTCTTTTATCTTCCTGCTTGCAAATCTCTACTTCTAGAATAGAACAATAGTCTTTATTTTTAGGAGCATAGAATGACTATTATTCAAGAGTATATGATACTTCCTTCTCTTTGCTAGCTGTGCCTGTTCCAGAACATCACGTGATGCATTAAGTGTAATGAGCTCTGCATCGCTGGGGCAAAACCTTGGTATGATGCTGTGGGGGCTCTTTCCTCGAGCTGAAGGGAGCCTTTCTACCTTCTTCCAAAGTTTGCCCTCTGGAGTGGAGAGCTTAACGCTGAACCAGCTAGAAAGATCGGATGAGATGCCTATAATTGCCTAGGAAAGCAAGCAATATAGGGCTGAACAGGTACTAGCAAGCCCTCAACGAGAAGCATTCAAAAATTGTAATTTGCGCACATGCCACATAAGAGCATACATATCTCGTTAATAATACATCTACACGCTCGCAGACAGATCGGAAATCCCTCCCATAAAATGCTACTTGACTTAATTAGCCTGATAACTCCTTTCATTGTCGCTTTCTTTCGCTGACTTTATTAGCCACCGGCTGCAGGCTGCACTGTCCCGTTTTCCAACAACAGTCCATCCAGCCTAAGCAATCCCAAACTCATTAATCCATTCCCAGTACTCCCGCTCCCGAGCCGCATAGCCCATCGCCAGCGTGCTACCAAGTCGTTGATCTCGTTTGTTTCGGCTTGGTCATTGGATGTCACGAGGAGTTGCATTAGGAAAGATGAGGCGATTGCGAAATTTGCGCGCGACCCTGTTAGTTGTTAGAAGCTGTGCCAGTAGGTATGAGATGAGTTTCATTTGCTTACAAGAATGCCAAAATGCATCTAAAGCCCCTCTTCCCAAGTTTTCTACAAATTCTACTACCTCCTTGGCGCACTCTTTCGCCCCTGCTCGTACAGCTAATTGGCTTCCTACAATACGACGGTCTTCCTCTTCCACATTGGTCAGGTTTTCAAGTGGTCGGAGTAGAGCCCGGAAGAGAGTCATCGTGGCTACGATATAGGCCAGTGAGAGTGAGGGGTTTCCACTGAGACGAGCCATGCCTCTTGAGTCCACTCGCTCTGGTTGTCGAAGAGCTAGGGCGGGAGGCAACGAATCATTCCAAGCCTTCAATTGAGACCGGAGTGGGCGGGCGAGGTCCAGTGAAAGAGTAAAATCCTTTGAAGTCCGTTGTGTAGCCCGGAGAGTGTAGTATGAGTCCATGATGTCGCTTAATATTAAAGTTAGTTCAGATAGTAGGCGGAAGTGGTTGTATTCTGCTTCTGGTTCGAGGAAGCTGGATGCATTGTTTGAGTTTGGGTCTAATGATGGCGGCTCAAGGTCTGCGTCGGAGAGGTGGAGGACGTCGTAGTCCTCTGTTCGTATGTGACTAGGCATCCCGGCTCCAAGCGACGCCCATTTGTCCATGATGAAGACACCATACCATAGCCGTTTTCGGAGAGTGCTTTCCCAGGCTGGTAGACTAGACCAATCACTACACTCTCGAGTGAGGCCAAGAGTCTGAGCTAGACTGACAGTCCATCCCACGAGACTGGTTTTCCAAGGGGTGTCGGTCGTGTAGCGATTGGTAGGAGCTCGTTGGAGTAACAAAAGACATGCCTGTAGAGTTGCAAGCCGTGGGGTATGTAGTTCTTGAGTAACCGCAGTCCAAGAGTATCGAAACAGCTGGTGAGAAGGGGGTGGTGCATGAACAATAGTCGTAGCCAGAAGATCATCATATAACATAAATGGCAAGGCCGTAGCATAAATGGCGGACAATAAGGAGATCGGTAATATATGTAAGACTGCAGGGGATAAAGACCCGTTGGGGTAAAGCTCGCTTTTACAAAGAATGGGAAAATATGGATATACAAATCGAAAAAAGAGGCCGATTAATCTTAAGGCTTCCTGTTCAGTGAACATGCCTGTGATATCTGCCCGCGCTTTTGCAAGAACTTCATCCTCGACTCGAGGCTCTCCTTTCTGCGCTAGGCTGTCGTTCGCCAGCATGAACACCACTGGGGGTTCGCCCTTCTCGCCTGGTAATATGTTTTGGTTTGATGTACTCTTTATCCGTCGGTATGTCAACTTCGATATGGTACATTCATCGCTCTCGTTGTAGGGATAGTGCCGTAGCAGGTACGGATTTGACTCTCCCGTTTCCCCAATTAGCCTTGCGAACCCCATTGAGGAGTCCAGCGGCCGTATCCTCACACCGTCCGACATCATTTGCAAGTACGGGTCCATATTGTATATAGGAGAGTCATCTTGGGTCGAGGCTAGCGGGTGCAGGTTGGTAGGAGAGCCGTTGGCATCGAGACTGTCGCTGCTATTCAGGCCGTTGAAGGAGTTCTCATGGTTGTATTGGGCCATGAACCCCGGGCTCAATTGGGCCGTGGCAACATCAAAGTGCTGGATAGGAGCTGCTTGAAAAGAGCAACGAGGCGTTAGTAAGACGATCTATAAAAATGAGAAGCTTCTTGGGCCCGTTCCTAACCCCGCCCCGTTCCATCGCATCATTTCTTCTCCTTTCTTGGGAACCCTTCCTCTCTTCTCCTCTTCTGCTTCCGCTTCCGCTTCTGCATGAACAATGAACATGGGACGCACCTGAACTTCCAGATCCACTCGGCTCGCCATTGGAGGCATTCGGTCTCCTCTTCTTCTTTGGCCGCTCGACAAAAGTACATTGGCGGCCATGAGAGGCACATAAAGAACACGGCGGGGTGATATCGATCTTGCAGGCGACCTGGCGAGCGCGACAGAAGTCACACGGGCGATATTTACGGGACTTGTAGGATCGTGGGCCGGGCTGGATCGCCGTCGGCGTGGTCAGCTCCAAGCCATTGAAAAATTCGGTGGGTGAGAGCGAGGGTTGCGCGAAGTTGTGAGAGTGGGAATGGGGTTGGGAGTTGGATTGCGATTGCGATTGCGATTGCGATTGCGATTGGGAATGAATTGGATCCATCTGGGAGGGAGCGGAATCTCGGACACGAACACGGACGATACGACGGTATAGTCCAGTCCATCCAGTCCAGTCAGTAGTCTCGTCAGTCCAGTGCAGTATGGTGAAGGTGATCGGATAGCTCTCTAGAGGTTGAAAAAGCAATCATGTGCATGCCTTATCGTTATCGTCGCATCGGGGTGCAGGGCAGGATAGAGACCGGTTCCACTTTCACTCTCGTTTGCGCTTTCACTCCTCCTTTCTCTCCAGACTTTCTCTTCACGTAAGACAGGAGGACAATGCGACGATTCCGGGCTGGCTGGCTGGCTGGCGGCGGGCGGGCGGGCGTGGATCCTACTAATGCTTAAGATCTCGCGGTGATCCATTAATATTGTCGTAATATTATTCGGAACGTTCAAGTCGCAGACACCTTGTCCATCACATTACGCCAAATGCGGGGCGCTGCCGTTGAAACATCACATCACGGACGCTGTTCTGGAAAAAGCCATCTTTATGTCCACCGGCCAAAAGGTTGCCCGTGTTATCTATGTTGCTACCAGTAAAATCCGAATACATGTACCATCTACTATAGCAGTAAGTCTGCCCCAGTCTGGCCCCAGCAAACACACGAGAGGGATTTATACAATTAATTATATAGCACTTCTTAAAGTGGCGTCTGATTCCTTCTACTTATCTCTTTGTGATCGAGTCAGTCAGCTGGTCTTTGTTTTTCCAATTGGTTGAATATTAATTGTTTGCGTTTCTGGATTTTGACCCCTTACCCCTATTCGCTTCAACTTCCTCAAATCATCATGTCCGAACAACTCACACTCCCATCGGTTACGGGATCTTCTACCAAAGTCATCAATATTCTTCTCATAAACCCCAATGGCACATCCTCCATGACAGAGGCATGCTTACGGTCACTCGAAAGCACTCTATCACCTCACTGCACCGTCACCGGCTTCACATCTCCGCATCCCACTCCGTCGGCCATAGAAGGCCATCTGGATGGAGTTCTATCAGCAGCTGCAGCTATACGTGGCGTAGTACCCATTGCCTCCAGCTATGATGCATTCCTGGTTGCATGCTTCAGTGCCCATCCTCTCATCAACGCACTTCGGGAAGAGCTTTCGGGTCCCGTGATTGGGATCATGGAAGCTTCCCTCTACGCAGCTCGGATGCTTGGTGGGCGACTGGGTGTTGTTGCAACTGGTGGGAGGAGCAGGATCATGCATGAAGACGCTATCAGGTATTACGGTTTTGAGGGCTTCTCTGTTGGGTGTGAGGCGACGAACTTGGGAGTTCTGGAGTTGGAGAGCTTGCCCAGGGATAAAGTCTTGGGATTACTTGGAGAAGCTGCAAAAAGACTTGTGTATGAAAAAGGAGCGGATTGCATTGCTCTAGGCTGTGCAGGAATGACTGATATGAAGATTAAGTGTGAGGAGGCTGTTGGTGCGAAAGATGCAACAGCGCAAGTTATCGACGGGGTTGGAGTTGGGGTGCAACTCTTGATAGGATTGGTAAGGGAGGGACATGTTACTGCGAAAGGAGGTATTTACAGGAGTGCTCAAGAAGGGAGAAAAGCGAGAGGTCAAGACTGGCTGTAAACAAAATTCTAATAATTTAATCTCGAAGTGTTGAGTCTCATGTTTCCTTGTTCTGGCGCATTTACTCAATTTCATATTTAACTCTTCCCATTTAGCTCTTTCACGATTCAAAACATAAAGGCATAGTTCAATGTCAGTTCTAAATTGGTCTACGAAATATTTACAAGAAGTCTTCTTTTCTTTGTCCCTATTCAAGCAAATCAGGCTCCACAACACCAGTCTGCTGCGTGATCGGTCCATACTGATCAATCCTCCTATGTCTATCAAAATCAAAAGTCTTCTCCTTCCCCTGTCTGCAATCCTCCAAATCCAGCTCTGCAAAAACAATCTCGTCACCCTTCCCCTTCGCCTCCGCCAACACATGTCCCTCTGGCGAAGTAATACAACTGCCGCCAATCAAATCATACTTGCCGTCCTCCAGCCCAGCTTTCGCCGCACTGACCGAGAAGCAAGAATTCATATACGAATTACCTTGCATGACCAGCTTATGATGGAATACCGCATCTTTCTCCGCCTCCTCCGGCGTCATCACCTTCCTCGTCCCCCACAGATCCGGCGCGAAGCCCGCAGTGTTATACCCGCACAACACAACTTCCACGCCCTGCATACCATAGATCCTCCATCCCTCAACCCACCGCCGATCATTACAGATCATCATGCCCATCACTGGATCGCCCTTCCCTAGCGCTGCCTCTACCCCATTACCCTTCTTCACAGCCCCCTCAACCAAATCCGGGGCTCGGAATGCTTGGAACCCCAAATTACCAGGCTCGAAATACCGCTTCTCAAGCTGGTTCACAGCGTCGGGATTCTCAAACGGTTCTTTCGTCCCCGGCAAATGCACTTTCCTATACTTCGCAATCACCTCGCCCTTCTTCGCCGAAAAATACACACTCGTATTATACCCCTTCCCATCTTCGGCGCGCTCAGCAAAACCCACCGAGATATCGATGCCCAGTTTCTTCGCCTCGTCGAAAAGGGGCTTGGTGTTTTCAGCATCAGGCAGATTGTCGCTGTGTTCGAAATAGGTGTCTAGTTCTTGCGAGGGGATTAAGTGCCGCGGGAAGAAGGTCGTGAATGCTGTTTCGGGGAAGAGGACGAGCTGGGCGCCGAGGGAAGAGGCAGATTGCAGAAGGGTGATCATTCGGGAGAGGGTCTCTGGGCGTTTGGATGTGAGATGGACAGGACCCATTTGGGCCGCTGCGATCTTCAAGGTTCGTGGTGCCATTGTGGATTGAGGTACTGTGAGAGGTGGACTTGAAGTTGGGAATAGAATAATAGAATTAGAAAAGTAAATTTGAAAAAAGCACCGCAAAGGAAAGCAAGCAGCTTTCAAATAATTTTCTACATCTCCAAAGCTTCAAGTCCAAGCTCCTATTTCATCCCACCTTCAAGCTTCTCCCCGTCCGGCCCGTCGCAGCACCCTTCGGGCTTGTATCGGCATGCTCATGTATCTCCTTCGCATCATCTTCCGTCTCATCGCGGGGAACTATTAAACAATATCTTTTCAATCCACTCTTACATGCTTGCCCTTGCCTTTGCCCTTCATTAGGTACTATCACCCCTCTTCTAGCTTCACCTTCGCGGACCCCTATCTTATCGCCCTGCATATTTCCTAGCCCCTTTCCACTTTCCACCTCCACCTTTCCATCTACCCGCCACACGCCCCTGCTTGCCCGTCGGCCAACAGCCTATCAGCACCAAAACCAGAACAAGACAAGTACGAGTGGGAAATCTAGAACACCCTAACAAAAAGAAACATTGGGGGTGGGATGGTTGGGTTACGCAAAGAAGACGAAGTGGAGCCAGTGGGACGATGGCATTTTAAGTCACGGTAGGGATTGATTTCAGGAATGGGGTGGTTTTGGACGGGTTGTTAAGGAGCTGGAGCAGTTGCGATGTTAGGTGGGAAGAAGGAAAACAGAAAAAAACAGGACGACCGACAAAATGTTCGATTTGGTGATTGAGAATGGGATCATTGTACGTTACTTTCCCTCTTCATCAGTTTGCTTACTTCAGATCATTATTCTGCATACTCCGTACCTTCTTCCCTATTCCAAATACATGTTATGTTCATCTCCCCCAAACCCCTGCCCTGCGTCAAGGCCGCATAAAAAAAAAGGTATTCGCTTGCGTAAAGGGGCGGCCACGAAGTCGGTCCAACGCCTTTTTCTTGGTTGTTTTCGAAGATTGGAAGGGGGTATATATTTTGAAATAAAGATATTGCTGGTACATACGACCACAGACTGAGGAGAACTGGGCATCCCGTCCGCTCTGCCATACATAAGCCTCAGATCGGCAGATTAGTAGTTGGGTGGGTGACCACCAGCGAATACCTGCTGTTGTATGTTTTTAGTTTTTTTTTTTTTGCCATTTCTTTTGGCTCCTTGGTTTTTATAGATGGCTAGCACTTTGGAAGTATGCATGAGGAAGGAGTTGGCTTTGATCCAAACCGAGAAATGAGCTTGATTTTTCTTTCGTAGTGCATTCCAAGTGGGAGAAGACTGGCAGTTAGTCGGGACAGGCTGGAATGGCCAGCTATTTTGATCTTTAGAATTATGAACATATGGTTGATTTTATATGCAATTGCTAAAACGTCTCTAGGTCACAGCAAGCGAAGTCCTTCCCCTAGGGATAGAAATTGGCATCAAAGATGGCAAAATTTCCTGTCTTGGCACTTCTCTTCCACGAGATGCAGACACCCAAGTCATTGATGCAAAGGGAGGATTCATCACCCCCGGAGGCGTAGACTCTCATGTCCACTTTGCCCAAAACAACAGTCCAACTGGGGACAACTTCACCACCGGCAGCCGCAGTGCTATCGCTGGTGGAACAACCACCGTCCTGGCTTTTGCCTCTCAGCTCAAGACGGAAACCAGCGTAATCCCTTGCTTGGACAACTATCTCCTCCGCGCCAAAGACCAAACTTACTGCGATTATGGCATCCATCTCATCCTCACGAACCCCACGCCTGAAATCATGAGCACTGAGATGCCCCTCCTCATCAAGCGAGGCATCACGAGTGTCAAATTATACATGACTTACGAGCCCATGAAACTCGGCGACTCGCAACTCCTCGATGTCCTCATGTCCGCCCGTGCTCTTGGTTTCACAACCATGATACACGCAGAGAACAGCGACATCATCTCCCTCATCACCGACCGTCTCGAAGCAGCCGGCCACACCGACCCCTTCTTCCACGCCATCTCGCGGCCGCAAATCGCCGAGAACGAAGCTACGTACCGCATCATCAGTCTCGCAGAGCTCACCGACACCCCGATTCTAATCGTGCACATGAGCTCCGAGGTCGCCATGAAGCATGTGCGGAAAGCGCAGACGCGGATGCTGCCTATCCATGCAGAGACCTGCCCGCAGTATCTCTTCCTCCTCTCCGAGCGCCTGAAGGGCAACCCCCAAGATACCTTCGCCGGCGCCAAATGTGTGTGCAGCCCGCCGCTGCGACACGATCCGAAAGATCTCGAGGCCATGTGGCGCGGAATCGCGAATGGGACGTTCACTACATTCAGCTCTGACCATGCGCCGTCCACGTACGACCATGCCGGGGGAAAGAAGCTGGGCTTGAAAGATGGCATTATGAGGTATAGGGATATCCCCAACGGAGTCCCGGGAGTCGAAACCAGACTCCCTCTCCTATTCAGTTACGCGGGCCGGGAAAAGGACTCCAGATTGAGTCTGCAGCGTTTCGTGCAGTTGACTTCCTCGGATCCCGCCAAGCTGTACGGCTTGGAAGGCACCAAGGGCAATATCGCACCGGGCTATGATGCAGATTTGGTTATCTGGTATGGCGAGGGAGATTTCAAGGAGGGAGTGACGATTGAGCAGAAGAATCTGCATCATGGGGTGGACTATACGCCGTACGAGGGTATGCACGTCAAGAACTGGCCACGGTTTACGCTGTTGAGGGGCAAGAAGGTGTGGGATCGTGATGGAGGTGGCATCGTTGGTGAAGTTACAGATGGACAGTTCCTCAAGCGGGGAATGGGCAAGATTGTGGTTGGGAAGCAGGGAGGGGAGGTCAATGGTATGCTGCCTGGAGAAAGGGATTATTGGTATTAGTATGATGTTTCGCACATGCAATTATTATCATATCGACAATAGATGATGTCTTGGATCGGGTAGGTATAGGTATATATAATATATCGAAAAAAACGTGACCTCTAGCCTCTTTGGTATTTAGGACTTGGGCCGCGGTGACCGGTCATACCCAGTACTACTCGAGAGAGGAAAATGAATTCGCGGAAGATGTCGAAATATTGGAAGTCAGCTACGACTTGGCACGCTTAAATCCGTTTGGCCCGGTCATGTCTAACTCAATGACTGTACGTGGACTATTAATCCCCGTTTGACCCACAAGGAAGCTCGATGACGGCAAGGCGGGATTCGTGTTACGTTTTTGTGCCAACGACTCCAGCTTCCAAGAACCTAGTATCCGTCTCGAGAATCTGATGGGGGACATTTTATATCGGTCCCACCCTACTCCAACCACATCTTATAGACATTACGAAGTGATAGCATATCAGCCACTGTTCTTTTGCCGGTATTAAGATCTATAATATCAATTGGAATACAAGGCATTGTTCTTAAAGCAGTCGAAGGTAAGACAAACACGTTCTCGAGGGTAAGTATCATGAAGAGGAGCTATTCACTAGACCAATCATTTAAAAATGTGTTCTGGGGCTTGTATTGTGAAATAGCAGAACGACGGATCTTTGACATCGTATAGCGTTATGTATAACATTTGAGAATGTAAATGGCTTACACTTAAGGAGGCTCGGGGATGGCGATGTTTCGAGACCTATATATGCGGTGCTTTCTATAAACCTAGTGTTTATGTCTATAATAGTCACATCAAGTAGAGGGACGAGTGAAGTAAAAGGGACTTTTTGGTATAACAGACATAGCTTTTGTACTAGCGCTTCTCAATTAAGCTAATAAATGCGCTAGTAAGCATTCTTAGCAAGCCTCTATACAAGTGAGAGCGCGCTAGTTAAGAGCTAAGTCTTGAAAAGAGAAAAGAGAGTTCAAACTCGGCTTCTATTCGGACTTAGCCGATCTTGCCTATATAACCTAAAGGCTTCAGGCATAGAGAGATCTTAATATAGGTAGGATAGGTAGTCACATAACACTACCGTCGATGACTAGGCGATGCAAAGGCATAGGTAACCTCTTCGCCTTATTATCTACACGTAGCTAAGACAACACGAATGCAATATACAGAATCAGGTCTTAGCTACTAGCTAGCAAGAAGTGATCACTATTGCTTGATACGATACCTGTGGTACTAATAGTGTAGGTAGGTATTTTAACGATTATTTTATTAGCTTATAGAATATGTGCATTTTATAGTGTATAGGTGTTTTTAATTTACACTTTTATTCATTTTATAGTCATAGGATAGAATCCTTATCTATGCCCAAGCTATATACCAGCTTAGCCTAGCTTAACGCCTTAAACCCAAAAACAATTCTCAATCATTTAGCAGGTGCTACAGCCACTGCATCATCATCGCTCTTCTCATTCGACATCTCGCTACCGCTCGCTGTCGACATCTCTGCTTTGGGCATCTTGACACCCCCAGGCCCATCCTTGAAATACCGATGCATATCCTCATTATACTCATCCTCAAACGCATCATCATCATCAGCAAGCACACCCTCACCTCCACCAACGCCCTTTTCAGTGTTCGCCTTCTCGGCCCTCACCTGTTGCTTGCTCGCCCAATCAGCACGCATATCAGCCATCTTACTCTCGTAATCCATCGCCGGATTATAATGCTTGCCGACGCCGCGTATGCGCTCCCACCAGGACAGATGGTGCGGGTTGATGGCGATGCCGTGGTATTCCGTCTCGCGGCCCTCTTGGATGTACTTGAAGCGGCGCTCTTGCTCTTTGAGATCTAGGCCCGTGGTATCTGGGAGGAAGACGGCCGTGATGATCATGCCGGCGAGACCGAACCAAGGCACGACCATGAATTTCGTTTTATCTTCGATATAGCTGTACAGCACGGCAGCGGTCAGCGCGCCGAGTTTTCCGCATGCGGCGGAGAAGCCGTGCGCGGAGGCGCGGATGGGAGTGGGGTATACTTCGGCGGCGACCAGGAAAGTAGTGCAGTTGGGACCGAATTGGTTGAAGAAGGAGGAGAGGAAGTACATTGTTTGGAAGGCTGGGATATGGGCTTTTTCTTTAGCGTAGTAGTTGTAGTGTAGAGCGGGGACGAGGAAGAGGACAAAGTCCATGGCGAAGCCGAGTTGTTGCATGCGTTTGCGACCGACGGTTTTGTTGTCAATGAGGAAGGATGCGAGGTAGTAGCCGCAGAGGGAGACTCCGACGTTGACAAGGTTCCAGAGCCAGCCGGTCATGATGTTGGTCGGGTGTCCTTTAGGGGTTGGGGAGAGGACGGAGATGAATTGAGATTGGAAGAGTTTGTTGCCGTAGAAGAAGACGTCGTTGCAGTACCATGCGCCAGCAGTTGCAATAAGACGTCCGCCGAAGTGATTGCAAGTTAGCTTCAAAGATTTGACATCGTATCCAGTTACGCTAGCCTTCTTCTTGGCTGCGTCCAAAGCTTTGGAAGCAAGAGGCATCTTGTAGTAACGGTAGTAGACGAGCCAAAGGGTACCAATGGCAGGAATTGCGAAAGAAACCCGGTAAACCCATTGAGCTGCAACTTCCGAGTATGGTGGCTTGGCACTGCCGTGGTGGAAGATGAAAAGGGCGATGATCAGGATAACTTGGTTGAAGAATTGTCCCCATCCCTGCATTAAGAAAGCCATAGTGACCTTGCGACCACGATGAAGACGATCTTCCTTGGTAGAGATCTTGCCGGAACCTGTGGCATTTTCCATGGCGGCTGTAGCAGTCATGGGATATTCTCCACCAACACCGATACTGTAGAAGAAGAGCGACCAGGCGTAACAGATGACCCAACCGTTCAAGGTAGTACCCCAGGATGCGGTAAGCATGATGAGGCCAACAAACATGATAAGGGCATCTTGAATAAGACCCCAGCGACGGCCAATACTAGATAATATTAGCATTGACTAGTAAGTTGGGGTAGAGAACTCACCCGTCACCAATAATACCAACAAGAATCTGACCAACAATGATACCGCAAACCTCGAGGTATTGAACAGAATTAATCCAGGTTTCATTACAAACCTCAAAGGTCTTCCAGCAGGTCTTCCAGACTCCTTGGAAAAGGGGTGTCAAGTTACCAATAGAGAACAGGACGTAACTATGAGAGGGTCAGTCACATCATCACACAAAACGGAGAACAAAAATTACCCTTCCAGACCGAGACCAGCTCCAGGAAGCACAGCGTTCTTAAAGTACCAAACAATAGGGCTCAGAGGATCCTTCTTCATCATTGCTCCAATCTGACCCAGCTCCTTCTTGGCTTCATCACTATCGACTTTATTGTTGAAGGCGACTTGCTTCCAGAAGGGTAGATCAGCCCAGTAGACGCCATCGGTGGTATAGGTATCAGAGGGGTACAAGAGGGACTTGAAAATTGCTGTCTCTAGATCTCTGTCGGTGCCTGGCTGGTTGGTGAAGGAAGCGTGATCGTCACCAGTTTCGGGACCGTGCGGAGCGCTGACCATGCCGTAATTGGTTGGGGCATGATGTCTGTGGTGGTGGAGTTCGTCACCCATCTTGCTGTTGGTCGAAGATGACCTGGGTGATTGGGGGTGGGATGGGGAGGCGGGTTGGAGGTTGTGATCGCAACGAGAGGTGAAGGATGAAAGTCGAAGTTGACGGGGGATGAAAGAATGATATAATTGACAAATGGCGCTAGGGAGGTGGATAGAAAAAGTAGAACATAGGTAGGATGTGGAGTGGAGTGGATGCTGCAGTAGTCAATAAGTGGGTAATGGTAAACACATGGACTCGGAAACCAATATGACGGGTTAACTTGATGCAGGATGATTAAAGGTGCGCTAACGTGCCCTCATTGGACAAATTATGGTTTTTCTATATATGTTTTCTTTTTCGAAAATTCGTCGAGACCCGAGGGCCGAGGGGCGCAAAATGAAAAAGAAATTCCCGGGATAATAGGATTTGACTTTTATGGCATCGTCTTGGTGGTCATATTACGGCGGCATACTACTCCGTAGGGAGTTAGTAACCGGGATTCATGGTCTTAGGAAGGAGCTTTGAAGCTTCAAGTGGGTGGCGTGTATATCGGCCAAGACCGGCTAACCATTAAGCATTCTAGTCTCCTGTTTTTGTGGGGCGCAACTTGTCAATTATTTTGCAAATCATCCGGGGTTGAAGCTTGGAGAAATAATCCGGGTTTGGAATATACGGTAGCTTCAATGCCGATTTATATCTTATTGTTCATGACTTTCAGTCCATCGTGCCTCAAGAGCTCCCTTTCTTTGTTAGTTCTTTGAGGTGTTGCACTGCAGCTGCATAGGTAGTCCGACTCTGGCTTTATGCCGGGAGCAGCGATCGCACACGAGTTTTCGGGTTTTCCTATCCACTTTAGCATTACTTCTACCCGGAGATGCGGAAGGGACCGACCGACGCTTGGATGATAGGTCTCAATATAGGATTTCAGCTTCATGGGCGACAGAAACGGCTGTTGTTATTCATACCTACTTAGCTCAGCTGCGGCATGTCTTTACCATAGACTAGATATGAAACCACCTAAACATAAGTCTAGATCTTCCCGACATACACGCGTATGCTTGGAATGTCCATCTGACTTTCTTGCCACAGAAGAAAAAGTGAAATCTGCGCTGGCCATCTGAAGTTTTTGATTGTCGTCAAAACCGACCAATCAGAAGCCGAGGATCGAGCACGTTTCCATCTGGCTGGTGAAAGAACCCCGGATGGGAGTTCGGGCGCTAATGCAGCAGATCTCCGCTTTTTGCAGGGGTGAGCACTGGGATGCGAGTAAGCGAGGCGGTGATGGACCTCGACATCCCAGTCGAGGTTTTTTCTATCGATTCGACTTTCAGCTGATATTCAATACCGTACATTGTCAATAGTCACGAGATATTTAGGTTACTAACTATAACAGCGAAATAGCCGCAACAATTGAACATCCACCCAGTCAACAGATACTACTCATAAACTCTACATCACCACTTTCAATTCCAATTCCAATCCATCCTATCGAGAGATAATCGGTCTTCCCCTATTCATGCCATTGATGCCTGATATAATCCCTCTCTTCTAAGGCACCAATATCAAACCACGTTTATATATCCTCGCTTCCCATACGTCCATCCCATCTCATCTCCAAATCCCCCCCCCCCCCTATCCAAACACGAACAATTCCTTCCTTCCTTCATCCCATCCCATCCCATCCCATATCTCCATTCCTTCCACCAGCCAAATCAAGCCAAGCCCAAGGTCCCGAAATACACTACACATCGGCAAACCCGGGGTACATATACTCACAGGACTTGGCTAACGCGGCAGTACCGTTAACGCCTTGGGAACAACGTGTTCTGTGCATGCATAGATCGCCTCAGCCATCCGCCGCCACAAAGCTTAAAGGGCGTCTAGGTACGTCTCGGCACGTTGGGCGCTGCTTAGCGCTGAGTGGTTAAAGAGACGACATGTGTGTGTGTTTCTGCGCTGAGAATATTGGGACTGGAACTGATTTCTTTCTGGATGAGTACGGAGTAAGCGGAAGGCGTGGAAGAAGGCTTAGGCGGGACGGATATGAGGATATGAGGATGGATGGCTAGAGCGAGGGTATGGAATGGGAAGCTTGACGGGTGTTTTGATAGCTCGCGTGATTTAATGAACTTATTGTAGAGTAGAAGGATTACCCGAACGGCTTTCATACCTTTACTGATGATGGGATGGCGAGATACCATTGCAAAATGTGAGAAAGACGATGGAATTGATTCGACATCGAGGGGATCATGGATGAGCAGATGAGAGCTGGTATCATGAAATCTCTGGTATGTAAGCCTTAGACTCTGGATTTCACGAACATTGAATATATCTTCGACGAAACGACGCTCAGTATTGAAATGACCCCATGCTTTCACATGGTGGAATATTTTGACAAGTATCTCGTTAGGCATGTCCAGGATATGTAGCGGCCTGAGCTTTGGTCGTAAGACTATGTTGGCAGTCCTGCATAGTGAGCTTTGAAAGCTGTCTAGCGTCTTTTGGAAGTCCTTCAATGTCTCGAGCTAAGCGTTCGGGGAAGTCCAAGAAGGGAGGGGTACTTGTTGGGCGTCATTCGACTGAACCCACGCCCGCGCCATCTGAGTTTGCTCAATCTGAGCGCTGACCGTTTATGCATCAAGCCCACTTCTTTCAATTGCTGATTAAATATCATCGGGATTAAAGCTATGGTCAGAGCTGACCGAACCTCCGTTTAACGCCATTGACATTTGACTCTGAAACGATCAGGAGATAATTTTGGGTGTCGCTGGCAGTGCGCTGGCTCTGATGACTGAGATTCAACAGAACTACGAATATGCTCAATAAAAGAACGACTGAGCCTAAGACGTATTTATGTCTGGTTTTCTTATCAAAATATTGAAGTTGTTTGGAAGTCGGCAAAATACTGAGCACAGCACGTGGATGGAGCACGTGCACGGGAGCTCTCTGTTGTGTTAAGGGGGGGACCGAGAAGTGTAAAAGGTGGATTTTAATGTGATCTGTGAGTACTTAATCATTTGGCAGGAGACTCAGGAGAAACACAGACCTTCCATCAGAGATATGCATACTAGACATCTAAATGCCTGTATATTCATTCGGTCATTATACACATCCTAAAAGGAGTACCAAACCGACAGCCTATGTCTCATGACAACCAGTGACAACCAGCAATCCGAAAACACCAGCCATCCCACCCACCTACATACCCCAACACCATAATCTACCATCTAACCTGATCCTCCCCACTCCCCAGCGTAATCGTGCCGTTCTTTCTCCTCTCCGCAAGCCACCTCTCGATCCACACCTTCATCTTACTCCGACTCGCCGCACTTCCCACATTAACCGTCGGCACGATCTTTTCAATCCTCAAGGCACAAACAAACATGGTAAGTTCGCGGAACGAGCTATGCTCTGAGTAAGGGACGCCGAAACAGGATGCTTCGCGTGTGGAGCCGCGTTGGGGTGTTAGGTCGTGCAGGGAGAAGTGCGAGGACCAGGAGGGGGAGTGTAGGATGTTTTGGAGGGTCGGGGAGGTGGTTAATCTGTTTAGGTTGTTAGAAATAAACTCCTAATACGGGGCTGAGAACAAGGCACGTACCTCGAAGTAGGTGGCTTGTAATTCCACCCACTAGGCCTGAATCCCACGATCCGACTAAAATGCGGCTTATACCCAGTCAGATACTCATGTAACGTCTCCGGCCGAATTTCCATCAGCATCTGCATATGGATTTGCGCCTCCTTCGGATCATCCGTCATGCGGCTCATCAGTTCTGGATCTTCCAGCGCGGCACAAATGCGCATCTTGCCTGGGGGAGCCCAGATCTTGCAGTCGAGAGCTCGAGCGATACCCATACAAATGCGCTCTTTACCAATGCTGTAGGTCCCACACACGATCAGTAGTCTTCCTCGAGCCTTTTCGGAGTTGAGAGACATGGCTATACTGTCATCTTCAGGCTTGGGGGCAGGTGCTGAGGCGATGAATTTCGCCATGCTGGAACCGGCGCGCTCACGTTTGGCTGTCTCCCAAGCGTCACCATCTTCGGCGCGTTCCTTTTTCAGGGATACACACATGTCTGCACATGCTTTAATGACTTCTTCTTGCGAGGGGAAAGCGTAGCGTGGATTGAGGTAGGTTGTATCTAGGTAGCAGACATCAACCTTTTGCTGTTTTGTCTTGCTTGTAAGAGAGTCGACGATGTTTGGCATCAGGAGTGGATGAGTGAGATGCGCTGGACAGGCGCGAAAGTCGCCACAGTGGAGAACACGTTGGATCTTAGGAGTGTTTCCTTTCCCTATGACCTTTTCGAATAGGAAGAGAGAACTGCCGGGGCAATGATTTGCAGGTATCATTGTGACTGCTACTCCTTGCGTGCCAGGAACTTCAGATCGTTCCTCAAAATCCAAAGACACTACCCACTTAGGATCAACTCGTAATTGCTGCTTGACCAGATTGCCCGTAACCTTACTGCAATATATCGGACCATGACACCATGAAGCTGTCAAACCAATATAATGGTCACTGTGGAAATGACTTAAAAAGTATGCATTACAACCCTGAACAGCACCGTATCTGAAAGCATCGACACAAATGAAGAAACCAGGCATGATCTTGTAAAAAGGACAAGTCCTCTGGTAAGCAGGCTTTCCTCTCGAGGAGTTTTCAGCAGCTGCCGCAGTAGCCCAGGCGGCGTCTTCTGCATGACCTGACATGATTTTTGAGAATGCAGACGTAGCCGTGACATCCTTTCCATCAGCTTCGATCGGATTTGCTTGACCTGGTCTAGGTACTGCTGCCTTTCGCGCGAAGCGACTGCTGGCTCCTTGGGGCATCATCTTCACCTCTGAAGATTCTGTTTTGACGAGCTTTGGCAAGGGTATCGGATTACCATCCAGACAGCCATTGACATGTCTCGTAGCTTCATCAGGGGTAATTCCACCAAGGTGGACACTGCAAATCGGACAAGAGGCCATCATTTCTTCTTCTGGGGCCATTCCGTCGACATGGTCATGGTCATTGCCATTAAACTCTTGCCCGGCTTCTGCTGCCTCCAGCCTTGCTTGTTCCTCCATCCACTTCCTCTCCACAAACTCTTCGCCGTCAGCGAATTCATCATCAGGAAACTCTTCGAAATCATCAAACTTGCTCCATTCATCAATACTAGTAGCTTCCTTTTTCAAAGTCGGAATGTCCGGCAGGGCTGGACTCTCTTCCTTTGGTAATTCTACCGGGCTAGACATCTTCCCCTCTGAACCACGATCCGAGCTTGATCTACTTGAGGATCTCGAGCTAGGTTGTAGAGCCTCCCACTTTGCTTGTGCTTTTGCAACAGGTACTCTTGTTCGCCGCCTATACAGTGGCCTGACAGACTTCACTTCTGGCACGACAGGTTGGTTTACTAGTATGTCTTCTTGCTCTACGGGGTTCGTCTCCACTACTTCGTTCGAATCTGGTTGTTTCGAGACACGAGTTCGAAGCTCCCTCTTTTCCGCCCCTAGAGCAATAGCTTGGTTGGCTTTGTTAGTCTCGAAGTCAATTTCGTAATCACTTTCTGAGTCCGAGAGGAAGGGTCCTTTTCGCCGCGGCTTCTTTGATTTGAACTTGGTAGCAGGTTGTGGAGGAGGTGGTGTACAAGCATCCTTTGCTGGGAGAGATTTTCCGAGAAATCCGGTACCATCAACATCCATTGATACATCCTCTTCGCCATTCTTATCTGCCCCGCTCAGTGAGCCTGTGTTCAACGTCTTTCGCTTCTTCACGGGCCCTGCTTTCTCGTTGAACCTCTCAATCTCGTTGTCCCCATATATATCATCCAATGCCTCGTCTAAAATATCAGCACCGAGTGCTGGATGCGCAGGGAGCTGGTTGGCTTGAGATCCCTGAGACAGGAAAATCGAGTCATCTTTCATAGGAGAATCGACTTTCTTAAAGAAATTTAGGATGCTATTATTGCCCTTCTTTGGAGTCCTCGAGGGAGCGGCTTTCTTGGTGCTCGGCCGATTCGGCATTGGCACGTTTGATTTCGAGTTCGGACGTGGCGTGAGTGGTTTCGTAGAGCTTCGACTCGCCATTGCGGATGGTAGTGGATGAGGGTTGGAGATACCGTTCGGTGGTGTCGGTGGTCTGCCAGTCGAGGGTTTTAGAGGTGCCTCAATCGATGTCTTGGAATTTTCTCGTGGGTTTCGAAACATGCCTGGTAGTTAATTATCCATCAGTTCGGAAAGGCGTTCGTCGTAGGCTCCGAGGGCGACTGCAGCCTCGGTCATAAGCAGTTCTTCTACGCTCGTGTGGCAATCAAAGATCTTCCTGCGTAAGATGGATGATTGAGCTGATGGTTGAGTATTTGCTTGGGCTTGTTGTGGCAAGACAAAGACGGAAGAATCTCTTGGGAAACGCGATAATCATTGACGCGTAGTCGCGTGATTTGCCATCAGGTGATTGAAATCAACATTTTCACATCTGTTCAAAGATACCGGCACTTGGGGTCACGCAGGGTGCATTCAGGACAAAATTGACCTCTTGAATTGAACGAATCTATTATTCAGTTTGCATGGCGTTTCTCAAAGCTTTTGACCCTCTGAAGGGTGGCTTAACCCCTGAACTCCATGCTCAATGCTATGCTATAGACCACCTTGATACGCCCCAGAAACACTAGATCAGGAGCAAGAGAAGAGAAGCTCCTGACTCGAGGAAGCATTTGCTCACGAATGCTGAGGTGGGACCCTCAATGCTCGTCGGGTCCCCCGCACTGCTCCAACACAACCTGGGTATTTTCCCTGCATTCCCCGTAACCAATCTATCCATCTTACTTTGTTTTCTGGGCCTGTTGCGCTGCTTCTCTCCGTGTAGCTATAATAAGTTTAGCATAGCGACAGAAAACGGAGCGCAGATATGGAAACCTACCATCTTCCAATAACGCCGTATCTACCGCACCTCCAGGTAAATGCACATATCTTACCACGCTCCCTCTGATGAAAACATTCTTGACCGAAGACTAGACGGTCCATCATTAGCCACAAAGTCCTTGATGTATGCCATAGACGTCGTTGCGAGACTCTTGCGCCTGGGCGAGAAACTCACCAAGTGAGGATATTTCAGTTCCTCCACCACCTGTATGTCATCGAGTTTGATATTGAGGTATTGGTCGACTGATTTCAAGGTGCCCTTGATCTGGATATCGTTCTTGAGTTCGACGGTGACTTCGTGGTCAACTAGGGTCTTGAAGAAGCTGTTGACAGATTGCAGAATTAGCAGAAGTCCAATCAAAGCTAGAGATGGGGTCAATGGTGTGCGAACCTGAAGAACAGCATCTTGAAATAATTAAGAGGGATGTTGGACAGGTTTGATGGTGGTGGAAGAGCTCGTGGTGGGATGTGGTGGGGAAGCTGCGATCATGGAAAATTTGAGCCTCGGCAACAAGGCAGGAACAATCGCACTTCACCTTAACGTCCTCCAACGTCGTTCCTTGAACATTACAATGCCACCACAATGTTACAGTATTCAACACTACCCTTTCTACGGTATATGTTAATAAATACAATCCCAAATCATCTGTGTCTGTCTTATATACTATTAACATTCTGATCCATATATTTCTAACAGTGATGTTCTATACAATAGTCAAGCCAAATTCTCCAATTACAGCGCTCCTCACTGCTCTTCCATAAATCTATCCAATGCCATATTAAACACTCTCTGATCAGCAGAGCTCATATACCCCCTCTGAAACATCTCAATTGCCCACGGATTCAACATCTGTACCAACTCCATCAACGCTGGCACTTCCCGCTCAACATACTTCGCAATCCACCGAACCTGGAACGCGTCCAGATCTCCACCGCGCAGTCCCAACATCTGCTCCGACATCCCCTGGAAATTAGGTATTAAAACAAGCATAAGCAGCAGCAAAATCCCACGATCTTGTATCTCAGGCCCGGAAAATTGCTCGCACCACTCTTTCCATGTACACCCTTTATCGTATGTGACGTTCCAATCCACCTGTTCCTTCCACGGCTCCTCGCCTGCTTCTCTCCGCCACTTCGCCTCGATGTCAATGAGTGGGCCGTCGGACCCCATCTCCCGCTCTACCATATACACAATGGATGTCTGGTCCCAAGCTTCCTTGAAGAGACATAGGTGGGTTTTGTCGGGGTTGTGTTCTCCGCTGTCTGCTATCCTGGCAAGGACTGCAAGGGGCTCATCGACGCCGAGGACTCCCGTGTCTCTGAATGGCACTCTGAGGCCGATGGAGAGGGGAGAGATACTGACTAGCTTTTTTGGTTTCTCGCAATAGGTCGGGATGTGTATGTCAAGGACATATCTATACACAGCTCTGATATTCTCCTCAGTTGTAGGTCCACCCCCCGAACCAATCTTTGTAGCTATCTGAAGGGAAACAGCGCGCTTGTGCGAGGAGCTTGAAGGGTATTTTGGGATGATACTGTAGAGGGGAAGGAGATTTTTGACAGCTGTTCGAATGGTTCGGTGCTTTTCGAGATGGATGAATTTGCTTCTGGTATCTTATTGAGCCTCCGTCCGATTTCGTGCAGGCGCTTTTCGATATAGTGGACGTCGCGCCGTTCGTCCATCCATAATCCTCGATAGCGTTTCGATTCTAAATCGACGATGCTGAGTTTCTGGGAGTAGGGGGTTTTTTGAGATGGGCTGTTCTCGCGTGTGCTCTCTTCTTGCTTTATCGGAGGATGAAGATTTGCTGGAGCGGTTAGTATGGATTCGAGACGGGGAAGCAGGGCAGGCTCACTACTGTCGGATTCAAAGTCAAGGTATTAAAGCTTTAGTGAAGGAAAAAGTCTTCACAGCGTATCTATGAGAGATGGGTGGATTTGGTCTGGTAAAATGGTGCTATATGAGCCTTTCTCTAAATAATTCGTGAGATAACATAATTAATCCATCCCCATACTTCGGGATCTTAATCAAAGCTTACATTTAGATTTTAGAAAACTCTGTAGCATGTCCACCTGTTGAATATGAGCTGCCAGAAGTGCGGTTGAAACTGCCCCTTTTTTTAAGCGAGCAGGTTCGGTTCAACCTGAACCTTGACTTGCAAAAAAAGGAATGAAAGAAATGGCAAAAAAACTTGAAATACATCTTCAAGGCTTCTTTCTACGACCCAGTATCAAATCCAAATGCAAAAATAGGGCAAAGAAAAGTGCAAAACAAATAGACTCATACCCCACCGGGACGCTCTCCGTAAAACCAGACTGACTGAGTTTTCCAAGCAGCCATCCGACTTCGGATGGGTGCTCAAGTTCGATTTCCTTGAATGAGGGTTAATACGTCGTAAACATAAGGAGACTTCAAACCACTCTAATAAAGTCTTAGCTGGTTTGCGGAATGTTTTTGCTTAAATTAAATTATACAGAGTCTTTGTTAAACGCCGAAGACATTGCCGATTAGCTTTACGCGTGCGCTTATTGGTTTATGAGTAGCACTGCACTGCTATAAATCGTTGAGGGGTCCTTGATAGTGGGGATAGCAGATGGGGTATTCGAATATCCTATGATAGGATGCCCTGATGGCTTTATCTCGTCTACATCCTCGCGATGTCTCAGCCGCCTCTATGGGACAAAGGCATAGAATCATCTTCTGAAATATCCTCCAAGTTGATCACCTCATATCCATCCTCGAACCATGCAATTATATAGATATAGCATCTTACACGACCAAAGTTCCTGCGACTTCTGTTCAATCGCGGTCCTAGCTGGGCTTACAACTTCGCGGACTCCATCATTTCCCTAAGCCACTCCTTCGTGCAATCTACCAAAGTATCATGATTCGTCCCCATCGCCTTCGTACTCCACACCTCGATACCCCGCCCACCCTTCCCTTCCGCCCAACATCCCTCGAAATACAGCCTCCCCTTCTCCCCAATCATCACATCGTCCTCTGCATACACCAGTCGTAAGCTTAACGGTGCCTTTCCCTCCTCGACTCTCTGTTCCCAGGCGACTTTCAGGTTCCGCACAAGCTCCGGATAGCTTTCCGCAGCCTCCCACGAACATTCTCCAGGTACGCTCTTCAAGCAGAGCCGCGCCTCGTCATTCGCCCCCTTGGTCTCTTCTGCAAAAGCGCACTTCATGGCAAAATTAGAAAGCTCTTGCGTCGCCTTGTAGTCTATACCACAAAGCTCCAAACACCTGTTATTAGCATCTGTGACTTTCTGTTTCGGGACGGAATTATCCTTGAATAGTCCTGTTAAAGATGAGATCGCACCGCTGCTCACACCAATACTCGCGCCGACAGTGGGCACCGCCGTGTTGATCATAAACCCCGTGAGCGCATTCCAGTGGTTGAGAAGATTGTTCGGTAGGATAGCGGCTACGGTGAGAGATGTATTACCGGTGAGGGATTGGTGGACCCAGGGTGCGAAGAGGGTGAGGCTGGGGTTGGAGGGGGAGAGAAGGTCTGGGTGTGCGGCAAGGAGGTTCAGCGCGAAGATCGTGCCGGAGCTGTGGCTTGCGAGAGAGATGTGGGCGATGTTTAGATGGCGGAGGAGGGCGGGGATGGTTTCCAGGAACGTGGAGATGCGTTGATTCAAAGGGACGGGAGTGGAGCTGCCAAATCCAGGTCTGTGAAGTGTGTTAGAGAGTCTAGAGTCTGGAGTTTGCTGAGAAGAATGTATTTGCTTGTGCAAAAAATGAACCATCACGTGCAAGACCGTAGACCAGGTACATCCAATTCTTCGACATGGCCACGAAGTCCAAAGAAATAGAGATTTAAATATACCTTACCTATCAATATAGAGCACTCTCACACCAACCTTGGTGGCCAGAAAATCATTAAAGACCGCCATCCACCGACTCCCAAACATACCCCCACAAAACACAATCGTCGGTGCATCTTCTCCTACCGGTATACCAGAAACCGCATAACTAACTTTTAGTGCTCCATGTGTATCTGTCGCTGGTAATATGAAGCTTTGGTGGAATTTTATGGGGGAGACGAGTTCGATTACATGTTCTTGAATAGGAGTTAGCGTCATTTCAAAAATGATTTCGCAACGACTTTACGAAGAGACCTCAATACAGCGTGTGAAGAAGAAGAGGATCTTCAATGATACTTTTGAGGAATGCTCAGCTCCTTCTTCTTAGTAGCAGACAGAACAGATGACTAAGCTAAACTCTGATGCTTAACTGGCTGGATCGTACCCAGTACATGTTGCCTGGTTTAGGTGGTACGTGCCACAGACAGGTGACACTTAGCGCTAGAGATAATAAGGAAGGGGGACTAATATGTAGTCTTTGAAGCCTTAAGATGCCCATTGATGTGCTAGTGGTTCCTTGGTCGAGCCTGCCGCCTTCGTAGGAGGTGTGTCAGTACTACGGACACAAGCGGGCGAATGATTGTCCTTGGAAAAACACCAATGGGGAAAAGGTTTATGTGAATTTTTGTATCTATTTTCAACTCTCAGACAGCCTCTAGAAAGGTATTTTGTGATTCAATGATTTGTCGCCCTTTTATATCACCAACGCCATAAACACCCTGCCATGCAATGATCTGTCGAAATTACTCCACCAAATCAGACGAGAAGGACACTGATATAGGTTAGCGATGTATCTTGGAAGGAAGACATGTACCAACCAATTCACACAACCATCATTCTCACAGTTGTTCGTGATCTGGGCCCAGCGACCCCAAACGACCTACAGGATAGTTAGTATGAGCTTGAGAATTTGAAAACAATCTCCCAGATGAACACGATCGAGGGCAGGGTCGAACGTACCTTTCCACCGGCGGTCACAAGCCCCAGCTCGCTCACATTGACCTCAATGATCGTTCCTTTGGTAAGTACACCTAACTGGGTATACATTGGCTAGCCATTATTAGCAGAGATTCCTGCGAATGACAGGGAGACAAACGTTTTGGGGATTCTTCTTGACACTAATGATTGGAAGTTGCACGGTACTAGAATTGATGAGTATGCGGCTATGGACGACACCAGACAGACTTACACTCCGAGCTCTGGATGCGTGACATTCGCCTATCCAAAAATTAGTGTCGGCTTTTACTGAATTGTTCTGGGTAAAGAGGAGGATCTCTTGACGTGCAAAATGACATACCTTTTTGTAACGAAGACCCATAGGTCGAATAAATCGCTCGTACCTGTTGTCAAGAACTGAGTTAGTACTGCCTAAAAGGGTACGCTCGTTGAGATGAGGTTTCATTCGTAATCTCTTCTCGAGACCCCACTGGTGAAAAGCACTCTTGAGCCGATGTAGAAATTCTTCGAGATTGACTTACTTGACTGGGCGTCGTGTGAAATCAGGACCACTGCAGAGAATTAGTACTATATCTTTTGGGGTGAGCAAGAGCGGGAAAGATGAACACTTACACAAATGTAGGCTTCGTGATCATTCTTTTCCATCCTTTCTTGGCTAAAATAATGATCAGTACCCCAGCACATATCTATTGAAGATGATTCTTACCCGTCTTCTTGCCCGTCTTCACAACTTTGAACATTTCCTACAAAACGTATTAGGACTTTGGGACTTTAAAAGAGCTGCGTTCTTCAGGGTCTCAAATGCCATCACAAAAGGGGGGACGAATAGTCGCCTTTTAGACAGCTCCGTAGCTCCCATAGATAAAACGAAAGCAGACTAACCTCTTCCGCGATACCTCTGACCTTTGGCAAAGGTACAGAGAACTTGGCCGCCTTCTCATTACTATAAATTATTGAAATCAGCATCGCTTGATCAAGCAGAATTCCGAATCCGGCAGTATTCAAGCTGCTTACCGCTTGTTTTTGATAGCTGGTCTGACATTAGTATGGGCATTTACTGGATATGTTTGGGATGAGAGCTGATCTCTTCAAATCGACGTACCTGATGAGAGGGCTTTTGCGTTCGTAGGGTTTGATCTATCGAGGAGATATTGTGGGAGGGGTGTGCTCGAAGGTTCGGCCGGCGCAGAGCTCTTTACGTTTCGCTCTTCGTGCGCCTTGATTTGCTTTTTCATCTGTATCTTCTCATGATCTACGTAGGGTCAGCATTGATTCATGGAGACAAATTAGGCATGTTGAAAATGATATCCCAACTCGCTGATCCGCTAGGAGAATATATTCGACACCCAGGGCTTTGACGTACGTCTATTCTTCTGCATTAACTTCGCGCGCAGACCCGTCAACTTTTGTGCGTCTTCGGAAGCTTTGTGCCCTTCTCGTGCGGCCTTCTTTCGAGTCTGGAGTTTTGTTAGTATAATTGATCAGAAAAGGGACCTTTGCCACGGACTTTCTCCTCATGGTCAAGACGCCTGCCGTGGAGCTTTCTCCACCTATCCATATACTCATTTTGAGGCATGATGGGCTAATTGCTGGCGAGATAATGCGACTATGGGGGTGGAAGGTGGTGGGGAAGGGAACGTTCAAATCATTGATAACGAGGTTTATCGCAACATTTTTTTTAATGTCACGCTAGCCCAATTGAAACTTTAGCGCCATCGTACCAAACTTCCATTAAGCTTCAATCAAGAACAACATCACACTGCTCTTTGGATGTCGGGCATTGACCATACGCATCAACTCTCCAAAGCCTCAAAATGCTGAGCAGATCAATACGACGGTCCATATTGGACTCGAGGATACCAACATCTGCATTACCTCCGACCTTCCTCCCAAATCGCGCTCGATACTTCAACTCAACCGTGCAACATGTCGATGCACCGGCCGAAAGCCTTGATGCTTCATTATTAGCTACGAATGCCTCTACAGAAGCTCTAGAGACCGTCGCTCCTGTTCGCCGAACTATTCGACAAAAGGTTCCGCTGCCACCAGCGCCGTTTACTCAGCCCATAGCTCTCGATGCCTCTGTCAAAGAGATGCTTCCTCTCCTGGCCGCTCAACCATCCCACTACATAAGCGCACACATCCACGCCAAACCATACCTCGTCACTGCTGGAGATACAGTGCGGCTGCCATTCCACATGCCTGGAGTTGTGCCAGGAGACATTCTACGCTTGAACCGAGCATCGAGTCTGGGTTCCAGGGACTACACGCTGAAGGGAACGCCATATGTGGATGAGAGGGTCTTTGAATGCAGGGCAAGAGTCATGGGGACGGAAGCAGAGCCCATGCGGACCAAGGAGAAGAAGAAGCGGAGGAATAGGAGGATTAATACGGTCAAGAGCAAGCATAAGTTTACGATTTTGAAGATTGCGGAAATCAAGATCAACAGTTTGGAGGATATTGAAGGATCTGGGGAGAGTGTATGATGAGATGTATTGATATCGTTCGGTTTGACGAAATTGTCTATTTCCAAGAATGGAAAGGTGCTTTGACAGTCAGTGTACAATATTCGGACATCCACCATGGCCCAGCCGTAACTCGCGCTACTTGGCCAAAATTGTATAAAAGTTCATATGGCGATTATCGGAATGGTTTCTTAGCTGAGCATGACCGTGAACGCTTTGAGGCCAGTTCCGCCTCGAGAAGGCTTGGCGTGTATTTGTGGCATTCCATGGTCAAATGACTCGATTAGCTTAAACACTGAAGCCTCATGTCCGAAGCCCTGGATGATTCTATGCTTCTTAGCACATTATTTTCCCCAGCCCACTCCACTGGATGGGTTCCAATCTCTAGATTCACAATTGCAAGTGCACTCACTGCTACCTACAGTACCTACCCAAATACTAGTCTGGCAAGTTCCATCAACCTATCCTACATGATCAAGACATGACTTTATGAAAGAGTATATGCGCACTTGTGATTGGAAGCGTAGGAAGACGATTTGATTGGCATCTAAACATTTTTCATTCTACTCATGCCCATGCATTATCATATACATTACCTTATACAAAGCCCTGGTATCATATCATCATAAATGCTCCCAATACAATACCCAACTCCTCGCCAACAAAGACGAAACGCAAAGCAAAGCAAAGCAACTACTAATCTAAACCTTTAAAAGAAGTTCCCCAGCGTAGCCTTATATATCCTCCGCGTCTTCGTTTCCATACCCCCATTCCTCCTCGCCTCCTTCTCCAAAAACTCCGCCTCCTCGGCATCAATGCGCGCCTTCCCCGTGTACAGATCCGCCTCCTCAGCACTCCACCTCTTACTCCTCATAACCAGTTTATAGCCCACAACCATGCCGAAATACACCGGCACGGGGATGTAATTCACAATGAAATTTTTCCAATTGAAGTTCGACCCCGTCACGGGGTTATGTACAAAGTCCGCCCAGCCATTGAAGAACGTGATCAGGCTGGCGAAGATGAGCGCGCACATGGATCCCGTGATGCCAAATGGCGAGACGTAGGCGAGGGCCGTGTCGGGGATGTTTTGCGCGTGCCGCGCGCGCACGAAGTAGATGTGCGTGGTGAGGATGGAGATCCAGGTTAGAATGCCGAAGATGGTGACGAGCGAGACGAAGTATTGGAATGTTTGGAAGGTGCCGACGTCCGTGGACATGAAGGCTATGAGACAGCAGCAGCTGCTGAGGCCGAGTGCGTAGACGGGTACTCCGCGGTCGTTGGTCTGAGCGAAGATGCGGGGAGCGTTGCCTTCGACGGCAAGGGAGTAGAGGGAGCGTGTTGCGATGTAGAGGTCGGAGTTTGCGGCTGAGAAGGTGAAAATCAGGAGGCAGACGTTGATGAGGTCTGGTAGGGTGTCGATGCCGGCGGTCATGGCGGCCACGACGAATGGGGATGCATTAGCCGAGACGGTCTGGACGGATTGGTTGTTTGCGGAGAGAAGTTGTTTGCTGTTGTAGGGAACATTCATGCCGAGAAAGAAGATGAGGATGATGTAGAAAAAGACAATTCGGAAGAATGTTAGTTTTACTGCCCGCGGGATGGCTCTGCGTGGATTTTGGGCTTCTCCTACTGTCACGCCAACGAGCTCCGCTCCCAGATAGGAGAAGACCCCAGTGCTCATGACGCTCCAAAATCCAAGAAATTTGCCTAGGGATCCAGCTGATAAAAGTATAAGTATATGTTCCGAGAATTATCAACACGGATACATACTGGCTTTATATGGAGCAAAAGCCCCCGGGTCCTTCCAATACTTGAATCCTTTCGCGGTGTGGTCAGGCCCCCCTCCTATGGCCAAGATAAACGTGAAGATCATTAATCCTATCAAAATGAGAACCTTGGTTGAAGAAAGCCAGAATTCGAATTCTCCAAAGATCCCAACGCCAAAGTAGTTGATGGCGACAATTGCTATCAAGAAAATGGAGACATATATGGCGGAATTAGCCCCAGGTCCATCGTAGTCTGCCTTGTCAAACCAGTATTTTATAACCAGAACCGACGCGATCAGATTGTTGGGGGTTGTAATGATGTATTTGAACCAATAATTCCATCCAAGTGCGAAGCCCAACGCAGGGTCTACGAATCGGTGTGCAAAACCTGTGAAACCTGAGGGTATTGGTAGCCAGGCGGCCATTTCGCCCTGTTGAGCTTCGTCAGTTCCGACCTAAACTTTTGGCAGAGAATCGACGTACCATAGCAGCCATTACAGCATAGCACAACACCCCTACCATCGCATATCCGATCAACATAGAACCCGGACCGGATGCTGCCAGAGAAGGGCCACTACAGCCATCAGCTTCCTTCCACGAATAGAGCAAAATTGTCCACTCACGTGTTGATGAACAAACCGGTTCCCAACGCACCACCCAAAGCTATCATAGCAATCTGCCTCGTCTTGAGGTCTCGATGAAGCCGAGAGCGCATACCCTCCTCATAAACATTCTCGGTCGGGCCCTTGTCTGACCCAGTATCCGAAGTAAGATGTTTCTCGGAAGCGTGGGCATACGGATTGGTCTCCATGCCGCCGTAGACTTCGTGGACCTCGAGTCCTTGGTATTGAGCCATCTCCAAGCCATCAGGATACGGAAGTGGTTTCTGGGACATGGTCTGGCAAATTCGTCATACAGTATGAATCCTTGGAAATATAAAGTTGAAAAGAGGATGGATGGGGAAAGGCTACTACAGCCTTACATAGGAACGGGAAGCGGCTGAGGAAGTACGACGAAGGGTGTCACGGAGATCATGTGGTCCTGGGCGCCCAGAGCTGAGACCCATGCACTATTGAAAGCGCAAAGATAAGAAATCAAGGCTTAAGCTCCTTCTTGGCCTTCCAATTAAGCATGAGGGGGAGGCGGGACAACGCTGAAGAGGGAGCTCTCTCTCTCTCTCTCAGTCTTCATTCCAAGCCATTACAATGTAGCCTGGCAAAGCCACGCCACCACGCCCGAAAGCCAACAAAAGCAAGAGTATGCGCAGTGCGAGACAGTGTAAAAAAGCGGAAATGACCCTGTCAATGGCCATGACTTGTGGTCCATTGTTATTATTCTTGGGGGTTTGTTACCTGTGGCTACTACGAACTTGTGGCCACATTGAACTTGCTAGCTAGGAATAGAATCCTACCAAAGTATGCTATAACGGATGGGCCGAGGGTACCTATCACGATAAGGCTTCAGGGGCTCCTTCCGGCACGTAGCGGGATTTTGGACCCGATAAACGGATCACTACCCCCGCCTTTGCAGTATCTCAAACTGGACGTTTCTTTATCACGTGTATGTAGGTATGTATGTACGTAGTATTCTGCTTGATGGATTCTATAATCAGCGGGATTCATTGTTATACTGTTCTATATTCGATTCCAGCAGCAAGGAAGGACATCCTCTGAGGGAGGTGCCTTCCTTATCAAACTCACGAAGGACTCTGTCTGACCTTCCGCTTATCAAACAGGAGGAGCAATGCGAAGAAAGGCTTCGGCTTCGGCTTCCGCATCCAAGTCGAGCTCCTCTTCCGCTTCCTTCTCTTCGGCCTTTTGAAGTCTCGCAACGGTCTCGGTCAGTGCCCTCAGTCTGTCTTTTACAGTGCACATGGTTGTGTCCGTTTTCATTTGCTTGGCCGCGCAGGCTTTGCAATTGGCCTGGACTCTGATGCTTTGCAAAGGATGTGCACACATGATTTCACACTCTTTGCTCTGTGAGCCGTCGAGGAAGGCCTTTTGAGTGTCGCATGGACGGATTTCATGGGCCCAGCCAAAGTGGCTACAAAGAAACACAATGCGTTTGTGATAGCACATGGTTGGTGAAGACTTTTCTTGATCGTTTGTTGCGGGAAGTTTGTTGGAATGAATACCTTCCCGGATGCATCGTCAAGTGCGAATATATGGCCATTGTGTTGGAATTGTTCTGTCTTGTTCGCGAATGTCCTTCTTCATTGCCATTGTTCTTTCGTTGTGCTTTCATTGCTGAGGCTGTTGCGGGCTTTGTCTCTCTTTGATGTGAGCGTCACAATGTTTTATTCAAAGCAGAATACATGGCCCTCTCGATCTTGAACTGTATAGTATGGCCTAGAACTTCGGTGGCCTCTGAGGCACCTGGAGAATTTCTGCAGTACGTTCTTTGTGTGTACGGTTCCTGGTCTTGCCCTAGTATGGACATATCAGTATTGATACGAGGAACGATCTGTTTCTTCTTACTTCAGGATGAGTCAACATGAATCCAGGAAGCTTTTTGTAATGTATCCTGCCTTAGAATTATAATAGCATTGATGCTCACTAGTAGCTGGGTTCTTTTCGAAAGCACGTCGTGGCATCTCCGAACATTCCAGGAAACACCTATCATTCTCTATTGTTCCAGCCAAAGTGACCTTGCTTCCTCCTTCCTCAATCTGTTAACGCTCTGTGGTTGAAAAAATGGTTGACTGGGCTTTTGGTCGAGGCATATTTGGCACGGTGTATTCTTGCAGATCAGTGTGTATATGTAAGGCTCTCCATCCCATCCATTGAGTAGATTTGCCGTGTCATGTCGGAAATGGAGTTGTGGCAAATTGCCATATCGTGCGAGTAGCAAAATTGTCTGGGATCGGCTGCAGCATTCTCGGTGCGACTCGAGCTGCAGACAAACAGCTAGGATGTTCCTTTTACCGTACAGACCAGATAAACTGTTTTCTGAGAAGTGACAAAGTCTAGCGAGGCAGAGAGCGTCCCAAACCAATGCTAGATTAAAAAATATATTCCTCAACGGAACACTTCCTCCCTCACCTGTCACAGCACCTCCAGTCAGTCTTTTGTTTCGTCTCTGAGATTCCGTAGATGTTTTCAAATTTACGCTCATTAAACAGGGTGGCTCTGCGAAGTGTCCGCCCAGCCTCCGCACCCCGCGTATCGTTCAGCAGCAGAGCAAGACGCTCTCAATGGCGCGCTTCATCTGGCCAAGTAATAAACAACACCACTACCACACCCCGCGAGAACTTCTTTGGGCCTCAGTGGGTTACTACGAATGTAAGCCACCAATGTCTACAGCAGTGTCAATACCAGGACCAGCCGAGAAGCCAAAAATGGGCGAGGGCTTCGGCGTACTTAGTTGCACTATCCACGCTTTATAGTCTTGTACTATATGCTTCGAACTACGGACACGAGGTCCCGCTGGTCGGACGTAAACGGTTCAAGTTTGACAAGAGCGAGTATCCAGAGGATTATCGATATGACAGGGAGATCCACAAAGCTATGATAATACTAGAACTGGCACAGTCTCATTATCCCGAGAGCATTTGGCCAGAAGACCATCCAAACACGATGGCCACCAAGCGCATATTCAAGCAGCTTCTCGAAGCGAACGGAATGCAGGACCAGAACTGGGAAATTCATGTTCTCAACGCACCTGGTAAGCGACTCCGAAGGAAGCCCGGCTGTTTATGCTCTATGGTTATTCTAACCTCTTTAGCTTCCGGGGAAGTCCATGTCACGCTTGATCGTAAATTAGTGATATGCAGCGGCATCTTTACCTTCTGTCAGGATGAAGCTGAGCTTGCGACAATACTGGCTTCGAGCCTTGCAGCTGCAGTTGCAGAACATACTCTGGAGAAACACAGCCGGGCTGCTCTCTCACGACTCGGGTGTTTGGATTCCTTCCAACTGCTCGTTACATCTATCTTCATGAAGCAGTTGTGGTACATATCAATTCCTTACAGCGTCGTCTTTGGCGCTTTTCTCCACCGGCAACACAAGCTATACAACTACACAGTGCCAGAGGAACAGGACCACATTATGTTGAGGCTATTACACCAGGCCGGTTATGACATTAGGAGGATCCCTGCTTTTTTCACCCAGATAGCAAGGGCTAAAGAGCTTGTATACACTCAGTATCACACTATCAAACGTTTCATGAATTTCCAGGTATTTTAAGCAACCCTCGGCGACTTTCAGATCAGAGCTAACTAGTACTAGCAATTAAGCAACCTCGAGGACAGGAAGTGGCTTATTGAAACCGTGAAGTTCCAAAGTCGATACTTAATGAGATATATTTGCTAACCTGGACAATGCAGTTGAGAAACAGAAGGATTCCACGAATGGATGGCCTGATTCCGCAGATTAGGGGACAAAGTAACTCGGATGATGCACCGCAAGATTCACGCCCGTTGCTACAACAGGGAGCATTACCCGATGTGGAGAAAACTTGGGAACTATAGATAGGGGTAGGATTCCTCTCGGGGGATTTTGTATAGTAGACTGAGAGCAAGTTGCCGTAGTAGGTTTCAATTGCTCTGTGGGGTAACGGAATGAGTGAGTAAGAAATTAAAGCGAGAGTAATTTACTAGTAATACTCCGTATACAATCGGACATAAATAGGTTTACAATCCAGACCTGTCCATTTCCTCTCCAGCTTATTTATAGTAACTAGTAACTAATCAATGGAGTGGATATGGATCTTCCGCTGCTCAAATAGGCAGTTGTACATTCATTACATTGTTATCGGGATACAGTATACGGCTATGGGGGTGGGGAAGGGTAGCTATGTATGTGCCGAAACGGACACAAGTACTGTAATGTACGAGTAGTAGGACTAGGAAAGACAGAACGAAATAAAATGCCTGGCTTGAGGGCTGTGGAATGGTGTACTAGCCATTGCAGGGGCGTCCAAGTAGAAAAGACGAAGCGGGAGCCGGAGAGGGGGAAGGGGGAGGGGTGTTTTGATTGCGGAGAATGTGCTGAAGGGTTGGATCTGTATGTTTATGAAAGAGAAAAAGTACTGGGGGTATTTGGATTTGTATTTGTTGCAGATCAAAAATGGGAAATAGAAAATTGTTGCAATATGATTGAGAAGAGTTTATGCTGCTCTATTAGGGAGTAAAGGCGCCGACTAAAGAACACTCATGGGGACTATGTTGTTACTCTGAGGGGCTTCAGACTGCTTTTGATTATTGGAGAGGTTACCGGAGATATTAGAAATACTACTCACATAGTCAACGCTTTGAGAAATCTATTTTCATTCCATTCTATCATGAAGAAGTCGAGCCGGCTCTGTTCGAACTGGGCTGATAATTTAATTTAGCAGTTGTCACCCAGCACCTCTTTATAGATGGGTGGAAAACACCACCAGATGCAACCACCCAACCCTTCCGAGTATCCATAAACGCCATCCATGCAAATGGTCCAATTACCAATTAAACATCTTCGAATTTGACATCTTCATCATCATCGTCGTCATCCAGGTCTCCAAATTCGGAATCTTCAACTCCCTCCGTAGGCGCCACAGCATCACCCATAGCCTCGTAGTTTGTGATTTTGTTTTCGGGCTTCAATGACCATTGCGTAGCAAATCGACCGCTTTTCGCCAACACAGCTACTCTCTCCAATGTCTCGCGGAGGTATGCCTCGGGTTGTTGGAGCTCGGCGCGTAGAGCTTTCATGGACCAGTAGTTGTATTTCTTAAAACACTCGAAGATCTTATCCAGGAGCTCGTTTTGAGGCATACGTGCAGTCTTTTGGAGTTGAGGGCGTTTACCTCCTGCCTGGCCAGGTTTCTTCTGTAGATGGAGTCAGTATCAACGTGAATTTGGAAAGAGATGTAACCTACAATAAATGCATCCCATTGGTTCTGCGCAGCGATGCTACCGGGCTGAATGAACCCAGAACCAACAGAACTAACGTCCTCAGCGCCTAAGAACTTCGTATGCATCTTAGGTCTCATGGCTTCCAAAGTACGCGCTGAGAGGAGACGCTGGGATTCGGGGTTATCAATAGGTATGCAGTTCAACTCATGGGCGACCTTTCCGGCAAGAGTTGTACGCTCTAATTGCAAATACATCAGCCTGGCTTATAGCAATAGGCCACTGTACTAACTCGGTATTGCTTTCCTGAAGTACGGTTGGAATCTTCTGTTTGGGTCGAAAGGTTTATTGGCGGCAGGCTTCTCATTCTTGTTGCGCATAAGTCTACTTGGCATGTTTGCGCTGGAAGGGTCGAACTTCTGATTCGATTTGGATTTGAAGCCAGGGAGATCTTTCTCAGTGAAAACGAAGGTGTTCTTAACAGACTCATTATTGATATCTAACTGATACTCCTTTGGAATCGGCTGATGCTCTGCAATATTAGAAGAGAGAAGCATAGTGAGTTCTTGCTGCCATAAAAGTTAGCACGGTTGTCGGGTTGTATACAGAGTGGCATGCCTTTTGCGCGCCATCTTCTCCAATAACCGTGGAGTTCCTAATGGTTCCAATCTGGATCTCGGCATCGTCGTCGAGTTTGGACCACGCCTCCCAAACGTACTTGGGTACTTTGGATAGGTATAGTGACTGGAAGTTGGGGTCTGGGTTGAATTCGAGGTCGCCGGCATCTTCATAGATGTCTTCCTCGCTGAAGGCAGCCGGCGATGCGCCTGCGCCTGGAGCGTCAGGATCCGGTTTGATGGAAAGGTCTGCCATAATGCTGAGAAACGCAACAGTGAGGATTATCGCAGCCGGTCCATGTAAAGCAAGAAGTTGGAGTTGAGGCTGTCAAGAATGCGTTCTTTGTCGCCTGGGCTGGCACATTGATTGAGAAGAATGCGGAGAGCTATGAATGAATGTTAAGCCTACAAGGGTATTTAGAGATGACGCTAGTGGAGGCTTCTGTGTCACAATTACAGTCTACACACCAACACAATCACAATCAAGCGCCCACCTACCTATTATCAACCTCCAACTTGCTCTTGCCTCTTCACAACTGCATTTCCGTAAAATCCCAAAGTACAAAAGTGCCCGAATGCACCACTTCAACTGTTTACTAACAAAAGGAAACCACCACAATGGCCTCTGAAGATCAAGCCATCCTCGCAAAGATCGGCCAGCTCGCTGGTGAGTTTGCCACGCCCCCGTCTGTTTGCCTCTTCAGCTAACCTCGTCCTCTCCACAGGTCAGATCAACAAGCACAAGAACAGTAAGACATCAGATAATCAAACACAATACATGCCATCGATGAGTGCGAACACCTATCCAAGTATGCAATCGCGGTACTTCGATAAACACACCGCTAACGCCTCACAAGATTACGCACAACCCAGCGCAGCATGGGCAGCCAGTCGCGGGGGATACTCGTCGAGAGGGCATAGAGGAAGAGGTAGAGGAGCTGGGCATGTACACAGAAATCGCACCCTGGTTCTGAATGGCAGCACCCCCGCTTCCGAGGATCCCTCAACATCTCAATTTGCTACGAACGACAACCCAAAGACTGTCCCCGCCTGGGTCACCAAGAAAGACCGCCATCTACAACTGATAAATACGAATATCTTTGAAAAAGATAGCCAGATTAGGGCTAAAGCGATGGAGGAAACCCGGAGACAGAAACTAATGCAGCGAGACTTGCGCGAAAAGACAAAATTCAGCAAGCATCTACAGCGTCTCGCCAACAACAATTATGGCGCTATCGGACCACAATCACACTCTGCAACTGCGCCCGCCAACTACGAGATCAATGTACAAGGAATTCAATTCCGAGTAGCGAAGAATGGCAGCAAACTTGTCAAAGTTCCTGGTGAGCAGCCACCCACAGCCATTGAATACAACCAGGGCGATCTGTGTACCCAAGAACCAGACTTACTCCGTTTAGGTGATCTTAATGCTGCCAATGCTACACCGAAGACTGCCTTAATCGGTGGTGTGAGGTTCTACAGAAGCAAAAACGGCAACATGTACCGTTCTGGTATCGTCAAGGCCCACCGGTACGAACGACTACCTTTCAAACTGGCGTGGATGCCATTACTCCCCTGCAGAACTGATCTCCATGATACTAGGAAAAATGCGGGCATTAAAAAGATAAATGAACCTTGCAAAATGTTCACAACTACGGGTAGCTCCTTTCTTTCCAGAGTCGTCCGACTGAATTTGCATTACAGAGCAACATGGAGGAGTAGGTGGGTTTCAGCTAACAATGCGATTATCTAGGCACCTGTTCGAAAGGCCCAAGATGCCGTTATATTCATGATGCCTCAAAAGTTGCAGTCTGCAAAGAGTTTCTCTTGAAAGGGTCGTGTCCAAGTGGAGAGTCCTGTGACCTTTCACATGATCTCACCCCAGAACGAACTCCAAACTGCTTACACTTTGCAAAGGGACATTGCTCCAATGCAAATTGTCGTTACACGCACGTCCGTGTCTCTCCAAGTGCTTTGGTCTGCAGACCCTTTGCGATTTATGGCTACTGCGAAAAAGGCACGAGCTGTGAAGATCGCCATATTCATGAATGCCCCGACTTCAGCAACACTGGTACATGTAGTACAAGAGGCTGCAAACTACCGCATCGACACAAGGCGAGCGTTATGCGTACCAACCCAGGCCGGAGTGAGGTATCGGCAGAGGATACAAGTAGTGATCTCTCGAGTGATGAGGATGAAGAGATCGACGACGACGATGTCGATTCGGATGACCTTGATGAGGAGTATTTTGGAGAACATGGAAAACCCGATGCAGAGTCCATGCAGCAAGATTACGTTCAGTTGTCTTGACATCTGCTTCACCGCTAACTCGATGCCATTGATTGCTCATTCACCCCTTTTTTTCTTTGACCTGGTTTATCACTCCCAACTACAGCGTGGACATTGTGATTCATCTATTTGCTTGGCAGGGATGTGCTTGGCGTGGAAAGTGTCAGAAGGATATACCCGGACTCGAAGTCCCCTAGGCTGAGGCTCGAGTGCCATAGCCCTCAGCTTATTGCAGCACCAGAAAAAAGTTTAGAAAAGAATATAATCATTACCTCATCTTTGCTTTCCTTTCCAATATTCAAGTCATCTACATCATTGGGGGCTTGGCCCTAAAAGCAAAGTATACGAGCTTTCTCACAGTCATTTCAATTATTTTATCTCTTTCAATCATAGCTTTTTCGTATTCGATCCACTTGCATTGTAAGCAGGTGCCATTAAGTGGCAGATTATGATTGCGGTGTGGTTGAATTTCTCGCTTCCACCGTCCAAGCTGCCACGGGAAATTTTCGGAATTGCGCTTTTTCATACCTTTCTTGTAAAATTGCTATTCTTAGGGATTTACTTTCAATTGCCGGAAAAGCAGATCACTATTAGTTTTCAGTACCGGGATTGAGCTTGCCATTGGGCATAATACCAAATCCATATTAAGCCCTAAAGTACGGACCGCATTCCTCGTTTTCGAGTCTATAGTATGACTCAATAAATGTTGGTTCCAGAATAGAATCCGTACACACTGGCTGAAGCAAATAGTTCGGGATCATGTTGTTTATATCGATCTATTGGTGGCAAACATATCATATCTGCCTTAGCTTTCGTCACCGCTACAGTCCATCTTCTATTGTTGTGGCGGTCTAAGAGTAGAAAACCTGTCTCTCTACACCGCTATCCCTACGCAAACTAATCATGATATAGATCTTGCTATTAATCAACTAGGTACTCGGGAAATTCTCCAGTGAGTACGGCAGATATAAATTCACCACGAGTTTTAAAAGATGGATGGTGGCACTCGCGGATAGGACCTTGCATCAAATGCGGCTTTCCGGACGAAACTCTGCAGGACGCATTTGAGATCTTAGATTCCGTGGGACAAAGAGGAAGCGCGTCTCACCCCGAGCGCCGGTGTTCTGTACTGTCGTTTGCCAGACGACACTCCACTGCACCACGCATTCAGCCAACTGATTGTTGGAAAACAATGTCAATTAGTTACATGGGTTCGGGAAGGAATACGCGAACGTTTCGGAGTCGCAGACCGACAGTTGGAATCATCCAATTGTGGAAGGATACCAGTGGTTATTATGTTTGCTTGGTCGCAGATCTGACAGGAATTTTTAGAAGTCCTTTCTATTTGTGGCCCGAAATAGAGCATGGGCGGTGAATAGACGCACACTGTGCCCGGCCGCTGAAGGGTGCTTGATACGAAGTACTGTACGTACTAGCAGGTTAACGTAGGGCTTGGTGCGTTTGAGAAGTCGTCGTGGAAAATAACGGAGTGCGGTCATACGTGGGGATTGTTATGGATTATGTTACCAGCCACTCGCGGGTAATCCTTCTGTTGCTGCTCCACTATGTATGAGTCGAACGAACGTCCACAAAGTTCACCGCTTAGGTCGTTGAGAGATCAATGTTTCTGGAAAGACTTCGGTTCTTGCCATGCCAACTACCGCTCGCCCTTACGAAAGTATTTGTCCTTGTTAGAGTTGAGATATTACCTGGATCATCGTGGTTTGTTTTATGACTCAACGGTCCTGTTTGTCTTGGACGTTGAGCTATAGAAATCGCTTTAGATTTGATGTCGTCAGACGTGCCTTGGATCTGTTTATGCGCGAAATAGTGTACTATAGAGATTCATATCCTGGGCCTGTCCTGCCAAATCCGCGTTCAAATAAGGTATGCGGACCGGGGTTGGTCACTAGTCCTTTCATGGGAATCCTCGTTGATGTTCTCCCGCAGCCGGCTCCGGCTCCAGCAAGTGGGAGACGAGACGAGGCATCGAGAACCAGTTACATTTCGCCTTGGGGCGTTGGGCACCGCACCGCAGGTCTATTGTTTAGGTACCGCTGCTCTGCTCGCTCTTTACTCGTACCCGTAGCACGCGAACGGTGCAGCAGTTTGGCATAGAAACGGCCACCTATCAGGTCGGGCTTCACTGAAGACGCCGCGTGAGTGTGGGCGTGCCATGTGCGATGGGGGTTGGTTCGGGGGAAATACACCGTATGAGGTCAAACTAATAGGCCTGATAACGACCAAGAACCGTTCGATCAGAAAGCAGAGCAGATCAGTAGGGAGTAAACCAAAGGTTCCGGGAAGAGCTAGCTATTCGTAGCACTTACGAAGTACCTACTACTTCTACTTACGGAGCTCTCTATTGTTCGAATCCGTAACGCGTGACAAGGAGACCCTCAACCCTAATTGGAAAAAGGTCGTCCACACTGAGCATCTTGCCCCAACTCGAACGATTGGCGTTCGCTACGGTTGCGAGCTACTGGGGTTTGCAGCCTATCGCTGGCTATCACTCCCCATCCTCAGTGACTCTTTTTGGCGGGAGGACGGAGCGCCAGCTTGACGACTCCAATAAGATCTCGGGGGCATGGTTTAGTTGCGGAAACAAACTTGGCCCCGGCCACTTGTCATGCAACACCACCGTAAGAGGCCTATCGGCACGACTGCTCGCTACAGGCATACAGTACAGTACAGGAGAGTGAGCCCAGAAGACTCTCTCCCCTACAACCGTCTTGATGCCCAACACAAGGGGGCAGGCAGAGAGGAGAAGGAGAGGTGGATAGGGAGCTAGGACACGGAGAAGGAGAGGCAGAGGGGGGCTAGGACAAGAGAGCAAGTGGGATGAGACCCCGAGAGACAGGCCTAATCAGTAGGAGGCCGACTGACCAAGGGCTTGAAGCGTGAAGGGTATCGCTTGCACCCGCGCACCCGCCTTGCTTTTTCCCGTTTTTCCCTGTCTGGCTATATGGTGCATGGGGGGAAGTGCTCTAGCTCTCTCATGCTGGTGATTTGCTACAGCACTGTCCAGAACCCCACCCCCAGGCCCAGTCCAGTATCAGAGCTCCCCTTTCGGGTGGGACGACTATGGCATCCGCTGCCACTGCCAGGAGCGCAGGAGAGGCTCATGCTCATGGGATAGCATGGCATGGCATGGCTCCATGGTGGCTTGGGATGGGATGGGATAAGAACCTAGAGGGCCCGTTCCCTATCGCAAAAGATCTGATCTGATCTCACCTCATACCTGCCAACGGTACTTTACAACTCACCTCGTTTGTCTTTCCCATATACCGGGAGACATCACGGCTTTTTGTCATTACACGAACTCGACTTCACTCGACCATTACAGGCAGTGATTTCTACCGCCCGCAGCTTTAAAATCATATAATCGTCGTAATTGTCGGCCATTATTCTCTGTTTTCATCGCTTCACCGCTATCTCCCATCCGAACTTCGCTTCCTCCCCCACCACCACGACTTCCACCACCACCACCAAAAATCATCCTTTACGATGGCAGCATTTCCTGCCATGCACAACTTCTACAGATCGTCAGCGCTGACGGTCGACACCCACTCGCAAAACTATTTTGAGGAAGACGAAGGCAGTATTCTAGATGAGAACATCCTCGATCACAGCGCGCTGGACTCAGGATTAGAAATGTCCCCGCACATGAACGGCAGCCGGCGAGATTCGTTTGCAGTCTCCTCAGCATTGTTCTCACCAAAGACCGATGACTGGCAGCAAGTCGACATGCAGCAACAGCAGCAACCTATGGCTTCCAACAATCCGTTTGTTGAGCAAAACAACCACCACAACAACAACAATCCTTTCATGCGTATTGATTCACAGCAGTCGTCGTATGGCGGGCACCAGGGCCAAGGGTGGCCGGTGAGCAACGGTTCGGGCATGAGCACGCCTATGCAAGGAGGACATGATGGACTACCTTCGGAATTTGAGGTCAACGCTCCCATATTTCACAGACCTATGCAGACTCCATTCAGCAATCCTGGCAACCAACAACTACCACTATTCTCCTCAGCAAATAACACCAATGGTTCCATCCCCGCCTCACCCCAGAAGGAATGGTCCGTAGCAGATGCTATGGATCACCGTGCTATGCCTAAACGTATGCGGCCTCATAGCCCAGCCCTAAGGTCGCATCCAGAGATGACAAGGAGGGGAGACGGTATCCGGAAGAAGAATGCTCGTTTTGATATCCCCGCGGAGAGGAATCTCACCAACATCGACCATCTCATTGGACAGTCCACCGATGAGCAAGAGATCAAGGAGCTGAAGCAACAAAAGCGACTGTTAAGAAACAGACAAGCAGCGTACGCATCTCCACAATTTGGTCTTATTTCCCTTTGGTATCACTGGCCCGCTAACGTAAATGATTAATTAGACTTGATTCTCGACAAAGGAAAAAACAGCACACTGAACGGCTTGAGGATGAGAAGAAGCATTACACTGCTTTGATTAATGACCTCGAGGAGGATCTAGCCGAAGCAAAGTTGGCTTTGGATGACTGGGCCCGCAAAGAGCAGCAATACCAACAATACATCGAGAACATGCAACTTGAGAAAGAGGAAATGGTTCGAAATCATACAATCGATACTGGCGAGCTTCGTAAGAAGGTCAGCGTCCTCACTGACCATGTCCAACGTCTTGAGAGTACTGCCATGTCTGCCGTCCCTAGCTCTAATGGTTTCTCTGCCGACTACGCCGATATCGACAGCCTCACTATGGATAGCGCCTGGGACAACATTTCTTTCCTCAACGACTACTCTATCGAACATGAAGTCAAGGTTGAAAACTCCCAAGCTCTGGTTCCCGTCAAGAAGGTCGAAAACTCTCTGCTCAGCGAGCCCGAGAAACCGGCTGCCCAAGGTCTCCTCTTAATGTTGCTTCTCGTTGGTGCTTTTGTTGCTTCGAAAGGATCGTCTCCAAGTGTTCCCCAGGTGTCGGATGATGTTCGGGTTGCTTCAGCTACTCTGCTTGAGGATATATTCAATGATGCCGGTGTTCCGCACGCTGCCTCCAGTGTAGCTGAAGCTGCCGCTCCTCTTCCCTCCGTCAACACTTGGTCATCGAATCCAATACCTTCCATGGGAAGTAACGAAATGCTCGGTGTAACCCAATCAGCTCTTGGAGACCTCAGCGACACTCTTGCCCAGCCTACCGAAGAACAGAACAACGAACAACTTTTCTCTATGTCAGCAGCACAGTATAACGGCCTCACTTCTCAGGACTTCCTACAGAACGCTCCGCAACGATCGACATCTCAAGGACGACGCAATCTCGGTGAAACGTTGGCTGCGATGAGGAGCAATAGCAAGAAATCGGCAGCCGAAGTCTACACGCGGTCATTACTCTGGGATCAAGTACCGAGTGAAGTAGTCCGCAATTTCGCAAAGCTCGTCTCAGAGTGCAATACTCGGAGTGGGGACGAGGACTGTAGCACAGCCGGTGGCTAAATAGCCTTTCTCCCCCTAAAGACTTTACTTTACACACACCAATGGTCCACGAATAACGGCACATTTTACAAACGCATCAGAGGGTCTGTTGCTCACGCATAATCTGGTAGTTTTCTATTTGTTATTTTTGTTTAGCAAGCAAGCGAGCGTAGCGTTGACCTTTTTGATATTCCATGATTGTGATTCTTTTTTGTTTGGGCATTTTCATCATCAGCATCAGCGACGGTACGGGGCAGGGCAAGGACAACGGGCAAACAGAATAAGACCCAGGGACACGGGGAAATCAACATACAATCAGCGCAAGCTGGCACGATCACAGAGGGTACAGCACAGTATGGGTCATATCCCAGAGCTGAACAGAAGGGACAAACACTTTGTTTTGGACATGTAAATTGAACAACCGGGAAGAAAATGGGGGGACATGGGAACATGTCCCACGGATTTCATTTATTTCATTTTGATATTTTCCTTGAGTAATGGCCGGCCAGCCAGCATTTATGTTACGCACGAAGAGAGTGCAGGGAACGTCGAGCGAGATTTACGAACGACTTTTTACGAATATTATCACGACTTTAAGATACCAAACGAGCGAACAGACCTTTCAACTTCGCAACACACGCGCATCGCGCATCACGAATCTCTTTCATAACGATAAGATAATGCGAATGATCTCCGTCCACTTGCATACCTCCACCTTGAATCAATCTCACGATGGAACTCAAAACATTTGATTTGCGAGGTGTTTGATCATGACGATCTAATGACCTGCGTCGTCACACAACACCACCACCGTCTGAGCCACCAACAGCCTCAGCCCAACCACAACTTTTTTTTTGTGAACAACTGCCGATTCGATTTCCAGAGTCATTCATGTATTTAATTCATTAGGATGGGAGGCCGACAACTGTACTTAACGTAGCTAGCCTAGCCTAGCTTCACTTCACAAATACGAACTGAACATGGAGAGATGGAAATCATATCCTTTTAAAACCAAAAACAAATCACTCCTTCTTTCTCTTATCTTGCTCATTCATTCATTCATTTCTAATTAAAGTAATAAGTAAACATGGCGAACTGCAATGCAAGGAAACGAAATACCGGTACAATATATCAAATCCCGCCGCTGCCGAACGATAAAAAAACACGCTATCTATCTATCGGCAAACGAAAACTTTGCTTGATTTGATTCAGTTCAGTTTATTTTAATACGGAGTAATGTGTGAGTGATGCGATGTGATGTGTACTAGACTACGTACCGGAGCTTAGGTCAAGGTTGCATGCTGCGTGCATGTGTGTGGTGCGTGTGTGCGACTTCCGAGGAAGAGGGGTGATGGGATCTACAGATAGCAAGGTATACCAAGTCAAGGCAAGTAAGTCATGCAGCTGATTAATTAATTCATTCATTAAGCAAGCATCCATACAGTATTATCCGTCCTCCGTCCCTGGTACGGTATGCGTATAACGTTCCTTTCTATAGTTACATCTATATTTCTTGGAACAAAGCAGTGCAGTGCTTTGGATACTGAGGAGGTTTTATCGAGGAAGTTGAAGTGGAAATGAAATGGAGGATAGGTATTTCTTGCTACATAGAAAGAGTAAAGGTCCGTACTGTACTGTACTGTACTGTACGTCCTAATGCGCCATGATCACATACTGTACGTTCATGTTCATGTCATGTAGGCTTCCCGCCCGTCGCACGCACAACGCAAGTGCAAGTGCAAGTGCAAGTACAAGTACACGCAAAGGACCGGTCCGTAGGAGTTAGGTCAGGTTCACGCATGAAATACTCGTAAATAGAGGGGCCTGGCCTCGAAGTAAACTCTACCCCCGCCCCATCCGTGCTACGTAGGTAGGTAGGTACTAGCTGTGCATGCCACTATACAGTACACACACAACCCAACGATCCCAAAATAAAATCCACAAACCCATCCCTCATCACGCGAAAGGGCAAAGTCTCAAAGTCGGGACGGACGATACGAGAGATAGATCTTCGGGAATTGGCTGAGGGAAACGACGACGTAGAGTGGTTGGTGGTGGCCCAGCCCGCTGAGCCAGCCTAGAAATGACCCCGCTTTGCAAAGCCCCCAATGTCAATGTCAATCCCGAGACCTCACCTCAGAACCCCACGAAAACCAACAGGAGCGGAGCAGAGGAACAAAATAAGACAACACCAAGCCAATCGAGGTTAGGGCAGTCGTAACCAGAGTCTCAATCTCACTTCTTCGGGGCATTGTACTTTTCCTTCCAAATCCTAATGTACGAATAAACCATCAGCCGACTTTATCCACGTAATTAGGAGCATGCTCGCCAGCGAATCGGTCGCTATCGGTCGAGTCATCTGTAACTGCGCTGCACGGGATGGCCACCACCGTGGCCGCTGCCCATGCACATGAACAGCGAACAAATGGTTTGGGGGAAAGTGGAGTGGAGTGTCAATAACGTGACATAACCATAAACATGAGCAGACTTTTGAACTTGACTTACCAAGAGTTTCCCAAGGTCTTACTTCCACCTTGTTCCGCGAGCCTGTAGTATTTCGCAGCTGCCCACTGTGGATATATCGTCAGCCTCATGGCGTCCTAAATGGCTGAAGCCGATGTCGCGTGGGGTACAAATGTAGATTGGAAAGCCTCATTGCTGCCCAAATGCAGTCATCAAGGGGAGGAACGCATGCGCAAGCCACAGTAGATGCGAGGCTGAGGGCCTAATAGGTACGAAGTATTGCACCACGAAGCTATTCGGAAGCTTCGGTTCGTTCCGGGCCTGTCACAAAGTTACGTACCTTGTCTTTCTTGCAGCCAAACCCTTCCACATAGCACCAAGCAACCTCATTCATTGCATCTGCAATATTGTCAGTCTCGAATCGGGTTACTCAACTCAGGCGGAAATCAATGCACGATCAACTTACCAGTGTCGCCCAAATTCGCTGCAGTTTCATAATACTGTTCCCCGAGAAGTCAGTCAATATTCCCTGATCGTTCCACGACCCAGTCCTTTTATCAGCCTCACCTGTTTCGCGGCCAGTTTGTCGATGGCCACACCCCAGCCGTATCTGAAGCAGTTTGCAAGTTCAAAGATTGCCAGTACCAGCTCGCCCTTTGCTGCTCCTCCCTTCTTCAACCCAGCTTTAAGTGCAAGCTCCTCGATCAAAGCTGCATTCGACGCTGCTGCCGATAGATATTTGACGGCAGCCCCAGGATCAGGCGTGCATCCCCAGCCGGATCTAATGAAATGAGACGTCAGGAATGTCTTCCACAACCTAATCTTCAATGACACGAATCCAAGACCATATCTATTGGAGTAATATTAGTTGCATAAAAGAACCAATTGACGTACCTCAGGGCGAGACCATACAGCACCTGGCTCAAAGCATTATTCTCCCCATTAGGATCTGCCAATCGCCCAAACATCCGCGTAGAAGTCTCCAATTCCCCGGCTTCATGAAGCCTAATGGCTTCCTGTATATCGTCATCTGCTTGCTTTGTCGGTATAGCACCCTTATGCTTCCCAGCTTCGCCCAATGTCATGCTACTGAATCCCGGTAGATCTGCTATTGAAGAGCCACTAGGAGTAACTGGTCGACTCCGCGATTTCTCATTTTCTCTTGCCAGTATGGTTGCGCGTCTTTCCCATTGTGACTCCCCGGCATCACCATCCCCCGCGCCGATCTCCGGAAGATCACTTGGTACACTTGTTGAAGTTATCTGGCTCTTTCTCAAATGAAGACGCTCTGATAACCTCTTCGATTTTGACTTGTCGCCGGTACTGATATGGGAGGATGTAGATACAGCAGAGACGCCAGAAGAGCTACAGAGAACCGGCGAGTCAGCTTTGCTTCTTCGGAAGAGGATAGATCGGTGTCCCAAGAGCCGTGAGACATTCTCAGAGTCCATATAAACCCACCTTCGGGAGCGCCCTTTGAATATCCCACTGGTCCTGGGTTCGGCATTGCCATCTCTGCCGTCTGCGACAGGATGTCTCGAGGAACCTACGGAGGAGAACGTAGGAGGTGAGATGATCTCTTGTGTATACGTGTCGCTCCTCATAAAAGTAAACTCGGGTGCTTCAAACGAAGGCTCGCGCGCTGCGGGGGCGGGGGACGGCGCATGCGCATCTGTAAGCTTCTCTTTCTTCCCGAGGAGATGTTTGAAAGGCATTTTATTATCCTTGCTTTGGCGTAATAGTTATAGCAGACAAGTGGTTGTAGAATGTATTGCGCAAAAGGACGTGGAAAATACAAAGAAAGAAAATAAAATAAACTTGTGATGTTAGACTCGCAGCTTCTTTAATTAACGCGCTGGATTGCTTTACAGCGTCCAAGTTTGCCAAGAAGAGTCATCTTGAGAGAGGGGGGCCTCTTATTAATGGGCAAATTGCGACCTGCTTATGGGGAAAATGGTCGCAACTGTTGATTCTTACAGTAGGGTAGAGGCTTAGACGGCGGCGCAGTCCGTACTTCGATACAGTTTCCGCTTGCAGTGAGAAAATAGGGGCCGTTTGCAGCATACGAAAATTTTACACTTCATCAGCCCACCCAGGTCGTACTGGCCTCAAGAATATTATCAAAGTATCACATAACAGAATCACCGAGTTCAAGAAGTATTCATGTGTCGAATCACTACATTATTCTTCTTTCAAATCTAATTGAAGTCCCAGAGCTTCACCAGTAGACTATCCTCCTTTCCTGAACCTTCCTCCTGCTTCGAAAATATTTTCTTGGGTATCTCATATTCTACAACTGGCACCTTCTTGACATCCTTCGAGAGTTCATCTTCAAGCATCTGTAAAAGACATTAGGCCAAAGCAATTCATAGGTAGGGTTAGTAACTTACACTTCCATATGTGTGATCTAAGAAGTCCTCCAAATTGTAGGCATATTTGGTGAACTGCTCTGAAATTATCTTTGCAAGCGTCGCAACGTTTGGATGATAGTGAGACTGTAACATGACTATTTCCCAAAGACAGCTATCAATAGCATGTGTCTTCATAGGATCTTCCTCCTCCACGAGAAATGGATCAGCCAGTCCCTCACTCTCTAGGAGCGCCTTTCCTTCAGCCGTTCTCGTAACTCGGTGGATCATGAATGTACAAGTGGGGTGTTTTTGGAGAATATTGTAAATCCAAGGGACAACAGTAACAACGCCACCAGGTGGTGCATTTAGTGTTAATCTGGAAAGCCTTTTGACGAAGCTAGCAACTAAGACTACTGGAAGATGGGTTGACGACAAGAACGTGTCCATAAGTTTAAAGAAGCTCGACCGATGCTTCGAATGCATAATTTCGGAGTCGAGAAGCCCATATAACTTTTGGTAGAAAGATGGATAGTCCAGATTCTTCTCCTGGATCAAGTAAAACAGCCCCGAAAGCGCGGCTAACGAGGTAGATCCACCTGCATTATACGAATCTGTGCAGAAGTCCATGAGAAGCTCCGGCTTGATGAACCACGGTGCAACAGAAGTAGACATAATCTTAAGAATCGACTTCCTTTGATCCTCGCTCAAGTCCATCGTCACCAAGGCATACCAAGCATCCTGAGCCCGCTTTTTGTGTTTCGTGAGAGTGAACAAAGCGTGTTTGGACTTCTTCGGAGCTGGTATATAAAAGTCTTCGAGCTCTTCTTCTGATTCGGGTACTGATTCGATGGTTGTAAGGATCTCAAAAACATTGTCAAAGACTTGGTGTGCAGATGCGGCACTTCGAGGTTCTTCCAATACTCTCCTGCGGGGAGAAAATGTTAATATATGGACCACTTGAACCTGAATTATATACTTACTTGATGGCTTCAAATGTATAGAATCGAATATCATCATATTCTTCCACAAACTTCTCGCTGAACTCCTTCCGAGCATTGGCATCACTCTCTGGCTTCACCAAAGCTTGCACAATTCCAGTGAGAAAAGAGCTGGGAAACTGGTATTCCTGAGTCCGGGTATTCTCTCCTTCAGTCTTCAATAACCTCATACATAATGCTAATGCCGTAGCACTAATACCCTCTTCCCCAAGTAGGTCAAATAATGAGTTCTTGTATTCGGTATATCGTTCCTTCAGCCACTTAACTACCACGGCCTCCTGGTCAGTGGCTCCTTTCTTGTTGGCAAGGTCTCCAGCAACAATAAATCTTGTGAAAACTCGGCATAACGAGATTGCGGCAATCACTGAATCATCGGCGTCTTCGCTGTCTGTCTTGAGAATCTTGATCAGCGTTGCGACGTTGTTGTAGTTTTTCTTAGACTCGAATATCTCGTTCTCCAGTAAGAGGATTTGCGCCTGGCCATCTTCCTCACTGCTCTCGGATCGTGCACGTTTCGAAGGCCTCTTGTCTGAAGAAGACCGCTTCCTCTTTGCAGACCCAGCGGAAGCTTTAACAAGACCAGGCATGGCGAAATATTTGTTTCGTTTGATTTTGAAGTTCTTGAATAATTGTAGTTGGAAATAAAGTATTCACCAAGAACTTTTTTGAGGCTAAAGCGGCGGATCACGTGTACGAAAACGGAGTACCAAATCCCGACCTTCAATTCTTCAAGCTCAAGCAAAGCAACGTCAAGGAGCTCATATCCATCTCCCCTCACTTCACAATGGCATCACGTTTGGCAAGAAGCGCTGTAGGTATGTAATCGAGTCTATCGCAGACCATTCTTCACCCATTGGAACCCGCGACAATGACTGACCAGAGTTCCAGGCGCCGCTCGTCTTCGACCTGCATTCCCAACCCGAGCCCTCCCGGCGCTCACAACTTCTCTCACAAGCTACCGATCAGCCTCAAGTGTGCCAGTGGAGGACCCCAAGAAGAAGGCACAGTCAATCATCGACTCGCTGCCAGGTAACTCGCTCATCTCCAAGACCGCCATCCTATCGTCAACAGCCGGTGTCGCCATGTACGCTATCAGCAACGAATACTATGTTGTGAACGAGGAAACCATTGTCGCACTGTGCTTGTTGAGCGTCTGGACTGCTGTTATTAAGTATGGAGGACCATTGTACAGCGAATGGGCGCAAGGCCAGGTCAACAAGGTCAAGGGCATCTTGAACGCTGCTCGTGCCGATCACACCGAGGCTGTCAAGACACGAATCCACAGTGTTCAGCAAATGAGCGGTGTTGTTGACATCACCAAGACTCTTTTCGAGGTTTCAAAGGTGCGTAATGGAGCTACTGCTGTACAAGTTGATGCTGATAATTTTCAGGAAACCGCACAGCTTGAGGCTAAGGCCTACGAACTCGAACAATCCACTGCCCTCGCCGCGGAAGCCAAGACAGTTCTCGACTCATGGGTTCGATATGAGGGACAAGTCAAGCTCCGTCAACAAAAGGAGCTCGCTGAGAGCATTATCGCCAAGATCACCAAGGAGCTCGAGAACCCCAAGGTCCTTCAACAAATCCTGCAACAGAGTATTACCGACGTTGAGAGTAAGCAATCTTAGAGATAGATCTGTATGATGGCTGCTAATGATTTCAATAGGGATTGTTTCGTCCAAGGCACAATAGATGGAGAAGGGAGACCAGCGCATTAAATATTTCTTTTTGTCACCCGTGTTCATAAAACCCCTGTGCAATAGTTGATCAAGAATTCCTCTACGAAGTAATGAGCCCATCTGTGAAATTGATTTTGATTCCAAATATGATCCCATCGCTGCATTTGGTTGAGTACAAAACTCATCTGCTCAGGTCCTGTTCACTAATGCTCGCTGATGAACCTGAGAACAAGCAGCGACACGCAAGTGTGTACAACCAGGCGGTGAATCAGCTATACTGGAGCTGAATAATCTGCGGTTCCTACATTATATCTGAATTGCTATGATCAGTGCGTCATGTTCATGGTATTTCGGAGACCTTGGCTTTCTAAATGCGGACCGAGTTGATCATCAACCGTCGCAGATGTTCCGATTAGCTCCAGGCACATGGCGAGCAAGAAGCTGATTAGGTCACCCCAGACAGCTGAACATACATAACACGTCCAGGTAGATTTTTCCAAGTAGAATCAAGAGTATACCTTACAGCACTGGACATTCTGCATTTTACACACCTGTGTCAAACCCAAGTCTGCAGAGGTAGGGTAAATAGGCTAAAGCAAACTCTCAAGTATGTGAGCACTATAACTAAGTAGAAATAGGGATATCTCAACTCGTAAATGCGCCTATTCTTTCGAGGTAGCTATAGTAATTGATTGTGAGATCTTTCTACCACAGAAATGGTTAGCCTCAAATCACCTCGCGATTGTTGACTCAGAGAATGCTTCTTATTAGATCGATCTACGGAATATAAATCCCCAGAGGCCGCTCCCTGCATGTAAAAGTGAAAAGAAGGATAGACGTGAATGGATAAGACAATGGTCATATGCTGGCGTTAGCCTACACATGCGCTTAGTGACTGTAAAGTTTATGCTTCTTGAGGAGAATTTCACAAGTACGTGGAGATGGCATTGCCTCTCGGAGGTGGGATCTCGTGGTCAAGAACTGAAGGTTGCTTGGTGTTGAACCAAACACCAGAGACATTTGCACCTGTGAAAAGTATATTTCGATCTGTAATGACGGTCTCTTCCTAACACGACATAACTCCTCGAAAGCTGTGTTCGAGATGACTTCCAGGCTCGAGTCGTAATGCCTACGCAAGCACATGATCTGTAGTGCAAGGTCAGCTCGATGTCAAACTCCCGCAATTTGCCCAGTAATCCATAGCAATAGCATTGCATCTTAAAGGTTGCAAGGGAAGCTTAGGTTAATTCATGCCTTGAATGTTGAATTAACCTCACGGCACACAGTATTGTAGATGACACGGGTTCGGGATGTATCGCATGAGCCACAAGGCTGACACTCACCTGGTTGAGACCAGATGATCAGACGGATTCCTATGCTTATTTTGATTGAATAGCTGAGCCGTATAATTGTAGTTTATTGATAAATAAAGACGGAATCCTAAAAGGGTTTTCCGCCTTCTCTTTTTTTATTTTCGGTCGCACTGGCTCCACTGATACGGAATGAATATAAGTCACTGTATATCTCTTTAATTAGAGACTATAGCACAGAAAAGAGAGAGGGAGACGCTTGTATCAAAATGACTTTCTTTCCATCTGAATTTTGTGAGCCTAACTTGCTCCAAATTCTGTAGTTTTCCCCAGATTAGGAAAAGTGCTAACTTCACTAAACTTGGTGGACTTAGAGTATCTATAATATAGAGCAATGCATCATGGAGTAAACGAATATAGACAACCACAGGGATTAAGTAATATGAGTGAAGAAGGAAGAGATCTGAATGAAAAGGAGGGGTGGAGTTTTAGCGTGCAGGGGAGCTTCCCCAAGCGAGTTTGGCGTCTGCCTCATCAAGCCAACCAAGCTCTCCCCGCGTTCAACTTCAGCCTCATCCTAGAAAAGGTTTCCGAATACCTTCAACACGCCCTATTAGGAACTGTACCAACTCATAAACTCATCATGGCGTCTCCAAAGGTATCTGCGGCTCTGCAGCAAATCGCAGCATCAGAGGAGAAGGGACCAGGTTACGAAGCTCTACTGTCCCAAGTCCAATTCACATCTAGCTCCGCCCAGCTCCCAGGAGACCTAATCGCCATCCTCGACGCCATATTCGCCGACTCGTTGGGCATTGTAGCCACACGTTCGCTTGCTGGCTCATTTGTAGCAAACCTGAAGACCCTGAAAACAAATGAAGCCAAAATCGAAGTTGGCGAGCACGCTCTAGGCATCTTCCAATCCCAAGCGGCCTCCTACGAAGAACAGAATGCGCATGTCCGCGAGCTTATGGCAGATGCGTACGAAGCAGATGAAGGAAACTTGGAAGCTGCGAAGATCCTGGCGGGCATCCCTCTCGAATCATCCCAGCGCAAGGTGTCAAATGAGGATAAGGTCAAATTCTGGATTCGCATTACGAGAAACTACCTTGAGGTCGACGATACTACACTCGCGGAACAGTATCTCAACAAAGCCAAGAACCTTATATACACTGTCTCAGATCGCGATCTGAATCTACATTTCAAGCTCTGTCAAGCCCGTATCCAGGATGCGAGACGCAACTTTTTAGCTGCGGCGCAGGGATATCAGGATATCAGTTTCATGCCGGTCATTGCGGAAGAAGAGCGTCTTCATACTTTGAGCATGGCTATTAAATGTGCGGTCCTAGCACCAGCTGGTCCAGCTAGGAGTCGGGCGTTGGGGCGACTTTACAAGGATGAGAGAGCTGTTACGTTGGGCGAGTATGGTATTCTGGAGAAGATGTTTCTGGATAGGCTTTTGACGCCGGAGGAAGTGGCTAAATTTGCTGAAGGACTGGCTGAACATCAACTGGCAAAAACATCTGATGGAAGTACGGTTTTGGCAAAGGCTGTCGTGGAACATAACCTGCGAGGTGCTTCGAGACTGTTTAACAATATTGGTTTTGACGCTTTGGGTTTGTTATTGGGTTTGGATGGGGATAAGGCCGAAGAGACAACCGCTAGGATGATTGAGCAAGGTCGATTAGTGGGCAGGATTGACCAGGTTGAGAGAATCATTTGGTTTGAGGCTCGTGAGGCTTCAGGTGAGAAGGGTAGTGGTAGAGCTGAGGGCGTTGTTGGGAAAGAATTGCGGAGATGGGACTCTAATGTTCAGGGTCTTGCAGAAGAAGTCGAGAAGGTCACTTCAGAACTGCAGCTACGCTACCCTGTGAGTATCTTGCGTGTATTGCCGAAAATCTCAAGCTGACATTTGCATAGGACTTTGTTGCAGCCAATTTAACCGTTTGAACCTATTATAACCTGAAGATATCACGGCGTTTGAGAGGGACGAGCCACGTACCTAGGAGTCTTTGGCATTATTTTAATGGCGTTACGAAGAGACGAGAATGAGATAAGATAGCATGCCCAAAATCACAAATAGAACAGCATTGCGAGAATTGATGATTCCCAGGTCTCAATTAGATAGTGCTACTTATGTGCAGTCATGGAAATATGCAAAGATAGTTACTTGGTGCGAGGTCTCGGGACACTATTGGTTGGCGTGACTATCCTCGAAATTGGACAAAGTCTGGTATATCTGGTTGTCCGCTCATAGTTATTGCATTCAAAATATAAGAGTCGAGTACGAATTATTTGAAGTAACATCCTTGGGCATATCAATAATCGGTTCGTATAGCCAATTCGATGAGGTTGCGCAACAATGCAGTGCTTTTGATTTCATGTCGCCCGACCAACGCAATAAGCCCCACATCAACAAAGATAGGACGCCGCCCAGCAATCCCGGACCAAGATTTCAATATTCAGAACGCGATAATTCTTTTCAACCACGCGCAATTGCTTTAATTGCTTTGGGGAAGTCTTTCTTGGAGCATGGAATTATGAACTACGACTTGTACCAGATCATCCGACAACAATAACTTCTATTTATAATCCGCATCGCCTGCTTCCTTCCAATGGCGACCGCATCTCCAACACCGATGAGCTCTCATTTCGGGTCCCTCTCTCGAAGACCCTCCTTACGACAGACACAAAAGCCTACAAGGCCTCCGCTAAGCCGTACAGACTCCGTGCCTCTTGGGTCTCATGCGCGGACCTATTCGCTTAACGACAGTTCTGACGATGAAATTGTTATTCCCATGATGAAATTCAGCGCCGAGACGAATGCATTGCTCAATGATGCTGCTCTGGCTGCCGAGAAATCTTCCCCGAGTCACAAGCACAATACATCGGATCCCGAAGAAGTATACAAGTTCCGAGGTTCAAACACTGGTCAAGACGGATCACCCCCGGGTACCAAAGTCCACAGCCCTTTCTCAAGAAGAATAGTACGGTTGAGTGGTACTCCTGGCTCTTCCACTCTCCGAAGAAGATCATCAACATTGTCTAATGCTGTCCGGAAGCACAATGAACAGCAAGCAGCTCCCAAGGCGGAAAGCCCCCTCGACCTCAGCACCCCAGCGCCTGTCCCAAGAACCGTTCGCATACCTATCACACATTCTGGCAGCCAGGGGAGATCTGGAAGCTCCTCTGGGCACGCATCGAGCAAGGCGGACTCTGCATCTCGAAATGAGGAGGGAGAGCCTAGTTCACAAGGATATCCCGCCACCATCGTCAGGTCTCAATTGGCTTCCAGTCAGGGAAGCGTTTCAAGGTATGGAGGAATGGGACGCGCAAGATATGGCGAAGAAGTAGGCCTACACAGTTCAATGCGAACCAAGCCGAAGATCAATGGGAGGTTTCTAAGCGGTCCTGCTAGGAGGGGAAGGATACGCAAAAACGATGAGGAACAGAGCCCATTGGAGGAGCATGGCGATGGTTTAGACGCTGCTGGGTCGAGTCAAGAACCCCAGAGCCAGGAGTTTCAAGCGCCCGAATCGCAAAGTCAGAATCCCTCCAGCCAGGAGTCCGAGGTGAATCAAGATATTTACCCACCGTCTTATCGAGATTTTGCTTCCGGAAGTCCCGTGAGTTCAAAAGAGGCCATCAATTCAATCCTCAGATCTAAGTCTCCACCACCACCAACACTATCCAGTTCTCAGAGATCAGCTGGCGGGGACTCCAATGCTCGCGCTCCCCTTCAACCGATACAGCCTGTGTTTAAAGTACCAGCGCCGAGGCCAGATCTTCCCTCAACACACGACCAAGAGAACGAAGCTCCTCCGACTTTCAAAAGAAACAAACAAGCACCACTAATTCACCTCGACAAGTTGGAGAAAGTGCCGGTGCGACCTGAAAGCCTTGACATGAGTGCACTGCGCTCTGCTGGATCTCCGGAAAGACGAGCTTTAGCGCCCCGGAGTCAAAACACCCCACGAAGACCAGCGCCACCTCCTCCGAAGATGTCTATCCTTGACGCGGCGACTAGTACTGCTGGAGCAGCTACAACCGCGAATGCCGGTGGGAAGAGGAATAGGATGAAGGTTAATGGGAAGTACTATACTAGACTAGACTGCATTGGACGCGGAGGAAGTTCAAGGGTATACCGAGTTATGGCAGAGAACTCGAAGTTTTTTGCTTTGAAAAGGGTCACTTTTGATGATGGGATCGATGATATAACGAGACGGGGCTTCGAGGGAGAAATCGACCTACTCGAGAAGTTGAAGGGAGTCGACCGAGTCATCCGTCTTTATGATCATGAAATGAATGAGGAAAAGGGTATACTCAGTGTAGTAAGTATTTCACGTCTATAATTTCCTCTTCTTTGTTAACACTCAGGCAGCTTATGGAAATGGGAGAGTTGGATATGAAAAAGATCTTGGACATGCGTCTTGGAATCGAGAACGCCAAATTTGATCCAAGTTTTATCCGTCACTATTGGAAGGAAATGCTCTTATGTCTCGAAGCTATCCACGAGCACGACGTCGTACACTCCGACTTAAAACCCCATAACTTCGTCCTGGTCCAAGGCAAATTAAAGCTAATCGATTTTGGAATCGCCAACGCCATTAAACCCGACGAAACCGTCAACGTCCACCGCGAAACCCAAATCGGAACCCCAAACTACATGTCCCCGGAATCACTCCAAGACTCGAACGCGAAACCTGATTCCCGCGGCCGGATTGCAAACGGGCCTAAGCTTATGAAACTGGGGAAGCCGAGTGATATCTGGAGTCTGGGATGCATTCTCTACCAAATGACTTACGGCCGCCCACCTTTCGACCATATCCAGAACTTTATTCAGCGCTGTCATGCAATCATCAACCACAATTACCATATCGATTACCCTGCGCTCGGAGTGGGCAACGTGCCCGTACCAGCATCGCTCATCAAGACCCTCAAAAAATGCCTGACTCGAGACCAATACAAGCGTCCCTCGGCAACAGAACTGTTAAGCGATAAAGACCCATTATTGAACCCTATTGAATACGACGAACTTGCACTGCCGATGACAGAGGAATTGCTGGGACGCATACTGTTGAGCGTCGCGAGTAAGATGAAGCAGGCGACGCCGACTGAGAGTGAGTTATTGAAAGTGTGGCCGCAGGGCTTTTTCGAGAAGTTGAGGAAGAATATAGCGGATGAGAAAAGGTTGTGATGTTAGTGAGAGAGATGCGTAGTTCCAATTAATGTTTGTTTTGTTTGTTTAGCGGGTGTTTGGCGTGGATGGGCTAGGGTATGGCGTGGATATACCATTTTTATAAAAGAGGGCCTTGTTGCTTATACCATGTGTGTTTGTGTATGATTGGTTGGATGAGAATGGGTTCGTAGAAATGAGAGGAGCGGTTGTACATATATGAATTTAACGACTTCAATAATGATCCGTGAATAGTAAATGTGAATATCTACTTGAGTGTATCCTTAGGTTAATCCTGTTATGTATAATTGTCACACAGTGGCATCTGATTGGAAAGAAGATCCTCCGATGCTAAGTTGCTAACTAGATCTCTACCAAGGTTGGCTAAGTAACTCTAGACTTAGCCAAATCTAAGTCTTAATCTCAAGTTAATTTGGGTTTAAACTTGGACTTAGATAATTCTAGCTAAGATCGTAAGATAAAGTGCAGCACTACTAGGCTCCTGAAGCGACTTAAAGTATACATTTGCTATTGGTGATACTATCCTCTATTTCCACCTTAGAAATGTCCCCTAGTCGGAGCGATTAAGTAGCGCGCAGCACCTTGCGATGACTTATAGGTAAATTCTGTTATAATACCTCTCTAAGGATGGAAAACTTTCTGGATAGCAAGCCAGTTTTGGTGTATTATTCGACCATTTTTCGGCAAGTAAAGACTTGTTAAGTTCTTTTAAATAGTGAGAATCTAACAGGGACGAGCAGTCATCAATAATACATGTGATCCTGAATCTGTGCTAAGTCCATAGTAGACAAGGTGTGATTGACCTCGAGTGAAAGAGGGAGTCCTTGGTGGACTTATTGCGGATGTGATGCTCTTGATATTTCAGTCGATCAAAAGACAAATTGCTTCATCAAGAGCGCGGTTCAGTGAAAAGTACGTATTCATGGTATCAATCGCCGTCGTTTTGGATCCTCGAGCCACCGAAATGAACCATCAGCACCGTTTTTTCGGATATGAGTCCCAGGTCACACAGTGTTGAGCTTATGGGCAATGGGACCTTTTCATAGTATGACGTCGTCTTCTCATATTGCCAGTAGAACGGGATTTTCCATCGCCTGCGACATTCCTGAACCACCTCTTGCAGCGTCCCTGTCCCCGGGACTGATAGCATCAGGGCTTCATTTGACAGGATGTTATTGTGACAACCGACAGGTCGGACCATAATGCTAATATTACAAAGGTCTTTTTCGATATTGTAAAGTCTCTTCACCTCAAGGTATGTATCTCGTTTTTTAGCGGTAGTGATGGTTTTGTGTTTGATGGCGGGGACCTTGAACTTTGTTGCTGGTGGTTTAGGTCGCCAGTGTACCCTCGGGCAGGAATCTTTGAAGCACTTTCCTAAATCCAGGCGATTACTCCGCAGCTTATCCGTAGCTTCCTCGTATGCTTGAAACTTAGCATAATAGGCCGTATCTTCATAATCTGCCTCTAGCTCTGCTCGTTCCTCTTCCAACTTATGAGTAAACTCTGACATTTGCCTGAAGATGTCGAATTCCCCATCGATGGCGTAGACCCCATCCATCGCAACCAAATTCGCAGAGTCGGTGATGTCGTGAGCCCTGTCGACTACCGTGACAGTCTTAATAGAATACAGCTCCCTAAACAGGATTCTGATCCAGTCTATGTGATCCATACCATTCTCCTTCAAGATACTACCAGGTAGGCCATCGCAAACGGCCAACTTCTCCACCTTGCCCAGATCTGCGCCTAAATCCGTTGGGAGGTAGCCCGCCGAATCATCTTCGTCCTTAGGCTCCGAAATTTTATTTATCCAGTCCACGTACAACGTGTCGTTTTTGAAATCGAACCAAGTACATGGATAGTAGGTGGGACCGAAAGCCAGTGTATAGACATTGGTAGCCACATGGCGCGACTCATGGCATGCATACAGAGCCGGAACCGTAGACTGAGATCTGAAAGATAGCTTTCGTGGAGGCGGATATAGGTCAGTGAAGCCAACAGTCTGTCCCCAGTCGAAAAAGGACTCGTCGTCGATGGTCTTGTCAGACCACACGCGGACACTAAAACCGGGTTTGAGGAGCGTAGCTTTCAGGTACACAATACGCGGCTCGAAAGAAGCTTTCCATATTGCTTCCCTAAGCTCCCGAGGTAGATGTGGGAATACATGGAACTGGCGGTCTTCGTTTGAGGGATTGGCCGTCATCGTAACGTGGCAATGCGATGTTTACGAAATGGTTTATGCCTGAAACTTTTAGTTGAAGGTTGTAGGATCGGGACGGGGGTTGAAAAAGAGAACGTGACTACAGCGCTCTGATTGGTTGAGTGTCAGCTGATTTGAACGCGTTGAGACCTGGTTGGCTTAGTACAACCTAATTTCTCACCCCTAAATAATCATTAAAATGCGATAACCTCTAATAATAATATATGAGATATATTCAAAGCTTTGCTAGCGCTTTTGACGCGCTAAACTTTAGCTATATAACTTTAGTATTCGCTATGATGCGGCGGTTCTAAGTAATTTAGGATTCCTGGGTAGGGTGGCCTATGCGCTCGGCTAAGTTGGCTATTAGGGGGGCCTGGAGCGGAGTCTCCTATATAAGAAAATAGAACTAAGTAGAGAGACGCTGTTACAGATGAAATCATAGCTGCATATAGGAAGTGGCGATACACGTGCGCTGTAACAAAGTTCAAAAGGTAATACGGAGTACGGCAATCCTATACTGTGCTGCTCTATGACATCTTCTACTCCCCCACTTAAACATATCCCTCTCTTCTCACCAACTCAAGCGTGTTATCTCTCATTTCCATAAAATTGCCGTTCATTTGTCTTCCCACGATGGAGGTTTGTTTATTTCGTTGACACTTTGTTTATAGTCTATCTCAGACCCAGCAACAGAATGGATTTCACCAAACAAATTCCCATGACTCCCAGAACATTTACTTGGCCCCCATAGCCGCTTCCCGGTCCTGCAGGATCTTTGAAATGGCCGGACGGGACTTCATGCGCTCCAACCAGGCGTTGAGGATGGGGAAGTCGGTCTCGAGGTTGATCCTGTCAGCGAAAAGGGGTACAATGGCATACCACGTCACGAACGCCGCATCGGCATAGCTAAACTTGCCGCCGACGAGGAATTCCTTACCCTGCAGGACACGGTCGAGGACGCCAGAGACGCGACGGATCTCATTGATGTAGCGGTCTACAGCGCTGGGGAGCTTCTCGGGGTGGTAGATTGTGAACCACACGGCCTGCCCGAAGTAAGGGCCCTGGCCAGATACCTCGTAGAACAGCCACTGCTTTGCTTCGTAGCCCTCTTTTGAGCCTGGGGCGAAGCTGATGTTGTGTTGCTTGTCGTAGGTTTCGACTAGGTATTCGATGATGGCGCCCGACTCCCACAGCGTGATGCCCGTATTCGGGTCCTCAATCGCAGGTACACGGCCGTTGGGGTTAATCGACTCGTACGGTTCCTTCTTCATGTCCGGGAATTCGATCATCTTGAACGTGTAAGGGATGTTAAGCTCCTCGAGGATCATGGCCACTTTCCAAGCGTTGGGGCCGCTGTCGTGGCCCCAGAGAGTGATCGGGAGAGACATTCTGCTGAACTGGTGTGGGCCTGGGCTTGGTATGCAGGGAGAGTGAATGGATATGGGAGACTTAACACTTCTGTGATTGAGTCTGATGCAGGAGATGATGATTGTATCTCTGGGACAGACACACTGTTATGTTAAGTATGAGCAATGGACCATCATTGCTTGATTGAGCCCCACACTATTCTAGTATTATAAATCATCAAGCCACAAAAAACCGATATGGATTACAAATTCTGCCAGCAGAATTCTCTTAGCCCCGAATCTTGACAAATACAGTATTAATCGCCCTCTTTTTGGCCTAACCACGCGGACAAACATCTATATAGCAGGCGAAGAGTTCTTGCTTGACGCTCAATTTGATATATTCCCGAAGAAACTTGCTTGGAACAAGCAAGCAACCCCGCGAACGCATAAATGGCTATAGATTTGCTTAGGAAGCACGCCGCGAGAAATAGCGTGTAACCGAGAAAGGGCAGAGAAGGAAAGAAAAGACGGGGCAAACGCAAGCTATGTGTCCATGCGCTCTTGGTATATCATTTAAATCCTAAGAAACGGACGAGTGGATACTCTCTGCCTGATGAAGGAGATGCTGCTTGTGCTGCAACCCTATTCGACAGACCTTGCACTGAAACCGAGCCTCTTCTCTGTGGGTGTAGCCAGATGCTTCCGCTTGAAGTGCTTTGCGAAGTTTCCCAGACTAGTGAACTTGCAAGTGTGCTTTTCGAACGGCAAGCTCTGCCCTCCTAAGTAGAGGATGTAGATGGTGGTCCTCTTGGTAAATACTAATAATGCGAAACTTGATAGCATGTCATCTGAGAAGAACAATGGCTGGATTTTCTTACGTGGGCGTTACATGTTTAGTGACACTTGCACTACATGACTGAGCGCGCAACTGTGAGGATGCTCGCTGGGTTACCTAGTATACATGGTTTGTATTTGTTTGATGATATATACAATATACATCTCTAATAAGCTTGAACAGGGTAAAAGAAATCTCGGTGTCGAGAGTGGTGTACCACAAAAGCCGCTCCTTATGATTTCTTCGCCAGACCATTCCAGGTCCTCAAAATCCATTACTAAATAATGCCCTGGCTAATTCCATCCGACACCAAAATGCGCCAACTTTAAATCCATCCGTCCATCGCCATTGAAATGGGGTTTTCATTTGTTATGCGCAATATTGTCAGCGTAGGTATAAGGAGCCGATTCTCTCATCGTCCAAAGATCGAGGAGCTGAAGGATCCATTTTAAATTGCTGACAACATTTGCCGAACCCTCAAGGATCCATTAGGTATATTAGTTTCCCGTACCATTAATTATGTGAAAATTATTTCCCCATCCCCGATGTTCAAGGTCGATACAGATTTCCGATGTGTGGTGCAGAATTGTCTCTGGAGAGAGAACTCTCTACTGGTCTTTGTTCGCTGGTATTAAAATATCGAGATCTGGGCGAAGGAGTACCGTCTCTTGACAGTAGTTGGTTTTCTGGATCGGGAGACTCTGCTCGAGGTGTTCTGAGGCCACGCCGTGTACTATCCGCGGGAGATATTGTTAGCCACGTCATCGGTTCACTTCGCACGCTATGTGCAGGACTTTGGCTTCGGCCGCTTGCCCTAGCCGCAGACTGAGGTGAGACCGGAAACCCTGTAGTAGTTGGACCGAGAGTCGTCTCGGTATACCTGGAAGCGAATGTTGGCGCCGGAGAAGGAAGGAGATCTCGTGATCTTCCTGCTTGTGTGACCGGATCTGCTTCTAATTCAAATAAAGTTGATGAGGCTGGGAGTTCTGAAGTATTCGTCGCTCTTCGTATAGATTTCATTCGTTCAGTATCAGCATCGTAGGTTCCTTCTCGGTTGTCACAATCGGCAAGTTGGAAAATTTCTGTCGTATTCGCCAGTTCTGACCTTTGATGATGGAGGACCTGATGAGGCATTATAGGCATCTGCTCCCACTCTGGCTTTTTGTCAGGAGGGAATGAATCGTGCGCCGTTCCTTGATCAGAGAAGGGATCATGGGGTCCTTCGTAGGGCGTTTGACCGGTGGGATGATCAGACACTATACTCGGTGCCGCTACTGTTGAAAGTTCTATTTGTGGTGGTGGGCGCTTGCGCAGTCGAAGAAAAATCCATAACAATGCTCCTCCCACGGCGAGCACAACTAGAAAACCCACAACGATTCCTACGATTGCCCCAGTGCTCACTCCTGGCTTCTTGACAGCTTGGGACTTCTGCTTGCTTTCACTACCGCCATTACCGTTGGTTCCATTTGAGGGTGCCGAAATAGTTACAACTTGGGATGCAGCGCCATCATTCCAAAGACACTGGCTGACGGAGAAATTTCCCCTTTCATAATCGACGGTCAAATACCTGCGGTACTGTTAGAAGCCTCCTCTCTTCACCAGACCAGTAGAACTTACGCTTCTTGGAGAAACGTCCTCCCCAGGGTATACTGCGTCTCATTGGCGGCTGTCCTGAGGGGAAAGTAGAATGTGTCGTTAGGTGTAAAAGGATAGGAAGCTTGAAGAGCGAACGAGTTGAATGGGAGTTGAATATCAACAGAATCCCCGCCATCCAAACTATTTGCTAATGTGAAAATGACAGTTGGATTTGAGGTCTTAAGGTAAGTGTAATGTGTTGTGTTGATCAGGTAGAGGCCCGTGCTGTTGTCGACGGATATTCCAAATGCATTTTCGAATGCTGAGCATGCTTCTGTCGGAAGCCAAAAGTTTGGGTCTGTTGATTCGATGAATGCATAAATGGGCGTCGGAAGGAGATTCGTTTGAGTAGTGCTACTGTATACGATTGATTGTACACCAACAACTATGTCCCGGTTTATATCACTGGCTAGATTGAAACCCGCCGAATTTGGGACAAATCGGGAACTATCATACCCCCCGAATATCAGCTGCGCGTACTGTCCAGCTTTGAGCCCTATACAAGTATCAGCAAAAGCGTCCGGCCGAAAACTGGATACAAGCCTACGGTATTTGGCACCAGCGGTGTAACTCCAACTCAGACTAGGAATTAACTTTTGTGCTCTCAGGGACGAAAAATAAGACGGCGCGGAGAAATTTCCGATGCTGCTATAATTGACGGGTTGTGTGCCTAAACCAAACAGTCCGCTGAAAAGGTTAGTGTAATTCTGGGGGAGATTCTATAAACTTACAAATAAATTGGGGAAACTGATGCAATTCCGGATACAGTCTGATTCTTTAACGTAGGTGTGTTCGCACCTCCTCCAGAAAAGCCCAACCCTACATCCTCCAGGCCATAATCTATTGAGCGGGCAGTCAGTATTGTTTACTCCGTGGTGTCTCAAATAGCACACAGCATTTATTCAGCGGCTGTGGAATGTCTTCAGCGCCCCACAGGTTGCCATAAATCAAGATGATAGAAGTCCACAAGAGCCTACCTGCGTATTGCATATATCCGAGCGCTGCTTCGAGTCCAACCCCATCACCATTAATTCCAAAGAGCCCCTGATCCTGCCAAGTCGCTGATGTATTGGGATTAAAAAGTCCACCTCGACCGCTCGCGCAATTAGGAGGAACTGGATCTATGGCAATCGTATCGCAGCCTTGTGGTAGCACAACAAAAGTTTGCGGAGAGTTCGTTGAGACGATAGCTCGGACACTTTGTGCAGGAGAGCCAAGCCGGAGTGCCACTGACGACCATTTTCCATCTACTCCATCCCTATAAAGCTTGTTAACCGGGACGTGTTACTACAAGTATTTTGGTATGTAGTACTTACCAGTATTGACTTGGTGGAACTACCAACGGTGATAGGCTCGAAGTTGAATTCCCTCGTTTCTCTCTTTGCTGATTCCGTCCTTCTCCAAACCACGCGACTGAACTGCTTGGGAGGAAGATCAAAGCAAGCGTTAATGAATTAAAGAGATGGCCGCGCATCACGACGACTTTTCGTACGGATTATACCGCAAGATAAAGTGCTTTGCGGCTCAACCCCCATGGACGCTGGAGTTGGAAGGTTTGATGAGAGGATTTGAGAGGAAGGACCGGCAGACTGTTCGGAGCCTCAGCGACCATCGATTCGGTACTGGGGTAGCTCAGTTCCAGAAGCAGCGAGTCCATGTGTCGACGTCGTATAGAGACTAGGGTAGGGGATCATGCAATCGAAATTGGAGACAGGCAACTTGCCTTTTGCGCCGCAGCACGCTGACGCTCACGCACAATAGCCATCTCAACGAGCCCACCACCATTCTATCTGTATAACAATTCGAACAAGGAATATACTTTATTCATGCAGCACTCGCAGTAAACTTATCTGTTAAATGTGGCCATTACGCGTGAAACTGAACAGGATCAACAGAGTTGAGATCGTGTGAGAACATAACCGAGTTCTGAGGATCGTTACACACCGTTAAGGCTGAACGAATGCCTGCACCCTATTGGAGGGAGGGGTATACCCAAAGCAAGGTTGTGGTTGCAAATAAGCCGTGATGGATCTCAAATGGGAACGAAGGATTTAAGAGGAGATGAGTTCGGACGAGATGCCGTGAGCAATGATTCGCGTAATAGCCCATTCACAGTTAGCGCGTCTTTGATACCAGTATATCGAGGCTAGCGCATTCTTTATTTATCCTCCCAGTCTACTGATCCTTCACCACCATCCCTGAACCTACGATTCAAGCTGGGCAAGGTAGGTAGGACAGGGCAGGCCTTGATCAATGCGACTGAACATCGGCCGATGTGTGGCCCTGCTCGCGCTAATATGGCTCAACGGCGTTTGCACCAAGTGGTAGCTGCGCGGTTACACGGAGGTGGTGTGGAGTGGTGGTGAGTGGTGGTGGTGGTGCCCGCCAAGGTCTAGCTGTCGGACTGTGCCTGACAATGATTTCAAGTGCAGGAAGCGGCTCGTTCACGCTGTAAGATACCTTTCAACTGGAGAGTCTTAAGTCCTCTGGAGAGATTCGGAAAGTTGTCGCCTGGAATCAATCATTTCCCTCTTTCACTGGTACTTTTGGTACTGGTTCAGGGTGTGTATATTGCGAATATGTCGGCTTTTACCCAAGATTATCATTTACAAAAGTTCGGGGTGCGGTGCTCACCAGAGGGGGCCCTCCCCTCGTAGTCGAGAGGGCTGTGTGCCTGCAACTCCCTGCATCTTGCAGCGTACCTTTCGTTCCAAACTCGAAGCGGGCATTAGCCAGGGATGATTATGCAAGTTCAACCAGTAGGGCGAGTATTGGGGGACGTCGATCCCATCGACCACCTAGCTAGTTCTTTACTTTGGGATTACAAGAAGGGAGGCGAGGCTCTGCTTCGAGATCTCAGTCGACCGTAGGATCGCGCTGATCTCTTCTCTACTTGCATCTCCACTCCTTAACTTTTATTTACTCAGAAACCATACCGGTCGTTTTCTATCTTGACAGTCTTTTCCAGATCATTTGTTTTTGCGTGTGTTTTCCAGCAAAATGTGGGTTTCAGACTCACAAGCTTGTCATTTATGTGTCCTAGTCGTGTTTTTGACGTGGTCGACGCCATGTCACGGGTCCGGTAGGCTGCTATTGATATGTTTGGCCTGTGCCAACATCATTTTCATACTCAAGGTGGCTGATTTCCTTCAGGATTTAACCCTCGTTCAGTTGGGTACACGAATTCGACTTCGTCGACAAGCTCTGAGACAAAGCCTTCGTCGAGCTCAAGCTCGGCCTCCCGTTCCGGCTCCATTTCCGACTTCAGCAGCACGTATAGTTCAAGCTTGAGCTCAAAAAGCTCAACCTCCCATTCCGGCTCCCATTCCGGCTCCAGCAGAACATATAGTTCAAGCTTGAGCTCAAAACGCTCAACCGCATCGATTACCGTCGAAATTTTGACTGAAAGCGTAATACCTCAACCACTTAGTACACGCAACATAACGTCGGAGACGTCTTCATCTGGTCTATCGAAATCGTCATCTATGTCAAGTCTATCCAAAACATCTTCACTACCCATGCGTTTGTCTACAGGTGTCCCAAGTCATATCTCTACATCATCACAAAATGCTACGCGAACATTTGACAGCTATCGGGGCCCTATCACGCCTGCTCCAAATTTGGACCTGTGGGACCACCCATTTGGAAATGTGTCTTTTGGAACGACTTGGCCTTGGGGGGCCCAGAAATTCAAGACCAATGCATGCTCAGACACGAGTAATACTAAGAGCCCCTGGGGCGACTGCAGTGTGGCTGCTGGAACGATGCATCTTTCGTATTTCCCTCCCCAGTCTGCCAATGTATCATACCCGATGACACATTGGGCTTCAGAGTTATCTACCATGATGACTTCGCCATCAATCTACATGGTGATAAAATCTATCGGTGCTTCAAATGCTTGCGGTCAATTAGGACCAACATACAATAGCGTGGTCATTGCCGTGGATCCAAGTGCACTGTCAACAATTCCGCCATTTGCAAACGCAGCAGCTAAGACCAGAGTCGGTCCTACTCGAGTTCTCACACTGAGCGACCTTGCTTCAGGCTGTCCCAATAGCGCAGAAAAGGTTATTGTAGGAGAATTTGTCGTTACACATCCTGTTGAAGGTGTAGCCGCGAGGTGCAATCCTCAAGTCGTCTGGCCTAAGCAATTGCTTCCCATGGGAGGGTAAGTTTGACTTCTTTCTATGCTGTTAAAATTCAGAAAATTAATAGTTTAAAAGCCCGTTCTGGAAAGGCTGCTGGAAGAAGAATCATTTGTATGGACTTTATGATCCACCTGGATCGGTTCCTCCTGCTACAGGGCTCTTTGTCACCACGACAAATCCTCCAAAGGCTCTTGAGTCGGCCACCGTCCCAGCAATAACCTCAGCGCCCCCAGTCGCTATTACACCTACTGACTCACCTACGCAAACGCATGCCCCTGCCGGTACCTCGGCCCCAGCAAATTCGCCATCACCAGTTGAGCCAGTAGGATCATCAGTTGCGGATATACCTCTCCCACCTTCATCAGCCGTGCAAAATCCGTCAGCGCAAAACCCATCAGCGATTTCGAGCTCAGGAGATAACCTTTTTATTAACGTCGAGCCCTCTGGCATTAACATCATAGGCACCGACTCGTCAAGTACATTTTTCGCTAATCCGTCGCCAACGGCATCACAAAGCGCTGATCCTGAAGATCCTGCACTCGGTGCCGATCCAATAAACAACCCTACGGTTGCAGCTATTTCCTCGAGTATCGTAATTGGAGGTCAGACTGCAAATGTAGACGGGCCTCCAGTCACTGTTGGTTCATCTATAGTGCAGCTCACGCCTTCAGGAATCGTGGTCCACGATGTTTCAGGTGGACTTCAAAGTACAATTGTTATACCTACACAAGCCGCTGGACAGCAAGGGGTTCCAGCATCTGCTATAACAATTGCGGGTCAGGCCGTCTCTTTTGCACCAGTCACTGCGGCCCCTGCTCCAACCAACCTGGCCCAAATTAACACAATTCCTGGCCAATCAGTACCGGTCGCCACGATCGCAGGTCAAGTCGTTTCTGCAGCACCAGGAGCGCCAGTAGTATTGGCGACTATAGGAGGGCAAGCCGTGTCTGCGGCACCAGGAGCTTCAACTGTTGTTATTCAAGGGCAGACAGCCACTATCGGCGGTGCGCCCATAACCCTCACCAATCCAAACCTTGTGGCTACATTGGGCCCTTCTGCGCTTGTGGTTCAGTATCCAGGCGGAGCTGTGTCTTCTTACGCTCTACCAACCACAGGAACCAAGACCAATGCTGCCGCCGTATTGCCTATAACAGTCGGAGGACAAGTGATCACAGCCGCAACCGCCGGGGCAAGCACTTTGGTCTTTGGATCTCAAACGTTGAGTATTGGCGGCCCGCCTATAACCATAGGTGGAGGCAACGTACTTAGCTTGAGTCCAAGTGGTGTGGTTGTTGCGATTCCAGGTGGGAAGGTAACAACTCTCGCTCTTCCCGCAGGAAGCTACAAGGCTACATCAACAGCGATTGGCTCGACTTCAAGTTCGATCAACGGAGTCGGAGGAATAATTGCTTCAAGTAAGTCACACTAATTTCCAAGCTACAATTCAATTTCTGACGTACACATAGTCATTGGAGTGACAAACGCAGCTCCTGCAAGTACCTCACCAGTAAAGCCAGCAAACGATATTGCACCCACGACGACTATCGTTGCATATATATCAAATCAACAAAGCAGTTCGTCGTTGGGATATTCGGCTTTTTCAACCCCAATTCCATATAAGCCCACGGGTACTTTCGCAAACGTTGCTCCGGGAAGTGCTGGGACGAGATCAAGTGTCCGCTGTACGAGTATAATTCCATTAATTGGTGCTGTAATATTATTCGACTTTTTGTGGTAAGTTATAATTAGTTCGTAATATAATATTAATATTTTATTTCTCGACATATTGATCTACACCTTTCGCATGAAGTCAGAAACAAGTCGTCCCCATAAAAGATTCAGGGGGGTGAAGCACGTGAACGCACCGGTAGATTTCCGGTCTATTTCGGGAGAAGAGGATGTGGACACAATTCCGCATCGACGAACCACAGGCAATGCCACATCAATATCCGTCCACTAAAGTCTGGTAATTCTCCACTCTTTGAGGGGAAACTTTAATAAGGAAGTCTTCCCCGCCCTGATCGTGACCGAAACGTACATATCGCAGTTGTTACTTAATAGTAGGGCTCTTAAATATCGGTACGGTTCAAATATTGACGTATTATAAGGGAGAGTCTGAAGAATGCCACGTCTGCGTCTTGAGCCTAACAAGGTAAGAACTGCGTTCTGGTATCATGGGGGCCCATTAGGGGGTTTATGGCGGTTTACATTAAAACCCGCCATGCAACCCTCGACTATCTGAATATTTGTACATCGCTAAGACAAAATGGGTTCCACTCGCCCCTTCACCATCAAGGACGAGCCAATTGAGAATCAGCGGCCCTTGAAGATCCGTGTCATTGGCGCGGGGTACTCTGGCATATATCTAGGCATTCGCATACCGCAAAGGCTGCGGAATGTAGACTTGCAGATTTATGAGAAGAATGAGGGTATAGGTGGGACTTGGTGGGAGAACAGATATCCAGGTACTACCTTCATCAACCCCTTTTCCAGTAAATGTTCACCCGAAGGTGACGGAGAAATGTATAGGCTGCGCTTGCGACATTGCCTCCCACAGCTACCAATACTCATTCGATCCCAATCCGAATTGGTCGGCTTTCTACGCGCCCGCGAAAGAAATATGTGGGTATCTGCAAGCCATGGCTGATAAATATGGGGTTATGAGACATGTGAAGCTGCTGCATAAGGTTACAAGCTGTAAATGGGACGAACAGGCGAGGAAATGGTATGGGTGGCTCTAAAATCTACAGGGAAAGAAGCTCATCTTGTGATAGGAACATCACAGTGGAAAACACCAAGACAGGCGAAGTCATTAAGGACGATGCTGACGTTTTACTTTCGGCCCGTGGGAACCTGAATGATATTTCTTGGCCTAAAATCCCGGGCTTCGAGGCTTTCAAAGGGGAAGTCATGCATTCTGCGGCTTGGAATCAGAAGTAGGTCCTGCATCCTTCGGGCTGCAATTCGTCTAACATGTGTAGTTACGACTTCAAGAACAAGCGGATTGGGGTGATAGGTGGCGGCTCAAGTGCCATCCAGATTGTGCCGAATCTTCAGAAAGTGGAGGGAACACAGTTAGCTTGCTTTGTAAGAAGTAGGACATGGATATCAAACCCGTTTGGTGATGGTAGGTCTCGTTATTGCACTTCAATCGATGTATTTCTAACAAAAATGCAGCTGCGATGATCAAACTTGGGATGGACCCAACACAACTTAATTGTAAGTTGTAACTGAACTCTACTAAACTACGAGACAACCATCTAATTTAATCTAGTCTCTTTTGAACAACGCAAAGGATTTGCGACCAATCCCCAAAAGTTTCTTAAGTTCCGCAAAGCTATTGAAGAGGATGGGAACACGATCCATGGAGTAACATATAAAGACTCTGAACTGCAGAATGGGGCCGTAGAAGCATTTCGAGCAATGATGAAGGAGCGCTTAGCAAAGAAGCCCGAGATCGTTGATGCTCTGACGCCTTCATTCGCAGTAGGTTGTCGACGTCTTACCCCAGGCCCAGGCTATCTCGAGGCTCTTGTCGAAGACAATGTCGAGTTCATCTCTGACAAAATTTCCTCCATCACACCTTTGGGTGTGGCTCTGGAAACCGGTCGAACAGTTGAGATCGATGCTCTAGTCTGCGCAACCGGCTTCAACAGTGGCAAACCACCACCCTTCGAAGTATACGGAAGAAACGGCCTCTCGCTCCAGCAAAAGTTCACACCGTACCCCGAAACCTACCTCACTATTGCAGTCGACGGCTTCCCCAACTTCTTTATGATGCTTGGACCCAACTCCGCCATCGGAAGTGGGTCTCTAACTATGATGATAGAGACCGAGGGCGATTATATCATAAAATGCATCCGAAAACTACAGAAAGAAGACTACGCCTCCATGAGCCCCAAACCCTCGCGCGTCCACGATTTCTCGGAGTACTGCGCCGAGTATTTCAAGAAAACAGTCTACATGGACGAATGTAACTCTTGGTACAGATCCGAAAGCAAAAAGGGGGTGAGAATCACGGGACTGTGGCCTGGCAGCACGTTGCATTGTCTTGAAACGCTAAGAGCGCCGCGGTGGGAAGATTTTGAGTATGAGAGCAGAGATGAGAATCGTCTGCGGTGGTTGGGTAATGGGTGGAGTGTTACGCAGCTGGAGGGCCAGGGAGATCCAGCGTGGTATCTCGAACCAGGCTTTTTCAATGTGCCGGTGCAGGGGAAGCCCGAAGAGGATGGGGATTTTAAGATAAGGCCTTTTTCGCACTAGTAGCATAGACAACCCTTTTCTTCTTAGCATCAGTTTTCAATTATTATTGATCAATCAGTAGTTTTGATGCCCAAGTTAGGAAGTGAAGCGTCATTGATCACCAAGAGGAGCCCGACTTCTTTCGACTCAAGAAACCAAGCAATAACAACAAGCGTGCCTAAACATCATCGACTGAACATGCTGCCGGTGGTCCATTCCCGCAACAAGCTCATGGAGCGGCCAATACCAAAACCTTACAGTCCAAAGTCTGTAAAGACATCTCAGTCATTGTAGCCCGAGATATTGCACAGCTTAAAGACACAGCCCAAAACACAAGCTAGCTAGAAATTCATGACGAAGCCCTGGGCACAGAAGAAGCTAATTTTCTTATCTTTGTGAGGAACGAACGCATCCAGTACTTGAGTTTTGATGAAGAGACTGGCGAAGCTGTTTCGCTCGGTGTTCATATTGGCAAGGCCAGATTGAGAGCTACCAAAGATCTTTGGGAGGGCGTCTGCGCTGTTTACTATCATGACCCAGAGATAGGTGTTCCCGAGAGCATCTGTAATCAACTTGGCAAGGATATCGTCCTACCAAAAAAACCAACCCAATGGGGCTAGGGCAAAGAAGACGGAAATGGAGAGACCTCGCAATCTGCACCTAAAACCACTGGCAAGGGTAAGGAGCCGGCTCAAGATTCTACCTCGGATGACAAAGAGGTTCAACAAGTTGTTAAGCAAAAGAAGGAGGAAGGTGATGTAGAGGCCTCTTCCTGAGATCTCAACCATCTCATAATACATTGTCCTACATAGTTGGGAGTTTCTCCTCTCACCAAATTACTGTTAAATGGCTTTTGCCACTTAATATTTTGTGCCTTCCTTTTTTTACATATGTCTCTTCTTCAAGTGCGCCCCTGGTGGGGTTTTGTATAAGATACCAAGCTTACTAGCCTCTGATGGCACTCCATAGCCTTAAATAGCAAACTCAATTTGAGATATCGCTCGTCAGTGTAAACTTCGTAAGTAAATCGCGTGTTCTTCAAAAAATCTTGGTTAGCATTAGATAAACTATTGACTGCGGTTGATTGTTCATGTTGCATAACTCAAGTGTGTGACTAGGTATTCCTGGCTAGCGATATGATTAGAAGAAGAAAAGAGCATGGAAATAAAAGCAATCACATTTCCCAGTTGACAAGTTGATAAGCAACTCGACGTTACTACTCGAGTCACCATGTTGAATAGTTCCCAGCTGAAGAAGCATACCTAGGCAGACTTCTTGTGTTCGGCTCTTGTCCCCTATCCAGACATGTCACCACATCGACGTTCAATGTGGATTGTACTAACTCCATACCACCTTGGAAGAAGAAATCCAAGCCAATATAAAACCCAGAAAAGAACAAGCAAGCAGGTCTGCGCGTGGGAAAGTCATCCTCCTCATTGCTACAAGAAGCTGATCCTCAATCCAGCCAAGATAGCAGACGTAAGCACTCGGAATTGTCGTCTTTGCGGAAGACCCATCAACGAAACCCTGCCTCGGGAAGCTCTACCGCCATCTCCAAGAAGACATACTGGTAATTGTTAGGAGTATAGAGGACGTGCTTCGAAAATGACGAGATTTGCAAGAAATTATGCCTGCACATGCAGCACATCTAAAGATTACCTGGAGTATAACGCAGTCCCTGGTTAAAAATCGGAATCCAAAATTACCGCCGTAATTCCGCCAAGCAGGTATCGAAAGGCCTCCGACGATCAACACAAAACTAACACTTTCGTCTTCATAAATCCCTTTTGGCCTTTTTTCGACCCCTTAGTACCAGTGGCATATCTTCATTCTCGTCATTGAATCTTTTCCTACTGGTATCTTCTGGCTTTAGGCCACCTCTTTCTTTCAACCGAGCCACTTCTCCTTCATCTATATTGGAAACAGGTTCGTCGGCGGGCCCAATTCTAAGTCTTGCTGATCCAGCTTAAGCATCAGAGGAAGTAGCCGGATCACTATCCCCTTCTTTTAGCAGCTCTTGAATCCCTAAAGTCGTATTGTCCCTTGAACCACACACTTTGAGCGCCAGTGGTAAAGCTTCAGTCAGGACTTCTCTTCCCTCACATACATTATTCGAATCCAATAGCATCTCCCCTAGCGCTCGCATAGTACGCACAGTTTCCTCACACTCATGCCCTAGAATATCTTTGCACTTGGCAAGGGCCTGCCGAAGATAGCTCTCAGCCTCCTCATACTGCCGCAGTTCTGTGAGATCACGTCCAACTGCACGCATCGCAAGTATCGTACGTCGATGATCCAATCCCATGACTTCGGCCGTCGCGGATAGCACTTCTCGATGTAATTTTATCGCCTCTTCAAATCTGTCGTGGTCATGCAAAAACCAACCCAAATCATATATCGTCCCCAACGTTAAGTGGTGTGTGGGTCCAAGTACCTCTGTCCTCATTTTGACCACCTCTCTGTACAGTTTTTCCGCCCCGTCCAATTTCTTCTGGTCGTCAAGTGTATATGCCAGTTTTAACATCGCCGTCGCAGTGCTTGGGTGTTGAGTTCCAACCGTTTTAATTCTCGCGTCAAGTATTTCTCTCAAAAGAATTTCCGCTTCCTCGAATTTATCCTGATGACCATAAGACTTTGCCAGATCGGCTTTAGCCTGTATAGTGTCCTGGTGGTGTGGCCCCAGTTTTTTCAACCTCACATCTAAGACTTCTCGAAAGAGAGCTTCTCTCTCCCCTTCGTTGCTACAGCTAAAAGCTAGGACTCTGAGATCGGCCAATGTATCTTCATGATGCCGACCCAGCTTCTCTGCATTAATCTCAACCATGTCTCGCGAAAGTTTTTCTCTTTCTTCCTCCTTCCCCAACAATACGTGCAGCCGCACCATGTAAAGCATGTTTGTGAGCCTTTCTTCGACAGAGTCTGTGACAGCTCGCTGTCTCAGCTGGAGTGCCTCCATACACAAGCTCTCAGCCTTTTCTGTCTCTTGTAGGTCAAATAAAATCCCGCCGAGAGTTTCTATGTCTAGAAGTCTTGTTTTATGAGCATAACCTAGGATTTCGGAGGGCCTAGGTGTAGCGGTAAGCTCGTCGTCAAGGATATTACTAATGACTGCCACTGTCTCCTCTAATAAAGCCTTAGCCTCCATATATCTTCCTTCTTCTTTCAAGAGTTCTTTGTATTCCGTGACTACACTCATGTAATGGAATTTGCAAGGAAGCTCGGAATGAGACAGTACTAAGACTTTTCCGAGCTCGATGGATTTGCAGTAAAGAGTCTCTGCCTCTGTTACTTTGCCTTGGCTCTGAAGATGCTTTGCAAGGGCAGATACTGCATTAAATGTCTCGTGGTGTTCTGCACCAAAGGCATTGGCCGCTAAAACAAGTATCTCTCGATATATTGCCTCCGCGTCGTCCATCCGGCCATTGTTTCCCATCTCCCTTGCCAAGTCCTTTAATAACTCAATGGCTATCATTAAAAATCTTGGGACCTGTACGATCTCCTTTTCCAGAAGTTGTTTTAACAAGTCGTGAGCTTCCTCATACCTTCCCGTCCTGATCTTCAATATTATCATTTGTCGCTTGTACATAGAACTAAGAAAAGGGCTCGCATTCAAGACGCTCGTGTAGCTAGTCTCTATGTTTGCTTCCCGTAATATCTCAGCCTCATCATAAAGTTCCAAGTCGTCAAAGCATCTTGCAACTCTTTCTCGGAGTTCACAAAATAGTGTGTCGTCATGCTCAAGTGTGTCGCCTGCCAGGCGGAGAATATCTCTTCCATATCCCTCAGCCTTTTCCAGTTGGCCTGTTTTTCTTAAACTGTCGAGAGCTCGCGCTCTCGAAGCCAAGTCTGCTTTCCTAGCTGTTGGACCTTGGCATGTATGGTAAAAAGACATAATCGTCTCCTCGAGTTCCAAAGCCTCGAAATAACTCCCGGCTTCATTCAGCGTTTCTGCTAAAGCCGACATATACTCGTGAAGACGCCAACGTCCCTCATCCGAGTCTCCATCCAAAGCCTTTGAAATCGCAATGGCTTGCCGTTGCAATTTCTCCGCTTCCTGATACTCGTATCGCCTATCATATCGATTTCCACAAGTATACCGCCGTGATACATTGATCATCGTCTGAGCAGCACGGAGGCTTTTGTGTCCATAATGATCAGTCGCCGTTTGCACAGCTTGTTGGTAAAGGCTATGTGACTCTTCAAAGTTGTTATGGTCTGCTAGATTTTCCGCGCATTTGGTGAAGACCGTGATCTTTATATCCGCAGACATGTGCTCCGATAGTATCAGAGCTTGATCAAAAATCTGGTCGGCTTTATCCCCATCACCATCTTGCGCAAGGGCATCTCCCAGGTCCAACATTGCTTTTACTATGTTTTCATGCTCCTCACCGAGTGCAGACTTTTGAAGCTCTATCATCTGTCGATAATCCTGAACCGCGGATTTGTAGTTGTCGTGGGTAGAATGGTAACTTCCGAGGAAGCTCACGAGCTCTATAAGCTGACACTGGCACTCCTTGTTGGTGAACTTATAATTACGTACCAGATACGCGTGGGGGAGATATAAATTGTAGTACTCTAATGTTTCATCGTCATAGCAGTCTGGTAAATACGATACTACGCAAGCCAGGGCTTTTTCTTGCCAACTTTCTAGGCTTCTTTGACTTTTCAGGTGCCATTGGATTGATAACTGGACAAGTCTATGCATCCCAAAGACTTTGTTCTTGACCTGCTCGGTGATAAGAGAAAAGGACTTGAGTTTCTGGACTGCCTCTCGAATATCCAACTCATCTTCCTCTTCTTCTCTCAAGAGGCCTAGTGGAACGGCTTGCCGATCGAGAAGAGCCATTGTGGAAAGAATGGCTCCAGCACGAGGGCTTTGTCGAGAAATCTGCTCGAAGGAGACCTTCCATGTATGAAAGACCGCATTCGGGATATCTGGATCGCGGCTGTCGTCGTAACGTCCATGGACTAGAAGATCGGCTTCATCCGCCTTGCTGGATCTCAAGAGCTCAAGATACTCAGCGACAGAAGTTTCAATTTGACCCAAGTATGCAGCTGCTTGAGTGATTGCCAAAGGGAGACAGCCAAGGATCTCTATGATTTCTTTGGAGTGTGCTTCGGTCAGCTCGTCACCTTCAGAGATCTTGCTCTGTAGGAGAGTGACGGAGTCTTCGGGATTGAGAATATTTACTTCAACACTTTTATGTTTCGATATGGTTCTTCCAAGTTGGGAATTTCTTGTGGTGATCAAGACTGACCCGTGGTCAGCACGGGGTAGAATGTTAATCAAAGGTTTCTCGGAAGGACTTCCACTCTTCTCCCATATTTCGGCATCATCGGCGTTATCTAGTATCATGAGAAATGGTCCATTTGATTTTTCGCTTAGCCAGTCGGAAACCAGCGTTAAGACGTCGACATTTGGCTGATCCAATCCCGGGATTCTCAGTTCTCTTGCAATCTCATGGTATGCCTCAGCCATTCTGCTGTGGCTACCACCGTAGACCCAGAAAATATGAGAAGTCGGATGCTGATCTTTGTATTGATAAGAATACTCAATAGCGATACGCGATTTCCTCATCATCAATCAGCCTTCTTTAGATCCGAAGGTTTTGAAACACTTACCCTACACCGCCGATACCACAGATAGCGACTCTTGGAACATTTTGCTCAAAACGCTGAGAGATCTCAAGCATAACATCTTCACGTCCGACAAAGTCCTTCTCTTTCGGGTACCGAACAAGAAATAGTGGCTTTCTCTGCGAGTTGTCTCGCTCTGAACTCGAATTGACAGCTTGGGAGATTTGGGTAATCGATAGGGTTTGCGAAGAGAAGTAAAAGGTGAGTACATCGATGTGACCTCTCAGAGCCTTCTCCAAGACCTCTACCTTTTTGTCTTGACGAATACTGGAAATGGCCTTTCGAAACTTTGTCAACTTTGATGCATCTTGCTTTGGTAGAACACTTTGGAAAATATTGTTCAGCTCTGCAAGCGCTTCCAGGCAACTATGCAAAACCTTGGTCAGCCCTTGACAACTTTCGATATCCAGGTCGCCTTCACGGATGCGCTTTTCCGTTTGTTGCAAGGTGGCTTTCACAAGAGGTAGCACCTCTGCCGTGCTTCGAAAAGCTTTTGGTATATTAGAAGCTCCATCATTAAAGGCTGTGGCTCGATTGCACACTTCAACACCAAAATCAACAAGTGCTGTGATATTGGCAATAATTCCAACCACCGCTAGCACCTCGGCACCCGACATTGCGATGAGGAGAACTATAGATCTGGTCTGCAGACTACAGTAACTCGAAATCGAGGAGGTCGGATCAGCAGGAAGAAGTGTCAATGAGATTAACGAGGGTGGTTGTTGGTATTTACGATGGTACGGCTGCTGCAAAACACGGTGTACAACATAATAAGCGCTAAGCCTAATTAGGACCAAGTGGACCTCCTCCTCTCTCCCCAATCACTCAGCATAATCAGGATTATTGTATATCTCTATACTCTAGTTTAGTTCTTACTCTTTTACTTCAGCCTATAGTAACAGTAATAGAATAGATTATACCTAAAACTATATATATTCTTCTCTGTGCTGGTGCGCTAAGCTCTTCTACTTCCGATATCACTAATATAACAGTATAGTATAGAAAAATCGCTGACTTAGTGCAAACGTAGCAGGCCTAGGCATGTTTATTTCTATGGTTGTCTTTATACACTTTTAAATTAATAGAAGAACAACCCTACTAGAATAAATATATGAACTATAACTAGGTAGGCAAATTTAAGAGCCGCTTTCTACGTCTAAGACAAGGAATTATAATAAAGAGTTAAAGGATTTATTACTACATCTAGCAGACCTTTTCGATAGAAGGCCACTAGCCTATAGGAGATAAGCAATTGCACTATTAACTCCTCACTCACGCATAGCTGTCCTGAATAATTCCTACAAATCAAAATTGGGTATACGCGACAACTAAAACACGACCATCCATTCCAAATCATCTCCATCCACCTCCTAGTTCTCCGACCCATGAACAACAGCCCTAAGCTCCTTTTCCATCATCCTCCGATCAGCAGGAGACAGATAAGCCTTTTTATAAATCAACAAAGCCCACTTATCTAACACCTCACTCATCTGCATAAACTCAGGCATATACTGCTTGATATACTCCGCGATCCAAGAAATCTCACAACTCGACGCATCACCACCCGTCAGGTACCACGCAACGTAAGCGTTCCGCGTCAGGTACTGGCCGGGGAAGTCGACGGGCTTCATGATGGCGATGAGCAGCAAGAGGATGCCCCGGTCGCTGGACCGCTTCTTGCTTGAGAAAGCCTTGCACCAGTTCGTCCAGATCATAGACTGGCGAATAGCCTCTGTCCAGTCCCAACCTTCTAGAATCCGGCCTTTCTTCTTAGCTGCCTCGCGTTCTTTGTTGAAGACTTTCAGAAGATGGTAGCGGATGTCGCCCTTGGCATTCAGGATTTGTGGAGGGGGCTGGCGGATCTTTTCCTCGATGTACTCGCACATCGCCACCCCGTCGAATGCCTCTCGGAAACAATCGAGATATCTGTGCATCTCGAATATATCCGAGTTGGATTTCGTGTAGTATCCTTGTATGTTGTAGAACAGCTCATGTGGAACTTTGGTGTCTTTGAGGTTGCGTTGGGCAATCCCCGGTTCTCCTCTTTGCTCCCTCTGACTCCCTTCAACCCATAGAAACATGGTCATCTCACGAAGAGTCTCGATACAGGAGTCCGTGTCTAGGTTTTCGATCATCAGGTAGACATGTTTGATGTGCCCTAGGTCAATAACCCCGCCATCAGCCCCGATCTTTCTGCATATCTGCTCGAACTTCAAGAACTTTGGATTTTGAGACATATCGGAGGGAATCTCATCAAGGTCTATGATTTGAGCAGCACCCATAAATATCAGCTCTGTGCTCAGTTTGCTCAGGTCTTCGGCAAGTATTTGCGAGGTCCGCGAGGTGTCTTCGTCGAGAACGTGCAGGGTCTCCGTGTCATTCTCCGACACATAATCTACAAGTTGAGAAGTCAGCATGTCTCACCTGTATCAACAGAATTCATTGCATACCGGTATCATCGGAATCAGAAACCGAAGTCCCTGAGCGCGGCTCTCCCATGACGATCCCTCTGAGTTCATTTTCAATTTTCCGCCGAGAACCTTCATCCACGCGTACATCCGCGTAGAAATCCACAACCCAGTCATCCAAAGCCTGAGCCATCTGCATAAACTTGGTAAAGTAGACTTTGATATACTCGGCAACCCAGAAAGGCTGTTTGCCGATGGCATCAGCGCCAGTAGGATTCCAATTGTCGTTATCCTCTGGCCTTGGGAAGTTGTGCCGTTGTCCGACGACCATGAGAAGTAACAGAATACCTCGGTCAAGGGAGGATTGTCGACTCGAAAAGGCTTCACACCAAGCCTTCCAGACTACACCAGGATCGAGGAGCTTCGTCCAGTTCCAGCCTCTTGAATAATACCCTCTCTTCCTGTCTCTTTTTTATACTCTTGATTGATGGTTCTAACCAAGGGATCATAGTTCTCCCGCTGGAGTGACGGTATGAGATCTCGAACCTTGCCAGTTCTCTCCTCGAAGATTTCATTTGCCGAAACCCCATCGAACGCTTTTCGGAAATACTGCATACATCCATGCATTTCTTCCAACCTCTTGGGATCCTTGTGAGGGGTAAAATGGTATTGCAGATAATTGAGACGATAATGTGCATCTGAGGATCCTCTCAGATATACAAGTTTCTCCCATTGCTCAAGCGCTTCATCTTGCAAATACCACATCATCCGGCAGAATTTCTCGAGGCAGGAGACTATGTCAAGGTCTTGCACAATTTTCCAGGCCTTTTGGATTCGCTCTGGTTGAGCAGCGCCATCACTATCCCCGATATCTTTGCATATTTTCTCAAAAGCTTCGAAACTTGGTTCTTGGGAAAGATCGAGGGGAGGAGATTGAGTGGGATCAGTTGTTCGGAATGGAGCTTGGAATAGAGCTTGAGGGTTGACCTGGGAATGCGCATATCCTTGTCCAATGCGTCGCAAGTCGCTCTTCCTTTTATCTAGGTCTAACATGGAGTGCCAAACGTTCTGTACGTCTTCCGGAAGATCGTCGTATACATCAATCGTTTTATCAACAAGGGCGCCAAAAGATCGAAGGAGGTTGTTCGCCTGCGCTGGAGTGCGCCCATGCAACGCGCTGTTGCTGTTCTCGTTGCGTTGTGTGGGTTGGTTGTCTGCAAGAGAGTCCTGTGACGTTGAAAGGTCAGAGGCTTTGCGCTTGCTCTGACGAGAGCCTTCTCCAATGGTCTGTTGGGAGCTGGCTCCTGCTAGATGTCAGGTTAGTATAGACCAAGTGAGCAGTTCTGGGAGCATCTTACGCATACTAGCAGACTGCGAAGGTGCATCTAAGCTGCGCAGTCCTTGCCGATTGGCCTTGCTTCCCTTCCTCTGTTTTCGCATGTTGCTTCTGTGATGCTGACGAGCACTTATGATATATCGATCGATGGATTGGGCTCTGTCTAAAATAATAGAGGGGGAATGTCACGGATGAAGCGCTTGATTTGTATGTAAAAAGGTTTATTGAAGAGATGCCGCAAAAGCTGTTGATATGGCATGTTGTTCAATTCACCTTAGACTTGTTAACGCTCTTACCTTTTCCCTCCATAATAGCTGTGAATTCCTCTTAGTGCTGCTATTCATATCTGATCTCGCTTCAAGAAAGGTTGAATCGCCAAAATGGCCAAAAAGAACGACCAAAAAAGATTTAAAAAGAAAATGCCAAAAAAGCTGACTTTGTGTGTCATTTGACAAAAATGAAAGACTTCTATGGCCCGCAAAGCGGAACATTTCATTTATAGTATTTCGGTATATATCTTAACTATTTGAACAGCAGGGCTGTACAAGCAGGGCCGTACAATACAATTATATCCACGTACCATGAAGTCTATTGAAGCGACGACGTTTTAGTATTCAGGGAAACCCGAAATCACGTCTATTTCCAAAGGAAATGGCTTTTTTTTTGAGTATAAAATGTTTATTTTAATATATACGGTATTGATATTCAATGCCGAGGTTTTCCCAAAGCATGACGCATTGGAACTGAACAATCGCACTGGTTGCCAGGCAAAAGGGGACTGGTCACGTGTAATGCTTGAACGCCATTTTCGACTTTCTAGCAACTTATCTCCACTGGGAGCTCTCTTTACTTTCTTGTATAGCGGTGATTATATGAATTGTTTGTTCACTCTGCCTCTTGTAATATAAAGCATATATCTACACACGGTATCGCTCGGTACAGTTCATCAACGCCAGAAACATGAGCTCGTCGAGTCGTCAAGGAAGAGGTGGCTTTTTATAGCCTAATTATAGTGACCAAATCGCGACCAAGGGGTAAGACTGCTACGCTTTTCATCCTCCAACGTCGTTCAGCATAAACGAGGAGTTGGGCGGAAGACTTGTTCTGGATCCTGGAAGTATAATTTCAAAACTACACCAAAGACGTGAAAGATACCCGAGAATTGAAATTGCTAACTTATAAACCAACCAGAAACAACGGCAATCAAAGGTCAAATGCATGTCAAACAAATCTTCGATCATTTCAGAGCAACTTATCTTGGGCTTCCATATCGCAACTGCGGCGGTTCAAGATTAACCACTTCACCTGTCACTAGCTGGACCATTCTGACACGGCTCACTCCTATCGCTACTCATATATTCAGGCCTATTCCAAACAACCTGCACCTACTGCCAAAAAATGATTTCAGCAGGGTGAAGCAGCAAAGTCAAGAGATTTGAGGCGTTACGGACTGAAGTTGACGTTGTGAAGTGAGATGCGACACTAGCCACTCTTAGACTTAATTACCCGCTTATGTCAGCCTCACGCTCCAGGGCCAGAAGCAGAGCAGACACTAAAAACGAAGCATCACCAGTTTCCAAGTGGCGCGTAAAGTTGCCTTCAGAACAAGCTTTACCCTATTCTAATCAGTCCATGCATGCGGCTTCCCCTTAGATCAACGCCAAGAAAGCTGGAAGCAGCTCTTTCCGAGACAAGTGCCAAGTGACCCGTCACATGACTCATGCAGGGGACGCTCAAACATTCCCGCCCTCACTCAAAAACAACGACAGGACAACCCTCTCTCACTCTCTTTCCTATTTCCAAGAGCCTGCTGGACAGGCTTGCGTATATTGGAAACCTATTTTCTTTTCTTTGAATGCGCGCGACTGATTTATTTATTTAATAACACAGAGCTGAGATCTTCAATGGAAATGGGAGGGAGCTAGAGCCCTACAAAGACAGCCATCACCGGACAACACCACATCCGCTCCTAGTAGCGAAAATCCTCCAACAGCCAGCAACACCTGCCACTTCAAGGGATGCTGCATCTAATATCAAACGACGTATACAAAACATCCATCTCCCTCGTCCCTCGCCCTTCTTCACTTCTATGGAAAGAAAGAGAGGGAAATAACATATCAGCATGCTCTTACGCTGCATCACCACCACCATATCTCTGAAACCCCCCGCATTGGCCTTGAAGGTCACGAGACCGCCAATATCAACATTAATATCAATATCAACATGAGCATCTTCGCCAACATCCTGACCTTAACCGGCGCTCTCACTCTACTCACTCTCTTTTTCAAAACCGCTCGCTTCATCCACATCTACACACGTCCCTCATCCCTCCCCCGCTACCTGCACACCTCACCAAGCGGCAAGTCGCCCTGGGCTCTGGTCACAGGCGCCAGCGATGGCATTGGCAAAGGCTACGCGCACGAGCTAGCTGCCCACGGCTTCAACATCATCCTGCACGGCCGCAACCCCTACAAACTGTGCACCGTACGCGCCTCGATCCAAGCCTCGTACCCGAAGACGCAAATCCGCCTCATGGTACTCGACGCAACCGCGTGCACCGCAGCCGACATCGCAGCCGCGGTCGAGGAGCTGGTGTGCGCGGGCCTGCACGTCACGGTGCTGGTGAACAACGTGGGCACGGGGACCACGCCGTCCGGGCACGTGTTTGCCAACTACGAGGACGAGGAGCCCTCGGACATCGACGCCATCATCAACACGAACGCGCGCTTCCCAGCGCTCATGACGCATTTCGTGCTACCGGCTCTGCAGACGCCCGCGCTGATCCTAACCATGGGGTCGATTTCCGACGTGGGCAGTCCGTACATATCGGTGTATTCGGGCACCAAAGCGTTCGATAGCAGTTTCAGCAAGGCGCTGCGGCGCGAGATGGTGGCGGAGGGCAGGGACGTGGAGGTCCTGGCGATGATGACGGCGATGGTGACGGAGACGGGGACGAGCAAGGGCGAGGTGTCGATCGTGCAGCCGGATGCGCGGGCGTTTGCCCGGAGCGCGTTGCAGAGGGTTGGGTGTGGGCACGAGGTTGTCGAGGGCTGGTGTGCGCATTGGCTCGTGCGGGCTTTCACACAGTGTATACCTGATAGTTGGTTGACTGGGATGTTGATCGGGAGTGTGAGGCTGGGGATGGAGGAGGAGGGGAAGAGGAAGAGGAAATAGAGATAGATGGTGTGCTGTATATATGTAATTATATAGATAAGATTGCATTGGATATGGGGAGCCCAAGCCAAGCGCCTTTATCATTAGACAAAATCCAGAGCAAAGACTACAAAACACATAACGAATGCAGAGCAGAGCATAAACTGAAATCCTCTCATACGTTGCAAACGTCAAACCCCCAAGCGCTTGAAGCATACTTCATCAAGAACATTTCTTACTTATGGCCCATAAAGTAAAATAAGGGTTTTAAGTTAGCCTACCCTACCAGCTAGCATCTATAGCTCTAGCCCCTATCAACTCACATAGTATAGCCTCCCCTCCCCTCCCCTCCGCTTTCACAATAAAATCCAGTAAAACCAATCCCTCGCTCAGATCCCAAATATCCCATCTTATTTCCCAAGGTACATGGTACGATATATTATATTATACTATATATTATTCTTCTTTCATTCATTAATTCTTTCTCCGTCTTGTTTTCTTTCTCTCATCGTCTTTTCTATTACACAATACACACCCCCCTTCCCATCTCCTATCAAGCACAAGCACACCAGAAAGCCAGCCAGGGAAAAAAAGGAAGGGAAAGCAGATACCCAGGCGCAAGGCAGAAGAGAAACGCCGTCAATGAATGCCACCACGCCATGCCATGCCATGCCATGCCGAACCTGAAAACGCCATACCCAGAACCGTATATATCGCTAAAAGCAAGCACAGCACCGCACCATGAGAGGAAGGGAATACAGTGGGATGAATGGGAGAATGGAATGAAAACCCGAGGGTAAAAGTCCTACGCTGATTCTAGGTATTCCATTCCATTCCATTCCATTCCATCCCCCACTTCCCCTGAACCCACGAAAGGAGAAAAATCCAATCTTTCATCATCAATCATAGGATAGCCAGCCATAGTTTCCGTAGCATTAGCACTGCGTGGGGAAGTAAGCATCAATCCAACCCAACGATCAACGCCTCCTAGCAGCCATCTCCATCAACCTCCTTTTCTTCTCCGCCTTCTCCCTCTTCATGCGATTCTCCTCTGCCAAGGCCTCAGCATCCTCTTTCCTCGCCATGCGCGCCGCGAACTCCTCTTCCTCATCGACCTCGAAGGCCGCGGCTTCCATGTCAGAACTAACGTCGCTTGCGTAACCTCCCTGGTCCATCTCCACATCTTCTCCTTCTTCGTCTTCTTCCTCGCTGGCATACGTGTATCGTTGTTTGGAAGAGGAAGGGGGCGGACGAGCCGTGGGCCGGGAGTGGGATGTAGATGAGGATCCGGGTTTCGGCCGCGCTGTACCAGAATACCCCGTTGTTGCCATGGCTGCTTTCTTGATTTTCTTCTCGGGCTCCTGCCCTTTCCCAATACCCCTAATCCCACTCCCATTCCCACTCGCACCACTCTTCCCATTCTGCGCTACCCCGTTTTTGAATTTCGTTCCTCCATTTCCAGGTCCCATGTTCTTCCCCACACGCACGCCACCCCCCTTCATCTCCTCCCTCTCCCGCTTACTAGGCAGCTTCTCGATCCTCTTATGCCGAATCTGACCTACCTGACCCCGCGTAGCTTGAACCGCTTTCCCACGCGCCATGATCTCGGCAAACGAGCCTTTCTTTGGCGGTTTTGCCGGGGTGGAAGTGAGAGGAGCGCCATCGTTGGGGGGAGGGGTAGGTTGGCCATTTTTGAACGACGAGGTGGAGGTGGAAGGTTTGTTGCTTGGGTTTATGGGGCGGGATGTAGAGGTAGAGGTGGGATTCGGTCTTTGTAGCTTGTCGGCTGGCCGGCGGAGGGTGTCGGTAGAGGGGGCTTTGCGTTTGGGCAGGTTGGGCAAGGAACTGGAACTGGTGCTGGGTTCACCAGTTATCTGGGCAAGAAGGTCGCCAATCTGTGGCATTATATTAGTATATAATATCCCCTACACTTGAGATCAAGAATCTGTACCGGCATGATGAAAACGTGTTTGTATTAGCAGGTGGTGGTGGTGGCGATGGTGGTGTGGTGACAATCAACTCTCGTCAACGCAGATCAAATCACATGCCTTTGGTGGGACTTGAGCATGCATCAGAAGGTCGGGAGCGTGAATGGAGTCAGTCGTTGGTGAGAAATGAATATTTGGTCTGTATTGTATGTAGAGTGGTGACTGCGCCTCTAACAACTGTTGTGCGTAATGTGTGATATTTTTGGATCTGGCTTGGTGTTATGAGGCGTAAAAATGTTGTGCTGCGATAAAGGCATACAGAATTTCAGCCTTGGCATTTAGCTCTCACGTGCGCAAGATCTCGGTCTTCACATAAACTTTCACAACCACGACAGAACAATTCCAGCATCAGCTTAAGTCCTATTTATGTCATTTCATCATTGAAATGTAAGTGCCGCATTCAAAGAATATTCCCCTTCACATCATATCTTTTCCAAATGCGTCAGGACACGGTATCAAATTCGGTACAAATTCACATCACATATTTCATATACAGAGCAGCAGTATAAATCAAAGGGTGCGAGATTCTGTATTCCATAAATTACAGACACGGCTACTCCTATACGAGTATAATAATATTTCCAACCCATACCATACCATCTCTACCAGATTTCGCCCCTAAAATGCTAAATTATATACATGAACGTTAACGTCGTTTAAAGTTTGGTTTGATACAAATTCATCCTCAAATCCAACATCTAGAGAGCGGCAAGGGCGCCAGCAACAGTAGAGATCAATCCACCAGCCAAGTTGTATGCATAGCGTGCGGGGCCATCCTTTCCATCCAATTGTGGCGCACAAGTCTTGAGGAAGCCCTGTACATCGGTACCTTGGTATTGGAATTCGGTGAGCCAGACATCTCTGTCACCCGCAATAACCTTGGCCGCGGCGACCTGGGAGAGGAGGTTGGTGCATGCTCCGTTAATGTCATTGTCGCTTCCACCATACCAGTGGATACCAATAACGTCAACAGTGCTGTCGATACCGGAACCCGCGAGGAACTGCTTCAACCATGGGAGACCCTTGGAACCGTCTCCATTGGTGACACTTGGGGAAACGAGTGTCTTCTTTCCGTGGTACTTGGTGGCAAAGGTAGCCCATCCGGATTGGGCGTCAGCCACAGAGATACAAGATCCACCACCTCCGCACTGATCGGGTTCGTTGAATCCCATGTAATGTGTAGCGGTTGATGTTGCGGCGGCGGTGTCAAAATTCTTCACATCATCTGTTCCATCAGATGCTACTGTTCGAAGACCCCACAATTGAGGAACCTGCTCGACGTTCATGCTCGAGGGGAAGGTGACAGAGTTAGCGCACCAGCTGGTAGACCAAGTATACGCAGAGCCGGCACTTGAATCACCTGTGAAGAATGAAGTAATAGTACTCTTATCCGCATAGTAGTCGTAAAGGAGACCCTTCTTGCCACCACTGGAGCTGGATGATGCAGTGGTAGATGCAGCAGCTTTGCTGCTGGAGGTTGCAGCGGCGGAAGTGGTTGGCTTTGCCGTTGTGGTGGGAGCAACATAGGCTGAGGTTGTAGCTGCTGCTGAAGTTACTGGGGCTTTGACGGCTTCCTTCTCAGCAACAAAGACGGCTGGAGATGAAACTGCGGCTGCTGCTGAAGTTGCTGGAGCTTGTCCTCCATTGGTAACGGTCTCGGTAGACAGGATTGTGCCAGTAGTCTGGAGGCTTCCATCAGCTGCCTTGACAACCTCGACATCTTCGCTGATTTCCACAGTCACATCTCTCATCCGGATCGGGCTAGCTACGACATCTTTGACCAGCAAAGACATGGCCAGGACGGCCATACTTGAGAATGTTGTACGCATGTTGATGCTGTTTGTGTAGTTAAGTTTGGTGGGTAGTGTAGTTGAGCTTTTGCTGAATCGTAGACGAATACAATTGACGTTGGTCTGAATGGGCTCTCTTCAATCGATGAATGAGTGGTTGTTTGGTGCTAGGAATAGCAGTGTGATAATGATTGTGTGTGATTGAGAGAACCTGCGCAGCCTTGCAAAGGAGCGAAAAAAGATGGTGGGGGAAGAGGTAAGCAAAAAAGAAGGTGTATTGCTGTATATGAAGGACAGACGGACAAGACCAAAAGAATGAGGGTGACCAGAAAAAGAAGGAAACGAAGGAGGATGCGCTCCTTCGCCTTTTAACAAACGACCTGCCCGAAATCGTTGGCTGGCAGGGACCCTTGGGCCCATGTGAAGGAAGAGCCGTGCAGAGTGCCCACTTTGGCAGTGGAGTAGCAGGGTGGGTAGGGCCATTTGGATGGAGTTGATTTGCCAATACGAGTTGAGTTGGTGTGGGCGGCACGCCTGTCCTGTTCCTGCGCCTGTTCCTGTTCATCTCATCCGGGCTGGGGTGGGTGAGGGTGAAGAGCCGATGGATGGCGTTGGTTCTCCTGCGACTCTACGAGAAGTCTAAACGGATTGGGCGTATTAGCCGGACGGGAACAAGACAAGTCACCAATAGAAGTGCGGACGGCGCATCTCAGCGTCAGGGGTAAGAGCCGTACCTGAATTTTAAATTTTACTGTACCTGGTTCCCGACCGAACCATGGCTAGCCATGTTTCAGCATCTGCGGAAGTACGGAGCGTAAATGAACATCTCGAGTCTGGACTGGACTGAGGCTGTGGATTTGAGGGTCGAGCTCGAGTCTGGGACAAAGCGATTTGCAGAGCGACCACTACTGTACACCATGTGCAGGGAAGAATCGGAAGATGATCGTGAATACCAAGTAACAAGCCAGCTTGGCATTTCATCGGCCCATTCATCCATCCATGCTACTCGGTATGATGTTGGCAATTTACAGAGTAGATGCTGTGAACAACAATAATAAAAGGTACGTGGCAGCCAGCACACTCGGCCAACACGTTGTTGATTATTACTGTACTATACAGTACTGCTGTAAATTAAAATGCAGCGGCCTTTCTCTCTCTGAGGTAGATGCCGGTGCACTCAATTGATCCATCCTTCCTATCTCGGCAGGACCCTCGCAAAACAATGCAACATTTTCTCCCGCTCTTTCCACGGTTCCACCACCTTCTACCCCTTTCCTTTCTACCAGATAACATACTTCCTTCTCTCACCGTCCTATCCAACGTGAGGTTTTTGTGAAAAAACTTCTTCCCTCCTCTCCCTCACGTGCTGGAAAGCTTTTTAAGTAGGAAGTTTCAACTTCTGCGCAGCCAAGACGCCGGACTCGGTGGTATGAACCAAGCTTATAGACCCCACCTCACCTGACTTACCCCCAGTCTCGCACTCGCACTCATGCTCCTCTTCCTCCTCGCGAATCGCTTCATCGTTTCGTTTCGTTTCGTTTCACTCTATGCGCTCCCTCCCCTCGGAGCTTGCTCTCGCGCGCTTACTGATGGCCAAGTCACGATCAATCAATTACTCCGTATATCAACATCTAATTCCTACCTTACCTCGTTACCCTACCCTATTATTCCTCTGAACCTTAAAACTTACTTACTGCTCCTCCTACGCGCCTCTGGCTGCTTTCCAATCACCTCTCAGTGGTACGAGTAAGGACCACAACCACAACCACAACGTCACACTGCACAAAACCAAATCCCCTGTCGTTCTTCCTTTCTTGCACTCCTCCCACCCACTGCACTTCACGCGTTTATTTTGATTCACAACGCACAACGTGCGCACTGCAACTCTGCGGCTGGTCGATCCAGCACTGATGATCGGCTAGTCATGCCATGCCATGCCATGCCATGCTCATCCTACAGGATCGCGAACGATCGTCTCCACATCGCGCGCCTCATCTCATCTCATCTCATCATGTAAGTAATATTCTATTTTGGAAATGCATACTCCGTAAGGTAAGAATGGAATGAGATAGGCTAGCTAGCTACAGTAACTGTCTCGCGTGAGAATCTCATCTTCCCTTCCCTTCCTTGAGATTTACAGTACAGTACTTGGAATGATCTTATCTTTATCTTTACTTTCCTACAAATACACGCACGAGCACACCTCTTTCATCTCATCTGCTGTGCGCGCGCGCAATTATTCGCCTCTTGCCAATTTCACCATCACGAGATCGCCAATCTCCGTTTTTCATGCCCTCCCTCCACCCCTCGTATTATACACCCCTCAATACTCACTCAACCTCAATTTCTTCCCAATCTCGCGTCTCCTAGCCTCAGGCGCCTTCGCATCGTCCCCCGGCCCCTCCCCCCTCGCTTTCAGAGCCTGTAACAGCATCCCAGCATCGAAAAATCCATCTACACATGTATAATCAGCCTCAATCCAGACCTGCAAAGCGACATCCCAATCCATATTCACACGACAAGAATTCGAAATTTGAGACTTACAGCCACCCAATCCCTCATCATCACTCCCTACCGTACTATCCTCCACCGGCGTCATCGCACCCGGCGTCTTCTTCCCCTCCGTAGCCCGAATCACCCTCCCGCGACTCTTGAGTCTACTCCCCGGCTTCGGTCGACTCGCCGTGGCTTCCCGTGCGCGCGATGCTTTGGGAGACGTACCGCGGCGCTGCGTAGTGCGCAGGACGCGGCGGATCTCGAGGAGATAGCTCTCGATAGCATCAACGAAGCGTTTCGTTTGTCTGTGTTTACTACTCGCGCAGATGCTGATGCCCTCATCTTTGATAATATACCCGATTCCAAACCCATCCCCTGTAGTGGGTCCAAAGCCGAAGTGGCGGAGCGAGGGGTTGCCGCAGTTCGAGGTGGATAGGATAGTGTTGTTGAGTTTGTCCCAGCCGCTGTCGGCAAATAGGAGGGGCATGCTGTTCTGTTGCCCTGGGCGGGATGAGGAACTGTTGTTGCGGTGGCGGGAGGGAAGGGAGATGACATCTTCGCCATCGGAGGATAGGACTGAGTTGCGGTTAGGGCTGCCGACTATGGATGAGGGGTCGCGTTCTGAGCCGCCATCGATGGGGCTGGAGTAGCCGTTGCTGCCGTAGCTGCTCGCGGCTTCTGCTCCGTCTTCGTCGAGAGCTTTTTGCCAGACGCTGTAGAGGGCGTATAAGTGTCGGTCACAGCCTTGGGCTTTTGCGCATTCTTTTGTGTTTGCGGTGTGCTTTTGACATGCTTTCTTTAGTGTGTCGACTTTTTGTTGCGGCGGGTTCTCAGCCCAGAAAGCTTGAACAAAGTCCACGGATTCAGGGGTCACTGATCGAATGGCTTCCGTTCGACCATGGAGATAGACTTTGGTCATTGCTGGTTCGTAAGTGCATTCCACTCGGCCATAAAGCCCGTAGTAGGCAGCCTGGAAAGCCATTTGAATGAAAGCATCAGGTGAGAATCCCATGGCAGTTATGAAGTTTTTACCATAAGCCGCAAAGTCGAGCGTTTGGAATTCATTTTGTTGAATGAGATCCGCCAGACGCGTTTCAGCGAATCGTAATGCAATGCTAAGTTCAGGAACCATATCCCATTCCAGTTTATGAGGCGTTGTGTTAACATCTCCAAAGCTCGCCGGGTCGCGTTTCGACGGATCGGGGCTCGTAGAAGCCCAAAGACTTGGAGCTCCGCCATTTATGGTCCTGGCGAATCTCAGAATTGTATCCGTGTAAAGGTCACTTGCAAATCGTAAAACCGTATGGCCATCAACACCAGTGTGTTCGAAATTGATTCCGGCACTTCCGTTCTTACAAACAATAATCTGCAACTTGTCATACCATCGATTCGTGCAAGTGCCAACCTGAACTCCCTTCTCAACCAAACTTGTTCCGCAAAGCATGTTCTGGCAAAGCTCTGCTCCGGATGCTGGTTCGGTGTAATCGAGACAGAGGATGAATAATGCCGAGTCTACTATTCCCAGACAATCGGCATTATTTGAACCCTCCTTTCTAGTCATCATATCTCTCAGTCCTGACCAGATCTTCCGGTTTTCCGTACTGAGAACGCCTAGTGCACCTTTGGCCGCGTCTTGGATAGGCGTTTGCTGGGCGTCATCGACGATAGTCTGAAGGTTGATTGACACGTCCTTCTCAGTCATAATGAGATCCGAGTTGTCATCAAGGACATCAAACCAGTAGAATTGGCCATGGCATAGGACGACAACATGCTTTGCATCGGGATCTTGTCCGATATGACATCCATTTTCCGTAGGGACACGAGCAGTCCCGAACAGTCTTGAATATTGATACATGCAGAGGGGAGTTCCTCTTATGTTGTCGGGAGGTAGCTCTTCCCTTCTGACTGCACGGACAAATGATAGAGCAGACACCACAAGTGAGGCGGCCCGGGTGACTTGGTTATTCCTTGCCGGAGTAGGATCATCTTCTAGGAGAAAGAAAGGGTTGAGATTTAGAACGACTGGGTTATCGAAATTGAGATAAGAGTCATACCCTGGTCAATTGTAAGTGATCAGATACTATATATATAGACATGTACTTACAAAACTGTTCGATATAGCTCGTTTTTCCAGTGGCATACTTCTTTAATCTTTCCTGAAGCTCCGGTCCCTCACTCTTGAGGAACTCTTCAACCGCTTGTTGCGTTTCGGCGTGTTCTCTGGGACTTTGTAAAGGCTTCAAAGCCTTAAGATATCCCGTCATGCTATGCTCCAACTCGGGAATCGGCAACTTGGGAAGCCTATCCTGAGCAGCAAAGGTAATTCCTGGCTTGGCTTTTGGCTGGTTGCTGAGAGGGTCTTTTTGGTCCTTGGAGTAGCTCTCACTAACTTGCTTTACCTCTTCCACGGATCGACCTTCTTCTGGGGCATGTTTTGCATTTCCCGGCTCCACAGCCAAGGAAGCATTCAGGGACTTTGGCATCGTAAATGTCCGAACTGAATTGGTGGAGGAAGGCATCTTGGTCAGCTTGTTGATTTTAACTATAGAGCGGAGAAATGGAAGTGCTGATATTCAGACCGCGCAATGCTGTGCGGTAGAAGTAATGGCAGTCTTGGAGACAGTAGGACGGCATCCCACTAGAATTGCTTTATCGATAATGTTTGAAGAAGAATGGAATGGAAAGTGGAGTTGATGTACCCTTAAGGGTAGGGGAAAGTTGAATTATTTCCGGAGCCAAAGAGGGACATGATCCATAGTGGGGTTGGGGTTCACCCCGCAATGAACCTTTGATCCCTCTGCATAAAAGAGCCATACATCTTGGCAGTAGATTATCACGACACCGGCCGTATGGCCATGCAATATGAGCTCCACTCCCGTGCACTAACTGGGGGATATGCCGAGCTAACGTGGTATCCGCAACCCCGAGTTTGACATCGGGAGGTCGTACAGTACAGTACGTGACAGGAAAACGATACTACGTACCTCACTCGGTCTGTCTAGGTAATAATAATTGATACCAACGCAGTCTTGCATATGGTACCACGATCTTCTGCTGCGGGTATATTTTTCCGGTACGTGCAAATAAAAAGTAGTCGTCTGGTTGGGGCTCTGCGAAGCGTGCGTGGGAGGAATCAGGTCGGCTGTGATTTGTGATAGCTTGAAAAGTATCGGACAAAGAGAACCGTATCGGAAAAAGAAAGCCGGTAGATGTCCAGAAACTCAGGGCATGTGAAAGAGGAAGATGTCTCCACTTTATCCGCAGTGTAATCCAGTCTCACGATGCTTTGTAGTTCCGAAATGATAACAAAGCCCGCTTGCTCGGGCAAGAGGATGTTTTGGTTGGCAAGCCAGGCGTGCTGTTGCCGTGACTGAGAAGATCAAAGCTCTTCTAGTTACGGGACTGGCGGGAGAACAAAACGCCCTCAGCTACAGGGCTTCCGATATGCGGATCGATGGAGGAATAGGGAACCCGGGATTGGATGGGATTTGGGGGTTGAGAGTGTATGGGAGATGCAAATTGGTCCGAAAAGGTTCCTTCTCTAGAGCAACCAAGGCAAAAGTAACGTTGAGTGAGCCAGGATGCTATGCTGGATAGGTCAGTAGTTTGCAAGTCTCAAAAGCGGATGTTAGATAATCTATGAATAGTCTCCAGGTCGACAAAAGAGGGGAGTCAAAATAGGCTGTGTTGTGAATAGAAGCAACACATCAGTCGAGCACAACAGATGATACTACAAGCAGATTTGACCTTGGTGGGTGGCCAGTCTGGTCATGTTCAGGTATGGTAGGTATGGAACTGTTCGGCCAAAGCTGCGTGTGACCTGAGAGACTGTTCCAGACAACAATGCGTGGGGAATTTTTAGCGTCCGTTCCATTGATCCGGGGTAATCACGTGGATCCAACACGTGCGCTCGTCGATTTTGAAACATTGCATATCAATGTAAGATTGAAGTTTGTTCGGACAGGGTAGAAGATGGTTTGAACGCTGTCGATGATGTTCAATGATGCTACACTACGCTGAGTGTCCCACAGACGATGAATGGTTCAATACACAGACAATGGATGATTCAAGACAGACTGCTACACCGGACCATTTCCACCCAGTCACCGAGGAATCAAACCCTCATTCCAGCAATGAGTGATCGAGGTCCTGAGCCGTTTCCAAATACAGAGCTCCCGTATACGGTAGCCATTCCTCCAGGACCGTCGTCGTATACGGTGGTCATCCCTCATCTCAGCCAAGGTTGGTTTTCTACCCTCAGACCGTCGGAAGCATGTCCTAGAACAATGGCATCTAAATCCGTACTCTGCCTCTAAAAACTCGATATTCTCCCCACCGTACAGAATCGTTACCTCCTCGCCTTGCCTAATTTTTCTTATTGCAACAACCCTTCCTGTATCCGCAAGATGTGCCAACTATGCGTTGGGATTACAGGAATGATGCAGGAATGGGATATCGCCATCGTACAATCGACGTAGGAAGCGGGACCTATCAGAATATATCGCCACTCGATAGGAGTAACTTTCATACGTTTCATTGACAGACCCGACTAATCCTTTACGGATAGTCCACTGCCGAACCTCTTGATCCTCCCTTTCTCTAAGGTCATGATCTGGCCCTCCATGAAGGGACGATTTAGCCGGTGCAACCTTTGGTCCATTGTCTGCATCTATTTCGATCTCCCGGTTGGAAAGTATGATAGGTTCTTCGAGGATTTGCTCTTCTTCCCGGATACATCGAGTCGCCGTGAGACAATTCTTTCGCCTAGGCCGATATTGCGTGAGGGTGCGCGCAGTGGGAGGGACCATGTTTGGAGCTTAAGTGGATGGGTGGCTGTTGGCATTAGAAGAATCTCTTCCATGGAGGTGATTTAAACCACCTACTCGATGTCGTCCAATTCATATACCACTAGTGGAGCCGTGTCCAGCGTGCTGTAGCGTGCAGCATGTAAATTAAGGTGATTCTTTTGAATTGTAGCAAATGTTGAGGGTTAGCAATGCTATCTATAATGGTTGTTGATGTTGTGAAGAGGAAAACAAGAAGCAAAGGAAGAGGAGCTTTTATGCCAATGGTGGCATATTGAAACTGGAAGGCACGACCGTAGAGTACCCAACAGACTATCCTTACTACCATATGATTTTCCTACAAGAGTTGAGACATTGAAAGAGACAAACCCCTTTGAATATTTGTACAGACCAGATTGAAGAATTGAAAATGATATTGCCCAGTGATGTAGACACGTCTTGAAATCAGACAAGGCGGACGGGCCCCGGCAAGCAGGGAAAAGACGACTTTCGCGGCTTACGACTATTGACCCACCAGATTGAAAACACGGCCTTTATCACTTAGAGGAAAAGTTGTGTTGGAAATTTGTGATATGTACGGGTTTTATCGTTTCGGCATCTTCATTCCTCCTTCGCAGCCAATGCCTTAGTTTTCCGCTCATCCGCATCCGCATTCAACTTCTGATAATGGGCTACCATCTCATCAATACCCCTCGCACCCTGTCCAGCAACTACATTGTACGGTGAACCTGTATTGAAGATCCTGGGCCAACAATTAGCTTTACGGCCTGCCATCACTGTTTCAAAACCTACTCTGGAAACTTCAAGTCTACATGCTTGGACCCTTTCGAGTTCTTGTACAAGTTGCTGTCAAAGGCAGCTTGTTCAATCATATCAGTATGAAGAGTATTCCGCGCTGTCAATGCATCCTTGTAGGACGAATATTTGTCGATCAATTGAGACAGCCCCGTCATCTTCCCATCCTTGTCGGGTCTGGAAATCTTATAGACTCCAATTGAGATGGGGATCGCGGCAAGGAGAATGTATAATTGAGGCTACAACACTATCAGCAGGTGTCCAAATCTCAGTTCCGTATGCACTCACTCCTAACGGCTCATCCTTGGGTTCCGCATGGTGGGCATGGTCTGCGCCGTGTCCAGACGCGTATCGTCGTGTACTTCGAGAAACAGCTGTAGGAAGGCGCTCAGCAGCCCGTACTGCCTTTGGCCGAAGTGCAAGCATGATGGTGTGGTTCAATTGATTCCTGAATGCCTTCAATCCCGCATCGAGGTTGACATTGGGATGTTCAATGCCGGATTAGTCAGCAGCCATGCTCGGTTCTGGAGCTAGAGCGAATCAAGAATCACAAGGCGGGGCGGACGCCATGTTCTTATCGTCGTATCGAGATGCCTGAGTCTATATCCCGAGAGCTGGCCACTTGTCCTTACGCTTACGATGGGGACAACTAATCCACAACAAGTTCTCGAGTATTTAGGAGATGATCTCTACGAAGAATTCAGCGACGAAGAATCTATTGCTTCTCTTGACACCGACGACGGCCAAGATCACCCTCCCGAACGAATCCTCGCCCAAGTAAAGGCGAAGAATAACTTCATCTGGTATCTGGTCAAGTGGCAGGACTGCCCTGTCATACGATCTAGTTGGGAGGGAAGAGACTTGTTCTCTAACTGTCCCTGGGTTCTCGATTCCTGGTGTGTCGAGCAACAAAGGCAAGCTGAGGGTTTGTCTAAAGCCATCGATTTAAGGTCGTTCAATAGAGCTGTATTCGACGCTGAAGCAGCTTCACAACGGAGACGTGTACTTCGAAGATTAAAGCGGAGATTTAATCGTGTCCTCTCTATTGTTGCCACTGACTGAAGACTACTGAAACTTGGTCTTTACACAACACTTCTTAAAGCTTCGCCTTCCTAGACATCAAAAAGATCGAGCGAGTACTTCCGTACCACAAGCTTTTCAACATGGTTCAAATACCTACACGCTGCCTTCTAGGCCTGGCATGGCTATTGTTGCCGACACTGGCTCGAGCTATCTCTTCATCCCCCGACTCTGCAGTTGCCTCCACCGACCTCATCTGCCCTACGACCAACGCCGCAGAATGTTATCCTCGCATCTTCGAACCTACAAAAGACTTCCAAACTATCAAAGAAGGCCAAGATATACCCCCGGGTCTTCATGTTCGAATGAACATATATTCAGGCGAGAGTGAAGCACGGCTTAATATTCCAATGGAGGGAGAGGAGGGGTACAATCCAGAAGTTATTCCAAGTGAACAAGCGATGGTCATCGTAGACCAACCAGAACCAGAATCAGAGAAGCCCGCTCTACGGGATCAAGTTCCTATTAAAGCACCGGCGTACAAGGACGCAGGCAAAATTCCACCTCCGATCCCCAACCCAGAAGCTGGTGACGAAATGGGCACTTTTCAAAAGGCTCTCTTGACAATCAAGATGGATGCGCGCGCGATTGATGGTGCGCTCGACGACCTCTCCGACCTCTCCCACGATATCTACTACGGCGTCGAAATCGCTAAAGACGGGCCAGTCCTCGAGAAGCTTGTCTGCTTAACCTTAGGGTCCGGATCCGAAAAGATCCCCGCTACCGAGAACGGTCGAGATCACAAGGCCGCTTCTATTCTCGCTTCATCTATCCAGAACAACCCTACTGCCTTAAATGAAGTGGCCGGCTATTCGAAAATGGTCATGTACCCATCCTGCGGACTAGATATATCCGCGAGCAAGCAGAAGAATTTCGTCGACATGTTGCGCTCGCGCTTAGATCAAGAGAATAATCCCAGTGCATTGAAAGCAAAGGTCAATGCTATCAGCGGACTCATTCGAGACCCTACAATCCGAGACACCTTCCTTGAGAAAGGAGGGATGGAGCTGTTGCTCGAGATCTTCTTGAAAAAGGAAGATGGGTTTGATGTTGTCAGACGAAACGTAGGCCAGCTGGTGATGGATAATTTCCTCGATGAGGGTATGGGGGCCGTTTTGGACGTGTGGCCGAGAACACCCGTGAGTGAAACGAAGGTCTGTGAGGCCAAAGGGACGATGCTGGGGGATGGGTGTTGGGAGCATCACGTCAAGAGCTTCTCGAAGTCTGCGTCGAAAGCAGGTTGGGCCAAGGAGCTCTTGGCTGCCTTGAAGGAGCAACGGAAAAAAGGGGACTCCACTAAAGATAGAGAATTATAGGTTGTTATATAATTACTTTGATTATTAGCAGCCCGAAGACTCTGAGCAGGGGATGAAATCAGTTCTTAGTACGTCGCTACCTGACTGGTGGACGGCAAAGAGATCATTGCAGCCACGTGACCATTTGCATGGGATTGAACCCAAGACAGACAAGAGGGTCTGCACATCTGACCAAGGAACACCTGCTTAATCAGGACGGATGCGCTTTTTGGTTGCACAACACATCTGCAAGACCTGGCAGCCACAATTACTATTGGCCCCAATCCTACATCTGCCCCTCCACCAACAAAACACCCGGCTCAAGTGAGCCAACCATGCTCGATCAGAAAAGTCGGGGTATCACGATATCAGCTTCCCAAGTTCACCGGTGTTATCGAATTACTGCCCGCTCCCAATACCCTTGGCCTAGCAACAGAGCCTCTTCAGATGGACCGATCCTGCCCGTGCCTAGCCTTGTGGGGGCTGCTCAGCTGGTAATTGATAACAAGCCAGCGTGTTCGAGTACTCTCTGCGTTATCGTTCTTGTCATGCTTCCTTGCGCCATGCTCTTTCCCTCTTTCCACTCAATCATTTGTCAAACGACACCATCTATATAGTCGACCCCAGTTACATGCAACAGAGTTGTTAGCCTTCAGTTACGATGTCACACGATACTGCTAGTAATCCTCAATCTCGAATCCCCGATGTCCCACTCATTCATCTCGATCCTTCCAGCGATGGCCCCTCTAACGCCAGCTCCACAAGGGAAAAACCGGGCCTGCGGGCTCATATCGCTCCTTCCACTCCGGTCACCAATGGTTCAAACGGTCATGGACCTTCCTTGAATACCAATGGCATTGCGAATCCTGAACAGTCGGCCTTCGTGAAGCGTGATCCTCCTGTCCCAAGCCCAGGATTCGCAACTGAAGTTGAGTAAGTAATACAACGGAACAACGCGCCCATTTAAAGGCTAACCTCTTCAAAGCATTATAGGCGTGCCAGCTATTTACGGAGATCCAGAAAAGACATGGACACCAAAATCCAAATATTCTCAAGACGATCTCGGCACCAATGGCACACCTAGTCAGATCCATATTGAGCTCATGCGAATGACGCCTCTGAATCCAGTTTACTCTTCTCGACCTAAAAGGACGTCTACGTCTCGATTAGGGAGAGACCGAAAAGAGCCAGCTTGGATCACACGCGGCATTCGTACTCAAAAGCCGCTGCAGAAAGCCCGTGTTTTGCTCTATGATCACGGCGTGCCGGATGAGAATCATACATTGAAGCTGCTGGCGAAGAGACTACTTCAAGCCATCGAAGACTTGCGTCAAAAAGAGGTGTGGAAATCGAATCATCTCTTATAACGTTGAAGAAACTTTAGCTCAATCACTCCTCAGTATTCTCGAACTAAAACTATTCGCAGGGGGAGCAACGACCAATATTTTTTGTCTGCCATAGTACTGGGGGACTTGTTGTCAAGTTGGCCCTCACAGAGGCCCTCAGCCGCAGAAGCTCCGTCCTAGGTGACTGCTATGGCGTGACATTCTTCGGTAGGCCAGATATACAATTACGGGGTTTCAGTACTGAGTTGAAAACTATAGCAACCCCACATCGAGGCTCGAGCTATCTATCGATGTCAAACTTTTCGGGGAAAATTCAAGAAATCCTGAGTCTGAAGGGACCAATCCCGCGAACAATAGCGAAGCAGCTACAACTGGACAATGGTCTGCTGCATGAAATCGACTCAAAGTTCAAAGCCCTGGCTACAGACCTCCACATCTGGTCATTCTTCGAGACTATAGATTCGGATCTGACCAACACAAATCTCATTGAATCCGACCGGTTTCCTTTCCACGCTCCAATTACGTCAATCAAATCTGCATTACTGAACCTCCGCCATGAAATAGTATATCCCCTTCTCAGTGATCACGCAAGCTGTGCATCATTTGACAGCAATAATGCACTAACAAAATCGTCTTACCTCGGCGAATTGGCGCATGCTGTAGAGAAAGCATGCGCGCTGAGAAAAATGAAACACACAGATATGAAGCTAGAAGATAAAGTCCAGGTTGAAATCAACGGATTCTATGAGGGCACGGTGCTAGTAGATGACGGTAAACAACCTCCTATCAGAGTATGGTCTACCAACAAATCTCTACGTGATGTCAAGAAACTGGGTCCAGCGAGATTGCTAGAGGATAGATTGGCAGAAGTAAGTGTTGCACCTCGAGAAACGCAGCATTTAAGCCACAATACTCGCGCAGCCTCGTTGTCAGGTAGACTAGAAGATCCTCGAACAGTTCCACACGATCCTGCTTCTAATGATGCCTCTAGTTCGACAAGACAAGGCAAAAGATCGCTCAAGAGTAAAAGCAAAGAAAGAGCTACAGTTTCTTCTATCCATCGGAACGCGCCCTCCGCAAGTCCTGACGCCATTGGGATAACGACTTCAGGCTCACTACCTCATCCAGTTGTGTTGGAACCTGCCAAAGATACAGGCCAATCCATTGATGAAATGAAACAGCTACGAAGACATAGCGAAGTACAAATTCAACCATCCTTGCTACGGCCAGATGTATACAAAATCAGTTCATCAAGAGGGCGCAGAGGGAGCGAAAGCGCTATCAGCCCCTCGAGTCAGGTCACATTCTCCAAACCAGACGTCTCAAATCAAAAACTAGTGTGGGTGCATGTCCCGTTCAATAATCCTAGTTGGGTAAAGGTGGGTCATTCCATCACCCCAATAGCTTTTACTTATTTGCAATAGGATATTCTGGAGGCAATATCAGTTGAGAAGGGGCCGAATCATTATAACAAGCTACTCAGTATTGAAAACTGGGAATCTAGGCATGTTCGTGGAAGACATGCAGAACACCATGCATGTTACGTCAAGCCTGGGTGCCCGCTTATGGAATCAGAAATAAGTAAGCTAACTCCGGATTCCCCTCAATCATTGCAATTTGTATTTGCTAAACATTCTTTCAGGATCCCCATCGGCGTCACCCAGGGGCTCGCCACGGGGTGAACCCATTCAAATGTGTCTCTATCTTCCCTTTCTCCACTTCGACACCTACAAAGCCCTCGTCAAGAGGAGAACACTCATAAAAAAACGCATCAAGCAAGGTCGCTCACGTCCAGTACCCCAATCTGTATCCAAATTGAAGTCGTTGGAACTTAAAGTGCTCTGGCAATTCCTTGGTCACGATCCTCCAATCAACTGCCGGCGGACTCTTGACCAGTTCGGGTATCCTGGACTTCTTGATACAAGAGCGAGAGATGATGATCAGATGTTATACAAGATGACTAAACAGCGATCCCAGCTGTCAAAGAAGGATAGTTATAATGATAATATGAAAGACAGCAGCGGAGAAACTCAAGGTGATGGTGAAGAGTACCAGGAGGTTGATGATGAGAATGAGGATTGTGATGAGAATGAGAGTGGGAGCGAGGAAGATTCCGATGAAGATCTTTTGGATGGAAATGTCCTGATGGTCGATCAAGTTTGGCTGTGGATAGTTGATAAAGGTATGTTCATCTTTGCTCCCATAGTGTCGATAGGAAGTCTGTTATCTACCTTTCACTAACAAGAGCCACCTAGGAACAACTTTGACTTGCTTTCCAAGAGTACGTACCTTCACTGTCCTAATTTTCCTGGTGTTAGAGTCTTGATATCGCATCGAGTGTTCATTTCAAGTTTGGAGGTATCCTTGATACGAATTTCTACTCACTCAGCAATACAGAGAGAAACTTTAATTACCGACGGAAGACTATATCAACAAGCAGATCTTCGCAACAGTATTTTCAACGAAGTAAATGCAGACTTGACTTCGAGATGCGAGAACTCTTTCGACTTGGCAGCATTAGTTGCACTTCATGCCGTAACAGTACTTTTTGAGCGCTCTTCTCATCCAGATCTTGAAATCTTCCGTATATTTGAGGAGGCTATTAGTATTCTAGTAAGCATTAAACTAATACTTGGACGGGGTCTTACTAAGTACCACGGCAGACCGAGAAAATGACGACGTCCTTCAAGCGATTCCGGGCACGAGGATTCCGGGACAAGGCAACTGACTATGACTCTACAGTTCGAACCACAAATATCAGAGCAAAACACAAACGCGAAGGAGCATTGGCCGAAAAGCAGAATCGAGAAAATACATCCGCCTTGCTAGAGCTACGTGACATAGAAGACGAGCTCAAGACTCTAGAAACTCTCTTCGAAACCCAGCAAGATGCTATCAACGACATGATGAACCGCTACACAAGTGATGAGATTTGTGGAATCACGGGCAACGCTTTAGGATTCCTACACCAAGCCATGGCGAAACTCAAGGAGTATCTACACAACACCAGCAAGATGATCAAAAGCGTGCAAAGTACTCGCGACGATGTCCATACCCCCTATCTCACTTCATCGCCTTGATAACTAACACCCCCCAGTTCGACAAACTCCTCCAAATGGTCCAACGCCAAGCACAAGTCGACGAAGTGCGCCTCGCGCGCCTACAAGCCGATCTCGCGAGCGCCCAGTCCCGTTCCGTCATGATCTTCACAGTCTTCACGGTGATTTTCCTCCCCTTGACCTTCTTCACCGGCCTCTTCGGCATGAACACGCGCGAGTGGGGCGGGGGTTCATTCCTACCTCTCCGTACAATCGGTCTAGTCGCCATCCCATCCTCCTTTGTCATAATCACCCTCGCTCTAATCGTCGCGTGGAGCACACGCATGCGGCGCATGCTCAACTTCGTCGCTCGGCCTATGATCCGTGGATGGTCTTTCCAATGGCTGAGGAATTGGGGCGTGCAGGTAGAGGCATTGCATTGGCAGTGGATCCCTGCGAGAACGAAGACGGGTAAGATGTCGGAGCGCAAGAAGAGGAGGAAACGCGCGGAGAAGGCGGGTAGTTGGCTGGATGGGGATTTTTGGGAAGAACATGTTAT